CCCCCCCTATATTACCTTGGTGTACTATGCATCCCCCAAAATTGTATGGTTAAACGAGTCCTTGCCGGGGACATGAGATCGCCAATGGAGGCGACCAAGAAGTGAAAATGAACTTGAGCGTCCACATTGGAACACTGAAAGAATGCCAAACGAAAGAACATGCCCATCCCGCCTATGCGTTCGCGGGTTTCCGGCCAACCATCAGGTACATCGGTGTGAACAGCTTCTGTTCGCCACCAGCCACCAGGCAGTCGGCGGCAAGCGCGAGACTGTCGGCCGTCTTCTGGGTTCCCTTCGGTGCAAGACCGATCATCTCCAACGCGCCAACAAATCTGTGGACAAAGCCCCTGCCAACCTTCGTCAACCGGAGGATGGTCGGAATGTCGCCAAGGGTGGTAATGTACTTCAGTTGACCAGAGAGCGGCCAGTACCATGGGTAAGGGTCGTCCCTGTCGGCCAAGTCCTCGTGGTGCTCCATTTCGAACCCAGCGGCCTTCATAGCCTTGAGAGCCACATCCACCTTCTCCATGTTCGAAATACCGTCACCGATCTCGATACCTAGGCGGATCTCCCGGTGTTGGGGGTTGTCGTTGTCGTAGTTGTCGGTCATGAGCCATTCGTAAACACCGAAGACACCACCGGGTTTGAGGACGCGGAAGATTTCGCTGTAGATGCCTTCAAGGGAGGGCGCGTGCACGGTAGCTTCAATCGCATACACAGCGTCGAACGAGTTGTCTGGGAACGACATTTGCTGGAGGACGTTAGTAATTACGGTATTCGCACGGAGGTCACGGACATACCATGAAGTCGCCCTTGGTAAACTTGAGCTTGTGGGAAAGACCCTCCTTCTCTGCATACCGCGTCGCACGCTCGATCTGGTAGTCGTTGTTGTTCAGTCCAATGACGTTTGCGCCAGAGAACTTGACAATCTCTCGGGCCGGTCCTCCAACACCGCAGCCCACGTCCAGCACACGCATGTTGTCGCGGAGGTTCATCATATGGGCGAGGTAGTGCTCGTGGCGGGCAATGGCTTGGTAGAAGGGCTCTCCAAATGCGAAACGGCAGAAATGGAAGCTCTGGCCCCAGCCGTACTCGTACAGGTCGGTCGCAAGATTGTAGTAGTGTCTTGTCAGAGTAGCATATTCGTCTCGGCGCGCCTAAAGCCATTAGTCTACGTTCGAGGGGAGGGTGTGCTATGGGTTGGGTACCTTTCGAGTCTCTTCGGTCTCTTCTGCAGCTTCCTTGTTGTCCCAGTGTTTGAAGTACTCGTCTACAGCCGCCTTTTGAGCGGCCTGATCCTTCTGGAATATAGCACTCAAGCCGCCCTTGACCTGAGCCGACTTTCCGTGCAGGGCCTTGTTAAAGGCCGCATCACGGGCATGGTCTTCCTTTTCGAGCGCCGCTGGAGACATGGTGGGATCTTGAAGTAACAATGGATGCGATACAGAAAGAACTACGCAGATTGAAGGTGGAGAGAGGAATCAATTGAAGAGGAGAGCGGCGCACGAGCGAAAAGCGACAGTCTTAAACAAAAGAGCGGTGCAGGATATTTAGAAAGCCAGGGTACCCCCCGATCAAATTGGCCGTACAGAGGCGCCCCTGATTGGCCGGTGGCGAACAACGCGCGGGCAGGGGCGACCGCTTGCGAGTTAATCCGCCACCCGAGCTGCCCGCCAAGCCGTTTGGCCGCTTCGTCATTTCACCCTTCGCTTTCTCGAGATTAACGTCTTCGCGACCGCCTCCAGGTGCAACACCGTCCCCACAGAAGCGTACTCTGTCCGTCCCGACTGGCTTTACCTCTTGCAACCTCCGCACATAGCGTACGATCCCAGCGACCCCCGCCCACCCTTCCTCCACCGATGCCTCCGCAAATCAAGCAAGACCTCAATAGGTCCGGCTGGGAAACGACAGACTTCCCGTCGGTCTGTGAGCGATGTCTGCCGGATAACCCATACGTGCAGATGCTAAAGGAGGACTATGGAGCTGTAAGTAGTTGTTCCGCCATCTCCACTCTTCAGTGGCTAACATTGCTTAGGAATGCAAGATCTGCACACGACCGTTCACGATATTTCGCTGGAAAGCCGATCGCACAGCTCGACAAAAGCGCACAAATATCTGTCTGACATGTGCGCGCCTAAAGAACTGTTGTCAGTGCTGTATGCTGGATCTTTCGTTCGGCCTACCCATCGTCGTGCGCGATGCGGCGCTGAAGATGGTGGCGCCGGGCCCGCAGAGCGACATAAATCGGCAATATTACGCTCAAGAGCACGAGAAAGAAATCGAGGAGGGTAGAGGAGCAGTGGAGGCTTACGACAAGACGGACGAAAAGGCACGAGAGCTGTTGAAGCGGTTAGCGCAGAGCGAACCCTACTACAAGAAGCAGCGGCGGCTAGAGGCTGAGGGTGGGGGTGAGGGAGCACAGAAAGCGCTTCCTGCGCCAGAAGGAGGAGGCGGAGGTAGCTCAGCTGGGCATGTGCCCGGCCCGATAAGAACGAAGGATACTCGGGGACCTATCGGTGGTAGAGGTGCAATGCGGGCAGGTCGAGGTGGACGCATGCCTGGGGCACAAGCAGCACCTAACCCAGAAGACTGGCTTCCCCCGAGGGACCCCAACATTGCCTCCCTTTTCGTCACCGGCGTCGAAGACGACTTGCCCGAACACGAGATCCGGACGCACTTCGCACAGTACGGTCAACTTCGATCGGTTGTCTGTTCACACCGCGCACATTGTGCGTACATCAACTATGTGAAGAGGAAAGACGCAGAAACCGCGGCGGAGACGTTGAAAGGCAAAGCGGTCATCAAAGGCTGCCCCATGAAGGTCACTTGGGGAAGGCCGAAGCAGCTGGACAGCCTCGATCAGAATGTGCGGATGATGTACGCGAAGGAGGGCAGGCAAGCGGCTGGAGGCGCAAAGCGAGCTGCTGCCGCGCAGGCTGCGATCGAAGCCGCTCCGGAGACGAACCTCGACAGTCTTGCCACCATCGCACCGCCACCGGGAGCGGACGACGAAGTCAATTATGCCAGTTTGGCTGGGAACTAAGCTCGTAAAATGGGTCTGGAATTGGCGTTTTGGCTTGCATGGCATGGGTATCACGGTTCATTTGGGGTGGCCAAAAGTCAGGATGAGCAGCATTTAGTGCCTGCTAATGTTTTCCCCTTCGATTTCTTGATATCCTCATTGTTTCCGCGCTCGGTGTACTCGTGTATCCGAAGCTCTAGCACGCTGTATTAGCAAATTATCATTAGGAGCGAGCGCATGCGTGCTTTACTACTCACTGTAATTGCCTTCCGCGTCCATGGCTTGTCCTTGCACCACATTCTCCTTCAGGAACTTTGCCACTTCTTCCGCGTGTGTAATTTGCTTTGACATCTCTTCGCTCCCGACAGCCAGATTTCGTCCGTTCTCGAAGTTCTTCCGGGCTTCGTGGCGGGCGGCGAGAAGCGTGCCCATGTCTCCTGGGTAGATGTGAGATTCCGCCCGAGCTGCGGCAACGTATGTAGAGCCGATACCTTGAAACGCGATGCGCGTTGAGCGCAACAGGTGTCTGTAAGTTTGAAGCGCCATCTCGCGGGACATTGGCCTCTCCAAGAGCAGTATCAGGGTGTTGTGTTGGACGGCGGGAAAAGTCGCAGCGATGGAAAGATGTTTCACAGGCAAGACAGGGATGTCGCGCTTTTCCCCGGCGGTGATCAGTCAGCTGCCGCAGCTTCCCATTTCAGGCTGTGACGTCGCAAGAATACGCAGTTTCCTTCCACACGAGAACATGCTTCTGTGGCCTTGACACAACTCCAGCACCCTCGACGGGCTGCAACCTTCCAACTTGCGACCATGGTGTCTCTGTGGCCCTTCAGGGTGAGTGGTTCACGGCCTGCAACCGCCTTGTATCCCAGCTAACGGTTATCGCAGTCCCAAGAGGATGCTGCCTCCTTCGAGAAAACGCTCTCTACTCTTACCGCGAAGCTCTCGAGGGCCGCTGCAAGAAATGACAATCTCCGACAGAGATCCCGACGCGTGCGCGTCATGTGGACGCTGTACGCCGGCTTCGCCTACATACTGGCTGCACTGCTTCTGACTCTGGTTACCGGATGGCGCAACTGGGGTGCAACCGAGATATCTGTTGTCGCCGGTGGACCCGTGCTGTAAGGACCACAGGCTAGAGGCCTAAATGCTAATCGGCGGCTAACCATCCGCAGGATATACATTGTCCGCACATCATTGACTACCTACTACGACTACCGCATCTCAAGCACCGAAGCCTACCTCAAGACGCTTACCAAGGAGCGAGACGCAACTATCGAGAGACTGAAGGAAGCTACCAAATACAACTCCACACAACAACTCCTCGAGAAGTATAGCACTCCTCCGAAGCCGAAAGGGTCGGAGCCTCCGTCTTCACGCCGGAAGTCTCAAGGCCCTCAGAAACCCGCCCAACCTCAAGGACAAGGACAGCGCACAGGTATTGCTCCTCCAGCAACAGCAAACATTCCGCGACCGGCGAACCAGCGACCTATCACTCCTCAGCGGCCAGCCTCGGCTGATTCTCCCCAAGGTCCTTTCCAACCCCCGGGCCTGCCTCCACCAGACGCTCCGGCAGCCGAATTTGCGCCTAATGCATTCACACCCGCGGAACTTACAAGGCAATACTCGTCCTCTGCTGCAGCAACATATACGCAATCCCACTGGTACGACCGGATCCTTGACGCTCTTCTCGGAGAAGATGAGACCCAGCCGAAGAATCGCCTAGCTTTGATCTGTAATGAATGCAGACTCGTTAATGGACAAGCTCCTCCAGGGACCCGGGCCCTTGAAGATGTCGGTTGGTGGAGGTGCAGCGGCTGTGGTGCGTGGAATGGCAAAGAGAAGGTCCAGGAGGATGCAGTGGCCGACCTCGTGAAAGGCTGGGAAACAGAGAGAAAATCCAAGGCTAAAGATCTTGGTGGCAGTACCGATGGCGGGGTCGATTCCGACAATCGAGAGACTGAAGATGATGCCGGGTTGGTGGCTGGGACGGATGAGGGTTCTGGGGTGGATGTGGCGGAGGAGTCCGTGGATGAGACACCGCCACCATCGAAATCTACGAGAAGCAAGACCAAGGGTAAGGGGAAGAAATAGGGCATAGAAATGCCTTGCGATTATCGGTTTCATCTCGAACCACCGTCGGTGTAAGGACGTCGGAATCAAGGACAGCTCAAGGCCTCGAAAGCCTTCGAAGTCCACTGTGTCCAAGTGAACTCATCATTAATTCTTAAGTTAGCATGTAGCAATGCTCGAATATCGATCAATATCCTTGCAATCTTTTTGGAGTAAAATCAGCTGTTCGTGGGGACAATGACGTACCAAAGCTGCATCATGTAAACGAGCCTGGAGAGCTCCAAGTCATGATGATGCACCGAAAGGCGGACCGGTTGAGGAGCAGCAAAGACCACCACAATCAGCCGTAATATACTCTTTCATCTCGGACCTGTACGCTAGCTCACTTACCACCACCTATCATGGGACAGTATGAGCGCACAACTATGGCTTTGTCTTGCTGCGGAATGTGCGAGGCTGAGAAGATTGGCAACCTCGGATGGCGGAAAATCACCCTTGAATCCTGACTGCACGTAAACAGATCGGCTGTCAATCGGTATGCGGATCATCGACACTGAAAATGAATCTGCACATGGGGGCCAGCAATGCATCAAACCCAGACGACCACCACGTTGAGTCAGGAGGGCCCCGGAGAGCCGACGAAAGAACGTGGTACAGAGTTGGAGTCTATGGATCGATATACAGAGGAGCTCAAATCACCGCCACACGTTATGCAGAAATGTAAACTGCACCAGGCCATCCCTCTGACTATGCTCGTAGTCAAAGGCCTTGATCAGGCCCACGAGATGCGTCGCCGCCGCTAGTACCACCAGAACATGGAAGATCTGGTGCGAGGAGCCCCAGATGTCGAACTTTCCTGGCTTGACGCGCTCGGGGAAGCGTGCTGCGTAGAAGCCTGCTCCGAGGATGTATAGGAAACCCTGGGAAACAACCCAGTCCAGTCCGATGGACTTGCGGCACTGCTCGCGCCCGTATAGCCTGACGGCGTGGAAGACGGGGAACACGGCTGACAGACCCATGAGCACGAACATGAGCGCGCGGAAAGGTCGGAGGGCCGGAGTCCGGAATTTGTGGTGGACTGACATAATCGACGTGGCCGCAGCGAGCGTAGTAATCTAACTGCCATCAGCAACTGCATATTAACTGCAGAGTAGAAGAGTGGGTGGGAGGCGTACCATGGTCGCATACGTCTTCATAAGCTGCGGCTCGCTCTGGAATCCATAGTACAGAATCGGAATGAAGCTGCCCCAAATCAAAAACACAATGCCCAGATAATCCAACTTATTCCCCCAGATAGCCACTTGCTCCGAATGATTGCTTATCAAATGATAAGTTGCGCTCATCCCCAGGCACGCCACGGCGCCGAGGAAGTAACAGCTGAAAACGAGCACATCTTCGCGCGTGGCGGACTCATAGCGGGATCCGAGAACGGAGTAGATGATGAAGGAGGAGAGGAGGGCGACGACGGCGCCTATCAAGTGCGTGTAGATGTTTACGGTTTCGTTGTGGAGGTGGCCGAGGGAGAGGAAAGAGCGGTGGTAGGAGTTGGATGCGGGTCGGTAGCCGGAGGTAATGAAGTGGTTGTCACGTTGCCAGGAGGGGAGTTCGTGCCAGAGGACAGTGAGCTTTCTCTCGACTTCCTTTTCGCCTTCGGAGAGGCGGCGGGCGGCTTTCTTGGCGTATTCCATTTCGATGGGCGGGAGTGACTTGAGCTCGACAGTTATTCGGAGGAAAGAGAGAGGGGCGGTTGTGTTTATGCGCGTCTTAGGGATAACGAGATGTGTGTTGGTGGGAGACTCTAAGTTGTTGAAAACGTCGGACGTGGAAGAGTTGACGACGGACTTCGTTGATAAACCGAATACTTCACGCTAGGCCATATCGGCGACGGCCTCGAGTAGATAGGGAAGGAGCAGTATGAGAAGTTCCTCAGTCAGATCACTGACCTGAACCCGAGTCCACGCGTATGCTGGAAGCCTAGGTAACAAGTGGGCACGGCGGGGACTGTTGAGGACGTCGTGCATCAAGGTCGGACGTTACCCCTCTATCGCCGAACCATCGCCGCGCATCCCACCTTCCTCCCATTCATGACGACCATCGCTCCTTCCTTACGAACAACGCACAGGCACCGCACGTGCCGCAATTGACTCTTAAGTGCCTTCTGCCTGCCTTTGACTCCACTCCACCCTGTCTCCTCTCTCCTAGGAACTCGACACCGCGAATATTCTTTGCAATCGCGCGCGCACAGTCGAATCATCCCCGTCCGCCAACTAACTCTCCCAACTAACCATAGCTCAAGCAAGATGATGAAAGCCGACCAGACACGTCCCAGCAGCCGGCGCGGTGCGTCAGGTGCGTTCCGTTTCGACAGGCTCAAACCCGCACCCCAGGATAGTCTGGAGATGTACGGTCTGCCATCCAAGGGAGAGATGAAGTACATTCACCCTTTACCCCAGTATAGCTCACCACTCACCATAACTATCGCAGGTTGAACGACTTCCGCACCCAGGAGTGGTACTTCCACAAGATCCTCGAGCGCTACATGCGCCTCTGCGCTATCAATGAGAAGCAGCTTGGTGAGCTCTTCGCCTCCACCTCCATCAACCACACTTCGCACCAAGACCTCGTTGGCCGGGGTCTCTCTGCGCTCCTTCCCGATCATGCTCGTGTCACCGAGACGTCCTTCAGCAGCCCGCCGATAGCTGAGCTGGCGACTGTGCTGCATGCGCTGCGCAAGCTGCGCGAGGCCATTACTGCTACCGCTCGCAAGGATGCGTTCGCTCGCCACGCTTACTTCTTCGCTGTACGTGCTGCGGTTCTCTGCAAGGACTGGGAATCGTATGCCCCAGCGCTGACCTCGCTGCTTACGGTTATTAACCGCCAGTCGCCACTCAGTCAGTCGGATCTGAAGGAGTACGTTGGCTTACTGATCCTGGACCAAGCGTGCCGTCAAGGCGACATTGCGTTGGCGCACGAGACGCGGCTGCAGTACGGGTACAAGGATAGGCGAGTGGAGCTGGTGCTGAAGGCGCTGGTGTCGGACAACTGGGTCACGTTCTGGAAGATGAAGAAGGCGGTGGACGGCTATCAGCGGAGCATTATGGAGTTCGCTGAGCAGGAAATGAGGGAGCATGCGCTTAAGTGTCTGGGACGCAGCTACATGAGTACGGATAGGAAGTATGTGGAGCGATGTGCGGATAGGCATTGGGCAGATCTGGTTCAAGATGGTGTCGGCTGGGAGTTGACTGAGATGGACAAGGTGTTGATCAGGAAGCCAAAAGCTAAGTGAGGGATTCGACGAAGCGATACATGGTAAGTCGATTATGGGCCCATAGTGTTGGATAACACTGGGCTACTTATGGGAAATGCCGATTCCGTGGTCACGTAAGTCTACTCACTGCACTGTCTCGGCATAGATTGACATTGTGTAGGTCCGCCTGGAGTCCTTCAGCACCCGATCAGTTATCGGCGCAATGCAGATAGGAGGCGCCACAAGCAGATGAAAGCTCTGCGCGGGAGTATATTGGGACGAGGTGGGTGGATTACTGACTGGGTATCACGGCGCCGGACTGCCTTCGCGGCCTTATGCTAAGCTTCAAGTTCATTCGTCATCACTTTCTTCATCTTCCATCTCTTCGTCGTGATCTCCGTCTTCATCATGCCACATATCGTCCTCCATATCGTAGTCCTCCAAATCTTCATCCTCGTCATCCTCACCATCTTCGCCTTTTTCCGCTCTCTCCTTCCGCTTCCTCTCGATATTCTCCTTTTGTATCCTCCTCCGCTCTTCCTTCTCCTTCTTACGCCGCTCCCATACCTCGTCCATTTCCTTGACCTCCTCTTTGCTCTTAGTGATGAAGTCGTGCCACATGACTTTGCCGTCACAGATTTCCTCCTCCACCTTCGTGAGCCTGAGCTTCATCCGCGGGCCTAGCTCAACAAGTTTTACGGCGCGCTTCTCGACTTTTGGGCGACCGGTGCGAGGCTTTCCGGCGTCTTCGCCTGCCTTTGCCTTTTCCCTTTCTCGCTTTGACATGACTTTTCGTGTCATAGATGCTGCTACTTCGACTTCGGCGTCCGTGTCGATTTCGGTCTCGCTAGCGGATGTATAGCCCGCTGCTGAGGGGTCAAGCATGTAGTCTGCCACGTCCTCCAATGCCCCGAGGTTCGGCAATCCGGGCTTCTTCTTCTCCCGGCTCCCGATGAGCTTCTCCGCCGCATATAGTCTTCGTATCGGTCTTGGAAGACCAGTAATCTTCGTTGTGATAGCATAGTGTCGCAGACTAATCGTACAGGTTCCGTTATCGCCCTCGGACGGTGGTTCTCGGTTTAGCAAGAGCACTCGTTTGATTGTATGCAACGGTGTCGTATGCGGCTGTATCGGGGGGAAGAGGCACTGGAACATGTCTGTGACGAGCTTCTCGAGATGCTTGGGTGGTGCCTTGTCTCCCATTTTGGTTCTCTCGGTTTCTGTGGTGCTGAAGTTGTTCATGACTAGAAGCGGGGCTACACTGTAGTCGTGGGCTCCGGCTCGAGGGTGTTTCATGCTCTTCATGATGTCTTTTGCTAGCGAGTAAGTCTCGACTCGGAATGTGAGGGTGGGACCATGAGGGGTTTTTGCGAGACGGAGGTTCGTGTTGCCGGATTTTGAGCGCGAGAAAAGGAGTAAATGGCTGACTCCCAAGGGTCCCGCCATTGTAGTGTAGTCGCGGAGCTTGTTTGCACGCCGTTCCTAGACACTAAGTTAGAGACTTGTGCAGGATCAATTGATGAATCTGTGGTAGCTTACCTTCAACCTCACTGCAGTATCTGGCTGCATGACCTGCCGCATATCGACCACAAGTTGAGAGACACTGCTGCCCACTTCTCCAGCCCCCATCCTGATCACCATGCTCTTGGGCTGTCCTTCCTTTGGTTTCTTCGACGCCTCCTTGTCCATTTTCGATTGCTTCTTGCGCGCTGCGCCCCTGCCCCGTGCCATATTTGCGGTGCTTCTTTAGACACTTGGAATTGTGTGGTCTTGGTTGGAGAACGCGGGGTGGGCATTGAATCGTGAAAGCACGGCTCCAAAATTTCTCTGCAACTCGAACTCTTGGCGATCTTATCATAAGTCCGCGCGCTAAATTTAACTCCGCCATCAATTTTCTCAACGGAGGCCTTCGCTACCAAGATACCACTGCAAACTTCCTTCCACACACAACAATATGCCTGCGATCAAGAAAAGGAAGCTGAGCGGGCCTTTTTCGCTGCCAGGCACTTCAGCACCGAGAATGAAGTCGTCAAAACAAACCCCGCCCGCCTCGAAACCGATCCGCAAGCCTGCCCCACCGCCTCCGGAACCCGAACAGAGCGAAGACGAAGACGAAGAATTTGATGGATTTGATGAGAGAGAAGCTGAAACTGATGACAATGAGGTTGGAGAAGTTTCCGATGACACAAACGAAAGCGGGGGAGGTGCCGCTCCCAGTGCAAATACGGGAGACGGTTCCAAGAAGACATTCGCCGACTTAGGCGTACGAGACGAGCTATGCGAAGCCTGCGAGAACCTCAAGTTCACACATCCGACACCGATCCAAGAGCAAGCGATCCCGCTCGCACTACAAGAGCGCGATGTTATCGGACTCGCGGAGACCGGGTCTGGAAAGACAGCCGCATTCGTCCTACCTATTCTACAAGCTTTGATGGAAAATCCACAGCCCCTGTTCGGCCTTGTCCTATCGCCTACACGAGAACTGGCATACCAGATCGCACAGCAAGTGGAGGCTCTGGGATCCATCATAAACGTGAAGTGCGCCACATTAGTCGGCGGGATGGATATGGTCCCTCGTAAGTCCCTGTCGCAGTACTGAACACTGAATATCTGCTAATAGTCCTACTTGAATAGAGGCAATTGCGTTGAGCAAACGACCCCACATCATCGTTGCAACTCCAGGGCGTCTGATGGACCATCTGGAGAACACGTACGTATGCCTAGCACTATCGCGATCAACGTCCTTGCTGATAATCATAACAGAAAAGGATTCTCCCTCAAGCGCCTAAAGTACCTCGTCATGGACGAAGCTGACCGCCTGCTCGACCTTGATTTCGGACCTATACTTGACAAGATCCTAAAAGTGTTGCCGCGAGAGGGTCGCCATACATATCTCTTTTCGGCCACTATGTCCACCAAGGTAGAAAGTTTACAAAGAGCGGCGCTCCAGAACCCTGTGAGGGTTAGCATATCGTCGTCTTCCCATCAAGTCGTCTCTACGCTTGTGCAGCGATACGTTTTCCTGCCTCACAAGTACAAGGATCTTTATCTTATTGTAAGTACAGAGTGCAAACTCCATGTTCTTTACCAGAGAGCCTTGAAGCAGTAACTACCTGCACTGCAGCGTACCAAGTTGGCACAGCACGCTTTGGAGAGCTTCGCTAACATTATATCCCCAACTTTAGCATCTCCTGAATGATACCATTGGCCACCCTACCATCATATTTACCAGGACTGTCAATGAGACTCAACGCATAGCAATCCTGCTCCGCACTTTAGGATTTGGAGCGATCCCATTGCACGGCCAGCTTGCTCAGTCCGCAAGGCTCGGGGCACTCAACAAGTTCAAGAGCAAGAGTCGTGATATCTTAGTAGCGACCGACGTTGCAGCTCGTGGATTAGATATCCCCTCAGTCGATTTTGTCATCAATATGGATCTCCCGCCTGACAGCAAGACGTACGTCCACAGAGTTGGCCGTACTGCAAGGGCGGGTAAGAGCGGACGAGCTATCTCCTTCGTTACCCAATACGATATCGAAATCTGGCTGCGGATCGAGAACGCACTAGGCACGCAGATCGAGGAGCAGAGTATCCCCAAGGATGAGGCCATGGTGTTGCTAGAGAGGGTGAGTGAGGCTCAACGGGTCGCTGTGCAGGAGATGAAGGAAATTCATGAGCAGCGAGGCAAAAGGGGCGGCTTCGGCAAAGGGAGGAAAGGGAAGAGGGGACGTGATGATATGGACAGAGAGGACGGCTGAACGAGGAGACAAAGGTGATGTCTAGACAGGGTTTCGCAGAGGCGTTTAGATAGCAAGTGTCCGAAATTATGATATTCCAACCTACTAAAGCGCAAAAGTCCTACATTGTTGACGTTTCAAAAGGTCTCACTGGATGAACAGAATGTGTATGTGGAGAGCGAAGATATGGACGGTCGACTCATTAAGCTCTTGATTATGGGGTATATCCGCCGGACTGCAAAACCAAGCATCGTCCAGGTCCGTATACCGCGGCACACATACTGTCCATTAAGTTTTCTGACTCCGATTCTGTAAAACAAGGCCTGGAGGTCCCCAACAGGTAAAGAGGAGACTAACCCGGCCTGCAAACGGCTTTCCCCGTCATGTCGGAGATCTAGGAGAGCAGTAAAGAGGCTCCTTGGGTGATGATAGGCGGCATCACTCACTTTCTTGGGCCTCCATTTGGCGGCCTAGCACTCGGCAACTATACGCGCCGTCACTAGCTCTCTGGAGTTCTTCCGCGGGCCCCACAGAATCTCCGTGAAAGCGGCGAAAGCAGCATTTTCGAGATTTCGGACAACAGACAAGGCCAACATCGATACTCTTCGTCATATGTTGGAGGTGCTTTCTCCGCACCCAGCCCCATACCATGTTTTAGAGAACGGCAGCGGGGCCCCTCCATGTGGAGCCTTGTCATTACTTTTTAGAGGATTGATGAGATTCGGGTAAGCTGTAAGAGGTGGAAGAAAAGGAAGAGAAGTTTATACATGCGGAGGCCGCGTGCTGTGTTGAGCGCCGGAGCATGAAGTACCCCCAGATGGTGCTTTGAGAGGCAGGGTGTGGTTGGCGTTTTCGCTCTTGTTTCGTTCTCTTATATGCTTCAACCGGCTCTCTCTTCGGGTCTCCTTCGTCGGGCAAGAGTTCATATGCCCCACTTGCGAAATCCGCCAGATCCATGTATGGGCTCCTCACTCCTTTCTGATCTGGTTGTCTATTCCAAGATAGCCGCGTTCGGCACATTGAGGACGGCTTCGGAAACAACAAATACAGCTTCTTCATTTGGTATTTTTGTCTCGAGCCAGGAAGCACCGAGGAACCCTCCACATCCGCGTAAACTGAAGCCTTTTTTGATGGCCAGATAGAGACGCGTAAAGAAGTGAAGAGCTTGGAAGCAAGGAGGTTTATATATACAAGCTTAGGCTTGACTCTCGTGCAAAAGAGAAGAGCAGCATACGTGCTGCTGCTGGAGAATCTAAGGAGAATGGTATGTTTCTTCCGAAGCAGTATAGCCATTGATTTCTGACCCGTCCCAGATCCAAGTTCCACTTTCGCAGGTTTCAGCGCCGAGGACTGGCGTTGAAAGACATGGCGTGCCAGTTTAGTGTTTTATCCTCCGTTTTGCCCATCACGGATCTCGCCCTATGTTTTTGCTCTCGCCGTTCAACACGCGCTCTGCGATTTGAGAACCTTCAGGGCATCTTCACATGACATGAAGTCGCTCGGTTTTGGTGAAGAGGAAGCGTCCACAAGACATCACTTGCATTGTCATGCGTTTGAAACCAGCCATCACAAGCCTTTCGCTCAGCTTTTAGTCCCGATTACGACATAAGTTGCAGTGAGGAAGAAACTAGAGGGAAGAACGAGCACTTATTCGCCCATGTCTCGAACGGCTCGGCCGAGAAGCTTGTGATGGTTTGAAACCAGAGACATATGCGACAGGCAGTCGCAGCTCGCGATTTCCATCGCTCACCATGGTCATGGCTCCTACGTGGAAGTGCGGACGACAGAACATTAGCACGTTGATGATGTCGTTTTCGCCTCCAAAGAGAGAACCACATGTGCTAGGAGTATTCGGTATTCCGGGCCACGGGCAAAGGCTCACGTATACACCACGTCCCTGTCTTTTTAGAGTGAACTTAAGTATTCATAGCGGGAAGGAGACGTGTTTGCCGAGCAAGAGCAGACTCAGACGCATGAGAGCTCTGATACAGACATCGTGCGTCGGTCCCTTGGAGGAGGGAGGATGGTGCCTTTGGACAACATCAAATGTTCCCAATGTCTTTTGTCCAGGAAGAATCGCGGCCAGTTGCCGACATAACGCATCCGGAGGAGGGGGCCAGAGCTCGTCATAAACGTCTTGTAAGGATCGTTGTGGACCAGACTGCGCCGCATAGGAACGCATGTGTTTGGCGGCCCCGCTCTTTTGGGAGCGCACGCAGAGGACGGAACATTACTGGCTGCTTTCCGCCTTTTTAGACTTGTGGTGACCGGGCAGAGGAAAGTGCGCCATCTTCTCTGATGAGTAGGTTTTAGTCTCTAGACTTTTATTTGAATAATGAGCGTGGAAGAAAAGATAGTAAGATTCAAACGTTCTGTTTATATACCCTTCCTTCGTCCGATCTGGCAACGAGTGCTAACTTTCAAGTTATGGCACTGGTGTTGATCATCACCATCCTTACCAACCGCGCTTCGTACTTCCTCATAGATCCACGAGGCAGGATTCTTCTTCAGGGAAAAGACCCCTTTGGACTCACGATAGTAGTAGGGGCCACCGCGCGTCGTAGTTACGCCGCGATTCCGATCACAGAACGTATTCGTGAAAGCAAACTGCAGGCCGACTGCGGAACGCTCCCTTATATTTTCCCATTCGCTAGCACAATAGCTTTCCACGACAACACTCGCCCACTCATCTATACTCCTCCCATACGCGCGACCCCCTGAAGAGAAACTCCTGGAAACCATCCAGAAGCTGAGGAATAAAGCGTTGTTCATCGAGACGGGGATGAAGCACATTGAGCGGTTTATGAAGAATGTGCGGAGGAATTGGATGGAGACTGCACGGGGGAAGACTTGATCAAGGAAGTGTGTGAGAAGTACGGTGTGCGTGAGGAGACGGGGTTGAAGGGGTAGGCGGTTTGTAAGGAGGCGTATGGGGAGTTTGTGGAGCGGTATCGCGGGGACGGTGGGGATGCGGGTGAGGAGCGAGAGGATGGAAGGTGGGGAGTGGGGAGAAGTACTTTAGTGCGCAGAATTTAGCAACCTTACGGCTTGGAACTTGGAAAGCGCTGAGGAAGATACTGGGTGTAGTTTGGGGTTGAAGGGTAAGCATGGGCTTGAGAGAGAGAGGATGCAAAGAGAAGTCAGGTTGCGAACTGTTCAGGGCTTGCTGGAGTGCACACGGATTGGATATTATGGCTAAGAAGCAGAAAACGCCTACAAATGCTACGCCGAGACCATATGCAAGATAGACACCGGTAAAATGCTGGAAAAGACGACTTGAAATGGAAGAAAAAGAATAATGCTAAACCCGCTGATCCAGCAGCCTTACAGTAGCAGTCGCAATGAGAGAGAGCGCCTAATAATGCATATGCCCTTCCGTATTTTGACCAGCGAGCGCATAAGCTCGAACATTACCCAATATTCCTTGTGTTTTCGTGTGGGGTGGGCAAAGGCGATCTACACCTGCCCCTTCCTCTTCCCCCTCACGCACTCCCTCTTGCTCAGCGGCTCATCCGGCATAACCCACCCCCGCACCCTCTTCGCCTCCCTCTTCTCGCTCATCTGCGGCTTCGGAATCCAGGCATCCTTCTCCAAGAACGTCTGCCTGGTAAGCGCCGCGGGGCCGCCGACTTCCATGCGCCAGGTGCCCATGCCCTCGAACGGGTTCTCCTTGGCGAGCATGTGCAGGTACCACAGTGCGATGCCGGCGGTCATCTGGATCTCGCCGGTCTCGGGGTGCGGACCGTGGGCCGAGAGACGGATGGGCTGGGAGGTTTCGAGGTAGCCGAAGATAGGGGTGCCGCTCTTTGCGTTCACGGTTGTGGGGTCTACGGTCGAGGCGTCCGAGGGCCCGCCGCAGCGCACGCAGAGGAGCTCGATTTCCGTGATGATGAAGCCGTAGCGGCAGCCGTGCTCGCGCATCACGCGGTGCAGGTGCGCGAGGCCTTGCAGGTACAAGACCTGCTTTGGCGGAGACTCGCCGCGCATGCCCGTGTTCCACTGGTCGTAGCACTTGACGAGACCAACGACGCGGCCACGGCTGTCGCCGAAGATGGTCTTCTCGTAGTCGGAAGGGTAGTTGGAAACGTACTCGGGCTGGGGACGGGCGCCGGGGATGGCCTTGCACGTGCGCATCATCATATGCGTGTTTCCCTGGGCGACTTTGAGCGCGGCATTGACCTTGGTGGCGTAGTAGTTTGAGCAGATGTCGTGAAGGGCGGTCTCGGTTTCGGGCTGGAGATTCTGGCGCGTGGGCTCAGGCAGGTAGGAGGAGGAGACGGGGACTTCGAGGAGGGGGAGCACCGAGGGGATGGCAGTGATGGTGGAGATGTTGAAGTCGGTCCAGCTGCGCAAGTTGCGAATGTCCCACCAGAAGTGCGTGTGGATGCCTCGTGGTGCGCTGGTGAGGCGGCGGACGAGAGCAGGGGAAGGATTGGGTGCGGTGAGGTAGTCGAGGAGGGAGGAGGTGGGGACGGCTTCGAAGTTGTCGAAGCTGACGTCTGTCGCGAAGGGGTATTGGACAGCTTGGACGGCTTGGACGGCTTGGACGGCTGGGGCTGGGTCGAATTCAGTGAAGTTGAAGTCGTTGGTGGTAGTTGTGGTATACGAGACGTCTTGGACACCAGGAAAGGTGGAGGCAGGGAGGGAAGTCACAGGGTTCAAGGTGGTCTGAGGTGCGCTTGAAGATGTGACGTAGGAGGGGAGGTTGCGGTAGGTAGGGAAGCCATAGCGGCTAATGACAGACTCGTCGACGCTTCCAGCTGAGCCAGCCCTCTGGTGTCGCGACAAGCCCGAAGCAGAGTGCGAGCGGCCATGTGTGGCAAGAGAAGCCCGTCGGGATTCGGGTTGTGTGAAGGTGATGGGAGAATTAAGGGTAGAGGTAAGGCCGAGGTCGTATGAGGACGTCGAAACGGGAGAGGTGAGAGCGCTGTTGTGCGCATTATGGTGGTTGAAAGGACTTGAGCCCCGACGGATCATGGAGCTAGGTCGGGAGTAGGGGCTGTAGGAGGAGGCATAGCCCAAACTAGAGGTCGACGTCGTCCTGCGATGTCTGACTGGGCCACCAGTAGGTTCGGCGATCTGATCTTGTGTGCGGACCTTGGGAAGGAGGAGTGGTCCATGTTGTCTGATAGGCGACCGAGGTGGAGTAGTGTGGGCGGTGTTGACGGAATCGGACGGCGATGAGTCGTGAGAGTAGAAGGTACCGTCCGAACCAACACTGCCCGGAATGTAGTTGAAGGGGGCGGATGGTGGCGTCGTTTGGCGGTGGAACATTGTGGAAAGAGGCTTGCTGCCAGACTACTTGGTGTGAGGCTCAATCGAGAGACGAAGAACGATATCCAATGACTTACGCGTAGAAAGTGGGCGACAGGAACGAAGGGCGATTATGAAATACCGATTAGCCTGGAGACCAGCTCCGTTGGGGTCTAAAGACAAATGCAACGGAACAAAGGAAAAGGCGTAGGTGCTCGAAGGCGGTGCAATGCAGAGGTGATGAATGCTGGACTGAAGCGTAGTTGTGCGGCGAAGCAATGGTACTTATCCTCCGGCGCATGAAGTCCCTAGAACCAGTGGCTCACGACGCGCGACCTGATCGTAGTTTAGCGTCTAAAACACTCTGAAACACGATTCATCGGTCCAAAAACCAGGCCTGAATCGCTTTCGCGGCAGTATCACAACAGATCGTTCTACTGCTCCGTCAAGCTTCAAGAAGCGCTGAAACACAGCGGGCTGGTGGGCGAGTACCTGCCCGCAGAACGTGTCTAAACAGCACTACTGCTATTTCTGATGCGGCGCGGCCTTGATCCGGCATGGTGGAAAGGTAGTATTGATTCTGAGTGGCTGAGGCGGGCGAGGTTGCAGAGAAGCTATACAGAAGAGGAAGCGAGGGCGATGCGCTGCATAGAGAGGCGGCTGGCTAAGACGTTGGCTAAGGTGAAACCGGGATTAGTGGTCCGGTACTGCCATGCTGTAGAACCTTGAACGATGGTTATACGCTGTAGCGGGCGGCAGTTTGGGAGCTGCAGCGCGAAGGCTTCTGTGGACGAATGGGGCGGGTGTCGGGTTAGCGCCAGCCTTGAGTCCGGAGGATTCCCGCAGTTGTGGGGCCAGGTGCGAGCTGGGATGCAGCCCGTTAAGAGTCATAGCCTCATGAGGCACGGCGATTGGGCCACGACACCCCAAAGTTTCGTTTCTCACGGCCGACGTGCATATCGCAGACAGACCGACAGTGTGAGTCACAGAGGGCGAGCACGCAGTTCACGACTATAACACGCTCGAGAAATCGCTCAGCAGACAGCGCGTTGAAGACGCGTTGCGCTCCTCGCTTTTCGGGGTCTCAGGCGCCGCCCACTTCTCGCCCGGCCGTACGCGCTCTGCCAGCGCTCGCCCTTCGGGTGCTGAGGGCCTTCAGGAGCAGCAATGGCGTGGTCGGGACCGACCGAACGTCAGTTTGCGCTCTGGGGTCGTCATCCGTCTTGCGCTCCTCCGATCGAGCGCCGTTTTCGACCCGCGATTGGCTGCCTGCCATATGCCAACGAAGCGCCGGCGCTGTCCAAACGTTGCACCGGGAAACGCTCTCGTGGAGAATCGTAGGGCGGGCCATCAGATCTGGCGGGGCTGAGATCGTGCCGTAGAGCCTCATGCTGCCATGTGTCACTGTCAAACACGGTTCATTAAGCGCCCACCATCCCAAAGTGGAAGTATTAGGTTTAATTAGTAACGCAGCATGTGTCCCAAAAATATCCCTAACCGGAGCGCTGGCAGCCGAATCGGATGAGAAAATGCCGTTAATTGACTGAAACGGGATTAGGTTGCCAACGCTTCAGATGAACACTCCATCGTGGAGTGAGTGTGGGCCGCAAGGCGACAGACCGTGCCTGAAGCCCTTCGCATCGTCATCCTGGTTTCGAAAGAGCCTCAGATGTCAATGCTCTGCGATACGCGCCCTGCTCCATCGCCCTGCGAACGAAGCCGTTCTGGTCTCCTGGCGTCCTTACCGCTGGTGTAATTTCGACTCCACTTCCTCGGCCCACCATTTCTTCCAGCCGACGACCTGACGCTTCGTACGAGCGTCTTCAGCTGCGAAGACCATTGCGTGGCTCCGGAACGCTTCATCAAGGTCACATCCGAGGAATTTGCGCTGGGCGTCTGCCGCCGACATTCCCTGAGAATCGACCGCTTCGACCGCCATCAGGAACTGTCGCGCTAGCCCTTCGTCTCCTCCCCCGTGCCCGCCGACTGCAAGATGGGGTTTGTGGACTTTGGTGTAGCCGGTTGAAAAGTCGTGTACCTTGATGGTTGCGCTGTCGTACTCAATTTCTCCCTTGGTGCCGTAGATCCTCCCTCTTCTTTGACAGATATTCTCCGTGAAAGCGACCATGTGAAACTGCGCTGTCTTTGCACCGCGTCCCTTCAATGTCTGGCTTCCATTCTCATCATTGATGAGAGGATCGTCGTCCCAGGTAATGGTCACGCACTGATCGTCGCAGACATCATTATCTGCGTCCCAAACGCATCTTCCAAACCAAGGCCGCGCTTCGACTTCTTCAGCTGGGGTGTCGGTCGTGTAATCTTCGCTGAGGTCCTTCAACAATTGGTTTGCCGCGGCGTCCTTCCCGGTCGTTTTATAGATCTCTTCGATCTCTGGGTTGACGATCTTGACAGGCCAGCCCGTGTTGCCAGAGTTCAGGTGCCTCTCCATATAAATCTTCTTTGCACTGTAGAGACAGTCTTGCTCATGAGGGCATGACAGACAGTTGGTCGCACTTCCAGCTGACTGTGGTTTCCTCTCTTTGCGAAAGTATTTCCTGGACCCTGTTGAGGTCAAGAAAGATGGCAGATGCGGTTTGGTATTGGCATTCGGAGGAGGAGAGCAGAGCATCCACATGAGAAAGTCGATGTCGTGGCATGACTTCGTAAGAAGGGATGGGGCGGTCTTGGACTCTTTCCTCCAGTTACCTCTCACATAGCTCTGATGACTGTTAGCTACTACTGCAGACCCACACAGGATTCACTTACGTGCGAAAAGTGCCACCATCCAACCGGCTCGACATGTTCAATACTCAACACATCTCCGATAACGTCCTTCTCCAGCACCAAGTGCCTCAACATCATGTTGTGTGGACTGTACCTCAGCACATGACAGATCCCAAACACCGTCTCTTCCTTCCGCCCAACCTGACCCGGCTCTCCATTCACATGCCCATTTGCACCCTCCCGACTTGCGTCCTTCAGTGCCCGATAGATGTTCATGCAGCTCTGCAGCCTCGTAGCCAGCGGCTTCTCACAACAGATATGCACCTTCAGCTCCGCAATCCCACACACAACCTCCTCATGCATCTCATCCAGCACGCAGACAAAGACAGCATCCACACCCTTCTCCACCTCCTCACCGGCTCGTTCTCTCTCGCGCCTGCTCTTCTCGTATTTGACCCATGCTTTCCAGTCAGAAAATTCCTGTTCAGGCTCGGGCTGCCCGTCCTTCCAGATGAACTTTCTTCCAAACTCGGCACGCTTGTAGGTAATAGGCTCGGCGACTGCGGCAATGACGCTGTTCGTGGAGTCGAGGGCGGCTCGGGCATAGGCTGTGCCACGAGACCCGGCCCCGATGACGAGAACGCGCGGGGGGTTGGTGAAAGTCTGTTTCCCGGGGGCTTGGAGGAAGGTACTGTCTTCGTCGCCGTTCGTAGCTGCTGGCGTGTCCGAGGGGTTGTTTGACGGGGTTGCGGCCGAAGGCATTGTGACAGACTTGCGCTTAAAGAAGTTCCGCATTGAGGATACTGAAGATGCCGAAGGAACTCAAAGCGCCCCTCAAATGTTTTAGCGTGCGAAGTTGTGACTGCGCTCTTGACGCGGACGCCTGTCCTTTGAATAGAGTAGTTGCCTAGTACGGAAGACGACCGGTGAGCCTAGGTGCGGGGAACTGCTACTGTGCTACAATGTAGCATCAAGATGAAGCCTACGTTGCATTGCATTTATGGCCACGAGCAATTGGTTGCAGTCGATCTCAGAGATGTGAGAGGCGCAAAGATGAAGTGTGGGGTTTCTATCATATGGACCCATCAACCAATCATATCATTGCTTATAAATCGGAAGATAGCCTATCTAATATCTAACATGAAAGGAAGTCAATATCAACATGAAAGTAGGATTCCGGACAGCCTCCCGGCGACCCTTTAGCTATGCAAACAACGCCGTTCCATATGACTTAGAGAAGAGCATCTAACCGTCAGAATCGCTCCGTCTTATCTAACTCATAGAAAAGCAAGTAGACCTCCTTTTGCATGCCGAGCACCTCACTGGTCTTGCTTTCTTTTATTTTATCATCGCTGATACGCCACCAGCGATTGCTTGTTCGCTTCGATTTCCTTTTCAGGGGGTTTACGTCCGTTATGGATGCCGCCTTTTCTTTCAGTGACCTCAGGCTCTTCGGGCGTGATGTTGAAGTTGGCGGAGTGGCGGGCGGCCGTAAAGAGTCGTCATCCCGCGGTGCTGATGTCGGTGGGGGTCCGCGTGAGGTCATCGATGACTGAGAGGAGAGTGATCTTAAGGAAGGGGAGTCAAGGGCTGAGGTCGACGGTATCGGCGATGCCCGGTCGTTGATGCTCGTGAGGTTCGTGGTGGATATTCGAGGACTCTGGACAGCGGAGGGATTTGGGCTGGCTTGGACGCTATACACACCCTCTGTACCGAATGAGTGTGGAGTAGAGTAGGGCATTGGTTGTACTTGACGGCGGAAAGACTCATAATGGCCGCTGTTATGACTCCCTTTATGCGATACCATACCGAGCAGTCGGTAGTTCTGTCGATTCAGGAGCCCGCCCAGAGGTAGAGCCTCCGGAAATGCGACTTTAGCAAGGTTTTTCGTAGAAACGCTTCCAATCGCAAACACAGACCGTGAAAGATGGATTGCGAGCACTTTCGGGAACGACGAAATGTACATGTGACGGGCAATGCGACGTTTTGGAGCAAGGCTAGAACCGGGGAGTTCGACGTTCTCAGGTGGCCTTTCAGGATCATGCTCAAGCGCTTCTCGAATCTTGTCAATGTCACGCTGTAGTCGTTCCTTCAGTTCCGGGGTGGATGCGCGTGCCAGCTCCTGAGTCTTGCTTCGAAGCACATATTCCAACCGACAATATTCGCACTTGAAGTCCTCGATATGTTCCACTTTAAAGATGCCGTCGAGACACCTGTTCAATGAGGTCGACGAGGTCTGGGGCACGTTCAACGTCAGGGTGACGAAGGTTGATACTGTGGGTTTTGGCTTGAAACCGCACGTTAGACACTCGATCTGCGATTCGATCTTGCCTTCGAAGGGGAAGCCGTCCTCGCTTAGGGACGACTCATGTTCCACGGCATCTGTTCCTTTCTCGTCGTTGCTTATGGCTGAGGCCTTAGCGGCAGAGATTCCGAACTGCTCAGCAATTTCTTGCCTCTCAGAAGCGGTGTCACTGTTGACTATGGTGATGCCTCGCGTTTGCGCTCGTCGCCTGGCCTTGGTGCCTGCGTGATACTCGTCGCATAAGCGCTCCGTTATGATCTGGAGGAACTCCTGCGCATCTTGCTGCTGCCGGCTTATGCGCGTGCCAAAAGCGCGTTCGAGCGCCCGAATGAATGGCTGCGGCGAGATTGCCTTCCTGTATATCGGCCTCTCATTCAGCTTGTCCAATATCTCCTTCAGAGCATATGTGACCAGGCCCTTCTGCAGCCCCTGCAGCTTCCATGGCTTGACAGGCCTGCTTTCCAGGCTCAGCCGCTCCGTATCGACGTCGTACACCTCTGGGCCGTCAAGCTTCCGGCGATGTGTCTCCCGAATCAGGTAGATGCGCAAGTCCGGTAGCCCCGCAAGGGCTTGTAGTATGGAGTTGATGAAACAGTCGTTGGCGGCATTAGTGAGCCCGACTACGCCCTTCTTGCGCGTACTGGAGGCGTCATCGTCGAGGAAGAAGGTCGGGCCAAAGACGTAGACGAGGGTGATGGCAGCGAGAGAGGCTCCGGCGGCGTAGGTTGCTATTGTAAGAGGCTTCTCTGGCATGGCGCGCCGCTGTCACCTCCGGCCGACCGCGGATTGTGGTACTAAAGGCCTTTGTGCGGCTATGCGAGGAACGGTGAATGCAACGACAGGGCAGGGCGCAAATGCACGGAGGAGGGGCATGGAGGGACAGAGAAAGAGTCCGCACAAGTCGCCATTGTCTGACAGCTAGCGGGAGCAAATGGGGTCGGCAGCGTGCAGTGTCATCTCTGCCGTTTGTTTCGTCAAAACGCGGACTAGGACCGAAGCCAGGACCGATGCCAAGAGCCGGAGTGCCGGGATCTCTCTCGCAAGCTTCGACATTTTGAGGTGAGACCCCAGACGAACGCAGTAACGCTCGATGGCATCACTGGGGACGCCGGCGATGCTACCACAGTGCACGTCGTGTATACGACGCGTGGCGCGGTTGGGGTTTGAAGCGTGGAAGCCGCTGCAGCAGGTGCGGAATAAGTCGAAGGCTGCGAGGGAGGCAGAGCGCAACATTGTCGTGAAGCTGCTGCAGGATGTCCCTAGGTTTGGGCGTACAGGTAAGGTGCCGGGCGCTCTGTCTCGGAGGTTGCTAACGAGGAGTAGGCTCCTATATTCCCATCAACCCAGCGTTGATGAGGAATCGCTGGTTCCCCTCGCGCATCGCGGACTACGTCCCCGCAGTCCAGCTCAAGCAATTGAAGGCCCAAGGCGTCGACATGAGCCGCGACTTCACATATGGCGTCAGGGTAGCTTTGGAAGAGGTCGAGGAGGACGAGCAGGACTTCATACAGCAGTCGAAGCACTACGTGCGGCCAATTGAGATTGACTTTCTTAGTGTACGCTTCTCGACGCTTGCTCTACTCTGAAAATCCGCTGACTAGAGCAGCCCGCGCGCTCAATGGAGCTCCTAAACACCTTCGTCCCACCCACGATCGATTTCGCCCGCCAAACTATAGAGCAGGACAAAGCAGAGACGGGACGGCGATACGGCGCATCCGATGCAGCTGATATATTGACGGCGGCTGCTATGGCACACAAGCCCAAGCCGGCTGCCAATGGAATCTACGGCTCCGTGTCAACAGCGGATATCGTTGCGACGATCAAAGCTGCTCTGGCACACAACGACGAGGCGGCGCGCGTTATCCTGTCAGAAGGCGATGTGAAGTTCGTCACAGGGCATGAGGAGGACGACACGTCGCGCGTGAAGCAGCTAGGGATGTTCAAGGTCGAGATCAAGGTCCAGGGTGCTGAGGAGCCTCTCACAAGGAACGTCCGTGTTCGAGCGAAGGAGTAGGCGACAGGCAGGAGAAGAGAGGATATAGGAAGGTCCCGCCTCAGGGCCTTCTGCGGGCAGTACGGGATGCGGCCTCAACCTCGGACGTTTCTCCGTTCACTGTAAAGATACCTGTACACATAACTAAATGCCGAGTTGGTTCGCTTCGGGAAAATGGGAGACGAGGCGTGAGGCGGCTCTACGGAATACGACAGCCTCGACCTAGGGAGCATGAAGTGCATGTGATTGGTTGACCCTGCGCGTGACGTCTGAAGCAGCTCGGCAATAGAAGGCCCAGTTGCACAGCTCCTACCTAGGTACGGAAAGAGTCGGGAAAGACGACTACAGTCCAGCCTGCTTGTAGAGCGCGGCCGTGAGCATCGGGAACGCCCAGCCTGAGACCGTCAACACGTCCTGCGCCCCGACCCGTTGATGAAATTCGGCGCAACCCCACGTCACTCCGCAGAGCAGAATCTTCAATTGCTCGGTGTTTCTTTTCTCTCCCAGATCCGGTAAGCCAGTGAGGTCTTTTGTCGTGGGTAATTGCTTTTCAGCTGGTGAGATACGGTCACGCAGCGCGTCGGCGACGGCTTGGTGGGGTTCTGAAAGCTGGGTCCTTCCTACCCCACCCCACCTTTCTTCTACCCAACAATTACCTCACTGCACATTCGACCTTATATTTTCTGCCTCTGCTTCTCGACCCTCCCACTGACTTCTACACGCCTCAGCAACTACCCTATCTTGAAACCACTGTCACAATGGGTGCCAAAGAGTACGTTAGGAACTCCGATGGACGGCCAATTCACGCTGACCCGAACACAGCGTCCTCTCCCGCAAGGCCGGTGGTAAGTCCTAGCATCCTAGGGCATTGGTTTAGTCAATTGCTGATGCTGCGTCTTGTAGTCATCACCGGCGATGACGTTCTCAAGGTACTTGCATCCGCAGCCGTAATACGCGGGAGCGCCCGGGTTGACACGATACAGCTCTTCAAGTATGCGCAGGAGAAAGGTTTCGCCATCCCCGCCATCAACGTACGTTCCCCGCGATCGGATACCCGAAGGGATGCTAATTCGAGAAGGTCACTTCGAGCTCTACCGTCGTAGCTGGTGAGGGAATCCGCAACGCTTCCAGACGAGTTGCGATCTAACCTGGCCCAGCCCTCGAGGCCGCTCGCGACAAGAACAGCCCAATGTATGCAACCCGAATCCGAATGGCTGCGAAGGTCTAACACCCAGACAGCATCCTCCAGACCTCCCAGGGCGGAGCAGCGTACTTTGCTGTAAGACCATCCCCCTCCAACGCTTGCCCAGTTTGCTAACTTCTCGATAGGGTATGACGAATTCCCTTCAAGCATTCCCAACGATCGTTCCTCGCCCCCGAAGTCTGGTCATTGGACACCAACCCACATACTGCTCCGACATAGTTTGAGCTGTAGCAGCGGGAATTGTGGTGGCGTCTGCCTGCAGGAACATATGCTAACACTCATATCGCAGGCAAGGGTGTAGACAACAAAGTGAGCCAGACCATTGATACAAATATCGGGCATTCGCTAATCCTACCCAAGGATCAAAACGCGAGCATCGGGGGCAGCATCGCCGCAGCACATTATATTCGCTCTGTGGCACCGCTCTACAACGTCCCGGTCGTTCTCCACACCGATCACTGTGCGAAGAAGGTAAAGACTAGACCAGCGTATTAGTACAAGTGACTAATAAGAGATAATAAGCTTCTCCCATGGCTCGACGGCATGATGGACGCTGATGAGGCGTACTTCAAGGAGGTATATTCGAACAGCTCCGTTTGCAACGAGACGCCGAATGCTAATTCGAATGTAGCATGGCGAGCCGTTGTTCAGCAGTCACATGGGTCCGACCTCCCTGATACAAATTCGGTGCACGGCGTGAGATGCTGCGCCGAGGTATCGAGTCCCAATTTGAAAGAGCTGTGCTGACTTTGTTCTAGTACGCCTCCTCGAAGTCTGAACTGTTCAGTTCTCTTCCCCCTTTCATGCAGGGCACTGAGGTATTGATGCCCACTTCCATGAGCTTCTACTGACTTTGAATCCTCCTCTTTAGATCGATCTTTCCGAAGAGGTAAAGCCAACCCCGTGGTATGAATACTCGACACCAGCTAACCGTACCGCTCCGTAGGAAGTCAAATACAACATCGAAACCACAGCCAAGTATCTCAAGCGCGTGAGTTTATGACTAATAATATGGGTATCGTTGACTGACATGACAGGCGGCTCCTATGAAACAATGGCTGGAGATGGAGATCGGTATCACCGGCGGCGAAGAGGACGGCGTCAACAATGAAGACGTCGACAACAATTCGTGGGTCACCTGCCACAACCTTTGCTCCTCCTTACTGACTTCTCCAGACTCTACACTCAGGTCAGCTAAGCCTGCCATCAGCAGAGACACTGCTTACTCAGTTTTGTAGCCTGAAGATATCTACGAGATCTACAAGACGCTCTCGCCCATCTCGCCCTACTTCTCGATCGCAGCTGGCTTCGGCAACGTCCATGGCGTCTACAAGCCCGGAAACGTGAAGCTCCAGCCCGTCCTTCTCAAGAAGCACCAGGCGTTCGTGAAGGCAAGCGCGCTTTGCAGAACATATGCGCCCACCGCTGACTTCATCAGGAACAAACCAAAGCCAAGGAGGAGAAGCCGGTCTTCCTCGTCTTCCACGGAGGCAGTGGCAGGTGAGCTATGCCACTGACGAGCTTTTGATATAAACGGAGATGCTAACTCACTCAAGCTCCGTTGATGACTTCCGAGAGGCGATCTCCTATGGCGTTGTCAAAGGCATGACTTGATCTTTCGTTGTCGAACTTCGGCTGACCATACGTAGTCAATCTCGACACGGACCTGCAATGGGCTTACCTCACGGGCGTAAGTCTTCTTCGATGGATGTTATAGGCTAAACTAATTGCATCAAGATCCGGGACTATGTCTTGAACAAGAAGGACTACATCATGAGTAAGCCTCCGCGACGTCGTCTTCATCGGTAAAGTTTTACTAACACTGTCTACAGACCAGGTTGGCAATCCCGACGGTATGAAACTCCCTGAACTGAAGCTTGGGATATTTGTTCACTAACTTTATTCCGTTGAAGGCGAGGACAAGCCCAACAAGAAGTAAGCTCCCTTATGGCAAAGGAAGATCGCCGGCTAATGTGAGATAGGTACTACGACCCCCGAGTCTGGGTCAGGGAAGGCGAGAAGACCATGAGTCCGTTTGTCCCCTCTCGATGCCCGCATGCAGAGCTAACATTTCTCGAAAGGCAAGCGCATTGCTATCGCCCTCGACGACTTCTACACCGCCGGCAAGTTGTAAGCTTTGGAATGGCGTTGGGGTTCGACTCTGATATGGTGACTGTGAATGCCCATGGCGTGCATGGATGGGGATGAAAAAGAATGTGATGGGTCAGTTCGTGTGCTCGACGGAGTGGTTACGGTGTGATGTGCTCCGAAGCATGCTTTGCCTCCTCAGTTTATAGAGATTCGCAGAATATAAGATCAATCCATCTACAACAGGCCGCTTCAAGGACCAGTTATCATGGGATCCTGAGATTTTGAAACCCTGATACTCAGGACGTCACAATACTCATATGCTTGAGGAGTAGTACAGGTTCGTTGGCCTTGGATGTACTTGTACCCACGTTTAGGCATAGTTTAATTGGTGTGGTTTAATCGTGCAAAGGAGTATTTCTCCGAAGTAGAGATAATCTGAACTCTCGCTATTAGTATGGTTAGATGCTTCAACTAGAGTAGGAATGTGAACACTGCGTAGGTTTGAGGTTAATAGGCGCTAACCGAATCTGGCTTAGAGCGCTTTCCTCTGTGAACCTCGAGTGATCGGCGGATGATGTCATGGGCAATTGCACTTCCCATTTCACATCACAATTGCAACATCAGGCACATGCCATGGCAGCCGCGTTCGCCCAGCACGGAGCTGCCGTCTGCGTCATGTATTTATTCTTCATCTTCCTCTCTCTCTCCTAACCTCCCCCATTGTCTCATTTCCCACCTTAACATCACAACCTACAAAACCTTCAGTCCATTACTTCCAACCACAATTATCCACTCCCCAAACTCCCCACAGTCGCATTCAAGATGACTGGCGGCGCGCATGCAGGCAACAGTGTCGGCGAGGCCATACGGAAAGGTGTCGGCATGGTTCACGTGAGAGAATCCTGTAATGCGTTTGTTTAATCCTCAGTCCGCTAATGCCTATTAGGGCGCCGGAGAAGGCATTCGCGGAAACGTCAATGCGGCCGTCGACTCTGCTACCGGCGACCACGAGTCTGCAGCACGGAATGAAGCCATCGCCAGTCGCGGCGCCGACGAGATGGACCACGGCTATCATCGTCATCCCCGAGCTGCTGGCCCTGGTCAGGCCGATCAGGGACTCACGGGTTCGACTAACTATGGGTCGCATCCGACGAACGTCGGTAATAAGATGGATCCGCGATACGACTCCGATGTAGATCATCGAGGAACTGCTCAGGGTTCGACGAACTACGGCCCACACAGCACCAATATCGGAAACCAGGTTGACCCGCGGGTCGATTCTGATCTCAGTACGCGTAGATAGGCGTCTACACCACTCCAATATATCTAACTTCTACACCTGTCACTGTCCCTACTGCGTATTTCATTTCTCTGGCTTTAGCTAATTCCCCAGACCATCAAGGCGCGCAATTCGACGGTTCCGGATCGACTAACTACGGCCCACACAGCACGAACTTCGGGAACAAAGCCGATCCTCGTTATGACTCCGATTTGGACCACCGTGGCACTCGGGAAGGGTCGACGAACTTCGGACCACACTCCACAAATATTGGCAACAAGCTAGACCCTCATGTGGACTCAGATATGGATCATCGCGGCGCAATACACGGTAGATACGGTTCATCGAACTATGGACCCCATCCTACCAACATCGGCAATAAGCTTGATCCACGCTACGATTCGGACCTTGACCACCGGGGTACTACAGAAGGGTCGACGAACCATGGACCGCACCACACGAACATAGGCAATAAGCTCGATCCACATTATGACTCCGATCTGGACCACCGGAGACCTGGAACACACCAGTACACCGCTGGAGCATTATCAACCTATGAACCAACGCACTACCGGTCTCAGCCTACTCATTGCAGCAGCATCTTGAATGCTTTGGACCCTCGTGTTGACTCAGACCATGGTATGCAGAGGAAACCACCCTGACCACTGCTTTTTCTGCTAACCTCTCAGCTCGACGTACTTCACGCGAGGAACCTGTACCTAGAACCAGCACATTTGGAGCACCACGCCGCGCTGATACCAATCCCGTGCCTCATCTCCACCACCACTGTCCTCCCGACGGCGAAGAGAAGTTGGAACGATACGATCGTCGGCCCAGCAAGTCGCAACATGCTCCCCGTATGTTGAAGGCCTTGCCGAATTGTTTTCGTTAGTCTTGTTTGCTGATGCCGTGTTATACTAGACTCCAACCGCGTCGCCAACGTCCTCGATCCTCGCGTCGGGTCGGTGGCGCCACTCGGTGAACCCCATTCCGCTCAGAATCCGCATCAGAGCCAGTTTCTGAATTTGCTCGATCCAAGGGTGGACAGTGTTGCGGCGAAGAAGCATAGGTCGAGCGACAATGTGTAGAGATGGTGCTTCGTGAGACGTTGCGCTGGTAGCTGGTAGCCTGAATATGATTTCATTTCCCTAAATCATCTGCTAGATAGATGCTGGCCCGTTGTGTTGATGCTAAATGCTGGATGGACATTCTCTCCGCCTAGGCGTGGATGCGCGACTTTGTTGGCTGGGCTTGCGGGAGCCTAGAGTGCTTCGCGGGTCTTTGCCGCTTGTCAAGCCGCTGCAGCAGAGAGGATTAGCCTAGTTTTAGGGGAGTTGGAAGTGCTTCAATGGCGTTTGCAGAGCTCGTTCAGTATTCACATTTCCAATCAAATTTCTCCAGGCCGCAGATAATCGCATGAAAACCATTCGTCAATGAAAAAGTTACTCTACCCAGGCGTCTCCGCGGGGAGCAATCGGAACTCTATCGTTCGCCTCTCTATTCGTCCCAAAAAACCTCTTCTATCCATCTTGCACGAACCCCTGCCAACACTGAAGGAAAGGAAAGCCCTTAGGAAATCTAATGCAGCGCTATCTATCTAACATCTTTCTTTACACCTCATATCTCCCCGTCCTATGCACCAAGCGTCCCTTCACCCAAACAGCAGCACAGTTCCGATCATCCCCGCTATACACCCACTTCTCTACCTTCTCCTCCAGCGTCTCCCAGCCAAACACGTCGACCGGCCCACCAGCCAGCTCGAACGTCCCGTTCTGCTCGCCTCCCTCCGGCGCGCTACCAAGCCGTATCATCTGCGCATCGAAGTCCTTGCCGACTTCGAACCCGCCGACTCTGTCCTCTAAGCCCACGACCGCGGCTCCGCCCCGCGTGGCGAGGTACAGCGCCTCCGCCGTAGACAGCTTCGCGGCGTTGTCGGTCGCGGCCGCGGAGGGCGACTGCATGGCGACGAAGCGCGAGACCCAGATCGCCTGGCGCACCTCCTCGAGGATGGACGGCGAGAAGCCGCCCGACACGTCGGTGCCCAGGCCGACCGTCAGGCCCGCGTTGAGCAGCTCGCGTACGGGGCAGCAGCCGCTCGTCAGCGCGGTGTTGGAGGCCGGGCAGTGGCTGATCTTCGCGCCGCGGGCTTTGATCGTCTGGCGCTCGGCCGGGCTGAGGTGCACGGCGTGCGCGAGGATGGTCTTGGGCGTGAGCAGGTTGGCGGTGTCGTAGACGTCGGTGTAGGATTTCGAGGTGGGGAAGAGGTCCTGCACCAGCGCGATCTCGGATGTGTTCTCCGAGACGTGCGTTTGCACGTGGGCGTCTGTTTGCTGTGCGAGGTTCCCGAGGGCGGAGAGGCAGTCGGCTGTGCAGGAGGGTGCGAAGCGCGGCGTGATGATCGGCTTGACGATGTCTCCGGCGGGATCTATGCTGCGGATGTAGTCGATTGATTCTTGCGAAGCGGCTACGGCGGCGTCAACGCTCGCGTCTCTATAATACTCCGGACTCATCGTGTTCATGCACACGCGGCCGACGAGAGCGCGCTGCCCGCGCTTCAAGCAGATGTCCGCCAGCAGATTGGTAGCAGGCACGTGGTTGGTAGCGTAGTAGGCGCATGTGGTGGTGCCGTGGGAGAGCGTGCGGGACACGAAGTTCGAGTAGATGCGCTGAGCTTTCTGCAGGTCGGAGAAGGAAGACTCCAGCGGGAAGGTGTAGGTTTCGAGCCAGTCGAGGAGTGTGGTCTTGCCGAAGAGGCCGGTGTTGGGGTGTTGTGGCGCGTGGGTGTGCGTGTCGATGAAGCCGGGGAAGAAGAATCCGTCGTCGACTCTCACGACGCTGGCTTCCTTCCATTCTCCTCCATGCTTCGCTTTGATCTTCTCCAAGTCTGCGGCGTCTCTTTCTACGAACTTGATCACACCCGCTTCGTCGACCCCGAGGGCGCCTTTGGGACAGACTTCCAGATCAGCGAGTGACACGCTGTGCACGAATGCGCCGTAGTATATAGTTTTTGATATCGAGGCTGATGCCGCCATCTTGAAGGATCTGGTTCAAGATGTGGCAGGGATGTAGGGGTAAGGTTGATGCAGATTGATGTCGGTAAACGGGTGTTCGGGACCGCGCTAGAAGAATCGGAGATGATGTCGAAAAGTGCGGCAATGTGAATCTCAGCGCGCCATAACCGTGGAAGTGAAAAAGACTGTTGACACGACCGAAAGGAAAGAGTTGGACGAGGAAAGCCTTTATCTATCTTGACGCCGTGTTCTTGGACGGCGCGGCTGGAGTGGCTTGAAGTGGGTTTAAAAGCAAAGGGAGACCGATATGGTTAGTGGCAGGCTCGGTTCGGTAAGTGGATTCGCAGGCACGTGGCGGCTTGCGCCGGCCGGCGTTCGCCGACGTTGCCTCGTATCAACACTCCGGACTCTTCAAGTAGTGAAAATGTGGTATCTCAACTTTTGTTATTCGGAATCGCTAGACCAAAGGAGTATCCATACCCAGTGTAGGCCTTTCTCGCAGCGCCTTGGTATTCGTTTCCAAAACTCCGCGCCTTAGGTATGCAAGAAGCTAGAACAAACTACAAGCTATAATCGTGTATACCAGTCGGACCCTGATCGTTGTAATCCGGCCTCGTCATGTAGCCCTTACTCTGGCCTTGGTCGACCACGAAGATGACCTTTGCAGCAACCTGAGCGCCCAGGAACGTGGCCTCGTCGAACCCAACTTCTTTCCATTCAGGGAAGTACTCCGGAGGTTTCAAGAACTTGATTGAGGTGGGTGTCTGTCCGTGTGAGGAGTGCATGTTGTGGCTTATGCCTGACATGCCTGACATCATGAGGTTGCTGCTCGGAGGCATGAGATGCTGAGTTTGTGCGGTTGTGGCTGCGTAAAGAAGGGGATTGACTTGGGATGACGGGCCACCGAGGCCACCAAGACCACCGTGGGGGCCGAGTTGGGGTTGCGGTGTGTTGGCGCCGGTGCCGGCTGGGGTGGAGATATTGGAGGGTATTTCGGAGGTGAAAATTGTCGCCGAAGAAGGAGAGATGAGGTATTTTGATTGGATTGTGGCGAGAAGCGCCTCCTTGAAGCCTGTTTTGTGTTAACTTAGCTTGGCTAGAAAGTTGGAAAGAAGAGTCTGACCTCGAACTCTTGATCCGTTGCCGCAAACTATCAGGGAATCCCAGAGCTCGCTGCGCTTGTTGACTTCGTCGACGGAGGATATCGTCCTGTGGACCGCATCAGCGATTCTCTCCAACACATCGTTGCTCGCTGCCATAAATCGCTCTGTGCCGACTTCAATCTCGCGCCTTATCGGACCGGCCCGTGAAGTCATAGAGGGGCCTTCAGCGTTGCCATTTGCTTCAAGCGCCGAAGTGGGCTCGCCATCTGCACCCTCTTCATGGGCCTTCTTTTGCGGGCCCTCATCTAGAGTAGCTTGCGCTTCCGCCAACTTCACGCTTCCTAAGTTCATGTTCTTGAGGCTGTCCAGGAGCGCATGGTCCTCGTACAAGAACGTCGCCTTCTCACGTTTCGAATTCGGCAGCCTCACTGGCCTGGCCTGTGCTGCAGCGGCGGCTTCCGCACCACCCTTCTTCTTCGCTGCCGCCTTTTCTTGCTTTTCCTTCTCTTTCTTGGCGAGGTACTCGTTCATCCTACCCCCTGTCACGATGCTAGCAACATCGAGAACACCTTCGCTCTCTTCTGCACCCGTATCATCGCCAACTTCAGTGTCGGCGCCAGGGCCACGAGGCGCGTTCCCGATTGTAGAAGCAGCTGCAGGCCCGGAGCCAGCAGCGCCAGTAGAAGCAGCCGCGGCAGGGTTCGTGATGTTGTCTGGTTCACTCGCTTCTCTCGTCCCCGGTAATGGCGTGTCGGGCGGCAGTATCTCGCAGATGGGGCTCTTCTTGAGCTGTTCGCACATTTCCCGCGTGAAGCCTTTCGACTTGAGCCTCGAGAGCAGCGCTTGTGTGAGAGCTTCGCCTCCGCATCCCGCTAATGAGATGACGCGCCCTTGTGTATGTGGGATGAACTCGCTGACGGCGGTGACGTCGGCCTTATCCTTCCCCACGTCGACTATGGTCGAGGTGTGTACGCCGTATGCCCAGCTCGTCGCAAGCGCTGCGTCCATCATCCCAAACGCGGGTGTCTTGAACTTCTCGAAGAAGAACTGCGTGAGCTTCTCATGCTCTTTCGGCGTCCATACCGGCTGCGCTATGAGGAGGATCGGGGTGTGGAACGGCGGGTTCAGCGCGTTGTAGACGTGGGTGATGAGGGCGAAGAAACACGACCAGTTTACGATCCGACCCTCTTGGATAGGCCACACAGCGCCCTCTTCTGAGACACGGTCCTCCTCGTAGAGAACGTCATCCTCGTCACCGTCTGGGATGGCCGTTTTGGCGACTTCGCCGTTTTGCGCTCGGTCCTGCGGCTCCCCGGCGGGCGCTGCAAGCTTGCCCTGCCGCCGGCGCACTTTGTATGGCTCCCATTCTCCCTCCTTTTGGGCAGGGAACATGCGCGACCGCACGCGCAGGCGGGCCGGGGTGAAAGACTCGGGCAGGCCGAGCTGCGCGACTGTCGTCTCCGAGCCCGGCGCGATGATCTGTGGAGAGTGGTTAGCGCAGGCGTCAAAAGCGCGCGAGGGGCAGGCGGGGGCATACGATTATCTGCTCGTCCTTGAAGGGAGGCATTTTGGGCCAATGGGTGGGGTAGCTGTGACCGCGTTTCCTGAGTGAAGCTCGTGAAATGGAGCTCCGCCGCGCGCAGGAACGACCCCGTGGCGCCAAGACCGTGACCAGGTCCCACATGCCACGGGCATGCTTCCAAGCTTGCAATGCGCAGACGGAAGCCCTTCGCTGCATCCACTCGACACCATGCCAGTGCCGCCCTTCCGTCCCCGCCCACATACCTTTGGAATCCTGGAGGAGGGTCCGCCTTGAGCTGTTTGCGGCGCATTGGGACTGCGCGCTGCCACCTGCCCACCTAGCCATGGACACCGCCGAAGCTCTGAGCGCTGCCGCGAACGGCTCCACCACCGCTCTTTCGAACGCCACGAGTGCTATCAACGCCTCGGTGGCTGCTCTGGAGGCTGCGGAAACAGCATCGCCGTCTACATTCGGCCTGCTTGCGCGCGTTATTCTGACTGTTCTGAAAGTGCTGCCCGGCACGCTGTACTGGATCATTACATTTACCACTATCACGCTGCCAACATGGCTCTTCACGCTCTTCTCAATGAGTCTAACCTTCACTATGAATTTTACAACCCTGTGCGTCTTGCCTGTCTAGCACACAGGCCCCTGCTGACTCTCATAGAATGCTAATTGTCATCTTCATCGTCTCCACCGTCAGCTACCTTGTGAGGTACCGCTTCATGACCCTATACACCAGACTGCCGCCGGAGCCCCAACGCGACGAGCCCCAGGTCGAAGTCTTCCCAGACAACCAAGAAGGCGATTCCAAGCGAGGGCTGTCGAACTACCTCGATGAATTTCTTAGCGCAATAAAGGTGTTCGGGTACCTCGAGCGCCCGGTTTTCCATGAACTCACGCGGACGATGCAGACGCGGAAGCTGATCGCTGGTGAGACAATTCTTCTGGAGGAAGAGAAGGGATTCTGCTTGGTAGTCGACGGCTTAGTCCAAATCTTCGTCAAATCCAATCGAGAGGGCTCTGACTCCGACGATGAGGATGGCATGTCGCGAGATTCCTCGGGGGATAATGGCCCACGCCGAGGGCACAGCCAGGGCTACCAGCTGCTCACCGAGGTCAAGAATGGAGCGCCAATGTCGTCACTCTTTTCTATTCTCTCTCTATTCACCGAAGATGTGAAGCTTCGCCACGAGGAATATGAGGATGGACGCCCCATCTCAAGTGGCCCAGATACGCCGCAGGACAGACAGATGCAACCATCCGTTAGTCGGACCAGCAGCTACGGTCATGGGCTGGATGACTCCCGCCCCCAGACTCCGGGAGAAGTACCTGGGACCCCTCCCCGTGGGCTGAGTGACCGCAGGACATCTAGTCTCGCTAGCCCTACAGCGGGAGGACGACTGCCTAGCGTTCCGCCGTTGACATTGGACATGAACGGCACTCAGGGGCATCCCCGCGGCTCGAAGAGCCGATCACGGAGGTCCCAATCTCGCTCAAAACCCAAGTCTGCTCATCCAGATATTGTCGCAAGAGCGACGGTTGATACCACCATCGCTATAATTCCCGCCACCGCCTTTCGTCGCTTGACGCGTGTCTATCCGAGGGCAACTGCACATATTGTGCAGGTGATCCTGACCCGGTTGCAGCGTGTCACTCTTGCTACTGGTCATGCCTACCTCGGCCTCACGAGCGAGGTTTTGCGCACGGAGAAGCTTATGAACAAGTACACGACATATGACTTGCCGGGATTTCTGCGCGATTCGGCCTTGCAAAGACTAAAGGACAAGTTTGCAAACGAAACAGAGCGAATCGGGCCAGAAGAGGGCATGAAAGGGATTGCGCTACACAACCCAGGGGCCGGACGACATCGAAGGTCCAGCGCATCGCTCAGGAAAGGCGCCGCTGCGCACGCTCGACTTGCTGCAGCGCGGGGATCTTCCGAAGTGAACAGTGAAACACTCGCTAGGATGGCGTCTCCTGACCGTTCTGGCGTGAACGAACGAGTCAGTGCGGGTGACCTGTTGACCAACACAAATGGGCCTCGCTTTGGCGGCCGATCAGGGCGCTACAGCTTCTCTCAACCGGTCAACCAGGAGTCCCGTCGTGATACTCGGACTCCACTTGACGCCGGAACTTTCAATCCTTTCGCTTCGCCCCTAACGCGACCTATTGCCCTGCATCGCCAGGAATCTGTAGATGAGGCCACCGTCTTCAGAGAGTCTGTCCTGGATTGCATGTTCAAGGCTATCGGTTTAACCGATTTGGAGAACGCTGTTCCCAAAACAACGTCAGTCGAACAGTCTCCACGATTGGTCTCATTCGACGCCAAGCGGCAGAAAGCGATCTTCAGTAATGCATTCGGCTTCATGGACCCATATGAAGCGTCCCGTGACGGGGACACTGAGTCCATGATATCAGCATCGGGATTGTCTACCATGAGCGGTGCGGGCAACCACAATATCCTTGAAGAGATCGTCAACGATGTCGAGATTGTTTACTTTCCGAAAGGCGCTGTCCTTGTGGAGCAGGGTGAGAGAAATCCTGGGTTGTACTACGTGATCGACGGTTTCTTGGATGTCGGTGTGCCCATTGAGGAGGATAGTTCAGAGCCAAACGTCCTTGGCACGCTTCCCACAATGCCCGGTACTACTGATGCTGAGCTATTCGGCGGTCCACCACTGAAACACACATCCACGAGCGCCTCATTCTACCAGACGTCTGAAGGCGGCAAAAAGAAGAGGTCTCGAAAAACCCTCTTTCTAACTAAACCCGGAGGACTAGCGGGTTACCTTGGGACAGTATCCTCATACCGATCTTTCGTAGATGTCACCGCAAAGACCGACGTTTATGTGGGATTCCTCCCCCGCGCTTCTATCGAAAGAATTGTAGATCGATATCCGGTTGTACTCTTAACCATGGCAAAACGGCTGACAACTCTCCTTCCCCGGTTGATCCTACATATCGATTTCGCGCTCGAGTGGGTACAAGTCAATTCCGGGCAGGTAATCTATAATCAAGGAGACGAAAGCGACGCCATATACATCGTACTCAACGGCCGTCTGCGAGCCATCCAGGAGCGTGAGAACAACAGAATGAAGGTTATTGGCGAATATGGTCAAGGTGACAGCGTCGGGGAACTCGAGGTCCTCACCGAATCGACACGCCCTGGTTCATTACATGCTATTCGTGATACGGAGCTGGCCAAGTTCCCAAAGACTCTCTTCAATAGCCTTGCGCTTGAGCATCCCGGTATAACCATCAAGATATCGAAGATCATCGCTTCCAGAATGCGATCGCTAACGGATGACCCGCTTCACGAGCAAGCAAAGGAGCGGAGCGCCAAAGTCGGCCGCAGCAACGTCTCTTCTACGGTCAATCTACGAACCGTCACGATCCTCCCAGTCACTGCCGGTATTCCTGTTGTCGAGTTCGCAAGCCGGCTAATGAATGCGCTAAGTCAAATTGGCACTCCGAGTGGCGTCGTGTCTCTCAATCAAGCAGCTATTCTCAATCATTTGGGACGTCACGCCTTCAACCGCATGGGGAAGCTTAAGCTGTCTCAATATCTTGCCGACCTGGAGGAAAGGTACGGCTTAGTGCTTTATGTTGCTGATACTCCAGTCAAATCGCCGTGGACACAAACATGCATCAGCCAAGCTGACTGCATCCTGCTCGTTGGGCTGGCTGAGGGTTCGCCAAATATTGGAGAGTACGAGCGCTTCCTCCTCACCACCAAAACCACAGCTCGCAAAGAGCTAGTGCTGTTGCATTCAGAGAGATACTGTCAGTCGGGGTTAACCCGGAAATGGCTGCGCAATCGCCCGTGGGTCAATGGCAGCCATCATCATATCCAGATGTCGTTCCGCACAACGCCAGAGCCGGTACATCCAGCAGGGCGCCGTTTCGGGACAGCCATCAAGCAGCGTGTTCAGGTTCTACAGGCTGAAATCCAGAAATATACGTCCCGTAAGGTCCGACAGAGGCCTCTCTACTCCGCGGAAACGCCCTTTAAGGGTGACTTCCACCGGCTGGCACGACGTCTATGCGGCAAGTCTGTTGGGCTGGTTTTAGGTGGTGGCGGTGCTCGTGGCTTAGCGTCGATTGGCATTATACGTGCCCTAGAGGAAGCTGGTGTTCCTATCGACATTGTGGGCGGAACATCGATTGGGGCCTTTATCGGCGCGCTATATGCGTGGGATGCAGACGTCGTACCCATGTACGGCAGGGCTAAGAAGTTCGCTGGTCGTATGGGCAGCATGTGGAGGTTTGCTCTTGACCTCACATATCCATCGTAAGTTCTACTATTGCTTTAGCCGAGCCAAGGCTAATATCCACAGTGCCTCATACACGACCGGTCATGAGTTCAACCGCGGCATCTTCAAGACATTCGGCAACTCGCAAATAGAGGACTTCTGGCTCGAATTCTATTGCAACACGACCAACATCAGCAAGAGCAGAGTGGAGATTCACACTAGCGGCTACGTCTGGCGGTACGTGCGGGCCTCTATGTCCCTCGCTGGCCTCCTTCCTCCACTCTGCGACAACGGCAGTATGCTCCTAGACGGCGGCTACATCGACAACCTCACCGTAACCCACATGAAGTCCCTAGGCGCCGACGCAATCTTCGCCGTCGACGTCGGTAGTCTTGATGACACCACGCCGCAATCTTTCGGCGACTCACTCTCGGGATTCTGGGCCATCCTCAACCGCTGGAACCCTTTCTCTTCCTACCCCAACCCCCCGACGCTCTCCGAAATCCAGTCCCGCCTCGCCTACGTATCGAGCTACGACGCGCTGGAGCGGGCTAAGAACACGCCTGGCTGTAGGTATATGCGGCCGCCCATTGATCCTTACGGGACCCTGGATTTTGCCAAGTTTGACGAGATTTACCAGGTGGGGTATAAATATGGGAAGGAGTACTTGGGCCAGTTGAGGGAGCAGGGTGTGTTGCCTGTTACGGAGGAGACAGAGAAGGAGAAGAACCTGAGGAGGACGATGGCGCCTAGACGGGCGAGTATTTAGAGGTGAGGGGTTAGATAGCGTGGAGCCTCGAGCGAGTCCGGTCTGTGCCTCCAGGAGACTATTGGGAGAGAGGGGTAGAGGGGTAGAGTGCAGCGGAATCGATCCTTTTTCACCTGCGGCTGGATTTTGTAGCCACAAGCGGTGCATGAGCTATTACGCGAACGCTACCCGAGGGTGAATGGAGACAAGTGTGGCTAGAGGAAGAGAGTGCGATTTTGATTGGCGCATACGTCATTGCCCTACGCGGGAGCTTATCGAAGAAAGCCGAGCTCCATCCTTGCCCCTGCGGAAATTCACGGCTGCTATCTATCAACAATGTTGTGCTCCCTCACCGCCCTGAAAATTCGAAGTCGTACGGTGCTAGGTGCAATTTCACGCCTTCCTCTCTGCCAGCTGCTCTGGTCAACTCCTTGAACTCTGTTGTCGACGCGTGCGCACACGCTTTTCGGTGGCAATTCCCCAGCAAACAAGCTTCGAGCACCCGTCAGCTACCCTCACCCCACCATTCCTGCGACAGCCTTATTGACTCCCGAAGCAGACATCTGCCTGTTTGGGCGCTCGACAGGTGCCATTGAGCACACAGAGTGGCCAACATGCGTGTAGCAAGCCTCAGAGCAGCCTGCTCTGCTGGTCGACTCGCCCGCCCCGCGCGCCTACCTCGCCCTCGACTCCTCGGCGCCTACGCTACGTCTCCCGCCTGCCACAGTGCGCTGCAGCCTCTCTCAAAGAGGGCCTTCCATGCCACCCCCGCCGAAGATGTCCTCGACGCCGAGGGCAAACCCGGCGAGACCGTCGCGCCGTTCCAGCACCTGGATACATTTCCGCGCCGCCATATTGGGCCCACCACCGCTTCAGTAGAGGACATGCTCGCAACTTTAGATCCACCGGCACGCACATTAGACGAATTCGTCAAGCAGGTCATTCCGTCAGACATCTTGTCCTCCCGCTCCCTTGAGATTGGCGATTTGTCTACGCATGTCCCGAAGGAATGGAGCTCCCAGGGTACGCCTGAGAAGTCATTCCTCAGATTCGCTGAAGCGATGATGGCGGATAATAGTCCTGGATCCAGCTTCATAGGCTGTGGTTACTACGGAACGAAGGTGCCAGAGGTGATCAAGAGGAATGTCCTCGAGAATCCCGCGTGGTATACGAGCTACACTCCATATCAGCCAGAGATCAGCCAGGGTCGCCTAGAGTCGTTGCTGAACTTCCAGACTATGGTCTCCGATCTGACCGGCCTCGCCATCGCGAACGCATCCGTCCTCGACGAGCCCACCGCTGCCGCTGAAGCTATGACCCTGTCCCTCAGCATGCTTCCACTCTCTCGACAGAAGCGTGCCAACAAGACCTACCTCGTATCCAGTACATGCCACCCGCAGACGATTGCCGTGTTACACTCCCGAGCCGAGGGATTCGGTATTAAGATTGAAGTCGACGACCTCTTGAGGGACGATTGCAAGAGAATCGAGGAACTAGGCGATGACTTGGTGGGGGTCTTGGCTCAATATCCCGATACTGAAGGAGGTGTGCAAGATTACCGCGGGCTTTCGGAGAAGGTCCACCAGAATGGAGCCCTGTTCAGCGTCGCAACCGATCTCCTTGCTTTGACGCAGCTCGTATCGCCCGGAGAATTCGGCGCCGACGTAGCATTCGGCAACGCGCAACGCTTTGGCGTTCCCTTAGGTTATGGTGGACCCCATGCGGCCTTCTTTGCATGTACCGAAAAGTATAAGCGCAAGATTCCCGGCCGATTGATCGGCCTTTCCAAAGACAGGCTTGGAAATCCCGCCGCAAGACTTGCTCTGCAGACCAGGGAGCAGCACATCCGCCGGGAGAAGGCGACCAGCAACATCTGCACCGCTCAAGCATTGCTGGCCAATATGAGCGCTTTCTACGCCGTGTACCACGGCCCCAACGGCCTAAAGGCCATAGCGAGGCAGGTTGTAGCCTCGACGCGACGCCTGCAGCAAACTCTCATCCACTTGGGTTACACTACCGGCCAACGTGCGCGCCTAGATAACCAACCCGCAGCTTTCGATACGTTCGTGGTGGCAACCGGAAACAAGACACAGGCGATCGTTTCTGTCCTGGAGACACAGGGAATCCATGTACGGCAGGTTGACGACCAGCATGTTGGAATATCTGTCGACGAAGATACGAATATCCGGACAGTAGGCCAGTTGGTAAGAGTTTTCCGGGACCATTCTCCGAAAGCTGATACCAAAATCGACGGCAAAGTCAAACACGCGGCTGTGGATGCTGAGCCGCCGGTCGGATTCAACAGGACGAGTCCTTTCCTCACCCATCCAGTCTTCAACTCGCATCACTCCGAGACGGAGCTACTGCGATACATATACCATCTCCAGTCCAAGGACCTGTCTCTCGTTCACTCCATGATACCGTTAGGGTCTTGCACAATGAAACTAAACGCCACTTCGGAAATGGCTCCTATTTCTTTCCCAACTGTCTCGGACCTACATCCCTTTATACCCTTGAACAGGGCTAGAGGATACGCAAAGATGATTGCGCAGCTAGAGCAGGACCTAGCCAACATCACTGGATTCCATGCGGTATCGCTTCAGCCGAATTCGGGAGCCCAAGGAGAATTCACGGGGCTGCGGGTGATCCGGAAGTACCAAGAGCAGCAGCCAGGAAAGAAGCGAGATGTGTGCTTGATTCCCGTATCCGCACACGGGACCAACCCAGCAAGCGCTGCCATGGCTGGCATGAGGGTAGTGCCCATAAAATGCGATACTGCGACCGGAAACCTGGATATGGCAGACCTTAAGGCGAAGTGCGAGAAGCACAGCGAGGAGCTCGGTGCCATCATGATCACATACCCCAGCACCTTCGGCGTCTTCGAACCCAAGATCAAAGAGGTGTGCGATCTCATACATGAACACGGGGGACAGGTATACATGGATGGCGCCAACATGAACGCGCAGATTGGCCTGTGCTCGCCTGGCGAGATTGGGGCTGATGTGTGCCATCTGAATCTCCACAAAACGTTCTGCATACCCCATGGCGGAGGCGGACCAGGAGTCGGGCCCATTGGTGTTAAGGAACACCTTGCGCCATTCTTACCAGGACATTTACGCGGTGAAGTAGGCGGTCAGCAGGCGATTCAACCCGTGAGCGGTGCTCCTTGGGGTAGTGCAAGCATCCTGCCCATTAGCTGGGCGTACATTAAGATGATGGGTTCGGTCGGGTTGACTCAAGCCACCAAGATTACGCTCTTGAACGCAAACTATATCCTATCTCGACTGAAAGCCCACTACCCGATCCTCTACACCAACGACAACGGTCGCTGCGCGCACGAGTTCATCCTTGACGTGCGCAAATTCAAAGATACGGCAGGGATCGAAGCCATCGACATCGCAAAGAGACTGCAGGACTATGGCTTCCACGCGCCGACCATGTCCTGGCCGGTTGCTAACACGCTCATGATTGAGCCTACAGAGTCGGAAAGCAAGCAGGAGCTTGATCGCTTTTGCGACGCGCTCATCTCGATCAGGAAAGAGATTGAGATGATTGAACAAGGCAAGCAACCGCGGGACGGCAACGTGTTGAAGATGGCGCCACACTCGCAGCTAGACCTCTTGGTCGGAGAATGGGATCGACCATACAGCAGAGAGAAGGCGGCCTATCCATTGGCGTACCTCAAGGAGAAGAAATTTTGGCCTGCGGTTACCAGGCTCGACGATGGTAAGTGCAGCCGGTATCCATGGCAGAAGACGACCGGCTATGCTAACACGGTATTAGCTTACGGTGACACCAATCTCTTCTGCACGTGTGCGCCTGTTGAGGACAGCGAAGATACGACCGGCACGGGTGCTTCCCACGATGTCCGCATTGAGGGCGACATCTAATCTCCTCTGTACATGTTGTGCATTTGCAGGCCGGGCGATTTCTTCAACAGCAAGCCAGCGAGGGAGTTTGGGATCCTTTCAGATATGCATTTCAACGGCGACGATTCGGTAGATTTCAGCTTCTCACGAGATTCAACATGGTGGGCAGATAGGCAGAAACGTTTTAAGCAGGCCGCGCTCCTCGGGCTGCAGCCGTCGCGCATGTTCGACGATGGTTGAGTTCATAGCTTTGGTGTGTGACGTCATCAGCCCGCTGTCGCGTACAGCCTCCCGAACAGGAAGGCGGCGGACCCACTGCTTCTGCGGGGGAGGCTCAAGCAGGAACGGGAACAGGTTTCCTCGACCAATCTTTTTGTGTCTCCGTGCTCGGCTCAACTCAGGCTTTCGTCCGACCGCAGTCGGGTCTCTTGCCGTGCGGCAGCAGCTAATGGCGATTCGGACAACCTTGGAAAGATCTGCAGGTACACGAGCACTCACTCTGCGGAAATGCGAGAAGAGCGAAGCGCGAGTGACACCGCCGCGGGGTAGAAGAAGGGACGATGAGGCCGCGGACCACTGCTTCTTAACCAGCTTTCATCGCCCTGAAGATGCTTATCCGGCCCTTCGTCTTTTCGGTCGACGTCTCTAGCCCCACCGATTAGCATCACGATAAGCTCAACGAAATTGGGTGCATGACCTGGCCTGGACAAAGAGCTTTATGCTCAGTAAAGGTACTATCGCAGCTTCAGCTTTACCCGCGGTCGTTTCGTTTACTCTGATTCAATGTTTCCTGCTCCATTCGGGCAGTCTGGGTGAACGCTCATTTCCCTTGATGCCTCTCTCTCCGCGCCCCCTTCTTATAGCTCTGAGTCACGGTTGGGGTTGACATTTGCTGGCCAGTCTTCCACTCCGAGCGCCTCTAGACGAAGCCTTTCCACCCCAGCTATGCGCTTTTCCGCCTTCAAGCGGATTGCTACCGCGCTTCTCGCCAGTTCCAGCTTAGCTTCAGCCCTGAATGAGGTGGTCAGATTTGAAGATACAGAGTGGGACGACGACAATTGGATTATAAGAACTCAGCACTTCGACCAGGGGCGCTATCAGTCTCGCATGTCCCTTGCCAACGGCTACCTCGGAATTAACCTTGCAGCCATTGGACCGTTCTTCGAAATCGATCAGCCTGCCAATGGAGACAACTTCAATGGCTGGCCTCTTTTCAACGTGCGGCAAACATTCGCAACGATAGCGGGCTTCTACAATAGCCAGGGGAGAGCCACAGGCAGCAATTACCCCTGGTTGTATGAATATGGCGGGGAGAGTTTTATCAGCGGCGTGCCACATTGGGCCGGGCTCGTAGTCGAGGCCAATGGGGCTGTCCTAAACGCTTCAGTCAATCCTGAACATATCTCGTACTTCACTTCGAGTCTCGATGTCGCGGCGGGATTCCTGAGCTGGACGTATACCTGGAAGCCGGGAGGAGGAGAAGCCATAAATGTGGAGTACAACATGTTCGTCCATAAGCTCCATGTCAACCAGGCTGCAGTCCAACTCAAACTCACGGCGAGTCGCGACACGAACGTTACCGTATACGATGTATTGGATGGGGCCTGCGCCGTCCGTGCGGACTTCGTGGACAAAAAGTACGAGACGGATTCTGCAACCATTTGGTCTGCCGTGAGTCCGGAAAATATCCCGAATGCCACCGCCTACATTTATTCCACCCTTAAGGGCAATGAGTTCATTAACCTAAGGACTCGTGCTGAGGTCACAGGGGGAATAGAAGGCATCTTCGGCGGCCATAACGCGTCTTCAATCGCACAGTCCGTCAAGGTAAATCTCCTAGCAGGCGCGACGGCCGAGGTGACCAAGTATGTTGGAGGGGCCTCTTCTGACGCTTTTCCTGATGCGAAGGCCGTCGCTAGCGCTGCATCAATAACCGGCGCCTCACAGGGGTTTGCCACACTTCTGCATTCGCACATCCAGGAGTGGGCGACCATTCTCACCAGAGATTCGGTTGACAGCTATCACTACCCCAATGGTTCGCTTCCCTCTAATACCAACCTTCAGGAGTTGCAGGTCACATCTGTTATGAATCCTTTCATGATCCTCCAGAACACCGTCGGACCAAATGCCATTGCGGCGGCTGGGAACAACACGCATCTGAACATTCACAGCATCCCTGTTTGCGGGCTCGGATCGGATTGTTACGGCGGGCTGATCTTCTGGGACGCCGAGACTTGGATGGCACTCGGAATGCAACTTTCGCATCCAAAGCATATCGAGCAGGTTGTTAACTACCGCGTCGAGAAGTATCCGCAGGCGAAAGAGAATGTCAAGATGGCTTTCAGCTCGTCGAAGAACCAAACTGGAAGATTCACTGGAGGAGCCGTCTACCCTTGGACCAGTGGACGTTATGGCAACTGCACGGGCACCGGCCCTTGCTTCGATTATGAGTATCATCTGAACGGTGACATTGCTATCACTTTCCGGAATCAATATGCCGTGACAGGGGATGTTCAACAGTTTACGGAGAAGCTGCTTCCCATCTCAAACGATATTGCATACTTTTTCGGCGAAGTCCTCGATTTCAACGAGACATCGGGCCACTATGAACTCTGGAATGCCACCGATCCGGACGAGTATGCGAACAATATCAATGGAGCTGGCTTTACTACCGCGCTTATCCAGAAGCACTTCAATGAGACGAATGAGCTCAATGCTATGTTTGGACTGCCGCGGAACGAGACCTGGACCTCGATTGCGGAGAATATGCGTCTTCCAGTGAACGAAGACGTGGGCATTGTGCTAGAATACGACACCATGAACGGCTCTATCGTGGTCAAACAAGCAGACGTCGTTCTGGTGGACGATATCCTCCACTACCAAAACCCATACAGCCTGGCAGACTTGGACTACTACGCAAACAAGCAGTCTCCTGATGGACCTGGAATGACCTACGCCGCCTTTAGCATCGTTGCGAATGAGATATCACCGTCGGGTTGTTCGAGCTACACCTATGATCTATACTCGTCCCAGCCGTACATTCGCGCTCCGTGGTTCCAATATTCGGAGCAGCTCATCGATAACTTCTATTTGAACGGCGGAACCCATCCTGCATTCCCCTTCCTTACTGGTATGGGTGGAGCGAACCGCGTCGGCATCTTTGGCTATCTGGGATTGCGCCTGTTCGTTGACAAGCTAGACATCGACCCTTCCCTCCCACCGCAAATCGCACATCTTAGCTACCGGACCTTCTATTGGCAAGGCCATGGCATCAACGCAACGTCCAACACCACCCATACTACCCTCGTCCGCTTACCCGCGGAGAACTATACTCTCCCCACCGCAAATCAGGAATTCTTCAGCAAACCTATCCCAGTAACACTAGGAACCCGCCCCGGCAACTTCACTCTGGGCAACGAACCGCTCATTGTCCCAAACCGTATGATCGGCCAAACCGAAACTGTCGCCGGCAACATCCTGCAATGCAAGCCCATCGTCCCCGGCGACTCCCAGCACCTCCCGGGCCAATTCCCCATCGCCGCCATCGACGGCGCCTCGTCCACAAAATGGCAGCCCGAGAACTCAACCCGCATGAACTACATCAGCGTCGACCTCGGAACCACCTCCTTCTCCCCTATCAAAGCTGTCATGTTCGACTGGGGCAAGGAGCCGCCATCCTACTACGAAGTCCTGTTCAGCAATAGCTCACTGCCTCCATTTGATGAAGGCAGTGATGTGCGGAATGTGACGAGTGGGTCGGTGCAAGTTAGCGAGCCGTTTGATGCTGCGAGAGCATTCGTTATTCAGCCGATTAAGGGGAATCAGACGAATGTTACGTTGGCGGAGGGGGTGTGGAGTGGCAGATTTGCGCATTTGGGGATATTAGGGAATTTGGCCGGGGGTAGGAAGGATGATGCGGGAGGAACGGTAGCGGAGTGGAATTTGGTTAGGGAGTAACTTGGTAGGTTGGTGGGTAATGCGCACGGGGTAGGCTTCTGCCCCGAGGAATTGCTGCCGTTTAGTCGCGGTGCTTGGAATTAAAGTGAATGTATGTTTACTTAATGAATCGCAAAATTTTCGTTTCTTTGATTCGTTTGTGTTAGTGCTCTCTGTGCCTTGTATGATCTAGTATTCTCTATAGCTATTGCTCTGTATTCTTCGCTTCTGTTCCCCCCTACTTTCTAATGCACCTCTTACCTTCCTCTCCCCTGGCCCTTTGCGCGCCAACGAAATTAAATTATCAACGCTACCTTACTACGTACGTAACTCTAATATCCCTAGCCCATCCACGACTCAGGCCTCAACTCAACTCAACTCAACAAAACACCTCCCGTGCGTCCTCACCATCCCACACCTAGTCTAAATATGCAAACACAAAACATGACAATGCCCAAACCCAAGCCCAAAGCCCCTCTCCGCCACCACCCCGCACTGCTATCCCAGACCTCGGCGTACACTTCCGGAACGAGACGCTTGCTGCGGAAATAGCCCGTAAGTAGACAACAGAGGAGTTGCAGAGAAGGATGTTAGAGGCTGAACATATGTGGATATGGATTTCGCGGTTTTAAGTACTCCCATCCGAGATCGAAGTTAATGTACATTGAGTCATTACTTTCGCAAGATATTTCAATTTATGTAAGAATGGAGTCCACAAACAGACACGAATGGCGCTGTTCAGAGTGTGTTAATGTCCTTCCAAGCGCAATGCCACCCATCATACCACCTTCGCTTTCTTTTGCTCAGCATACTACGCTGAGCGTGTGAGCGATCTGTGATCGCATTAAACAGCTCCTCATACAACTTGCTTACGTGGACAACCGGACTGCGGCTACTGTTACGACTGAGAGCATAGTCGACTGGTATGAGAGTCGCAGCCACATTCAAGATTGACGGCCGTGGAGCTTGAGCGCGACCGAGCCACAGGTTCCGATCTCATCGGGACGTCGAACGTGCCTGGGAGGGATCTCTTAGCATTTGATTCCTCCCTACCTCGAATACGACCTACCATTGCAGGCAATCATGCCAGTGTAGGGCTGAGCCGGTTCGTTGCTCGCCTGTGCATTGGAAGTGTTGCTCGTAGCCGGAGCGGTAGAAGAGGACGACCCAGATTGTTGCGATCTGGTTGGCTGAGTGCCGGTCCCATTCACAGTACCGTTAGACATTGCGGGAGCTGTTGGTAAACGTGAAACGGTAATGCGTGGTTGAAGGCAGCGCCTCGATAGCAGGGTGGAGAACGACGTGGTTGTTGTTCGCAGACTCCGTGGGATATGGATTCCTTATATACTGCTTCGAGGGCAATGCCTATGAAAGCTCGTCCCCGGCCAGAGCCCGAGTCAACCTCGCGATGCTCTCTGAGTTGCCCGTACCTAAGGTAGCACTGCCATATGGTGCGTCCCCGTAACGGCGAAACCAATGGGAACCCTGGTACGAATATACTCCCGAGCCCCAAGCTCCTTCATGATTTGAGAGTTAGGAAAAGCGGCGAATCAAGTTCCTTATGTCTAGACCGAGAGTTTAACTTTGACGATTTAGGAGGAGGACTCTGTTTAAAGCTTCGTCAAATCGGAGAAGGGCCCTGGCCGCTGCTCAAGGCCCCTCGGTGTGGCCAAGGCTGCGGCTGAAGAGGATGCATACTGTTGTCAGTCTCTCCGGTCGCGTTGAAATAGACTCCGGTTTGCTCAGGGCACAAGTCTTGGCCGGTGTCATTTCGCCTTGCGTCTGATTGTTTGCCCCGGAGATAGTTTCTCCACCGGTGGTATATGGACCATGAATGCTATTGGATGCTAGCATGTAGCCAACCAGCTCTCGACGATGGAGCGCAGCCCTATGGGGTCAGGAATTCACGTGATGTCCAAATTAGGCATGGTCATTGTGCACCGCTCCTCACCGGTCAGAATTCAAAACTGTTCTTTGATTCGTCCGGGTTACCGCGTCAGTTTTCGCGTCCCACCATGCCACGTCTCCTACAGCATCCCACTCTATCAGGCTTCCACAAGCCGGCAAGGCATGCATCTCATGCATGTGGCGACTTTCGTTAGGCTATTGTCCGTGGAAGAGCGGGCCTTCATGTTTTCGAGGTAATACTCTTCCCGATGATAGCGAACACCAGGTCATGTCCCGTCACCATCCTTACTATCATGATGCTCAGTACTGCACTATGGCAAACTCTACGCCTTCAACATTTCACTTCTCCCTCCAGCATGGAGAAGTCACGGAACCTTTGTTGGCAGGAGGTAGCGGAGAAGAAAAGGCATGACTTAGCAGCGAAGATACCCAATGACTGGAAGCTACCCGACTCAGTCCTAGCGGAGGCTCGTCACCGAAGCCAATTGTCTGGGGAATTCTTCGACCGACTTCTCGACGCCGACACTCTCAAAATCACCGAGCTGAGAGTCGAAGCACTTCTAGATGCTGTACACAATGGCTCCGTTACCGCTGTCGATGTCACTCGTGCCTTTTGCAAGAGGACTGCATTCGCCCATCAGCTGGTACGAATTTGAACCCGAACCTACCGTGATTCCACTAACAGTCTTACAGAATAATAACTTGCTTGATATCATGTTTGACACTGCACATGCACGAGCGGTAGAGCTTGATGAGTACCTCGAGGCACACAACAAGACGGTAGGGCCCTTACATGGCCTGCCTGTGAGTCTGAAGGACCAGTTCCACGTCAAGGGCGCCGAAACGACCATGGCATACGTAGGCTGGATCGGTACGTTTGAAGGCCAAAAAGCGACTGGGAAGGAAGGGAACATCAACAGCGAACTCGTCGGCGAGCTATACGAGCTCGGTGCTATACCAATTGCCAAAGCAAGTGCTGTTTTTGCTACCCGTCAGCCATCCTCACTAATGATGATAACAGACTAGTATGCCGCAGACGCTCTGGGTATGACTCCCGTATACCTGCCATTTGCCTCGCTCACCAATTGCCCACAGTATGCGGAGACCAACAATAATATTATTGGGCCTACTATGAATCCCGCAGCTCAGCGGCTTTCTTGTGGGGGTTCTTCTGGTGGTACATACCCTCCTCCCCTTTCCTTTGCTGAGTGCCCAATTAAAACAATAAGGTCAGGGCGCCTTGCTGGCATTGAGAGGCACCCCGGTAGGTTTTGGTACAGACGTAGGTAAGCTTTCACCCAAAATATTGACGCGTTACGCCTTTTTTCCCCTCGGAATTAGGAGCTAATTGAAAATTCTATCGTAGGTGGATCTGTTTCAGTACCGGCTGCTTTCAACGGCGTCTATAGCATAAAACCATCCCATGGACGTATTTCATTCCGGAATGCGGCGAGTAGTGTGAGCGCTCTCTGCCCCCCGATTTACGTTGGATATGCTTACAGATGTGGACGTAGTCACCCGGTCAGGTTATAATCCCAACCGTTGTTGGGGTTATGGGAGAGTCCATTAGCAGCCTGCGTCTGACGCTACGGTCATTGATATCTCTCAAGCCGTGGACCCGTGACGCAGATGTGGTAAACCTACCTTACCGGGAGGAGGAACTGAGCGCGGCGGCTACGGAAGTCAACTTAGCGTTCGGACTCATGAAAGATGATGGTATCGTAAGGCCCCACCCACCTATTGCGCGAGCAATTGCAATGGTCTCCGAGGCTCTAAGTGAAGCTGGGCATCAGGTACTTCAGCTCATGGACCTCGATGCAAACAGCTAAACTGTGCTAAAGATGATCGTTTGGGAACCGCCGAGTCATAAAGAGTCTGGGAGCATTCATGTCAGTACAATCTCGCTCCAGTCCTTCAAATATCGTTAACACCTTAGGCCGCATTCACGAATGCAGATGGCGCCGCCGACGTTTTCGAGAACCTCCTCCTGTCCGGTGAGCCTTTGATACCGGAGCTAGTACCGGAATTTGGTGACGGGCCTGGAACTCCAATGCCGCTACTAGAGTTCTACAACCAGACTTTACGACTGAAAAGATACAGAAACGAGTATGAGGATTATTGGGAGTCTACAGCGAAGGCCACGAGATCTGGTAGGTAGCCTCTGCGCCATCTCTCAGAGGGTGACTGACCGAAACGAAGGGGGCCCCGTAGAGGCTGTGATCTTGCCGATTGCACCCCATGCTGCCGTGATCCCTGGGACGTGGATCTATTACAGTAAGGCAGCATTTTGTTCTTTTCCCCAAGGACAGCCTCTCGCTTACGAATTACAAGACTACGGCACCATCGCAAACACAATGGACTATACAACGATTATCATACCAGTGACAAGGGCAGATAAGACCGTTGACAAGTTTGATGATAAATATGAGCCTTTGAACGATGTCGATGAGAGGAATTGGAAAGCGTGTAGGTTCCCGTTACCCTGATACAAACTTCTGCGCATTCTGACGCCCATGTAAGATGATGCAGAGTTATATGACGGAGCACCGGCATCCATACAGCTGCTGGGAAGGCGGCTCGAAGAGGAGAAGCTGCTTAGAGTTGCGGACGTTGTTGTCCATGCACTGACTCAGTACAAGGAGAAGAACCAGCTGGCAACGGTCTGATTCAGCAGCTCTTACTGATCGATCAACCGTCTCTAACGCTCGCAGGTGTAGTTTTCATGGACGCTAGGCCATTTATGAGCCTATTTGTTCTAGAACTGCTAATATTTCCTTGAAGGTTGGCCGAGTTTTTCCAATAGTCTGGTACCTTCTTGTTGCAAGGAAGTTCTCTAGCTCTTTCAGAGTCCCTTTCCAGTGGTTTATGCCGGCCTCATATATGCAGTCTTTTCCGCAATCTCTAGTTGAGCCATGTCTCGTGCAGAGTCCAACTATTAGCCTGCCCCCCTCTCTTTTCAAGCGCTGCTGCGTCCTCAGTGCCTGATCGCATAAGCCCGCCTCGCCATCTGTACATGGACGTAACGTCGGGTCCGAAAAGGATTCGTTCCCTACACAACGGCTGATAAGCTGTCTTATGGCGGCGGGAGTTGCCTTGAATTCAGGGAACTCCAGACCCGGTTCCCAGTCAAAACCCGTGGCGAGATTTTGCCTCGAATTGCTTAAACCCTCAAAAATACAGTACATTAACAGGCCGAGAGAATACGACATTGCTTTCTCTTGGGCTTCGAACGAAAGATAAGACCAAGCGGCGTCATGATGGCCATGGTCAACCGAAGGATAGTCCTCCACGAAACAACGCCATGGTCCTTGGTCGGCTGTTGTGCGTGGATCATCCGCTAGGTCCTTAAGGTACCGAAAACACCGGAGTTCAGGAGGCGTCCAGGAAGGCCAGTTGCCGCGCTGTTCGAAGTCCACGAGTACCACGTTTGGGAAAGGAGGGTATGTCCCCTTCGCTACATCTGCCGACGGCCCTGATAAAAGAACATTATCGGGTCGTAGGTCCGAATAGAAGCTCTTGGTACTTTCGCGGAAATGGATCAAAGCTATCACAACTTCGCGACTCCATTTCACCTTACACCGGAGCGTCAGCGTCCCCGAAAGCGCTCTTTCAGGCAACACATCCCGCAGAGCACCTCCAGTGATGTACTCCAAAATCATTCCACATACTCCTCGTTTTCCGCCGAAGCAGCATGCCTTGGTAACCAGATTGATCGGCCGCTTGATGATATTAGGATGAGGAGGCATCGTCAGCAAGATCTTGAGTTCGTGGTACAATACAGCTGGTTCGTTCGTCGTGGACTTGAAGATGTACTTCCCCGGTCGGCCGTTAATTGTTACGACCGAAATGGTGTCATGGAGCTGTTGTTTCATGCTCAGCTCCTCCAAACTTATAATCTCCGGCCATGTCTCTTCGGCAACATCGTCACCCCAAAGTTGCCGTAATTTTTGGATCGAAAGCATTCTTCTCTCCAAGTCGTATGCTGGCACGATTTGCAGCGACATTCTAGTCACATCCGCGACCACGTTGTGACACACGAGTTTGGAACCGAATGGCAACTCCTTCAGGCGCTCCATGAAAGCTTCCTCGATTCTCGAGCGCCGATCTAAGGCGTTGCAGATATGACGCGCGATTGCAAGCTGTCGCACACGCGAACTTCTCGCTACAACGGAGCGTCCGCAGTCGAGCACGTGTCTGAGCGCTATCGGTACGTCCTTTTGGTCCCGAATATAAGTGTCAATGCGAAGAGGGACCGAGTTTGTCGCCGGAACAGTGAAGAACTGGGTTCCATAGCGCGTAGCACCATCGATGCGCCAGACGCAGCCTGGCCGGGTGTTCAGCGTCTCGATTCGATTCCTTGGATTTAGCTGCGAATCCGCCCATGGCACGCTGCCAGCTGTATCGCTATGTTGTCGTAGGAATTCCTCCCTGCTCTTGAATATGAAGCTTGGTTCAAGCACTTGCTCGAGTATACGGCTGGAAAGCTCCATGAAGATCGCGAAGGACTGTAGTGGGGTCCTTTGGCCGCGTCGTTGATACAGGATGTCCGGCTCTGTATTTTGCGCTGCGGAGACGAAGGCCTTCGTTCGCACCTATTACAACAGTCCTCCACACCTTGCGGCCTGAGGCTGCAGGTGGGATATGGCAAAAGACGGACGTGGGAGTTCTCGAGCCCAAGGCAAATTGTCATGCAGCCAGGAACGCCATGCATACCACCCCTGCACACCGGTCCCGGCAATCCGCAATATGACTGGTTTGCCCGATATGCACCACCACGATAGCGAAAAGTCCTTGCGATCTGCGATGTGGTGCTACCCACAGAGGTCGCCTTCTCGCCCTCTGCATCATTGTAGGACAGAGTGGAATGAGAGAATGCGATGCGCTTTCACTACGAGGTTGACATAGGTTGACACGTCAGGAGACGGCCATGGTGCTCATGAAATAAAGCTCCGCGTTTGTCGTCTGGGTGTGGCCGGACGCAACCCAGGACCGAAAAAGTTACTGTGACCTGCTGTCGCAACTATCGCACCCGTAGACATGGTATACTAGTGTGAACTCTGAGCTGATGGATGGTGCTGACGGACATGCAGGCTTCGCATACGCAAGCACCTTCCCGTAAAGATGATCGATCAACGCAGCTTCCACACGGCGAAGGCACGGAGCAGCCAGCTGCTACTCTGACCGATGAGCAAGTAGAGCAGGCAGCATCCATTTTACGTATTCCTCCCTCGACACTTTTTGCAGCCTTACGTACTCCTCTTGTCAGGGACAGGGGTCTAGGTCACCCTTTACACTCTCATGCACCAACACCAGGACAACCGCTACTCTCATTCCGGAGTCCTCAGGATGACACTATCCCTGCAACTGACTCGATTGTTTGGGCAAATGAGTATCCAAGAGCAATCTATGCACCTTCCGGAGGGTTCCCGCGCTCATTCGATGCTCCTTTGCCTGCTGCTAACCTGTCGAACGATGCCAACTCGTTCACCTGGGGCGATATCCTTGCGCCCATCTCTCACGAGGCAGTCCCATGCACTACGGATGCGGCCGAGGCCGGACAAACATACCTCTCATATAAACCTATTTCTATAGCTCAAGAGACGAGACCGGAAACCTTCCCAGACGATGGCGTTGTTACTGGCCGTATCATGGAACTCCCGGATTCTATTGAGGAGAGCAGCAACCCGACACAGGCCCTGGCTCTTCCACTCTCAGACGCAGTAATCATATCGCCTAAGACTCCTTCGTCTTCTACCGTCCAAGATGCACCAAGCGGCCCGTTTGGAGCGGCAGCCACTCCTGCGAACACTAGCGTGCTTGAGAGCGAAAAGCAACTAGTGGCCAATGCAATGTACGGGCCTTGCAGCTATACCTGGAGACTCCCCACGAAAGCAGTAAGCTAAAGACTCCCAATGCGCATGATGGTGACATCACTGACGAAGGTGCAGAGAGGTGGTCGAGAAGCGACTGGGCAAGCGCCTGGGAAACGAAAGCGACAGAGCGAGAACGAAACCCCTCGGCCCCGTCAAAGAGGCCCGTTCCAGGACTCTGCAGCACGACAAAATGCCGCATTGACGCGGCGGCTCAAAGCCTGCATCCGGTGTCAGCTCCAGAAGATCTCGGTATTTACACTAGTATCGCGTACATTCGCCCTAGCTAATGCATCTGCCAGTGCAAGCCCGATCCGAATAATCCTTCCGGCTCGTGTCTCACTTGTCCTCAAACAGAAAGTCGTGGGTTGACGAAGCAGAGATGCTTCCGATACAGGATCACGGACGCCTCGCTGTTCCGCGACCAAAAACGGCCGAACCCGATCTGGACGAAAAGATGGGATAGCATGGACATCAAAGACATCACAACATGGAAATCATCAAACATGAAGACAATCCAGCTCACTCACGGGCTGGGTGATGTTCGTTACACCCTCCGACTCCGCGAATTTCAGCCCCTTGAGGGAGACATGCTGTACGAAGAATGGTGGAACGGACACGTGCTCAAGAAGCATCCCATCCCGCCTTTCGCTATTGCCAACATGAGCGAAGCTGCTTCAGAGCTCAACAGATACGTCGAAAACGCCATTGCGCCCTTCATTATTGGCGCCGTAGGGCACTCGGATCCGCTTATTTGGGAGACGTACGAGATGGCTGTCAAACATGCATGGACTTCTCCGGTAACAGTACCATGGTACTCATAACGATCAGTGGTTAATTGCTCGACAGAGAGATGAAGAGAGAGGTCTCCTGAAGAATGTCCTTCGACTTTGGGTGACATCAAGGATGACTAGCCTTTACGAGAAGATTTGCAGCGAGGAGAAAGTTGGCACTGTGGTCGAGGATGCGGCCAGCCCGTTATATGGAACCGTGCCTGTTGCCCCGGTGATTTGCGCACAGCTGGAAGTCATCACCTTCTCAACCCTGCAACGGCCGTTGAAAGAGCGTGTCCTGAAAGCTCTTGAGAATATGCTCAGAGCAAACGACCGCCGCAACTGGCTGACCATCTATCTCACGCTGTTTATCCTGCTGCATAGCTGCTCAATGACTACATTCCGCGACGCTGAATGGGCAAGGCAGATGAACTACCCGGTAAGCGTTCCACGACTTCAATATAATCGAGCAAAAATACTCATGGAATTGGTAGACCATGTTCGCGAACCCGGAGAGTATCACTGCCCACCATGTAGGGATGCTGACCATGCTCGCTTTCTTCCACTACTGTAATCGCAACAATCACCCATTCAAATTAGCACAAGATCCTAACAAAGCATCCGAGCTGCTTGCTGTGGGAATTACGCCGGAGCAAGTTGAGTTCATCAGGAAGACTGCCGGCTGGATTGCGCAGAAACGCAAGTAGTGAGAATACCTGAGAAGAATTCAGTGCACTGACCACCTCACAGGGAACCACATTGAGCACACAAGACAAGCGAGAGATTATGGTGATCATTATTACTTTACATCTCAGCTGTACGATGAGGATTGGGAGCCCACGCCGATTGCGTGACTCACAGGAAGAGAAAATTTGGCGTTACTGGTGTCATTCAATTGCTGTCGTTACTGTACGTTAGGATATTACTTAAGAAAAAATAACTGGATATCAATTTGGTTTATGAGAAACCTGCCGCAGCCCTCCATCTCGAAATCCATGTAACTGAGCAGATTCGACGAGCACCTCCAACACTGTCTACCCTCGTAGGGCCCTTTTCAGCTACCTTCAGTCAACTTATTCTAGTCACAAGGCGAGGGAGACCTCGGGCCGGGGCCATCGGGTCGAGGTTCAGGTGTTGGTGGCTCGGGTTCCCATCTCCCGACCCTTTCGTCGTCTGCAAATACCCGATCCCAAATGAGCTGCAACGCCGGTGGTAACTTCCATATTTTCTCTTCGTTGTGCAACCACAAGCGAAGCAGATGTCTTTTGCTCAGTTCTGAGCCGTCGTGGTCGAAGAACGCGTCCCTGCCATGGACCAGTCCCATGTTGTTGATGAAGCGGATGTCACCTTCTTCCATCGGCAGTTTCTTCTGTTTCTCGACTGCGATGAAGTGAACGGCATCTAGAGCCTCGGCTTGCGCCTCAGTCAAGTTCGGGATGTTCGGCGAGCGTGGCTCAAGTGTGGTGTGGCCGGTTAAGAGGCGACGAGAGAAATTCAGGATCACTTTGCCATCGGCGTGGTAGAGCAGTGCGCGATTGTAGTACGGCGGGTTACGGCCAAACCTGGGCTACGTCAGGGTAATGCTCGATCTCGCAGGGACTCTGCTTACGTGTCGTGAGGCCAATCAGGCTTCGCCAGGACATGAATCAGGTCGGGCCTTGTGGCAGCAAGCTCGTTGTAGATGGTCCATGATGACGCAATGGTCCCTTCCCCGCCCCGAGTGGAGCACTTTTGGGTCAGAGTCGCTAACACGTCGCATGTCACGTCGGTATGAAGGGGCTATATGCCTGTCACTATTCGCCATCCAATGGCGACGCATTAGATAAACGCCTGAAGAACCCTTACCAGTTCAACTTGCGACTCCTCCTTCTCCGTATCAATGATGTGCTCTAACAATACTTAGTAAACGCTTCGCCTACTAGAAGAAAGCTACGCACTGATCATGTTGCAGTCCCTATCTTGCAACCCGCGTTTCTCCGCAATGTAGCTGGAGATGCCCAAGAATACCACCACCAGGTCTGCTGGCGTATACTTATTCACATCCAGGCCTCGGATGGTCATGGCGCCGCGCCCAGTGTAGATCTCTTCACAGATGCGGGCAAGGTGAGGAGCGAAGGTGGGCAGCGGAAAGTTTTTTTGGGAGACTTCATCTCCATCAAGCTCTTGATCTTGTGTATGTCAGCGGTGGAGGTAATCGATGAGGATTTGCTGCGATAATTAGACTGACCCTTGAAATGCTTCAGGGCTTCGTCGATCTCTACCTTCTCTTGCTCAGAGAGACGATACGCAAATTCGTCTTCGCCGTCGAAATCTTGCCCCTTCCACGCCATACGCCCGCTCAACCGGGCAGGCCATCCTTCGGGTACCTCCGCTTCAACACCACCAGCAAGAAGTCGTCTTGCACGCCGAGCTATGAATTCGTTCCAATTAGGGAGATATTCGATTTTTGCCCCACGGGGTTGAGGAGCTTCATGCCGAAAACGGCCTGTTCCAAATCTAAGCTGGTACTTCCGCTCAATACTCTTGGAGTAGTATGGCTCGATAAGAGGAGAGAGAACCATGGATGGAGCCATGATGGACGGCGCTAGGTCCCAGGGAATGGTATGGCTGAACAAAAAGGACGACACCTTCGCTTCGGCATTATGCCTTAATTGCTTTACGATATACGCTTGACTGTTCACATGCCCCACTTTCACGGCAGGGACACTATCAATGAATCATCTGCATGCGTCTAACTCTGGCGAGGGACGTTGTGGGGGCACCGGAGAAAGGGTCAGGCGGATGGCAATGACCCCACTTTAGGCGCATGGTGAGCTTCGAAGATCCAATGATATCAGGAGAGCAATATGCAAGTCAGACTGGCTGATTGTTTTATAGCTAATGACAGGTCGGGAGGGACATCCATCGTGAATGGGTTGCGAGGCTGAACTCTCCTCAATCTGATTGGTGGCACGGTCGTTTAAGAGCCTCAAACTGTACGCAAGGCGGGAATGGCATATTTGATAAGCTAAAGCCTCGTATGTGATAGTGTAGACTACGTCGCCCGAGGAGAAAAGTCGTGGGTCGTTGAACCTCGTGCCACTCGTAGCATATCCTGATTGTCGCGAACGTCCCCTCCCCTTCGACGCACATAAAGTGCTTCTCATATTTTCTCATAGTGAACAAAACTTCTTTCGAGTCCTCTATTATTTATGATTTATGATTTATGATCTACGTTCTTATTAGCTTGAGGTACTGTATTAGATGGCTAGGGCTGTACAACCTGCTGAGCGGCCTATGCTCCATCCCCCGTACAATCCTTCCACGGCGTCCCGCTCTTCCCGCACGCGCACAGGCTGAATTCATAAATACTGCACTTCGCATTCCCGCAGTCGTACAGCGTGTACTCCGGCTCGCCCATGTCGATGGTCGCGTCGCCAAAGGACGGGATGTGGATCTCGACGGCTTGGCCGTTGCCTTTGATGTCGATGTGTCTGGTGGTGAAGAAAGAAAACGTCAGCGATATGCGGACTTTTCCAAGCGGGCGGAGAGAAGGGAAATATAGCGGTAGAGCAGTAGTGTAGCCGTAGTGTAGTGTGGGTAGGCATGTAGTTAGTTAATTGACTTACCCATCAGCGCAGCCAATCTGCCACACGGTGTCGCCGCCTGCGAGCACCTTGGACGCATCCCCGCCGTCGCAGACGTGCTTAGGGCTGCCGGGGATCTGCGACGTTACTTCGCCGATGGAGCAGTCGTCCAGGTCGAGCTGGTAGGTGATAGCGCCGGAGAAGGCGATGTCGCAGGACTTGGGGCCGTAGAGCGCCGTGGCGTTTGTGTCGGCGGCGCGAGGTAGTGGTGCTGGGGGCGCGGCGAGGGTTGTTGCTGTGAGGAGGGAGAGGAGGGTCGTTGCTGCGGTTGCGGTCGTGGGGAGGTTGGGGAACATGATGGTTGAGATGGTTGGGAGGAGGGTTGTGGGGTGGATGTGGATGTGGATGTAGTTCTCAGGAAAAGTGTGTTCTTGAAACTCTGAGGATGGAAAGGTATTGTGGTAGGACTTGAAGATTGAAGTGGCTTAGACTGAATGATATTGAGACTTCTCTTATACTCCTCGACCCCCTTGGAGGACATCCATGATGCCCTCTCCACGACCCCATGCGGCTCAGTCGAAAGGGGTATTCGCCCATGAGGCTGTGAAAGCCTCGTGTTCTATTCTTTACATCAACATCGTCATGTGTGGCGATCGCGTTGTTGACCCTCAAGCCGCTGAACATATACGTAAACGATTAGCTCGGAAGTTCCGTAGAAGGGAGGCCTGATTGCTTGCTATTGCTTGTTCGCAGTGACGATCTGCATTCTGTGGGTGGCCTAATGGACGGCCCTCCACCCTCTCACGGTGTGGAATCTCCGGATAGAACGACGTGCGCAACAGCTACCCTGGAGGCCCTCGCGGGTGCGTACAATAGACAAGCCAATCTTACTTACTTATACGGCGAGCCCTTGGACCCGGAGAATTCCCAACCGCAAGAGCCACCGCTACGGCGGCGAGTAGTGATATTTTGAGCTTGTTCCTGGATGCGGCGTTCTATTAGTTCGATGGACTTCAGCCTTGCCGTTTGCTGTACTGCAAGGCTTCTCTCTTCGTCCCAGAAAGGCTGCTGGTTTAGTTCGCCGTCGTTCTTCGCAGTGTAGATCTTTTGCGCAGACTTCTTGACGCAAACGGTCCCATAGCAATATAGGAGGACTATATCCATTTCGTAATCTTTACTAGAAAATCGCCGAAGTCCCTAGGAGTATTGAGGACATTGGATGAGAAATCATGAAACTCGATGTCGAGAGTTGGACCTCCAGCCCGACTAGTCCGAAACTCGCCTAGTGTGATCTCCGTCAACCTCGGTCCCAGGCCCTCGCCGCGGGAGTTGTGATGCGGGCAAACGTACCCGCCTCCGCATCGCACCGAATGCTATGTTATGAGCTTCCCCAGGAAATCTACTATTTTTCTCTAGCTGAACCTCCTTTCCTCTTGTTGGCCGTGAAGTAACATTTGATCGTTCCGCTCCCCTTGATTGAGAATGTCCTACTCAAAGCGCATTGATCAGATCGCCGGCCACCTCAACTACCCCAAGGGTATGTTGGCGGGCCAGACTGCGATTATTACAGGTTCGGGGCAGGGAATTGGCGCGGAGACTGCGAGGTTGTTTGCGAACGAGGGGGCCAAGGTTGTGGTTGCGGATGTGGATGCAAGTATGCCAGCTCTCAACTCTCCCAGCTCACCATTGGATGCGAGGGGCATGATGGCTAACTTCCAATAGAGAAAGCACAAGACGTAGCCAACCAGATCAACGAGTCCGGCGGCAGCGCTATCGCGGTCGTAGGCGACGTCCTCGACGACAAGTACATCACCGAGCTCATCAAGAAGGCGGCGGACTTCGGCGGCGGCAGGATCCACATCATCGTCAACAACGCGGGCTACACATGGGACGGCGTGATTCACAAGATGACGGACAAGCAATGGCACACCATTGTCAACCTCCACGGCACCGCGCCGTTCAAGATTGTGCGTGCTGCGGCGCCATACTTTAGGGTCAAGGACGGTGAGCCCAGGTGTATTATCAATATCTCGAGCACATCCGGTCTGCATGGGAACGCGGGGCAGATCAATTATTCGCTCGCGAAGGCGGGTGTTACCGGTTTGACGAAGACGATTGCGAAGGAGTATGTCCTTTCCCCCAATATGCTATAAGCAGTGCTGACATGTATAGGTGGGGTCCGCAGTTCGGTGTCCGCTCGAACACGGTCGCGTTCGGTCATATCCTCACTCGATTGACGGCGGCGAAGGAGGCTGGCGCTTTCGTGACAACTCCGGACGGGGAGAAGGTCGCGCTCGGTATACCGCAGGCTCAGAAGGCGGGTGCAGCTGGTGCAGGAGAGCAGCACCTAGACATCCCGCTGCGGAGACCAGGCACAGCGACGGAGGCAGCGAGCGCGGTATTGGCGGTAGCTAGCCCGCTGTTCAGCTATGTCAATGGACAGACCATTAGCGTGACCGGCGGTCGGAATATGTAGACGGAGGTAGTATGCGGTCAAGTTGAGGTCGAAAAGAATGTGAAGCGATCTATTTCAGTATCTGTATATACTTAGCAACATCTTTGCAATGTTAAACACGTATGCCACCATTCGTCGAGTCCAGCACGAACAAGTGTCGAATGGGCGCTGGCGTGTTTCGAGAGGTCTCAGAGCTTCTGTCGCTTCCGGAGCACATGGCGCGATCCCGCAGGCACAGTATCGTCGAGCAAAATGCAATCAGTTTCGTGTTCACCGTAAATATCTCTTGGTCGGCCAGGAAAATCGTCTCACCGGAACTGGTGGAGCAGTCAGCGGAGGCGAAGGCTTGGAGGTGGAGTTGTAGCTGGCTCGGCGGTCGAGGTCTCCGCAACCCTGGAACGCCATCTCCAGACGTGACACTCAAGTCCAGCGCCATCGCCTGCAACAAGACCCGAAACATTCCCTTCATCTTCCCTTTCCTTATCCACATAGACATTGTCGCTCACTTCTCCCCTTCACTATGTATATGCGCATTCGGTAATACCCCCTTCCTCAACACCTAATCGTACGCGCAAGCTACCCCCCTATCGCACCACCGGCAACCGCACGAGGACCCCGCGGGTCCACCCACACCCCCAATGGCCGACGAAAAGCATCTCTATGAAGTCCACGAAGATCCGCCAATCCCCACCTACGAAGAAGCCACATCCTCCCGCCCGTTATCCCGCCTCGGCCCACAAGAAGTCAGCGACGATGCAGAGCGGCAGACCCTCCTCGGGCACGATCTTGGCTCGAGCTCGAATTCGCGAAGACGGAATGGATACTACCACCCGCCTTCAGTGCAATCGGCGCGGTCCAGCGAGGATGATAGTAGCGGGCTGGGAAGTCCGGTTGGGGATGCCGAGGACGCGGCGCTGAGGCAGACAATGGAAGAGATGGATATTCTGGATCCGGAATCTGCAGACGACGGGCGCGCGCACAGGAACAGATCGCGGGGCCGGTTTTCGAAGCGGTTTTACAGCATCACGAACTCGTTCTCTAGCTTCCACCTCCCCCGGATACCGTGGCCGTCATTTGGCTTTGAGTGGTTAAAGTCGAAGCTTCCCTCGATACCGCCGGAGTATAAGCCGGGCTGGGCGGTAATAGCAAGATTATGCGGACTGATAGTGATTATCTCGCTGGTGTATATGCTGGTCGTGAGCGAGATCGTGCCCATGGGTGGAGGAGGGTTCGGGGCGCCGTTTAATCCCGAGTGGGTCCGGCAGACGGCTCTACAGAACGTGGAAAACTGGAGGATACAAGAGAACCTCAAGTATATCACATCGTATGACCATGTCGGGGGATCGGAAGGGAGCTACGTCCTCGGACAGTGGATTCAGAGCAGGTTCAGGGAGTCGCATATGGATACATTGACCCACGATGAGTATGTGGGAGGATGCCTGGTTCGTCTGTGGTCGCTGACACGTGCAGATACTATGTGTACATGAATTATCCCAAGGAAGGCGGCCGTCGAATCGCAATAGTCGACCCACCGGAGAAAGCTTGGGAAGCGAAGTTGGAAGAGAACTCGGTCTACAATCCACCACGGCCGCAGACAGCTACGTTCCATGGATATTCGGCGTCTGGGAATGTTACTGGACCTCTAATCTACGTCAATTACGGACACAAGAAGGACTTCAAGACGCTCTGGGACAGCGGGATCGACGTCCAAGGGGCGGTAGTTATCATGCGATACTACGGCACACAGTCGGATAGGGCTATGAAGGTCAAAGCAGCGCAAGACGCAGGCGTTGCGGGCGTAATCATGTACTCCGACCCCGCTGAGGACGGCTTCAAGAAGGGCGACGTCTGGCCGAATGGCCGCTGGAGGCCAGAAGACAGCGTGCAGCGAGGCTCCGTTGCTCTTTCAAACATGATCGTTGGCGACCCCCTTACCCCCGGACGAGCCAGCACCAAGGACGAGGAGCGCATGCCCAAAGATAAGAACCCGGCTTTGCCGACAATTCCCAGCATTCCCATATCATGGAAGGATGCGCAGAAACTTCTTCAGTCGATAGATGGCATCGGCAATGAAGGTTTCCCAGAGTGGAAAGGAGCTGTACCAGATGTGGGCTATTGGTCCGGACACCCCGACAAGTCGCCAAAGGTCAATCTTCAGAACTTCCAAGATGAGGTGGAGAAGCAGCGCGTTACGAACTTCTTTGGATCTCTCATTGGAACTGAGGACAAGGCCAAGAAGATCATCATTGGAAACCACCGCGACTCATGGTGCTTTGGGGCTGCAGACCCGGGCTCTGGAACCGCTGTCATGCTCGAAGTTGCGCGTGTCCTGGGTGAGCTGCGTATGCAAGGCTGGCGACCGTTGCGCACGATCGAATTTGCCTCCTGGGATGCTGAAGAGTACAACATGATCGGCTCGACCGAGCACGTCGAAGCTAATATGGAGGAACTCCGCGCCAACGCAATGGTATACATCAACGTCGATGTAGGCGTCACCGGCGACAAGCTCTGGGCCAATGGATCTCCGATCTTCCAGCACGCCTGGACACGGGTCCTCGACCGCTTGATGGATCCTCATCAGAACAAAACACTGCTGGAACTTTGGGAACACGACAATGGCAAGCTGGGTGGGCTGGGCGCCGGAAGCGACTATGTTGCCTTCCAAGACATGGCCGGCACCTCCTCTATCGACTTTGGCTTCTCTGGCCCCGAACATGGTGACATGTACCACAGCTGCTACGAGACCTTCGAATGGGTTGCCAAGTACGCCGACCCCGGCTTCGTCTACCACAACCTACTCGCGCAGATCTGGGTCCTCTTCATCCTCGAATTCGCGCAGGAGCCGATTATGCCTCTCAAAATCGACGATTACGCCGCCGCTCTGCAAGCAGAAGGCCAATCGCTTATGGATTGGACAGAAAAGACGGGCGCTAGCTTCGACATTGGTATCTTTCAGCCGCTCGCCGATGCGCTTGCTCACTTTGCCGACAAGGCGAAGGAGTTTATGGAGTGGGAGACGCTTTGGTATAATCAGGTTTATGGCACAGGCGGCTTTGAGACGCAGGGGTTGACGGTGCAGAGGGTGGCGCATAATGCGAAGATGGCGAGTTTTGAGACGGATTTGCTAGACCTGCCGTATGATGATGATGACAAGGGCGAGCATGGCGTAAGTCTTCCGTTGCTGCTAAATTCAAGAGACGTGCGAATGCTAACGGAGGAACAGCTCCCGGGCCGTGACCAATACAAGCACATCATCTTCGGCCCTGATGCCTATGGCTCGGGCTATGACTCTGCCATCTTCCCGTTCGCAAGAGACGCCATCGAGAAGAGGGACTGGAAGCTCGCGGAGAAGCAGATCAAGAAGACGGCGGATATTTTGAATAGGGCGAGCGATAGATTACTGCATTGAGGGTATCTTATTTTACTATTTGCACGGGTGGCGTATGGCGTTCTGGGCGACAGAGCGACAGAGCGCATCAAGGTCGGCTCCCACAGTCAGTGATCTCTTATATATGTGATATTAGTTAGGCTTTGAGCGTCGTCGTGGAATGTATATCGCAACTTGCACACTGAAGAGTGCATGTACAGAAAGGACTTCTGCTATATCATCTCTCTTTCCTTTTCGTCTGCCCACGTATTAATTCCCCCAATCTCGCAACCCCTTGCTCCTTTACAATTTCCCCTTCGCCCCAGCCTTACTCCACACCTCCTTCACAAACGTCCCCATCAACTCACTACTCCTGTTCTCTCCAGGCGGGAACATTGAACTCCCATAGAACCCCGCAATCCCCGCCTCCCGGTTCGCAAACCACAGGCAATTAAACGCACCACCCCACGCCATCGTCCCTGCCGACTTGCCCAGCTCCGGATTATCCTCTGTGATAAGCAAGCCCCCTAACGCATGGTTGATCGACGCCAAAGAAAGCGAGCCCGTCAGCGCGCCAGTCATGCTCGTGAAGACCGGAGACGCCGCCCGCAGCGCCGCGAGCGGCTTCGAGCCCTCGCTGAACTGCGGCGCGAAGAGCAGCGCGAGCGTGTCTTTACTCAGAATCTTCGGCTCCACCGCAATCAGATCCGCGAGCACTTTGACGTAGTTCTCCGCCGAGCAGTCCAGCCCGCCGCCGCCCCTGTGGCTCTTCAACTGCGCCGGCGGCCACGGGTAGTCGACCAAGCTGCCGTCCTCCCAGTTCGTCACCGTCTGCACCACGCCTTGCTCGCCAGCGACTTCCCGCCTGTCAAACCCCACGCGCGCATCGCAGCCCACGACGTCGAATACTTCTCTCCGCAGGAACGCACCGAGCGTCAGCCCGCTCACGCGCTCCACTAGCAAGCCCGCCCAGTCCAAGTTCCCGCCGTACGCCCACCCCTCGCCGGGCTGGAACAGCGCCGGCGTGGTAATCGCGCCGGGCAGCTCGCCCGCAAACGCCATGGGCGGCTCGCCACGCGCGCTGCGCCAGTCCATCAGCCGCGGGTCGAGCACGTCGTAGCTGCTGCCGCTGGAGTGCGTCAGCAGCTGGCGCAGGGTGATTGGTTTCTCGCGCTTCGCGGTTTTGAGGTCCTCGCCGGGGGCGGAGGTCAGGACGTCGAGGTGCCACAGCTCGGGGAGGTATGTCTCGATCAGCGCGGGGTCATCGAGAGCTAGGGTCCCGGCTTGGACGAGGCGGAGGGAGGCGAGGGAGGTGAGGAGTTTGGTGCAGCTGGCGAGGACGAGGACGGAGGAGGGGGAGATGGGGGGTGCGTCTGGTTTTAGGGAGGTTTTGCCGGAGGCGTGGGAGAGGAGTGTGTTGCCTGTGGGTCTCTTAGCCGTGATTCTTGTTCAAAAAGATGATGGTGTTTTGAGCCTTGCCAAGGGATGGCAGACCAACGGGAAGAGAAGAGAGGAAATAGAGAGCAGAGCAAAAGGACATACCATCCCTATCCACCGCCAATGCAACAACACCCAAAATCTGCGGTTTCTCCCCGTCCGTCGCTTCGTCAACTTTCTTTCCAAAGTCCGCCATATTGCTCTTTGTTTCGACCAGATCGCGCCTTGAATATTTCGCGCAACTTCAATGCCGCTCCTAAGCTATCTCTTCACGAAGGCTCCCAGCTCTATTGGCATACATGAAGATGAGTAGCAGCATTCCATCTTTTATACTCTTGCTGCGCAGTTGCTAGACCCGCCGTTGCTTAGCACTCTCCGAATTCGCCGTGATCATGTTACATCAGCCCATCCCCACGTTGTGCTCGAATACGAAGTACGAACCTAGAAAGTCGGCTCATCGGCCAAGGACGGAACGCCGAAACCCCTCAATCCCGCTCCCCACGCTTTCTCGCCCTGGAGCAGCAATCCTGCAGCAGGCTGAAGGCACAGTGCTTGCCACCCGCTTCACTTTTGAAAGGCACGCAATGCAGGCCAGAATCGGAAAGAGACCATGCTCCTGATTTTCCGGTGAAACCCCTAATGAGAATCCCACCGTCGATCACAAAAGATCGAGAACTAGTGTACATAGACCAACCATCACGTAAAGAAAGAGAAAAAAGCCTCACTATAGCCTGACTATTTTGAGTTTGCGAGTAGAGTCCTCCACGACGTGTATAACAATACCAAAGGATTCTGTCCCAAATGTAGTCCGATCTCCGCCCGTAACAAGAGGAACCGATGAGCTGTAACCGCCCGAGGGCCTGGGAACGAACACTGGACAAAATCCAACCCTGGCATGCTGGGCACATGTCCGGAGCTTCAAAATCCCTAGAGTAAGCCAGTCTCCTTGAAATCATCCTGAAAGCACATCACCGGGCCTGGCACCCTTCAGCGACTTTTGGCGATGTGGGATCTAGCCGGATGAGTATAGGTCAAGCGCAGCCGGAGCTACATAGATAGATGGAGGGACAAATTACCAGTAACGGCCCCTCGGAGGATATTCTGCCTCATAAGGGGGACGAGCTGCTGGGCTTCGCGGGCGTGCTCCACGCGGGGACGGCGGACGACCCTCGTATGGACGAGCGTGGCCGTTCACGTAGGGATCATCGTAGCGACGGGGTGGTGGACCGCGAGCATCGTACGGGTCTTCGGGGTAGCGTGCGCGAGGAGGGCCATATTCATCAGCCGGGCCGCGGCCACGAGGTGGCGAACGCCCATACCTGTCACGGCTCTCGTAGAAGTCCCGCGGTGGAGTGCGGCGGCGGTAGTCATCGCGGCGGGGACTATAACCCCGGGGCGCACCACCACGGCGTTCGTAGTAGTCGTCGTACGGAGCAGGCGGGTATCCACGTCGACCAGCAGGCGAGCGCGACCGGTACCTGTCACGTCCTCGATCATCTGCCCCACCGGGGCCACCATAGGCGACTCGAGGCTTGAACGGGGGAGGTGGGGGCGGGTCAGAGACGTCCTGGGTGCATTGGACCTCCTGACCCTTGAACTCACGGCGGTCCAGCTTCTCCACTGCGGTCTTCAGATCGGCGGCCGTCTCATATTCCACGAATCTATGAGAGTGTTAGCAGATGCAGCCTAGGCTCCAGGACGAAATACTGACCCAGTACCGTCGCGCTCGCGACCCACTTCGGAGTAGACGACATCCAGGCCAGACTGCCGGGCAAAATCTTTGAGGTCCTAGAGATTCGAGGTTAAGCGGAGTCCAAATCCAGTAATGCAGCAACGGGAAGCACGCGAAAACAAAGCCACATTCCAGAGGTGGGGATCTGGCCCTAACCGGAAACACAGGAAATCCAAGGATCGGGGTATCTAACCTGCCAGCTGGTCTCGACCGGAAGATTGGCAATCCTCATCCGGAAAGGAGTACGACGTGGGCGCGGAGCCGCGCGCTCATGCGGAGTGAAGTTCTCATTGCGGCGCGACCCGCGAGCGAACTGGACAATCAGGCGCTCGCCCATGAAGTCGGAGCCATCTTGGACACGGTTAGGCGCTTGGTCAATGGGACACGGAGTACTCTACGTACGGAAAGCTATGGCGGAGGTCAGCAGATGTCTTGATGTGGAGCGTGAAGGAAGCCTCACCTGGAACAACATCGCGGGCGTCCATTGCATCCTTGTACTCTATGAAGCCGAAGCCATTCATGAGCTTGATCTCAGTAATCTCGCCAGTCCCATGGGTCTGGAAGTGGGCCTCGACGTCCGCCTTGGTGGCATTGCGGGGGAGATTGCCCAGGTAGAGGCGGGTAGAAGAAACCTCTGTCATTGTGGCTTCGTGCGAGGATCGGATCTGTCCGAGGATGAGAGCCTAGCCTGGTAGTGGAACGTGAGCACAAGTCGAAGAATGCGGAGCAGCCTGCGTAGAAGGGAGCTAGGGGTAGTGAATGCCAAATAGGATGGAGCTCGTGGCGCGACAGCGCAAGCCAATGGACCAGGCTGCGCTTGGAGACGGGATCGGCAGGGAGACGCGCGAGTCCAACGCGGCAGATGAGCAAAGTAATCTGTCGTACCTTGGGAAGATAGCTGGCGGCCTGGGTGCGCTGTGGGAGGGGTCGACCGTCGCGGGGAAGCGGCGATGAAACGCGGGTGCTGGCGCTGGGCAGCGGGGAGGATGCGACCTGGATATATGTCCAACAAGAGGCGTTGATTAGGAGTTGTGCCAGGGGACAAGAGTAGGAACGGTGTTGTGTATTGATGGAGGGGACGGTGGGTTGATATGGATCGCCCTGCACGGCCGGTGAAGAGGAGGTGGGCGGTGCGAAAAGTTGATGAGCTCGAGTGAGGCGATGAAATGGCAGGCGCTAGCCTCACTTAGCGCCTTGGCGTCACGTGCAAGTATCACTCTCGACGCCCTGCTGCCAGCGAAGAAAAAAGGAACCAAAGATAGAGGCGGGGTAATGGAAGACTACGGCACTGTGAAGGGCGCGCTATACTGGCTCCCTTTCGACAGCACACGAAAATTGTCCAGGCTCCCAGGTCCTCGTGGGCTTTGGGTTGGGCATCTGGGCAGCAACATCGCACCATGCCAGCCTGATGAGACGAGAAAGCTTTGCACATGGTTGGCTAAGGGGATTAGTCTGCCTCTGCCTCAGTCTAGTGTGTCTACCGGTCGGCACATCCACCGGAGGAAACTGGTTCGGTAGTTTATCCACGGATAGCATTACCAGGTACTGCCGGCGTTGAGTTGGCTTTGCAAATGTGCCCGGCCTCCAAACGCGGCTCGCCGAGTCTATTCTCCATATCGCAGAAAAGGGTACAGGCCCTTTCGTCGCGCTAATAGCGACACCGGATTCCAGGAATACAAATGCCGATGTGCGAATACGATCGCTCCCGATAGCCCTCTCCCAAACTTAGGTCAACACGTACTTGGGACCCTCGCCGCCCTGCGGGGTTGTCCAGTTGATGTCCTGGTCAGGTACCTTGATGTCGCATGTTTTACAATGGACGCAGCTAGACGCGTTAGATTTACGGTTTGCACTCGAAGCGTAGAGCACCAGACTTACTTTTGGGCGTTGATCTGGAACCGCACGCCTAGTTCTTTGCTCTCGTCCTCGACATACTCGTACACACCCGCAGGACAGAAACGGTTTTCCACACCCTTGTACTTGGGCCATTCCTTTTGCGCATGCGCATCCCAGTCCTTAACCTGCAGATGGACAGGTTGGTCCTCCTCGTGATTCGTACCGCTCCGACTGACGCTTGTCAAGATATCGAAGCTGATCTTACCATCGGGCTTGGGATACTCGATCTTCTTGCATCGATCCGCAGTTTTTGTTGCGGCGTGATCGGGCTTGCCGTGCTTTAGCGTCCAAGGCGTTTTGCCGCGGAAGACGTAGGCCTCCAGCCCAGAGTAAAGCACGCCTCCATACAAGCCAAGCGGGGTGTGGAACGACGGCCGCATGTTGCGCACTTGCTTCAGCTCGGTCCAGATGGTGGAGTTTCTGAGTTTGTCTTCATAATCATAGAGGAAGATTGTGCCCCCATCAGTGTTGCCCTGTAGGGCGTCCCAGGTGGCCTCGGCCGCCAGCATTCCTGAACGCATGGCCGTATGCGTACCCTTGATCTTCGGCACATTCAAAAACCCGGCCGTGTCACCTATCAGGGCGCCTCCGGGGAACGCGCATTTCGGTATTGACTGGAAACCGCCCTCGTTCAGAGTCCTCGCACCGTAGGATATACATTTGCCTCCTTCAAGGACTTCGCTATACAGCGGATGATGCTTCATCTTCTGGAACTCGCCGTAGGGCGCCAACCAGGGATTAGGGTAATCGAGCCCGACAACGAGCCCGATGCTGACGAGATTGTCCCCGAAGTGGTACATCCAACCACCACCGTAGGTATCTGAGGGAAGAGGATAGCCCATGGAATGGACAATCAGGCCTGGCTGGAATTTCTCCGGCTGTACTTCCCAAACTTCCTTCACTCCGAGACCGTATGTCTGGTGCTGGCTATCGCGTCTCAGGTCATACTTCTTGACGACTTGCTTCGTCAGACTACCGTGGCAGCCCTCTCCTAGGAGCGTGACCCGGGCATGGAATTCCATTCCTCGTTCGAACGAGTCCTTGGGCTTTCCGTTTCTGGCAATGCCGAGGTCATTGGTTGCCACACCTTTGACGACGCCCTCATGATTGTACAGTATCTCGGAGGCCGCAAAGCCGGGATATACCTCGACGCCTACCTCCTCTGCCCTCTCGCCCAGCCATTTGACCAATTGATTCAGACTTATTATGTAGTTGCCGTGGTTGCTCATTTGCGGGGGCTTCGGTATCCATATGGAGCTGTTCTTGGTGAGGAAGCGCATCCGGTCCTCCTTGGCGGGCGTTATGTGCTCGAATCGATTCGGATTGTCCTCCGACTTCCAGTCAGGCAGGAGCTCGCTGAGGGCGGAGGGCTCGATGACATTGCCTGACAGTATGTGATCACCTAGCTCCCCGGCCTTTTCCAGCAGGAGTACCCTAAAGCCATCGTTGCCCGCCTCATTTGCCAGCTGCTTTAGCTTGATGGCTGCAGACAGCCCCGCGGGGCCACCGCCCACAATGCACACATCAACCTCATCAGCCTCGCGGTCTTGCTGCCTCGCATCGAATGCGTCGTCCACCGCAGCAAATCTTGCTCGTGATGTGGACGAGATGGCTCTCCGTTGACCGGCGATCCGTAAAGCTGGCCGATATGACTCCCACAGTTCGCGCCGTCGTGGCGTGGCGCTGGCGAAAGTGCGATTCGGTAGGCGGGAAGGCTTTGAGGTTGCGAAAATTCGTCGGCCTATGGACGCGGGCAGCGTTCTGGAAGCCATTGCAGGCAATGTGAGAGCCATTGTGAGCCGTGGTGTGGGAAAAGAAGCACCTTCACGACCACATTCTTGAGAATGAGCCGCGCCATCGGACCATGACGATATGCTTTGCGCACCCGAGGCTAAGCGGAATTTAATTACCGGGGCTCTGATTGGACGGCGCGTCCATTGCACCTCCATCAACACCACATTGGCTACCACAGTATGACCGTCACGGGTCAGGAAGACTTCGTAAAATCCGCAGCGTATCGGCCATATTTGGAGTCGCGACAACTATTTCTCGCGCCAGCTTCCTGCCCTCGGGGCACGTTGAGCGGCCAATAGCTCCGCCGCGCCGAAGCTTGTAGTCATCCATCTTCCGAGGTCCGCCTCGGAGCTCCGCTCATTTGCGTCTACCCGCCATCTGTCGGAGAATAACTGGACCTTTTTCTGCAATGTGCGCTGCCGACCCGCAAAGAGACTGTCAAACGTCTATCAACGCGTCCATCATTCCAGACTTGGCGAAACTCCGCCCGGATTCACCTCTCCCGGAAGCCTGGCGTGAAATGAAACTCGCGATGGCCACGCAAACACACCACAGCGTTTCCTGGGGGAATTTGAATTAGATGCCTACTTTGGCAGACAATGAGTAGGCCCCGGAAGAGCGAGAAGGGGCCTTCAAGACTGGCTGATAATGTTGGGGGTCTAAAAGAACGTACTTCGTCTTAGCGATCCTTTGCTGCGAGAGCGAGCATCGCCGGAGAGAAAGAACCAACGCGCTGTCCAGTTCCCGCTCGAATCCTCGCCCTCGTAGCGCCGCCCAGTCCTCTGAGATCCTCTCACGTGGTCGAGCCCTCCGAGTTGAGGCTGCAACACTCCCTCCTCGCTTCGGTCTTGTTCTGAAACCGGCCAAGCGTCAACTCCCCCTGCGCAGCCGCGGCCTCAGTCACACACCGAACTTAAGCGTTTGAATAAGCTTCTTTTTAGCTCCCACCGACCCCGGCCTGTCTGTTACACGCTCTCTAACGAAGGACGTTGGGACTACAGTTTGGGATCTCTCCATGCCATTGGAGCGCGGCATTGACCTGGCGTCATCCAACCCGCTTTTTCGACCTTCAATGCGTTTTATTCGTCGTTTCCTTAGACCTGCAGCCAAGGCAAAAGGTTCGATGCCTCACCCGAATCTGGTTCAGGGCCTTTAAGCGACGTGTAGCTTCCTGTCCCTGTGAGAGAAGAGTGGGGACTCTATGTCTCCCCTTTCGAGCCTGGCCAGCGCAAGGCATTCTCCGGCATCAAGCGTTAGATGCACACGGGATCTCCTAAACGATCACCTTGTTGACGGGCCTGATCCCTTGGGCGTCGATTCAGTTCTAAATATTCTTTGCGGTCATAGCGCTGCAATGAGTATATATCTCAACCACTGGCCAAGGCATTCTGGACTCACGCTCCATCTTCACGCCCAGTTCCAGTCTTTCAATCCTTCTTTGGTGCAGGGCACTACTTCTTTACTTTCCTTCTTGTGAGAGCTGAGCTCACTATTACATTCTCTAAAGTCGATATTTATACCCTCCTTTAGGTCTTTCGACTCGTCGTCCAGACATCAATCATCATGAAGTCCGCTCTCCCTCTTCTTACCCTTCTTTCTACGTCGCTCGTTGCCGCTGCGCCGGCGCCGTTTGTCAAGCCAGGACCCGTCGTCGTGCCAGGCACCGCCGACATTGTCATTCCCAACACCAACTTTGGTCGCCGAGAGGAAGCCTATGTCGAAGACTTCGCCAAGAGAGCCCTCGAGGTCCGCAATGCTGTTCTAGAGGCGCGCAAGGGGAAGGGCAAGGGCAAGGGCAAGGGAGGAAATGATGCAGCCCAAGCCGACGCTCAGGCCCAGCAGGATGCCCAAGCACAGCAAGACGCCCAAGATGCAGCGGCACAGCAAGATGACGCGGCCCAGAACCAAGACGCCGCCGACGCTCAGAACGCGGACGCCGCTGCGCAGGCAGAGGCGGACGCGCAAGCGCAGGCCGACGCCGCGAATGCCAACGCGGACCAGAATGCGGCCGCCGCGAATGCCACCGCCGCAGCTGATGCGGCTGCGGCGGCTGATGCGGCTCAAGCAGCGCAAGGCAAGAAGGGGAAGAAGGGAAAGAAGGCCAAGCAGCAGGCAGCCCGTATGTGGTCTACGTCCATTTTTCTACACTGGACCCTCGCTAACCCATCTTTCAGAGCAAGCTGCTGCTGAGCAGGCGGCCGCCGAACAAGCTGCCGCAGAGCAGCAAGCCGCTGCCGAACAGGCTGCTGCTGACGAGGCTGCCGCCGCCGGAAGTAAGTCCTTCCCCTGACTCGAGATGATATTTCAGAAGTACCTTGCTAACTATCGAATAGATGCCACCGCCGCAGATGACGCCGCTGCCGTGAACGGCACTGCCGCGGCTGTCAATGGCACCGCCGATGCCGACCAGGGCAATGGTAATGGTAATGGTAATGGCAACGGCAACGGTCAGGGTCAGGGTCTCGCAGAGCAGGCCATCCAGGACGCAGAAGCCGCGCTCCAGCAGGGTGCCGCAGGTGACGAGGGCGCCGGTGGACTCAGTGGGCTCCTCAGCAACCTCCTCGGTGGCGGTCAGGCTAACGGCAACGGAGACGCCGGCGGTGCGGGCGGTCTCGCGAACCTGAACCTCGCGAACCTCGGCATCGACATCTAGACACCCATCTACTTGGATGAGGTCGGCGTTTTTAGAATGGGAAGGCTGTCAATCACGTTCGTTTTTGGGTACATAACTTCTTTTCTGGAGCTGGAACTGAGCTTGGAGACGGATTTTTTTCTGGATGATATCTACGGACCCTGGATGGGACGACTAAAGTTTATTGTGTAGCTGTATGCCAATACAGGCTAGAAAACAATGAAGGCATACGGCCAGTCGAGCTGATCAAGCTCGGAGTGTGATCAAAATTGCGTACTGCCCACCTTTGCTGCAAAGCGCAACAGTGACATCCTAATTTCCAACTTCTCGTGCCCACGAGCATCTGCACGAACGGATTGACGTCCACACATGCCTTACTGCTGTGAGTGCGGACTAACGCTCAAACACTCCGCTCCTCAAGAAATCAGCCACCATCTCAGGCCTCGTCAGCTCCCGCCCCGGCCCCCAGCGCCTGTCAAAACTTCGTTCGAACCGTCTGCTTCCCTCTTCGGGCATGACGCGCGGTATCCTGAGACGCGGGGATCCAGGGCCTCGGGACCGCAAACCCACTGACTAGGTAGGGCCAAGCCAATTGCTCTAACATGGTGTGAGAGCGCCGTCCGTCCGCTCTTGCAAGTTCGACACCTCAAACCTTTCTCGCGTCCGGCTTCGGAGCTTTGATGCCTGAGCAGCTTCATCGTCCGGCGCGCTTAGATTGTATGAGGTCAGGTTCTTTTGTGTTGTGCCCTTCAATGATTCTACATTCTACCGTGAGCCGCATGATCTATGCTCCAATTACGATCCACGCCTACGCTCGATGCGCAGACTGCGCGCATAACGAAACCGCGTCTCCATCGCATGAATGTTCGCTGGAATCGCCAAGCCATGCCGTTTGGCGGGATGTACGAGTCGCGAGGGCTCTCCCCGCTTTTTCTTTGTGTTTGCCTGTCTGCGGCATAATGTCGTTGCTTCTCTTGGCCCTTCGAGGAGATGATGCTGAAGCGGAGCGCTAAAGATAGGGTTGATACTGAGGGGCGTGATCTCCTGTTCTAAGAAGTTGGATTTGAAATTTGTGTCTGCCACGTTGGCCACACCGGGCATAGCCGCGGAGAAATCGCGGCTGAAACCGAGTAGGATCGAATCACTCAATTAATTAGCTAGACACTTGCTCCCCACAGTACAACAACCAATCAACCTCTAACTTACGTTCGACCCGTGATAGCTTCCTACATCAGACCTTGTGGAGGGAACGACGTTAGTTGCATTCATTCGCAATGTCCAGGCCTAGTAAATAATGGCGAAAATGTTCCATCATTTCTGATACTGACCGGCTTACAGGGGCCGATACCCCTCGGATTTTGAGCCGGCAACCGGGAGCAGTCATCATTCGCCGCGGTGATTTCGTGGAGAAGTCGGGAGATCGAGTTAAACCTCGCGAAGAAGCGGCTCTTCGTCTTGTGCAACACTATACAAGCGTTTCGGTGCCTACCGTATACTCATCTTCCTTCGCAGAGCGTGATGGGCATATCTGCATGAGCTATGTGGACGGCGAGAGCCTGGACAGGCTCTGGAACGACTTCGAAGGCCATGATGATATGAAAGAACATATCTGTCGCCAAATTTGGGACTTGATCTACCGATTTCGAGCAATACCCAAACCTGCCCGATTCGCCAACTTTTTCCAGTGCTGCGCCGACGGTACCGCATCAAATGATATCCTCATCGAGCCTTTGCCAAATCGAAGCCCAGATCCGCTTGCCAGCGACGTTGAGCTACGCTTGCGCATCTATGAGCGTTACTTGGATTGTGCTGGACGCCGTTACGAGAAAGAACTTCCACACATGCTTCCTAAGTCCGAAACAACTGTTTTCACTCATGCAGATATCGCGCCGCGTAACATCATGATTGGAGAGGGAGATGACTGTCCTGTGATAGGCATCTTGGATTGGGAAGAAGCGGGGTGGTATCCTGAGTATTGGGAATATGCAAACATTATGAAACCATCGGTGGACAAAGATTGGCAGATGTGGATGGAGCGAACGGTACCTGAGAAGTGGGACATCTCTGGAATTGTGGCAGCAAGACGGGTTCTGTTTTGAGAAAGTGAATGCACTGGATAACTCGTAAGTTGCCTTATTCCAACCTAGGATCTATACATTCCTCGAAAGCATTTGATTCTCTTCACCCTATCTATTGAATATCATGAACAACAGATTATACCCCTCTCCACCCTGCCCTGCCGTAATGAGCCCTATGTGATTTGAGTACCTTCTTCACCCCCCTCCTCCCTCTTCCTCTCGGGCCCCGTTGGCCTAAACGCCTATGATACGGACTAGTACGCTCTTCTACTAAATTTAAGATGTGCTCCCGCATCCTTATCTTCTAATTGGTGGAGGAAGAGAGGATAGTCTTTTTGGGGGTCCTGATGATTTCAATAGTGCTGGCTTTGGAGGACATTGGTTGTCTTCTGATTTCCCTGTTCCGCAAACTAACATCTGAGCACCCAAAACGAAGGGTATTGAAAAAGGCGAAAGCAAGCCACTCAAGAACTTGTAGGGTGATACCTGGCGATGCTCTGAGCTGAAGATCCTGCCCGAGTGTCAACGCTGACGAAAATGCGCCAACACCTTGAAACAGCGCAACCACCGACACCAGAGCGAGTGCTACCGAGCCCTATAAAAATATCATGGTAGCTCTCCGGAAAAGCCTCCACCAATGACCAGCCTCCGCTTCGTTCTTCTCGTTCACTTTCAAGGCGAATATGCAAAGGAGGAAGCATATAAAGCCAAGAGCGAACATCAATGCGGCTGCTACAAGGAGACTCGGGAGGATCTTTGACTGGAGAGCCAACCCGACTGCAACCAAAGGAGTGATTGCATCCTGCGGCAATGAGGTGTCATTTGCGTTCTTTGCGAAGCGGGAAGCCAGTTGATCTGCGTTATCTCCGTATCGAGTACCAAAGCAAGTCATGTCATTTCCAGTGCCTTCGCACATGCCTAATAGCTATGGCCTTAGCACAAAATCAGAAGTGTTAAACAGGTAGATATTACCATAAATTCCAACTCTTATGATGTAGTCATCGGCAAGTTGGGAAGTAGCACTCTGCCATTTGTACAACTTAATAGTATAAGTAGTAAGAAAAAGCTTAGTAGTAAATACTAAAGATCTATAATTTAGAATAAATTTACGTAATCTATTATAGAGTAGAGAGGCCTCTACCTAGGGCTCTACAGAGCCCTATCTTAGGGGGATGCCCCTAAAAGAGGGGGTAAGAGAACCGTAGTGCTTTTGAGTCCTATGCGTAGGCAGAAGCTCCGCCCCGCCGTTAGACTGCATAGCCTCTATAGGTTGGTGACTCAAAACGAGAAAAATTAATTAATTCCTTGGTACTGCGCGCGCGCATTTCCCTGGTTATACTTGGCTTCTTACCCTTGGAGTCGGCTTTCTCTCGTCATCCCACCTTGAGTCATCTTTCCTATCCTACTGTTGAGCACAACATTTTTTGAGTTATATCGCTAGTGCGCATACATCTCTTAAAGGCCACAGCTCCCCTCCTCATATAGTGCCAGCGCCTTCCTTCACACCTTCGATATCAGAATCCTCTGTAGCGGCTACACAACGACCACTTTCTCACTTCCGCGCTCGAAGACGAATCCGAAGTACTGTGTGGTTATCAGATCTCCTGGAGAGTCACAGTATTCTTCTTTCCCATCAACGGAGTCGCCCGAGACACATCCACCTCCGCCACGTGGTTTTCCCAGAGAAAACGAAATCCCGACGACTCTATCTCCCGGGCAAACATGGAGATGATACCGTCGCTTGAAGTGCTCCCTGAAGAGATTATAGACTTTATTGCTGCTGAACTATCGTATGAGGAAGTTCGTCCCAGTATCCAGGCACTGAGTAATTTGTCTCGAGCTTCTAGGAAGTTTCGTCGCATTGCACAGCCACACCTTTACCGAACCATACATATCCTCATCGTCCGCAATAGCGCCTACGACCCGTGTGTCCAAATCCAGCAACTACTTCGTACTCTGCATGAGGTGCCAGCTCTTCAGAAGCACATCACGAAGATCCGATCAATGGAGTACTGGTCCACTTCCGACTACGGTTCCGTATCCGAAACATCCGACATTTTAGCCTCACATCGACCTGAGCACTTCAATTCATGCCTTCATGACCTGCTCATCCTCGCGCCCCAAGCGAAGCTCATAGACCTACGCAACTATAGTATTCGCACAGGAGAGGACCTACAGACCTGGATGCCGCTCGTACGAAGTCACGCATGCCGGCAATGTCCCCCCGTAGCCGGTAAAAAGATGTTCCAGAATCTAAGGAGACTAGAAATCTCTATCATTGAGGCTACAATAAGCGAAATTGCAACCTTCTTCTCAATTCCTTCTCTGGAGGCCGCCAGCTTCACGATTGCGTCTCTGGATCCCTATAGCAGCTATCGTGATTGGGAATCCACCAAGTCACGGATAAGACATCTTCAGTTCAAAGCTATTGGCTTTCCAACACGTCTGTGGATGCACGAAATCCGGCATGGCTTTCAACAGGTTGCGGGAGCATGCATTTCGCTCGAATCCTTCGACTTCTCGCTTCACAGCAGCTCGGACGAGTACAACGGCGTCTATCAAGACATAATCGAGGCCTTTACAACCCAATTGAGGACTGGATGTGTTCGGCATTTTGGCCTCTGGAGCCGAGAGACACCCGTCCGCATTTTGACCGGCCCACTTTCGGATTCCTTCTGTCACATATGGCAGGATGCTTCACCATCTTTGACCGCCCTGAAAATAGACGCAGTGATGATGTGTAGGCATTTGCCAGACGGTAGTGCCTTTTTCGAGTTACTCGGAGCACTTCCTAGGTCGCTCACCCATCTTACGCTAAGGCACAACCCCTGCAACGGTCGCTTTTCGGGTTCGTCTTTCCTAAAGACAACTCTGTTAACCTTCGCAGCTCGTTTCGGGTTGGTGGTTCCGCAGCTGGAATACCTCGTTTTAGAGGTTACCGAGAGATATGGCGCACAGGGATACGATCCTTTGGACTTGCAGGCTGTGAAGGACGCCTTCTTAGCAAAAGGCGTATGCATTCAGATAGAGTAAGCCAGAGTGCTCATCGTTGACATTTTATCGACGTTTAGTGGAGATTAGTGGTTATCTGGTTTCATTTCTCGAGGTCTTGAGGTTTTCAAAGAGCTGTGCAGCGTAAGGAATGCTCGAGCTTGGATTTTATACGGCGTGGCCTAGTTATCTCGGCTTCTTCCTTGCATTCATCATGGAAAAGAGCTTTAACATAGGACCTGCGAAGGATCAGTCGTAGCTATAGCTAAAAGGTTTCGCCAGACCCTGGTGTTCCCATTGAAAAGTTATCACTTAGTTTCAATAAGAATAGTATGCAACCTTTCTATCTACTAATTAATCGGAAATTTTATAAGAGGCTAATATACTTTAAAATACTATTCTTCTTCGGCGCTTATCGTAGCCTTATTCTATCTACCTAAGGATATATTAGTAAAGGAAAATTATAAGCGGAAGGGGACGATCGTGCCTTATAAGGGTAGGTTGCCAAGTAGCTGAACCGCCAGAGATGCAGCTGAAATGAGTTGAAACCGGGCCTGAAACTGGGGCTAAAACCGGGGCTAAGTTCCGGCAATAGTATTTAATACCTTACGTTGTCTCTACTTGCCTCTCACTTTCACGCAATCCTAAATTCATTCATGAGCAAATTTTAAACTCGATAGCAATCTTCGTACGGCCTCCATCTTCTTGTTACTTGTCAAAACCAGCTCTTGTGCATGAAGCTGACACTGATACGGCAGGTGTCACATCAGCATCCCCTGAGTTGTAGAGAAATAGATTTTTGGAAGCAGCAAAGGTATGTGCTGGAGACAAACCTCTTTATAGTATCCTCCTACTAAGACACTCGCAGTTCAGATAATCTTAACCGGTTCTCTCTCGCAAATTAACATGGAAACCGGCTGTCCTGCTACTTGTGGGCTTTGCGGCGGGAATTCTGGAAGCGGGAATTGTCCTGCCACTTGTGGGCTTTGCGGTGGGAAGTCTGGGAGCGGGAATTGTCCTAAAACTTGTGGGCTTTGCGGTGCCGCCTCCGGGCATGGCAAATGAGTATTCGACTGGAGCGCCCCCACCGGTTCATAAATTCAGACCCTGGTATGAGAACTATACGGCACGGCTGGGGAACCTCGTTGGGGGCTTACAATTCCTGCAACATTGCCCATTTCTTTTCTTCAGTGGAAGGAGTGGATCCATGGGTGAAAGTAAGGGTCTACCTAGCAAAATTAGTCATTTGCCCATTATGAATATTATCGAAACTCCAAGAAGGTCTTCAATCTATATTGAATGATGGATAGACTCTGGTTAAAACGGGGATGATCTTATTTAAGTGAACTTTAAAAGGCTAATTCGAAGTTATTCTTCTATAACGTAACTACTACCCGGGCCCTGAAGGGCAATCATACACTGAAGGGCAATCATACGCTGAAGGGCAACACTACCTACCCCACATCACCATCCCTTCAATCATGTTGCTAAGTACAATTAGATGGCTCCCAGAGCTGTAAAGGTATCGCAGTACGCCGAGGATACGCGCAGGATTGAGGATGCCGTTAAGAAGCTGCGTCTTTACAATTGCCCGAATATCCATCAGTACGCAACCGACAACGCACTCCCATACAAACGTTTATTACGCGCCTATAAAGGCCTACCAAATCGCTCAACGCGTCCTCCTACAAATCGTAAGCTCTCCATGGAGCAGGACCTCGCCCTTTGCCGCTTTCTCGACGCGATTGACGCGATCGGTTTTGGTATACACCACGGGCTTATCGAGCAGCAGGCCAACGCCAACGCCCTGCTCGATGAGTCCTACCTGGGGACCCAGGAGGACGCTCCCACTATTGGCAAGCACTGGGCACGTCGCTGGCTACTCTTCCACCCAGAATACAGGCGCGTTAAGGCGAAACCAACAGAGTTAGCTGGCAAGTTTGCCCAGCAGCCGGACGGCGTCCGGGCGTGGTACCAGAAGCTTCGCGAGGTCGCCGACGCCAAAGGGATACTCCCAGAGGACATGTGGAACATGGACGAGTGTGGCTGCTGTGCGCGAAAAACCAGTACGTTTATACTAAGCAGGGCAGCGAGGTAGGTGCGGGGACTACATACCATTAATTCTAATTATCCCACACTCCAACAATCGCGAGCTTGTAAGCCTAGTAGAGTGCGTCTCAGCCGTAGGCGACGTAATTGAGCCTATGATTATTGTTAAGGCTGCGACAATACTTGAGCACTGGGTGGTGGACATGCCACCTAAATACCTACTACACCACACAGAAACTGGATACAGTAACGACCAGGTTGCGCTCGATTGGCTTAAGCACTTTAACAGGATGACGCGCCTCCAGACAAAAGGCGTGTAGCGGCTGCTTCTGCTTGACGGCCACCGCTCTTATAACACAAAGAAGTTTTGTAAGTACGTGGAGGCCAATTATATACAGCTCTTTGCCCTCCATCCTCGCACAACCTATATTCTTCAGCCTCTCGACCTGCGCTGCTTTCAGCCCTTAAAGTAGTACTATGGCCGAGTCCTTAATCACGCTGCCTGGGCTGGTGCTACAGAGATTAACAAGGCCGATCTATCGCGTGCATAAATCGGTAGAAATCTTAGCAGCCTCTCGATTTTTTTTTCCCGCCCGAAAAATCAACTTCTTGAAACTTTAAAGGATTTTCTTTAAATTTTAAAGGGGGTAAGTTATAAAGAGAGTTCTTAGAATAACCTTTATTACCGCTATGCAAAACTCTACAGGAATGACGCCCCTCAATGCAAATTTGAAGGCAAGAATCTATCCTCCCATTTCCGCAACTCTTCCTCTCCACTCTCGTCATGCTCACTTCATCTTCAGTAAAAGTGCGGTGACTGTATGCCTTAAGCATTACAGTTCGTGCACTCCTGGCAAAGGAAACTCGTCATCGTGCTCCCCGCATCAATATTCTCCTGCGTCGCAGGGTCATCAAAGTGGTGCAGCGTGGGCGCATTCGTATCCGGCCAGATGAACGCATCACCATGCATGGTGCAATTCTCAGCAGTACTGCTCCATCGTCAGCCCTGCCACACTCCGCGGAAGGAAAAGCTTACTAAGTAATCCTGCAGTAAGCTCCGGCATCCACCTTGAAGCTCCCAACGTTGTTCAAGTAGGGAGCCTCGAGGTGATAGCAGTCGTAGAACGGAACGGAAAGCGTCGTGCATTCGCCGGTGTAGTTCTCCCCGGTGCAGATAGTTACGTCGCCGGGGGCACGGGCAGCGAGGTTTTGGGTGGGAGCGGCGGTGGTGGAGGCGATGAGGGCGATGATGGTTGCGGCGATGAAGGTCTGCATTTTGATGGTGGCGGTAGCGACTGAGCTAGGGCGAAGCGAGTGTGATTTGGAAGATGGTATGAGGTGGTTTTGGGTATGAAGCTGTGAACACGTTTAGATAATAGATGGAAGGAAGGAGAAAGAGTGAGGTTATATATAAAAGCGTGGGGAGACTAGTCCGGTGGCCTGAGTGGCTCAGATATTGGGTCATGGCCATCACTTACCAAAGTAGCCCTCGCAGCATGCGACCCGAGTACCGTAACGCGAGAGTATCCGTACGGTCTATCCTATGAGAGCACACTCCCGATGCAACCTACGCAATGCGATGTATAAATCGATCCTGCACGAGTAGATCGCTAGTAATCTCTTTTCGGATGCGATCCACATCATGTGCACAGCATTCTCGTGTCCACACTCGGTGTAGAGGGCGGTGAGAGAACGCGTAGTCCTTCCGACAGAAAGGTGCATGTTACCTAAACAGGGCCTTTTTGCCTCGTGCTGGTAGCCATTCGGGTGATCAAACGGGTGCGGCTGCGCTGCTGTGCAAGATCTAGCGAAGCTGTGCGCTGCCAGCGCGATTATCTATGACCTGTAAGGGCTAGCTGAAGTTTGAATTGCCTGTTCAAGCCATGCTGGTGGATGGCGAGGTACAAGCATTCTTTGCCGCGCTCTCTAGCATGTCCATGGTAGAGGAGGCTGCTGCGCCTTTCGCGCTAGTGGTTTGCGGGGCGAAGTATTTTTAGGAAGCCGCTAGGCTCCTTTGGTACGGAGTGAGCTCGAACAAGTTTCCATACGAACTTGGAATCGTTGTTTCGGGATAGGTAATGATGAGTGATGGCAAATTGTGAGAACGAAGGAGTTGTTTCAATAGTGGAGCATTGATGTATTGACTCCAGACACTGCTACGCGGGGTTCGCACATTCTCAAGGAGACCGTGTTAGATTCATTGAAGTGTTTACTAAGGCATGCAAGGAAAAAGCAGATTGAACGCGGAAAGGAAATCAAGGGACAGACGCGAGCATATTCTCGACATTCATGCTCGCTGGGAGAGTAACGAAAACGTAGTGATAGCATGAGGGCAAAGAGATGGAAAGAGCGGTACAACTGTGCATGCTGCTTAGGTGCGGGCTCAGGTGTCATATCCCCATCCACCCTCAAGCGCAGCTCCCACATTGCGGCCTTGAGAAAGAGCGCGAGCGGCCGAAAAGGCTTGCGTAGCGAACCCAACGGCGTTATCGAAGCCTTCGTGACCGGTACGAACGGATCCAGGCATCGGCGGATCCACAGGTCGGGCAATAACACCGGCCAACATTTCCTCGCTCGCTTCACCTTGAAATCGATCCAGGACGAGGCGCTTGATACCAACTTGCCACTTCTCGAACCACTGTTCTTCGCTGACGGTGGTATAGCGCTTGTTACCGTAAGGATCAGAGGTGGAGAAAGGCCATTCGGCACGAACGACAGCGTAGCGCTTCGTAGCGAAGAATAGATATGGCCAGGTGAAGATCCAGAGGAAAGTCAAATAGAAAATCCAACACACCCATGTCTTGAGACGCCACTGGTTGATGCGGTTGCACGTGTAAATATCTACATTCTTTTCCTCGACAGGGAAGGTGATGCTGATGTGGCCGCGGTAGTTGGTGCTGCGGATGAGACCTTCAATGCGGTTCTTTACGTAGGCTTCGTCGAAGCCAGTGACGACGCGGCTGAGGCGGAATATCCTTAGCATCCTGGGTGATGCGCAATAGCGATGGCACCATTCATTGAGTTCGGGCTTGGACACACCCACTTCGATGTCCTGCTTGAAGCCCGGTGCGCGTTGCTTTGTGATTGTGCCACGATACGTCTTCTCCCCGTTCTCGGCCGTAACCAGATTCATCTTCGACGAGTCATTTGGGTCGAAATTGTTCCTCAGGTAGCGTTGCAGGTCCATCACTACCCGAAAGTCCGTGATTTCCTTCGTCTCTTTCTTGTCACCGCGCTTGATGGTCTCCTTGTGCGTGCCCATGATATAAATCAAGGGAAAGGGGGCGTCTCGTGCAAACGAGCGAATGCCTTCCTCGAGATAAAGCGGATCCTTATCGTATCGCGGGTCTGTCAACGTCTGCGTCTCGCACACCTGGGGCTTCCCCATCTTGATGGTTACGCCATTGTTATGGTCCACTCGCCGCGACGGGGGTGGAATATGTCGGATCGGAGCAGCCGGTACCTCAGCAGCGTCGCCTTGGCTGTCGGCGTACGAAGGCGGGAGCCCAGTGATCTCGGGAGCATCATCGTAGGTATAGTCGTCGGGTGTGGTATGGAGAGAAACCGCGTCGGGGTCGTCGCGATACCCCTCTGTCGGTGGGTTCGTTCTTCCCATCGGGGCGATAAATTGCAATAATGGAACGTGTAAAGTCAATGAAGAAGCGGCAATAGACAATAGAAAGTGGTGGAGGGAAGGGAAGGAGTGTACCTTGCCTTTATGCGAGCTCAAGGGGCTGGGGTGACGGATCGAATGTTTGGGGTTCCCTCCAGGCAACCGCGTACCCGCCCAGGCTCGAAGGATCAAAATACGAAGAGCACGCTGTTGCCGGCTGCTCTCTTCCCCGGTGCAACACAGCGGTTCCACGAGTTATTGATCGATAGTGCGGAGATGCTGGCATCAGCAATCGGTCCCTGAAAGACATCCAGGTGGGATAGACGACGCGTCTTCTGGGATATAGTGCCAAGGCGCTAAATTTAAGCTTATTCTTGAGCCAAAAAGTTTTGGCTGTCACAGTCGATGAGAGAATGTACCACTTCCCTCAGTCGCTTCCGAGTATCACCCGCTTCCCGCCGACACCAGCTACTCCCTCTGAAGCTGGCCGTGCCGTCCTACTTCCTACGTCTTCTATGTGCGCCGCCAGCCCGCCGAAATCTGCTCCGCAGACCATGGGCTATCGATAGCTCCTTCCGACGCGCTATCCACTTTACCCCTCCGATGGCCGCAGTACAAGCTCCTTTAGCTTCCGGGATGGCAGAGCCCGAGAACGAAACCATCGAGGCTTCTCCCTTAGCCGGGCAGAGCATCAGTCACGTCGGAAAGCAATACACGACGATCAAGGAGGGGCTGGCGCATATCCTCGTGCCTCATGGCATCCCCACGTCAACCGATCCGAAGATGTCAAAGGAGGACACACAGAAGCAACAGGTCTTCTACAACCCCATTCAGCAGTTCAATCGCGACCTAAGCGTGTTAGCGATAAAGACGTTTGGCGAGGATTTGATATTGCGGAAAACACAAAAGCACGAGCAGCAAAAGAAGAAGGCGGAAAAGAAGAAAAACAGGGTAGGGAACGGCAAAGTCGATGAGGAACCAGCACTGGCTCAACCCACCGGTGCTTCGTCGAAGAAGAGGAAGCTGGACGAGGACGAGTCTGGAGTGCAGGAATCGGACAACATTCCTGCAAAAAAGCGAAAACGTGTCCATGGCGGAGAGGACGAACAAATTACCAACGTTGAAGATATGTCTGCTCCGAAGGCACGAGGCGAGGACCGTCCTGCATGGAGGCCGTCCTTTACTATCCTTGATGCTCTTTCTGCGACCGGTCTCAGGGCACTCCGTTATGCGAACGAGATCCCGTTTGTGACCTCCATCACCGCCAACGACATGTCGGAAAAGGCCACGGAATCTATTGCGCTGAACGTGAAGCATAGCAAGCTTGAAGACATGATCCAAGCGCATACGGGCAATGCTATTGCTTACATGTACAGCTTCGTGGACAAGAAAGGGTACGATGTGATTGATCTTGATCCATATGGAACAGCTGCTCCCTTTATGGATTCCGCAATACAAGCCATTAATGACGAGGGCTTGCTGTGCGTTACCTGCACTGACTCTGCGATATTCGCGTCTCATGGCTATCTGGAAAAGACGTACTCACTGTACGGCGGACTCCCGCTGATAGGGGATGCGTGTCACGAGGGAGGCATACGGCTAATATTGCATGCTCTTGCCTCATCCGCGGGTAGGTACGGAATGGCCATTGAACCTCTCCTCTCCCTTTCCATCGACTACTATATCCGAATCTTCGTTCGCGTCCGAAAATCTCCGAATGATGTCAAACTACTAGCCGGCAAGACAATGATTGTGTACCACTGCGACAATGGGTGCAGAGCCTGGTCGACTCAGTTCCTGGCCCGCAACAAGTCTCAGCAGAATCGGAATGGCAACACGTTCTACAAGCACTCTTTTGCATTAGGCCCTTCAGCCAATGAGCATTGCGAGCATTGCGGCTTCAAGACTCATGTATGTAGATATACACATGTGGTCGATTGTTTTGCTAAAATCCCCTACAGTTATCAGGTCCAATGTACGGCGGCCCGTTGCATAATGTTGGCTTCATCAAACGAGTCCTAGCGCATCTGAAGGAGGCCGACCGCGAAACGTATGCGACAACGGACCGCATCGAGGGCATGCTTCATACAGCACTTGAAGAGATAACTTTTGGCGCTAAAGGGGAGGAGGATACCGAGGAGATGAAGGAACCGGAGCGGCTAGCTCCCCTGATACCGAAATCAGACCCGGCAGAGGTCGACCATCACCCATTTTTCTTCATCCCGAGCGCAATTTCGAAAGTCGTTCATTGCTCGGCGCCACCCGCTGCGGCAATTCGCGGCGCATTACGCCACAACGGTTTCAGAGTGACGATGAGCCATTGCAAACCCGGTTCGATCAAGACGGATGCGTCGTGGAAAGATATATGGCACATAATGCTGGAATGGGTCCGCCAGAGAGCCCCGCTGAAAAATCCACTCAAGAAGGAAAGTGCCGGACACGCCATCATGTCCAAAGGCAGCGCTCATCAGCTCAAAGGGGCGGATAACAAAGAGTCCGCGGACACGGTAGATAATTCGGAAAATCTTGCCAAGAACGCGCAGGGAACCGGTGGATTTGAGGAGGAAGATTTGTCAAAAGCTGGCGAGGAGAGACACGGCGATCGTCCGTCATACATGGGCGTCGATTTCGAAGTCAAATTCGATGAAAAACTGGGCAAGGATCGGGACAGGGGCAAATACGTCCGCTACCAGCTCGCGCCTAGAGAGAATTGGGGTCCCATGTCTCGCGCAAAGTAGGCGGGAACCCGCGTGCTCGCATCTAAGCGACCTGCATTTCGGAATCTGTCCGAAAGCTCCCCTCGGAGAGCTCCACTCCGAACATTTAGGAGATGGTGACCAAGTACAGCTTGAGCCGTAGCATGGGAGTAGCCGAACAGTTACAATGAACAGCGAAACACATTCAGGACTTTTCCATGTGCAACGACTGCTCGAGGTCTACGAGTCTTCGTGATTATAGTAGCTCTTTGGTGATGGTAGTGGGAGCGCGGATCTTTCGTCCTTGGTGCACTATGGGTGAATAGCATGGCTTAGGTAATCACTCGGTCTTCCTATCTGACCTCCGCAAGGCCCATCACCTCTCTACATCGAGGCCGCGACTCAGAAGTTCTTCTAAGCAAGCGATACCAGACTTATATCTCTTTCTGCCCTGGCACATACCCAGGCGCAAGGTTCGCGGGATATGATTCAGGCACGTTCGATGACGATGCGACTCCGCGGAAGCCACTGGGTCGAGAAACATCGAATTCCTCAGCAAACATGGCAATCTCTTGGGGGCAAAACATGCTGAACTGCCGACCGTAATAATGGCCACCAATCCTAATTTTGCATTTCCTTGGACGAGGCTGCGGGCCTAGTGCTCCGGCAAGCACTAGCGGCTCAAAGCGCTCCAAGTCCAGGTGTCATCACGTCGTCACGTTCGGAATCTCCTCGAGCTTGTAACCACGCATCTCCACCCGTACCCAGGATCAAGCAACTCTAAATCTGCGTCCGATGCTCCTTCATTCGTCCGTTGTTTGTTTCCGGGGCCTTCTGTCGGCGCTATCTTAAAAGAGCTTGAACGATGCAGGTTCCCCACGCGCCTCCGTCGTTCCGATGCCTGCTCCTGCGCTTCCGACTTGAGCATGTCATGAAGTCATTTGGCGTCGAACTTTTTTAATGAATTTCCCGGTGTCATTGACGCGTATGGCCGGGCATGGGTAGCTTTGAGACGCCATAGATATAACCTCCAAGCTCCCCCAGAGACGGCTATTGTGCAACAACATTCGAGTTGAACATTCCAAAAAGATGCTGACTAGGACTATTTACGCTTCGGCGTTGCTTTCAGCGTTCGCCGCGGCTGCTCCGGCGCCACAGGTGGCTGGATATACAGATGCAGATTTTCCAGCATCAGTGAGCGAGCCCACTGGCCAGCCGGCGACAGTGTTTGGTCCGGACTCTCAAGTCCCTGTATGTTTGTTCGATTAGGCGCTCTACAGCTATGTATTAATGTTTGCTAGGCGATCCCAACCGCACCTGGGTCAGCGCCTCCGCGACGGAGCTCCGATGTCACTGGCGCTACCAGCCATGGCCCATATTCGGGAACTCCAACCACCACCGGAGCTGTGATGGCAAACACTACCTTAGCGAAGACGATTCCTGCTCTCCCGCCAAATCCTACTGCGACATATTACAATAAGGATGGCGTACTTCTCCACCCTGCGCCGATTCCATATACCCCGAATGGTACGTTTTAGGCTACGATATGTCATGAACTGTAGCTAATGCACTCAGGCGGTCTTGGTACCAACGGCACCGAGCCTCGGTATATGGTCAATAGCGACTTCGACTTTGAGTCGATTGCGCTTGGCCTGTATCAAGAGTGGATTGAGCTTGATCTATTCAATAATGGTCTCGCCGTCTTTTCGGACGAAGATTTCCTAGCCGAAGGCCTCACTGCCGAAGACCGCTCATACATTGCTTTCATGGCGATTCAAGAGACTGGACATGCTACTCTTCTTAGTAACATGCTCGGCGAGGCTGCTCCTCCTCAGTGCACATACAATTACCCCTTCCGCACGGTTCGAGAGTTCATCGATTTCAACCAGAAGCTCACCCGCTTTGGCGAGTCCGGTGTCTGGGGCTTTATCAACCACCTTGACAGTCGTGAGGTTGGCCAGTTGCTTGCGCAGTCTATCGCTACGGAGGCTCGTCAGCAGATGTCATTCCGCCAGATGTTGGGTCTGCACCCCATGCCGGTTTGGTTCGAAACAGGCATTCCGCAATCGTGGGCCTGGACCTACCTTGCTCCTTATATCAGCGAGTGTCCGGCCGGTACCACTCGCCTCGCATGGCAGAACTTCCCTGCGCTCCATTTCGTCAACCAACCGAACCCCAACCGCTTCTCGCCCAACGACACCCAGCCGAATGAAGTCGTTGGAAACCGCACTAGTGATCCAAGTGATTCTACCATTCCTGCGGACGAGTCTTGTGTCAACGTTACCGCGGTTGGTTACGGCTGCGGCCCTGCCATCGCACACAATCGCTCGGAGCCGTTGTCGTTCCCTGGCAAGCAGATCAACTTGACCTGGGAAAATCCCGGTCTTCCCGTGGGCCCGAACAACTCCTACATCACCGCTACTGGTGCCGGCCAGCCGCAGTTCGTCGCCTGGGTCTCGCAGCTCAATCTTACCTACACACCTCTAACCCTCACTGGCGATAATGAGGGCTTCACCTATCAACCTGCCAGTGAGGTCTACCAGGGTGACCCAGCTGTCAACGGCACCATGTTCGTTGCTTTGACCGATTCGGATCTTTTCCTCACGCCGTTCAATCTTTCGATGATCAACCCGCACGTTGTTGCGCTTGGTCTATACCAGGCCGGTTAAGCTGCTCCGCTTGTTTGGTCGAGAGGAGTGATGAAAAACAGATCGAAAGTTCGGGACAATTTCTTGTGTAATATCTTTTATGGTACTGCAAGAGCAGGCCTTAATTCCTATTAAGATTGTAGGATAGGTGTAATGAAAGATTATGGAATGATTACTTTCGTTGTCTGGGCTGAGTTAGCGACCCTTGTGCTCGTTTCGATGATATTTTCGTGGCCGCCATCAGAAGGTAAGACTAACATTTTCTGGCACCGCTGCTGGGTATCTATCGCGCTTTCCAACTTCTACTTTCGTTTCCACTCACTCCATTAGGTCAGCTCTCACAGCACTAAAACAGCTCTAGTTGTGCTATATGTATCAGGGGTTTTGCCCATAATTTACATTGCTAAAAGCAAAAGCCAGGCTAACATATGTGCCGCCGTCTCCAAACTAATAAAAGCCATTCTCGATGGGCGGTGGGGTCTTGCGGGCTGTTGAAGATGTGGTGATCCTGCGTGCGCGAGCATCGGAGCACGTGGAGATGAGCATTATCTATGGAGCCCATCGATGCGCTTGCCGGCATGTACGACCTAAAGAGTGCAGAGATCGTCTATATAAAGGCCTCATTCTCTCCTCCTCTTCTTTCCCTTCTTCACAACACACATCTCGCGATCTCTACTAAAAGCGGACACTTGGTTTAATTATGTGGTTTGCTCGGGCCTCTGAAGCCCTGGGTACTAAAATCAACCCGAATTACAATAAATGGGATTGCGTGGACCAGAAACGCAAGGAGCCAACGCCAATGGTGCGATCTTCTCGCGTTGGAGCTTCGAAATCAAGACACCTCATTGCATATGGAACCGAGAGACTGGTGCGGCACGGCAGGCTTGGGAGGGCATGGAGCACAGGTTACTAGGGCGCGCCTACCTTCAAGAGCATGCACGAAGCTGCCATGGTGGCTTCGGCCGGTTATCGGGATCAAAGTCTCCCGAGGTCCTGGTATAAAAGCCTTCGGACATCTTCCCCTCCTTCTTTTCTCACGCTACGATGTACCCGGGTCCGATGAAATTACGTGGCATACAATGGCATGAGGGCTTGCGGATCGAGTTGTACATCCTAAAGTCCGACTCCCCCTTTCGGTATGTCTTCTGACTCGGCTTTGAGACCTTAAGACCTTGGATATCCCAGCCCAAGGTCCTTGGGGGTACGATGACTACAATATACCCGCGCTCAGGTCGTCGATGGAAACGGCTTCCCAGCCTCGGGTATAGGCTCGATCTCGCATGTTATCGTTCGGTTTCTCCGGGACTTGGGGTAAAAAAGTCTGCTTCTCGTCCGCCGCCTCTTTCCTCAATCAGCAGTCCTGGCTTCTTGATCGGATTTAAATATGGGGAGCTAAGAGCATGTGGCGCCTGGGTATGATCTACTCTATAGGTGACTGGAGAAATCATTTCCTAGACATGCCATGACTTGTCGATAGCGAGGAGGAAAAGGAATAACGCTTCGACCTGCGCATGGTTGGTGTGTCCGAGTCCGAGACTCGATTATCATAGTTCGAAAACAGGGGAAAGAAGAAGCCATTCATGCGCTCGACGACGACACAGAACAAGAATGGCCGACCATGACACCCATGAATGAGGACGATGTCCCGCTTAGGACCCTCGAATCTCATATGTTCTCCATCCACTTCTCTGGGCTGACGCTCCGCGAATCCCTCTCACGAGCCGGTCCTTGCTTTGTGGGCATAAAACATTTCTTCTTGGCCGTCATTCTACTCTTTCCATATATTCGTAACTTGCGTAATTGGACGAGGCATTGATGTTCTGCCCTTCCACAATTCTTGGATGGTCTTGCCATACATTTGTGGTGTTTTATGGGGTGACAAAGATGCAGTGATCTTTTGTTAAAGAGACGGGGGCCGTGCGATGATGCAAGGGCGGATTCGAACGCCACGCGCTTCGGACCCTGCGGCGTAGCCACCACCCGAGGACCTTGACCGTGCCTCAAGCTGCTCATAATAGACCTTGTTGACAGTATTGAGCGATCCTGAGGGCTTACTTCACCTCGACCTCCGAGATGCCTCCCTAACGCGCAAGACTCTCGATGATGTTATTCCCAGCCTTCTGCAGATCCCGCCGTTATAGAAGGAGCCTTTACAGGCTTTTCCTAGGAGCGATTACCTTATTCTTTGTCTTCGACACCTTCTACGTCGTGTTCTTCGGTCGCAGTCCACATCGCGCGGCGCCCTCGTCGAAGCCTTCGCACCATGAACGCATCTTCATAGGAAGCATGCACTGGAACAACGAAGCAATCTTGAGGTCACACTGGAACAAGGCGGTGGTTGCTCTGGCCAGATACTTTGGCCCAGAGAATGTCTTCGTGGCGGTCTTAGAGAGCGGAAGTTGGGACGATAGCAAAGGTGCATTGCGAGAGTTGGACGCGCAGTTGTCTGAGCTCGACGTTCCTCGCTCAATCGTATTGGAAGACACCACACACTTGGATGAGATCTCGCGGATACCGTCTCCTAACGAGACTGGCTGGCTGTGGACGCCGCGCGGGCGCAAGGAACTGCGCCGTATCCCGTACCTAGCGAATCTACGAAACCGAGTAATGATGGAAATGGCCAAGCAGCTTGAGGCCAAGGGAGCGCGGTTTGATAAAGTGTTATGGCTCAATGATGTGGTCTTCACGGTCTGTCTCCCCTCCTATCCATTCTAGCAGCGGTCAATCCTAATGAGTAACCAAACAAACAGACCGAAGATGTCGTCACGCTATTATCCACAAATCGCGGGGAATATGCAGCTGCGTGCTCACTCGACTTCTCCAAGCCCCCAAGATACTATGACACCTTTGCCCTGCGAGACACATCAGGCTCCAAGACTGTCTCACCGGTATGGCCGTACTTCTTCTCTGGCGCGTCGCGGGATGCCCTCATAGCGAACAAAGACATTCCAGTGCTGTCTTGCTGGAACGGCATGGTGGCAATGGATGCTGAGCCTTTCTACGCAAATGAACCGCTCAGTTTCCGCGGCGTTCCCGACAGCCTTGCCGAACTTCATCTAGAAGGGTCAGAGTGCTGTCTCATACACGCTGACAACCCACTGAGCGGCATCAAAGGCGTCTATGTCAATCCGAATGTCAGAGTGGGCTACAATCCGGAAGCTTATGGGGCCGTAAACGCCTTTCCGACTTGGCCTTCGCCAGCGGAACGTATTAAAAGCATTTGGAAGGCCCGTTTGGCGACCATCAAGGCCATGCTGCAATATGGTGCCGAATATCTAGTAGTTCGCCGTAGGCTAAAGCAGTGGGAGGCGCTCAAGTCAACCGATGGGAAGGTGCATCACGAGCCTGGGGCGTACTGTCTAGTCAACGAAATGCAAGTGTTGGTGGAGAACGGGTGGAAGCATCTATAACAATCAAGTACCTTTCCTCTGATCTTACATCCGATCTATACAATCGCTCAATAAAATGCCTGTTAGGATTTCCATAATAGGCACAATAACGGATTTCGGAACGTTCGCTCCCACTAGGTCCTTTGAAGTGGTGTACGCACTGAGTATAAATGGCCTTCTTTTCCTCGCTTCTTCTCTTTTTCACACCTCTCTCACAATCTGCGCTTCTCACAACGCATTTAGCGAAATAATACCTAGGTATGGAATCATCGACGGCCTCGGAGTCTTCCTCGGAATAAAAAGCTGCATCAACAAGAAATATAGGAGCAGGGAATCCAAAAGCGCGAATCCAAAAGGACGACCTGTGAACCCTTGAAGAGTTCAGAATCGCCCGGAAGCCGTCTTTATGTGGGAGGAGAACCCGGATTTAAGCTAAAAAGGGAGCATATAACCGCTATGGTATAGAGCTGCATGTGAGGTCCAAAACGAGTTATGCTCGCATCTTCTTTATGACGAGGTCGAGCGAATTGATGACTGCGCCAAAAGGAGTTTACGACAAACACATGTTCTGTGGGTCGTTCCTTGTCGGCATGCCAGTTATTTCGGGAAGCGAGCGTAATGGGCATATGGCGCGCTGAAATCCATCTCCCCTTCGCTCGCCTACCTTCCCAGGCCATTCCCTCTTCCATCAACTGTCATTGAGGCTTCCCTAAAGACGATATCAAAGACCTACATGGTGTTTGCTCCACTGCTGAAGTGCCGGACATGTACGCACTAAAAAAGTGCCACGGATTTTCGTATGGCCCTTGTGGGATTGAAGAGCACCACGAGCTGAGGTGTGCTTCGTGGCGCGACTTCAAGTAAAGACGCGCTATTCGTAGATTATGTGGAAATAAAACCATATCGCCTTTATTAATGTTTATCGAGCTCCGGAGACTCCGGTTAGAAGGGGGGAAAAGACTTGAGAGAGGAAAGACTGGACCTAAAGGCAAAGAGCGTCTATCGCATGGGTTGCGGAGGTGCTGCGGCGCCAGACTAAAATGGTGGATGGCGAACAAATCGACCCTCCCTTGGAACCGAGACTTTGAAGATCAACAAAATGGCATTTTGCGCTTGACGAAGTCTGGAGATAGTGAGAACGCGGAATGAGCTTCGGCTGCAGTTCGATTCCAAGCCGTAATCCCTCATGGCGCTGGGCGTGCGTTCGTCTCTTTAATATGCACACATCTTACATTTATCTGCTGCATTCTCTAAAATAACACGGGGAGACAGGCTATGTCCCGGGCGGGCGGGTCCACTGGTGTACTAGGCGCAAAAAGGGAGCCCACGGAATGCTGACTTCTAGAAATAAGAAGAGTAGGACGAAAGCGCATGTGGGTCGGATCTTCTTTCGGGAATAGAACATATGCATCGCAAGGTGATGTGCTGAGTTTGGTGGCTATACCTGAGAACGTGGACGAAGGAATCTTGGAATGCAGAACGGCACCAAAAGGCTACCAGGCTCTTCGATGCTTGGCAGGAGCACGACCATACCCTACACTTCTCTGGTACTTGTTAGCTCCTGTGCGTCCAACTCACTAGACTATGTAAATCACTCCTACTCTTCGCCTTCTCTTCTCTCCTCCACAACATCTAGGCTTCGAGCCGCATTCCAAAACCGCGGACCTTTCGACGGCAGCCCTGGAAAAAGAAGATTTTGACTAAAACGCGACCGGTCACGGAATATGGAGCGCGGCTGGCTACGAATATCAGTTCGTCAACATACGGAGGCAGGGGCAGCCCGTTCGGAGCGAGGCGTGATCTCAGTCCGGACTTCCCCGTTTCCTAGATACCCATGCCTCCAGGTCCCGCGCTTCCACCAGGGAGTATATAAACTCCCTACACTTCCTCTCCCGCAGCCCCCACTGTATCCCCTATCCTCCTCTTGAGGCACTAAAACTTGTCCGAGGCTGACGACATGGTTGGATACTCCAAAATCAGTGCGCAGATTGGGTCATGTGTCTCTGGCCTGCAGGAGCTCCTCCCCAATTGGTGTCTTCCAAAGCAGCTAGTTAGGGTGATTCTGTGGACTACCAGGATGTATACGAGAGCGACATGTTCGGCTCTCTAGGGGCCTTGGAAGATCGCGAAGGGGAAGTGTACGAGGACCACCAAAACCAGAATATGACGCGCGCACGGGAGGGGCGAACGGAGGAGAGGAGAGTATCACAAGGCCAGAAAAGCGGGGGAGAAGCAAACACTGCCAACATGTCCAGTCTCTCTCCTTCGAGGTCATTCATAAACGCTTGCCAGCCTTGTACAGCTCCACGACACACTACGAAGATCGTGGCAGCTCCAAATTGGATCAAAATTTCCTCCCAAAGACTGCATGATCGGTTTCTCCAAAACCACCAAACCGCGATATCATGTCCGTCTTCTCCAAACGCCCCCGAGACGTCTCACCTTGGTGAAGCCTTGCGGGGGGCCAAAGCAAATCCCACCAACCGCAGACTAATGTGTGGCTCTCGGCGTCTTTCAACAACGACAGCGACGAAGGCAAGCGAGTAGCAGAATCGGATCTTCCGATCAAAGGGCGAAATGGTAGTGATGGGAATGTATACACGCCATCAACGAGCTGTCCGCATCAGTACTAGAATAGACGCCTGCTATTGTACATGTGCGGCACGTCTTCGATCGAAAACCGCAATCGCCATACCAAAGAATCTCTCCATAGTTTCGCATAGCAACTCTGCGGCGCACCGCCGACGAATCGAGTGGATAAGCTCGATACCCTCGTCTCCCTTCTACGCTCCTACAACAATTTCTTCCCAGGAACGTGGAGCGTAAAACGTCGGAAGAGAGGGGTTCATGCTTTGCTTCTCTAAAAACTCGCGAGAGAGGTCTTCATGTGGGCACCCTCTGAGAAAGCCAAAATCATCCAAGTATGCTGGCATGAGGTCCTTCGTGCTCCAGCATCCAAAAGCCGTCATGCCGCCTAGTGTGATAAAATTCGGGAAGAAGGATAGAGTGACCCGCTAAAGAGGAAAGTGCATTGGCAGCGCGCGGCTTCGCTGCATCAACACCCAAAGTACCCGCACATAAAGATGTAAGGGCTCCGGATCGGGATGGTTTTCATACCGAAAGACTGCACTGCGTTATGACATGCTCGCTTACTTCCCGCCCTCGAGGGCTATATAAACCCTCTCCTCCCTCACCCTCCTGCGATTTTCACAGCAATCTACAAGGAGAGCAGGGGAGGATCTAAAATGATTGTCTTTCCCTCTAATGCGTTGCGGCTCCAGAAACTCAACATCTGGAAAGCGATGTGGAGTCTCCGTTGGGAACTAAAGCAAGACATGGGAGTGGACATGGTGTGCTCTGCGCCTGGGAGTCGAAAAGGCACGGATGCCAGCGCAATGGTACTCCGGCCGCGAGACTACTGAAAAGTTGAATTGTGTGAGAGATGAGAGATGAAACAAACGATGGAGAAGCGGAATGGTCGACTACGCTCGGGCAGAAAGCATCGAGATTGTCGTGCATGCGACACTTCGGTCGATCGATCGAAGACCGGAATAACCGCACCAGAGAGGTAGACACAGTATAGCTGCCTCTCGCCGTTTGTAGAAGGAGGAGATAAACCCCTTTTCTCTCCTCCGTATAGTCCTCACTCCCGAGTCCAACATACCTGGCTGCACGTACAACAAGTTCCACATGGAAACATGTGGAGAACCCCTGGAAACTACAAGATACTACAGAGAGAGACCATGCTGTGCTCTGTGCTCTCGAGTCTAAGGCGCAATGGCATCGCCGTATGTCTCACGAAGGGCGCAAAACCGCTCTGTCCACTAATTATGTGGGAAGAAAGGGGGAGAGTGCTGCCATATCTGGATTAAGCAACGCGCGGTCAATGATTAAAAAAAACAAACTCGCAAGAAAGATGGCGGACTGGCCTTGCAATGAAGCCTACACCTGGCGTACCAAAAAGCCGCATGGTTTTCGGAATATGGCCGCTTCGCACCTCTCCCCCGCCCCGAAGGAAATCATAAATCCCCTCTCCACGCACCCCTTCAAACTCCCGACAACATCTCCCAGCCAGGGCTCTTAGGGTCTAAAACGTGCTCCTGCAAGTACCGATGTGTCTGGGTTCTCTAAAAAAATGCCTGCTCCACCCGCATGCGGGGGAGTCCTGGAGTAACCGAAAGAAAGTAGAAGAAGACTTGATGTTCAGCCCAGCCAGACGGAGGCACCAAAAGAACACCGCACTCGACATCATGCGGGACGAGAAGTCCAAAAACCGACTATGACAGTGGTATGGGTGCTCTGGAAGTCCAGACGGGAGGAGAGGAGAGCGAAAGCGATACAGTATCGGCTTATGGCCTGTTTTGTTTGGTTGCGGAATCATACATTCAAAAGCATCGTTTTCCTCGAAAAAGGAAAACCCAAGGCGTATGCGCAACACGTCTGGCAAAGAAGAGAAGAGAGCACAGCGCCTCGTCTGCAAAACTCCATAAATACGAACACCATGCTGGACCTTAGCACGGCTCCTTCCTTCCCTTCCGCTCCTGGCACATCTCGTCCGTTCGCCAGCATCACCACGCTCTACTGGCAGTGATAATACTGATCATCACAACACCGTCTCCCCACCCTCGGTTCAGCGCGAAACCTCTCCTTCACCTTCGCCCAGCAGGTCCTCGCCCTCTGCCTCAACGAGCGCTTCGTCTCCCCTCCCCTCTCCTCAACACGCTGCTCTTCGCCCTCCAGAACGCTCGCCGCTTTCCCATCCCCCTCCCAATCAACACTTCTCGGCACATCAGAACCTCTAGATCGCGTTCGCGTTCGCGTTCTCGAAAGCAGCGGCGTCGTCTCGCCCTCCTCACTCCCCTCCTCATCCCTCGTCCCAAGCAGCAGCAGCGGCGCCATCTCCCCCTGCCCCTCCTTCCTTCCACCCTTCCCCTCCTGCAGACTCATAAGCCACTCCGCCCTGCCCCTCCCGTATTCCTCCTCCGCCCACCCCGGCTCGCCCTCGATCGGCTTCCCCTCCGCATCCCGATCATCCAAGCGTACAGATTTGGAGCGCGCGCGCGGATACGTCCGCTCCATTCCCGCCGGGGTGAACGGGCGCTGGCAGGTGCATGGGCGTACTGCGGCGCTGGGGCGGGGGCAGCGGTCTCTGTCGCTATCGCTATCCCCGTCCTTGGTTGGGCGCGGTGCGGGGGATGGCGAGGCTTCGTGGTGCTTTTGCTTTGCCTTTTCGTTGGCGGGGGATGGGACGGGGGGATGTGCAGGATCTTGATGATGATACGCCGGGGGTTGGACGGGCAGTCTTCGTCTCGGGCTTTCTGTTTGTGTGCTCTGCATCTGTAGTTGTTGTGTTGGAGGACACGGTTCGGTGCTGAGGTAGTGGCTCACTCCTGGGTAGAGGGCGTGCATGTCGTGCGACGTTGAGGATGCGTGTGGACTTTTGGTTTTTTGGCGTGACAGCGTAGAAGGAGAATGATTCCCCTTCAGAGAAAAGATACGTTTGCGTTTGTGGTGGATGCGGCTTCGTAACGTCGAGTGGTGCGTGTAGAAGGGTGGGAAGAGTGTAGAGCGTAAGGACGAGTCGAGTGCAGAGAAGACGGCGCCACAAACTACAAAAATAATAAGAACGACGAAAACCAAGGCTCGCTGCGCCTTTTCAAGAAACACACGTACCGTACCAAACAAGCCACGATGACTCAAGTATTCTCACCTCAACTGGCTAGCTCTACCACTCCACACCAGGGGCGCCGAGTATTTCTCACCCGAAATTCGATGAACTTCTAACCGAGAGAGCGATACCGACCAAAAAATATCAAATATTTTTCCACATTCTTCTTCATAGATGGATGCTTAACCCCCCAAAATGATGCATGCAGCAAAGGTATAAATCGATTGGGCACCGGGAAAATGCAATAGGTCAAAAGATCATGCATACGACCCACATGTTTTCATCCATCCACATTGCAAGAATGAAGCAAGCCCTACTTTTGTCTCGAGAACTTTTGGGACACTTGCCGCCCGAAAACGCCCTATACCCGGCCAAAAGATGTACAAGCGAAGAAATATAGACGTGGCTCAGTCCTTAGCGGCCGGACCTAGCTCGCGTCTGTGCTCTCCTCTTTTTCTGCGTTTCTGTGCAAAGTATTAGCGATCCATTCAGGTTAAAGTAGAGAACCATGGACACATACCTTCATCGTAGACAAGGAACTCGTGCAGTGCGTTGCCCCCTGGCACCATGGGCAGCACCGGCACCTTCTGGTCCGTTACAATTTCTAGCAGCGCCGGACCCTCCGTGTTGAGCAGCCACTTGAGCTTATCTTCCAACTCGTCGGGCTTAATGCAGCGGTCCGCTTGGATGCCCATGGCCTCGCTGAGCTTCACGAAATCTGCGTTCCGCTGGTGCGTGTGCGAGAAGCGGTCTTCGTAGAAGAGGGTTTGCCATTGGGTGACCATGCCCTGCTCCTCGTTGTTCAGGACGATGATCTTGACGCCGATGTCGAATTCCGCCGCGGTCGACAGCTCCGTCAGGGTCATGCTGAAGGAGGAGTCGCCGTCAATGTCGATGACGAGAGCGTCGGGGCGCGCAACCTTTGCGCCAATGGCTGCGGGCAGACCGTAGCCCATGGTACCCAGACCGCCGGAGGTGATCATGGTGCGCGGATACTTCCATCGGTAGTGCTGAGCTGCCCACATCTGGTGCTGCCCGACACCTGTTGTGATGACGGTCTTGTCCTTGATGGGCTCGGTGAGCGCCGAAAGCTTCTCCATGATGGTTTGCGGCTTGATGAGGCCATTCTCGCCCTCTCGCTCAAATGCAAAAGGGAAGCGCGCCTTCCAGTCCTTGATCTGCGCAAACCACTCAGGCCTCTCCTTGACCTCCTTAACGAGAGGAATGAGATGGGCGAGGTTTGTCACAACGTCACCTTCGACGGCCTCGGTCGCCTGCACAACCTTGTTAATGTTCTTGGGCATGATCTCAAAGTGGATGATGCCGCCACGGCCTTCCGCAGCCGCAGCCTTCGCGGCGGGAGCGAATTTCGCGACGCTACCTGTGATGCGGTCGTCGAAGCGGGCACCAAGGGCAATGATGAGATCGGCTTCCTGCATCGCCATGTTGGCGTACGCGGAGCCGTGCATACCAAGCATATGCAGAGACTTCTCGTCTAGCTCGTCGAACGCGCCTAGACCTTGGAGAGTGGTCGTTACAGGGATTTGTGCCTTTTCGACGAGCTCCTTCAGCAGCTTTGGAGCGTCGGGTGTGCTCACCATGCCCTGGCCGGCCAAGATGATGGGCTTTTTCGCAACGTTGAGCAAGTTGGCCGACCGCCTGATAGATGTCTCGAGCTGTTTCCTGCTCATCTCCTTTGCGGCGAGGGTGGCTGCGCTCGGGTGCGTAGGGAGAGTGCTGGCCATAGGGATAGGCCGCGAGAGGGTGCCGCCAGTGACGTCCTTGGGCAGATCAACGAGCACAGGTCCGGGCCGGCCTGTCGTAGCGATCTCAAAGGCCTCGTTGATTCTCCTCGGCAGCTCCGCAATGTTCTTCACCATGACGTTCCACTTCGTGCATGCTCGCGTGATGCCAATAGTATCTGCCTCCTGGAAAGCGTCGGATCCGATGGCGGCGGTGACGACCTGGCCGGAGAAGACGACCATGGGCGTGCCGTCCATCAGCGCATCCTGCATGGGTGTGACGACGTTCGTGGCGCCGGGGCCCGAGGTGACGAGGACAACGCCGGGCTTGCCGCTTGCGCGGGCATAGCCCTCTGCCATGTGGCCGGCGCCCTGCTCGTGGCGGGGGAGGACGAAGTCGAAGTGCGGCGAGTTGTATATGGCATCGAAGACGGGGAGAATGGCACCGCCCGGGTATCCAACTGAGTCACATTAGCCTTAGAAATTTCCACGCACACGACCGCGCCCAATTGCGGCGCAATTGAAGAGGGATGCACGTACAGATGTGCTTCACGTCCTGGCGGAGCATCATCTCGTGGAAGATCTGCCCGCCATTCATGCCCACGAACGAATGGTCCATCTGCTGGTGGCGGTACGGCCTCAAGGGCTGGACATCGTAGTCCTCTCTGTTGAAGGCGGGCGACGGCCGCGCCCGCGGTTCCTGCTTCGTCGCCGCCGCCGCGGTGCTCTGCGGCCGCTTCGCATCTTCCTTGACGACCTTTGTGCCCGCAGCCTGCACAGTTCTCCGGTACGGCGAAACGGCGAACCTCGGTGACGATGTCGAAAACCCGCGTGCGCCTTTCAGGGCCTGCAGGGCTCGGTGTCTGGACTGCATGGCTGCGCGGGGCGTCCTCGCGGACTATAAGAAGAAGAAACGAAAGCCGTGGGAGCGGAGAGCGTGGGATGGGCAGAGAGTGAATTGGCTGCTCTCGTGGGTGAGTGGGCGAGAGGCGCGTTTTTGATTGCCTGCGAATTGGATTGAGTCAACGGCCGCCCGTCTGCCGGTGCGACTCCACACGAGCGAGGCAAAAATTGGCAAAAGCGGCGTCACAGAACCCCGCGGGTGATTCGCCATCTGCAGCTTCTCCACATGGCCGCTTTGCGCCCCTCCCCGGTGTCGGAGCCCGCGTTGACGTTGACGACAGCTGCCATCGGATGCATGCGAACCCACCCGTCAGACCAGTCTACCCGTCCATGAATCCTCCACCACACGTCCCCGAACGAGCGCGGAGCCACGGCCGTGCCGCAAGCGGAGATGAGCGACGCCGTGGTATATACAGGCCCTCTTCCAAGATATTCTCGCTGTGCAACAACCGCAGCTAACACTTGACGCCCGCAGTCGCCGTCCCCCGCCGATCGACCAGAGGCCCTCTCGACGCCGAAATAGACGAGTACGACGCCTCTTCCATTCAGCCGTCCGTAGCGCAGCAGCATGTCCACTGACGACAGCGCGCAGTCCGCTGGCCGCGAGCCTGCACGCCAGCATCCCGCAACGCGTCCTGCCACCCACGGCGTCGGAGGCGTCCCCGCTGTCGCCGCACGATGGCGTTAAGAGCCCCGTTGCGGACACCATGCCGTCGAAGGACTTCTCCTTCCTCCAGGACCCGCAGGCATACCACGCCCTGCCCGCGACCAACGTCCCGCCGCCCTTCCTGAACGCGCCGAATATCCCGCCCGTGTCGTCGCCGCTGGACTCGCTGCTGCTGTCCGGCCACTACCGGCTCGCCGCCATCGCCGCGGCGCGGAACCTCGTCGCCGCCGCAGCGCCCACAGACTACGACACGCTTTTCCATCTCCTGCACGTGCGCCTCGCGTGTCTGTGTCTGATCTCCGAGCACGCCCTCGCGGCGCAGGAGTCCAAGGTATTGGGTGACTTAAACAGCGCCTTCTACCGCCACCCCTTGACCGACGCGCACCTCGTCCCCTGGGACCTGCGCCTGCTCGTAGTGCGCCTCGCAGCCCTCGGCTACGGAGAATGGAGGAAGGGCATAATGGGCTACTACGAGCTCGCGCGCGAATGCCGGGAGAACATCCTCAGGGCCGACGTAGAGGACGAGAGGAAGCTGTGGCGGACGCGGCTGCGCGACTGCGGTATACGCGTTGCCAACGCGCTGGTGGAAATGGGTGATCTGGAGGCAGCAGGGCGGCATCTGGGCACCTTGTCCGGGGCGCCAGAAGACCGGGACGTTTTGACCATGGAGACCTTGGTCTGGCTGCGGGTAGGCGATATCCGGGCCGCGCGGCACTGTCTCTCTGCTGCGTCGCAGGTAAAGCCCGATGAGCTGGTCGACAGCTCCCTTGAAGCTCTGATGCAAATGGCGAACAACGAATATACAGACGCCGCTTCTGCTTTCCAAGCACTGCACGACAAGTTCCCCGAGGATGCTATGGTGACGCAGAATCTAGCAGTTAGTCTGCTCTACACGGGCCACATTTCAGAAGCCAGGGAACTGCTCACAAAGCTGGTGGATGAAAGCCCGCCATTCCACTCCCTGGTCTTCAACTTGAGCACCATCTTCGAGCTATGCACCGAGAGGAATAGGGACAAGAAAGCAGCGCTCGCCGAGAAGCTCGCGACAAGGAAGGTGGACGGGAGTGTAGGATGGGAGTTAGGAAGCGCCGACTTTAAGCTATGAGTGTCTACTAGGTATTCTAGGTAGTCTAATTGATAGACGTCAACGCACAGCGTGGTGGTTGGTGGGCTCCGCATTATTCCTCACGTGCTCTACCGAGCAACAGGAATTGTCAGGCACGCTGGACCGTCAAATATCAGGGCACCACTACATTAGCCAGCTACCCTTAAATATGCTACTTTGCATTTGCACATGCAGTCCCTAGCTCCATCCAGCTCCGCCCATGCTCCACCAAGCCATGCATGCCCGTCCGCAGACTAGAACACAAGACAGACAAACGAAAAGTAGGTGTGAGAGTGAGTATAGACAGTCATCCATAGGATGCGTCTGAAACGGACAGATACTGTGATCGCCAAAAAAATTGGACACAAACACTGTTATCCAGAAGCCAATCCACCCGATCCCATCATTTTGCCAACTCCTACAGCGGTTGCTGAAAAACCTGGCGCGCGCTCTAAAGAATTGAGCAATCTTGTTCGGCTAGATTCGATTCGATCGTCCGCAATGTAGGTCTGGTCTAGAAAAAGGATGAACGCCGATGCGCGATTGCTGTTGCTTTGCTATGCTGTGCCCAACATGTTGCCGGATAACACCGTTCGAATGTTTAGTGGGAGATCATCATCCCAAAGCACTCTGCATCCGCAGGTCCCACAGTCACAACTCCTCGTCTTCCTCCATCTTAGTCTCGAGACCTGACGCTGCAACATTGCCTTCGGACTTGTTCCTCTCTTTCTGGGCCGCCGCTAACGTAGCGCCCAAGCTCTTGCGCGTGCTCTCATCAAAGCCTGGTAGCGATGCACGTTGCTTCTTAAACGGCGAGCCTATGGTACCTTCAGACCCAAGGTCAGGAACTGATGATTTGGCGGTGGTAGACGAAGCCTCAGCTGGGGTATCGGACGTCGAGGCGGGGGTGCCGGAGATAGGCGATCCAGAGCCACCGCGCGCAGCAGTTGTTGCTGCTGGCTGAACCAAGGGTTCGGCCGAGTGTTGGCGTTTGAGCTGTTCAATGAGCACATGGGATCACAAATATATTTGGAAAACTAACCTTGATCTTCCTCACGCCTTCCGCGAGTTCACCTTGCCTAAGAGCATCCTCTGGTGATAGCATTCCCTTGCCACCCTCATCCTTATCCTCCTCTACCTCGTCGACCTTGACCTCATCTTCATCATCGGCGTCACTATCCATGGCGTCTTCGCTCTTCTTCTTAGCCTTGTCGTCTTTCTGCGAAGGATCGCGGTAACCGCCGAAGTTCTTGGTGCCCGCTGATGCGTTCAGTGGCTTCAGGATGCTCAAGTCGAGAGCCCCCGATTTCCTTCGTGAGGCGACCGGTGAAGAAGCTTGTGCCTTCTCTGGGGCGAGAATGCCCATCTTCCTAAGCTGGCCTGGTCCTTGTTAGATTTGTTACAAGTATATTTGCCGAAGCACTTACGCTCCCCTCGGTACAAGAAGGTAAAGACAGCATATGGTTTGTCTGGAGGGTCAATGCCGGTCACAGTCTGCGTGCTGATAGACTTGGGGTCTAGTGTCTTCGGCTTGGCGAAACTCGTAGTGTGATCCACATCGTCGCCCTCTCCGCCGCCGTTTTGCGTCGAGCTATCGTCGTCGTCATGCGCGTCGAACTGCGGAGAGTACTCGCCCCGCTTGATCTCGCCACTAGCGAGAACGCGGAATAGAGCAACCTTGATCTGGCCTGCCGCCTCTGGCTGTGGTGGCTCGTCGTCCGAGTCCGAATCAGACGTGAAGAAGTCCTCGTTCCCTGACAGCGTTTCGACTGGTGCGTCCTTGTCCTCGCCGTATCTCAGAACGCCATTGCCATGCATCTTGGACTCCTCCTCCTCCTCGCTGCCTCGTGCCTCCCTCTTTTTCCTCCGCTTCTTCTCGAGGCGTTGCTTCCTCCGCTCAATCTTCGCTGCTACGTCCTTGCCCTCGAGGTCCAGTCCATTCAGCCACCGCTCCAATCCGACCTCGCGAAAGAGAAACTCACGCTCGGCCAAACCGCCGCCCTCTGACTCCGGCACGCTAACCCACCGTGAGTTCACCCATGTCTCTTCGCCGCGGCGCAGCAATGTCGCCACCTCCTCCTTAGCCCTGCCATCGAAGTATATATAGGCGGCGATTGTCTCGTTGGGCGATGACGTGAGTGGTTTGTAGGGAGGTATCACCGCGCCGTTGCTGCCCCGCTCGCTGCTGAGGCCTGGCAGGCCGCCTACGACTTTCGGCCGTGGGTGAAGATTGTCTGGAGTGGCTTTGGGGGTTGAATACGGTACGTGGAGACCTGGGGTGAGTAGTGTAATTGAGATAGCGAATGTGGACTGCTCCGGCTTGCTCGAGCCTGGTGGTACCTTTGCGGGCGGCACTGGAATGTACGACGTAATGCGATGAGCTCTTGACTGCTTTTGTATGGAGTACTCGGGAAGCGGGCCAGACGGCGTGTGTATGCTGACCGCGAGCCCTAGGAAGCAGGGCATGGTGGGCGGGTATGGACTGCTATATCGGGTGAGAGCGCGGAGGCTATGCGGAGATGAAGGCGGGACGCGGCTTGGAGCGCCTCGGCACGCTTCAGGTGGATCTTCGCAGTTTCGTAAGAGCTGGGGCAAGGTGAGGAGTTGGCCGGCTGCGTTGTGCAAGTTTTGGTTGCAGACAAACGCCCGAGCCTGGGGCGTGGTGTCGAGGCGCAGAGCGTTCGTTGCGGGAGGCGGGCAAAGTGAGTGCGATATTCTTCGGTGAGCGCCAATCACGAGATAGGCACGGCGGCGCGTGATGAGTCGACGCCTTCAGGAAGCCTCGCGCATCTCAGGCATACACAGCGGGCGCAGGGCAAAAGGGTGAGTAACGGTCGGCGTGGTGTTGTACTGGGCACAGAGTTCGCGGAGACTCATGTTGTCAAGCGAGGCTCTGGTGCGGGGTTTGATTGGTGCTTTCACTGTATTCTGCGGCCTGCACCACGATGCAACGTGCTGGGCGACGCGTGCAGATGCAGCATTGTATTGTAGACACCAGCAAAGAGATATTTGGTCAGAACCAAAAGCTCATCCCCAGCCCGCTGTGCTAATGTTTCGCGTTTTTGCAGGCGTTACAAAGCAACGGACATGCACGCTGCATGCGCAGGCACCAGCTGTAGACTCATATATTTGCTTTTTTATCTGTGGCGTTACCAAGGGTATCATATAGTCAAATCGCCAACATCCCATGCTATGTAAAAGCGCCCGTTCCGCCTGTGGACGCTGGCAGACCAGAAGAATGGATGAGGCCCGCCGCCGCGGAGACAGAGGTAGAGCAAGTTCCTCGCTTTCAAGTGCAGCTCCATCACTTACTAACGACCGTACAGCGTCTTCCCAAGTCCAACGGAGCACGCAGGGCATGCTATCAATAGTGGACTTGATGAAAGGGGTAATATGCGCGCCCAATACACGGGCCGATTGGCTGCAACCGGTAATATCTAACGAGGAGCTGTTGGATCGGATATGGAATAACGGCGTATCAAGTCCTATCGAAATGCCGGTGAGCAGTGCTCACTCCTCGTCGGAAGCGAACATATCCTCTGCCTTGGGTCGGAGCCGCCGAGCCCTGGCAGCCGCAGTCTCCCCAGGAATCTCTGATGGAGCAAGTGCCTGCCTAGGCTCTTCAGATGCTGACTCTTCCTTCGGCTCTGAAGCCACTGTGGGCTGCTCAGGGGGGATGGACGGATCTGCAGCCTGGACAGCATCTGGAGACGGTGGCTCATACGGCTCATCGCTCGCCCCATCTTGACCATCGCCAGGAGCACCAACGCCATTATCGACATCCATCTTGTCCTCGTCTTCTCCACTCCCTGTATTAGCAGGTTTTCGGGGGACAACGCCTTTTCGCTGTCTCCTCCGCTCGGCCTGCTTCCGCTCCTGCTCTTCCTGCTCCTTCTCCCTCTTGCGGGCATTGAAGGCGTTGTCTAGATGCTCCAGTATATTCTTTTCGAACAGATGCTCTTCTTGCCAGATTTTGAGGATTGCGTTCACGTCATCTCGATACTGAGTTTCCCCCATCCGACCCATTGATAGCTGGGCCGGAAGAGTCTCCAGGTATTCGAACACTTTGCGCTCGACGAGCTGTGAGCCTATAGCAATTCGATATTTATAACACATTCCAGACTCTTTATTCGTAGTAAGAGCGACGTCCGAAAGAACACGAAGAGCATTGGTCGTGACCTGGGGTATCTGACCACGCTTGCGGGCATCGTCCTCGCCATCCTGTACATCTGCACGATGCTTTGGGTTGGCTCTCGTGAAGTAAAACGGTTGCAGTATGTTCGAAATAAGAAGGTGGACCACCTCGTCCAGACCTTTCGTGACATGGTCCACTGCAAAGACGGAAAAGGCGGCTATTTCTTCTGATAATGCGCTGCTAGGTGGTAGCGTGGCCAGCAGCCATATCAGTAGCGTCCGAGACCGAGGGTTCATTATCCCATAGGCTGTATCAACGCGGCCGGCATAGTTCTCGCCGATGGGTATAGTCACCCGCGCCGGCTTCTCCTCCTCTTCCTCGTCTGACTCGTCATATGTGTGGTTGAGATCCCACAGACCACTAGCATACTCATCCATCAGCGGCTCCTTCGGGCCTTTCCAATCTGGCTGGCGGTGGAATAACTCTGGACTAGTCGTAGAAGTTACTATTTCGTGCAGCCGCCAGCGATAATAGCGATTAAGCGGGTGCTTCTGGTTGAAAAGCCATGCGAATCGCTCTTCTTCCTGAACTTGGGGATCTTCCATCAAGGCAGCTTCGAACTCGGGGCCGCCAAGAATGACACCTTCGATGGTCTGATGTATAAGTTTGAGCGTTGCAAGATCCGGTGGAGCATTTGCGGTAACCACTAGGCGCTTGTTCATGACTTCTTCACGTGGCCGTTCCCTATTGACGCCTCCAAGGTCTGGTGGGGGAGCATATCCCTTCGATATCTCCACATCTATCAGAGTAGCACCAAATGGCTCCTCCTGCTGTTTTGTGCTCATGCTACGGCCACCAAGATATCGATCAAGATGCAGGTAGTATCCCTTCCCCAGATATTTCCTGTCATTCATCTTGTTCATTGCGTCGTCGAGATCTCTGGCACTGGCATCTTTGTCAAATATGACCTTCATGGAGGCGGTCGGCCGGCCTTTGTGTGACGGGCTCGAAGGACGTGACGGCGGTATCGGTTCGACTTTCGTAACCTTGAGGGACGGGAAATCGGAGAAAAGCTCTCCTACGCGGCTACGGTCGATCGTGGGCGGCAGATTCGAAGCCTTCGCTACTACCGTCGTGTATACATTCTCCTCCTCTCTATTACCCTCCAGGCCCGCGGGTCCTCGAGGCACGGGGGCCCCAAATCTTGAGTGCGGCGGGAGACCGAAGCCTCCTGGAGGGCCGGGTCTGGAGAAACCTATTCCAAGTTCCGCGTCGAGTGTTCCTGGGCCGCTCTTCATTGACTTCGGCCGCCCCGTGAAGTGTCTCTTAGCGCCCGTTGGCACGAATACGTCTCTTTCAGCTTCGTTGTCTCGTTCCGTCTCCCCAAGCACGCCTTTATCGTCGCCATGCTCCTCCATGAAGTCCGCCATGACCTTGTCCAGCGCATTCTTCTCCTCGCGCGCTTTCGCATCTTCTTCGGCTTTGGTCTTCGAGCCTGGCTGCGGCTTGCCAGCCTTGTTGAGGGATATCCGGAATGCCATATTGACAGCTACACGGCTCCGAGGATGGTGCTTCGGGGGGTTGTACGAATTCACACTTTCTGGTGCTGTCGGAACAACCTCCGGAGTGGCCTGTGCGTTGGCGTCGATCACTTAGCGCGCCGTAGATGCCTTGGCCGTTAAAGGATCCGGACGTCGCACAACCTGCGTTCGAACTATCAGACGAGCACGATTCACGGGCAGAATGGCTTCAACCCAGGATATACAGTCCCTCCTGCGCTTTTTGTCTCAGGATGCCAAGGTGCCGTTGGCTCAGGCCATAAGCAAAGTAAAGGACCTCCAGAACGCTAAAATTATCACGTGAGCACCAGTCATTCTCGCGATCCCGCGCCGCTAACGCGTCAAGACCAACTGAAATTGCCAAAGCAGAATTTGATAATCTCAAGACCATCTTCGGTGACGAAAAGCTAGCGCGGCAAGTTCTCAACGCCGCGAAACGGGTCTCCAAGAAGCGAACATCGAGCGATATGTCAGCACCGGCTGTCCCCGCACCAGTAGTCAAGAAAGCCAAACCTTCGTACGGCGAACCGCTGAACCCTGCACAATACGAAGCCTCTTTGGCACTTCCAGAGGCAGAATTAGACGAAGCAAAGCTCAAAGAAGCAGTCATCTTCACGAACCGGGCACCGCTGGTCATCGCATTTGCCGTAACACTGCTCAAGTACACCATGCCCGAACAGCCACTATCAAGCAGACTAAGCCTTGCACAAGCACTCTGCAGTGCTAATAGTACAAGCAAGGCCAGAAATATCGGTTTACAGTCGGGGAAGTCAGCCGAGGAAGAAGGCTGGGGTGAAGGACAACCATATGTCACGATTATGGGCCGCCCCATCAGGGTGATGAAGCGGTGGGGTTACAATTCAAAGGAAGACGGCGAAGAAGCTTCGAGCCAAGATACGATTGGCGCATCTACGCAGAACACCATCCAAGCAGAGTCCAGCGTCCCCGAAGAACCCGCCCTATGGGGCCTGGATCTGGAAGCGCTCAAGAAGTCCAACGGACCCGTAATAGCCGGAGCACGTAAGACCTCCACCACCGAGCTCCCGATCTACAAACCAGAGGGAGCTAGGGCGTATCTGCTCAAGTCATTCCAGACGAAACAGCCGGCGCAGGGACACGGCGTGGTTCCCAAGAAGAAGATGGTCACCGATAAGGAGCGGAATCTTGGTATGCTTCTTGGAGCTCTAGATTTATTGTGCCAGTCATGGGCGCATATCTTAAGCAAGGATGACCTAGATAGGCGGGCGTGGGTCTGGTATTGTAATGTGAGGCCCGAGGTTAAGCCTGGTGCTGCCGGATGGGGAGGGAAGGGGGAGGTCAAATTGGTGGAGGTGCTCGAGCTAAGGCGGCCGGCGGTTTGAATTGTGATTGGTACTATGAGGGCTTTAATATCTACTGCTCATAGTCGGGGTTATGAGTGACGAGACAAGGGAGACTCTATGTCTCAGTCACAATCTTGATTTGCGCGGGTACGGAGCAAGAGCTACTCATTTTCCTAGGTTTAGCCTCTTTCGGACCTTTGATGCGGTGGATCTTCTTGGACGTTGACGATAGCAGCACAAGGTTGTGAATTGTCACCCCAACCCAAGCCGTCGGCCAGTCCCGGCACAGATTTCAGAAAGATGATCTCCAGAAGCAGAGCGGAAGCCGTTTCACCCACCATGTAACGCTCGTCCACGCATCAGCCTGATCCTCCACTTCGTGCGAGTCTTTCGCAGGCGCCCTAATCACCGGACGGGAACTCTGTATCCAAGCAATCGCGTGCCACACGATACCTCGCGGCGAAACACGACAAAGCTGAAGTTACTTAACTTTAGTGGAATTGCCAGCTCACTTCATTGGTTGGCTTCGAGCCAATCTTGTATCGGACAAGGCTGAAGCTGAATGCGGAAGCCTGTCGCAAGGCTGAGCTGAGCTTCAACCCCGCCTTTCCTGCCTTCCTCCTCTACCAACTTACTCTATGCAAATGAAGAGCTTCATCTCTTCCGATTTCGTCTCAAGATGAGCTTTGGCTACAGTGTGGGCGACTTCTTCAAAGTCGTCGAGCTTGCGTACAAGGTGGGCGCACCAGTCTTCATATCCTCGAGTCACTGCTCCGCAGGTCCATTCCGCTCAGCCTCGCAGCCGTGTTTCTGGAAGCATGGTGCTCTTGAATATATAATACTGACGGTATAGATCTATGAGAAATGCCAGAACGCTACATCCGAATTTCGAGACCTCGGCCGCGATGTCGGCAACGCCCACATAGTCCTCCGAACGGTTCACGTCTTCTGGAAATCGGAAGAGAGTAGAGATCGCCCATTACTCCGGCCACAAGTGGAAGAGCTGCGTCAGCTAGCGGAAAATTGTCAGGAAGTGCTGAAGGAGATCGAGGAGATACGAGAGAAACATAGTGACCTTGGAACAAGCGAATCTCTCGCGGCTCGCGTCAAAAGTCGCTCGAGATATATGGTCGGCGACCTCATCCATAATTTTGGGTCGGTGAGAGAAAGGCTACAACGCTATACCTCCAACCTTGCTCTGTTTCACACAATGTTAACGTGAGAGCTTCCCCGACCTACATATATCATATGACTAACACTCCACAGTACAGACGTCTTGCGCGAGGCCACTGATGAGCACAAAAGCGCACTAGCTTTCCTTACAGAGCAGGCACATATCATGAGTGCTATTGTAACGACATATCAAGAGTTCCAGGAAGGCAAGCGAGCGGAGCCAGCATATTCTCAGGTGTCAAGAACTGCAAATGCGGAAGACCAGACCATGCAGGCTATCGCGGCAGCCGAGCAAGAGCTCTGCGAGCAGGGGATCGACAAGTCCGCCTTCCAGAATCATCGTGGCCTCATTAAGGAATGGCTCGAGACCGTGATCTTGTCTGCTGATGAAGAGGGGGACCAGGACGATGGAAAAGCAGCCGTGATGCCCCCTTCGGACCCGGGCGGACCCGAGTCACCCCACACATCCAAGCAGATGCCGATAAGAGAAGAAACCCAGACAAGATATCCAGCGAAGACTCTACCAGACCCTGACGTTGCAAACACGGACCCACTCCCTCCACATCTAGTACCGAAGCCTACCTCGATGAAGCGGTCTTCGAGCATGAGCACACATCGAAGTCAGGAAAGTACCTGGAGGCCTAGGGAAGCATCGCAGACGGACGACTACCCAATACTGATGATTTCCAAGGTCCTGCGTTCCAAGTACGCGCCTTCTACGGGAGGTGAGCCCTTCACTCTACCGCTGAAACGAGCCTTCAATGCTCTCGACCCTACCAACCGTGGGTGGCTGGCACGAAAGACTGTGGAGCAAAATCTCTCGGGCACTGCCAGTAGATTAGGCGTGCCACTGAAGGACGGAACATTGGCCGCTATGATTAAGTCCGAGGACGAGAAGGAGGGAAAATCAGATTATCGCATCGACGTGGACGAATTCATCAACATCGCCCTACAGCTTCGCCAGTATGTCTGTTCAACAAACGAGAGACTGTCACGTGCGCGAGGATTACAGTTGGCCGTGGCGCACGTGCTCAGTTGGCAGAATGGCCTGGAGGTCAAAGCCATTTCGGGACTCTGGGAACTTCGCCCCGGCAATTACTATCAGCGCTCTGGCATCCCTTATCCATACAAGCTTCAGGGCTATGGCTGGGGCTTTTCGCGAGCCTATCCTCCAGTGTACGAACATCGGTTTGGAGGCCCACTCAAGAATGGAGGCTTTCCACTATCACAAAACATCACGAACGCTCTCTACCTCGCAACAAACTTTTGCGTGGACGGGATAAATTTCACATTGAGTGAATGGCAGAAGAAACTTGAGGATTCGCCCTCAGAGATCAAAAGCGAGATTTTCGCACCCCTCGACATGTCTCTTGAGGTTGCTACTCTATTCCACCGGTATGTTGCCGATAATGAGACTCGCGGGCTCCACTGGTTGGACGAATTCACTGAAATGGCATCACTGGTACCGCTTTCCATTTACGAAGACCTGCGAGAATGTCCACTTCGCCTCGCCGTAGACCTACGTAAGCGGCTGTGGAACGTTCTTGCCTCGCTCCTCGGTATTATGAGCGAACTTAGCGATTGCAGACAGCTCCTCCCCGACAATACCCCCGAGAATCCTGCAGCGATCTTCAAATGGAGAGAGAAGCGCATTTTTGAGCGAGCAGGGATCCTTCATGACTCCGCGCTGGAAGATTTGAACAATAAGGCCGCCTCGGAGTTCGAGGCCATCCAAAGCTGGGTACGACAGAGCAATTCATTGCGCGATCGCTGGGCAGCATGTACACACGGAACGGCCACGTTGAGGCGGGCTCAAGAACTCAAACTTGAGTCGTTGAGACCTTGGCTCTTAACTATTAGTTTCAGTCTGGGTCCGGTCCCGAGAACTTCCTTCCGTAAGTTTCGATGAGTTCCCGTCTATCCATTCGTTTGCTTATTGCTCATCAGACCGACCAAAAATCGGATGCGAATTGTATATTGATGGGCAGGAAGACAGCGGCATGAAGGTCGAGAAGGGCACCACACCCACATTCGAGTTTACGGTGTAAGCATTATCCCTTATAGCAATTTTGTGTTTCGAAGAACATCGCTAACAGCAGAATTAGGAGCGTGAGTCGCAATAGCATTATCGACGGTAGATTCTATATCCGAGATAAGAAGTCCTTTTCCTTCATCGGATCGGTTGAATTCAAAGTGGAAGAACAGGCGGATTTCGCTCGCAGAGTAAAAGGTAAAAGTATCTTATCTAGCCATTCACTCCTGCTGACCCATAGTCTGCAGTTTCATATTCGGCAAAGATGAAGGATGCAAAGGATGGTTTCACCTCGGTGCCAGTTCTTGTGGAACTCTCTGCCCCCGAGGGGACCGGTGAACAAAACGTAACAGGGCTTTCAACGCCTCTTGGCGAGTACATATTATCGCGGCCACTTGCGGATGGCTGGGAGGTGCGACGTCACTCGATACACGGAGGAAGAGAAGACGGCGTATACTTCCATCACCCAGGCACGTCGGAGAGTACTGCCATTCTTTGGTTCGATCCGTTCTACACGCAAGCTCCAATCGCTGACCTTGCTCCCCTGCCCTGGGGCTGGACCAGGCTCTTCAAAAATGGCAAAGTCTGCTTCTCCAGCGATAAGGGGGAGGAGTCTGATATACCTCCGACAGCGGACAGCACTGCGACCTTTAAGAACGTCATTCAGCTGCTCCCCTTCAATGAGGCTGAAGACTTCACCGCCTGACACCTCTCCAGGGAAGCACTCCAAGGCAATGAAGAAGGATACGAGTCACGAGAATCTCCCGATTAACTTGCGAGGGAGTGAAATTCTCTGTTATCACCCCGCGAGGGCTTAATATAGTCTAATAAAATTTCCGTATCATTTGGTTTCCTGTCATACGCCAGCCCCTATAACCTGCCCGTACGTCGTCACCTCATGCAAGCCGATGCTCGTGTTCAATCCGAACTGCGCGTTGAGTGATTTTCCTAGCGCGGGTACTACGGCATCGATGTGCACAGCAATTATCAAAGTCAAGAGCAAACCCTGAGGCTGTCGACAACACGCCACCCATTGGTTCCGCATTATGCGCCGTTCGAGTTAAAGACATTCTTGAGTCCTTGCAAAGCCATCAGTCCTAAATCAGGGAAACTCGATAGCAATGCCATAGCAAAGCGTCGCCCACATTCCCAAGTGTTGCCCAATATCGGCAGTCCCAGTTTTGACCTTTGATCCGAATTCTTGCTCCAATTCCTTCGGGGATTCCAGAACTCCGTTGATGTAATAATTGCCGCGGCCGTCGAACCCTCCGACAGCTTTAGCAGTTGGTTCCAAGACCAGCCCTTAGATTTTTCGGGAACAGAAGGTCGGGGATAGGAGGTGATTTCGGCTTGGAGTGGTAGGCAGAGAATAGTCGTTCGGTCTGAAAGACATCCAACGTCCAGGGAAACGTGCACTGTCTTGTTGCCGACCTTGTAGTAGACGCGGCCGGAATTTTTGCGAATTGGTGGCGTATCCTGGCTCAGTGACGCGCGCAAAATGATTTCGCCTCTGTTGACAGGGCCTAATGGATTGCATCCAGCAAGGTAAATGCTGGCGTGTAGGACTTCCGCCAGAGGTACATATTCTGAGGCGTGGTTATTACGGGATTGACGTTCCATTCCAACTGCTCCGTCAATTGATGCCCTTGACCATGAAGGAGCTCTCCATTCTTATTGCTGTGAGCAATCTTTTGCCGCCTTCCAAAGCAGCTGCTCCGTAAGAGTTAGTTCCTAGAGGCTAACTATGGAGTGTACACTGGAACTAAGTTTCTTCGCTAGCCCCGAGATGGCGAATAGCTTATCCTTAGCGGGAAAGGAGAGCATGCATTTACCGTACAAACCAACAATTCGTTCCTAGAAACCATAAATCCGATTGAAATGGGTCAAGGTAAAGTCATTGAGTGTTTGCCGGATAGTCGGTTTGTACGTTTTTCTAGAGAAGGACGTCTTGTCTCGTCCAGAGTTGCAATCGCTTATAGTTAGGGTTAACGGATAAGGTAAAGTTAAAAACCTGGTTACATTTTTAGTTTGCGCGTATTTGAAGTAAGAGTTGCTTATTTCTCTACTTTTGGCCTATCTCACATTTTCATTCCGTCGACACTTTTGACCCTAAGAAGAATGCCTTCCCGTTTTAGTTCGTTGCAGCATAACCTACGGAGCTCAAGTGACGAAGCGCACTCTCAACTGCACACCGAGCTTCTCAAAGCTCTCCTGGTACACATCGGCCTTGGTGTGCAGACGTTGAGGTATCTCCAGCTCGACAATTCTCAGCTCCGGAAACTGTCTGAATTCCCGGACCCTGATCTGAAGGTAGTCCAGTATTGTTTCCACGTGCCCAGACTCTTCGGCGGCGTCGATGAAAGTGCTATGTCGTAGGATAAGACGGCGGATCGATTGGGGGACGCCGATTTCTGCAGCGGGCGCCGTGCGTTCTGCTTGCTCCAGTTCTTGGACCAGTATGCCTAGATTTACCTCCAGGCTCTCCACCGCGATGCCCTCGCCACTTCCCAGAATATGAGGAATGCTGGGACTGTCGAACGGTGCTAAATGGCTGTGCGCGGAATCTCCGTCCAGCGCACTTTCGCTCCAGACGCCCAAATGGCGGAGCGATCCATCCAATAGCCGATGCGCCGGCTCCTCAAGCACTCGCGCGTATACGACTTCCATTTTGATCGGGTTGTCGCAACAGGCCTCCGACCAGCTAAACGATTCGAGCAAGGGACACGCTTCCCAGAAGAAGCCACAGACGCGCGCTCACAACAACGTGAAGCCAAGTCTGCCAATCCAAGTCGGGCGAGAAGACGTTGCGCACACTCAATTTCTTGACTGTGGAGCGGAGATTCCGCACGGCTATGTTGTACCTCCAGTACTGCGACCTCGTCGCTTGCCCGCGGAAGTCGACGTGTATAGTCTCTAGCTTGGGAAGCTGAAAGATTGGGAGAAGGTCCAGGACGGAGGAAGAGTAGATCGCAATGTCGAGCCGGCGGAGGTTGCCTAAGTGATTCGTTTCCATGTCCGCTCCGAAAAGATAATCCTCCCAGACGTCAAAAGAATGCTCGGCCATCCCTTCCAACATGTCAAGGCGCTCTAGGCATGGCATCAACTTTAGAACCTCGTGGAAACGATGGCGATCCTCTGCGGAAGGGCTAGGCCGAAGGGAATCCCCGCTATGTACTGCTCTAAACGACTTTACATGTGTTGCAAGGAAGGGTCGGTTCGAAAGCGTTCGGTGCAGCCGCGGCGCGTTCACAGGCCTATCCGCGTATGGACCAGACCCTCTCAGGTAAGCAGGGACGTTACCGTAGACCAGCGGCTCGATGATGCGGTGGATCTTCTTGGCCGTTGACGATAACGTCACAAGAGTATGAAGGTCGCCCCAATCTGAGTCCTCGTCCAGCTCCGGTACGAAATTTAGGAAGATTTGCTCGAGAAGCTCTTCGGGCAGGGTTTCTAGGTACGGATGGTGGTCCATAATTGTTCCGAGTTGGGATTTTTACTCTGCGGCAAGCTGATTGCGGTGAGTGGGTGTTATGGACTGAGGGCGAGTTGGCCTAAGAGGGCATATTATGTAGATCTGTCACCTGCGGAAATTAAAGGAATTCTTAGCGCTTTTTTCGCGACTCGCGTTACAATTCGTGAAGCTTACATTATATACAAATTCTGTTCAATCATACGGTCCTCCCAAAACCAATATAGCTACCCTCACCCCACCCTCGGCGTCATCCTCCCAGCAGGCGCCTCATAATACCTCGTCTGCTGCCCCGGCACAGCTTGCTGCGGTCTCCAAGGCTCTCCAACCCCATTCTGATACCCACTCTGCCCACTACCCTGCGCCCAACCGTGCTGTTCCTCCGGCACACCTTGCAACTCCTGCCTAGGGAACGGATACTCTCCGCTCTGCAGCTCACTTCTATTAGCCGTCGAATAGCCTCCATCGCTTCCGACACCAGGCGTGTTATTATTTGAGTACCGTCTGTCGACCATTGTCTGCTGGCTGTCTGCTTCAGAGTAGCCTTCAGGGATGGGTGGACTGGGAATGCCGTTGTGGACGAAGGTACCTGGGAGAGGAGGAGAGATGGTTCGCTGTCCTGGGCGCCAGTCTGCCGGATATTGGGCCATGCCTACATTGGGAAGCGTGGGTTGTGGCTCGGGTATGGTTTCAAGCCCCTCGTAGAACCGGCTTCCGTTAGGGGAAGCAGGCACATTCTTTCTCCATTCTTGGACTCCGCCTACGGCGCTGCTGGCGGCCACGCTTTGTCGCGTCGAACCCATGCCGCTTAAGCTTTTCAGAGCGTCTTTGTCCCGCTTATGCGCCCTGTGTTTCCAGATCAAAAGCCATATGAGTATACCGAAAACAAGTGCCGCTCCGCCCGCGCCAGCTCCAACGCCGATTTTAGCGTTGGTGGTAAGCGCGGGTTTGGGCTCAGCCTTGACGGGATACTGCATTGCGTATACGACATTAACAATCGCGGAGGTAGGATTCGCGGTCGCGGTTCCGGTCGCAATCAACGAGTCAGGAATAGGTGGAGGCGTCATGGCAGTCGGAACTGTGGAGTAGCAAGGCGTTTGGCCGCCAAACGCAGTGCTCCAGGGGAAGTAGTTCCTGGACCGCGTTAAGTAATGTGCTGAAAGCAATGACCAAGACTTACGAGGGACAGCAGCCACTACTGATAGAGAAGTAGTCGTCAGGACATCGTTCGAGGGTAGCCTGCGCTGGCGACAAAGCACTCGGAAACCCGACATTACCATCGCTCACAGCTGGAGTCGTGGAAGCTCCAGATGCTGGGATGGCGATTGTAACTGTGGCTGGAACCGTGCCAGTTGCACCAACAACCGTCGTGGGGGGAATATCGAATGGACAGCAATCAGGCCGATCACTTATGCAACCAATGACCGGCGCCCAATAGGCCGTTGGCCCATCAAGAAGCGTGTACTCAGGCGTGCTACAATAGCCTTGGAGGAGATCCCCTGTACCGCTCCACCTAGGTAGAGGACTATGGGTTGATGATGAAGTCGGGGTTGGTGCACCTGTGGCCTGTACGGAGACCCTGGGTGCTACAGTAACAGGTATCAGGCTAGGCTTTGGGACCGAGCTTGGGGTGCTCATTGGGGTCTCGGAGGGCTCCTCAGAAGTTTCACCTAAAGTAGAAGTTGGCAATGAGCTTGGTTCCGGAGACCTTGACGAAGGTATTGCAGTAGGTGTAGACGTACTGGGAGGATTCGTCGACTTCGGCGGCTCTGACCTAGGCTCCGATTCGGACTGTGGAGTTGTAGAGGGCTCAGGCTCCGGTGTTGTGATAGAGGAGACTGGGGGATCAGAACTGCTGCTAGAACTCGAGGACGGGATGGATGAGCTTGAGGATGCGCTTGATTCTGGCTCGGTCGTTGTGCAATGCTCCGAGGACCACCCGGCCATGGTCAAGTCGTTATCTGGCGGCTCCTATTCAGCAAGCGCACCATTGACCCGAGCTACTACTTACTAGGATCGATGCATTCTGAATAAGGGGTATCAAATATGCATGCCGAGAAGGATAGATCGTAATCCGCCAACGTTGCGCAGACGCACGCATCGCCGGTCCAGGTCACCCCAATGTCCGGTGTCGCGCAAGCGCCGGCAGCTTGCTCTCTACACGAGCTGAACGCAGACGAAAATTCGGGAGTGTCTTCTGCTTCCTGGTCGCATTGTCAGTCAGACGAGCGGTGTTGATAGGAAGATTGACCTACGGTGCATGTCATGTTGTCCGACTGTCGTTTGATCGCTTGGGGACGGCCGAAGAAGGTCGCGCTTTCGATCCATCGTATCATAGATGCCATCTTGACCGAGACTTCACAATATAGCTTCGTTGAACATTCGAATCTGCGAAGGTTAAGATATTCCTCGGCCGCAATGAGGGAATTGGGTCGCAAGGCTGAACCCCTCCAACTCTTCTCAGGCTGAGGGTCCAGGTCCGCATTTAAACCGACATGCAGCGCACAGCTGCAAACTTGAGGCTCAGTCCCTCAGCCGTCTAGAACAATAGATTCCGTTCATTGGTGGCGGAGGGCTGAAAAGTGCAGCAATACGAGTGGCTCGTTGCAATCATCATTCGCCTAACGCCCGCGAACACGAACCCAGAATCCCTAAAGCGTATAGGGCTGGACGTGGCGTTGTGATCCGCTCGCAGACGAGTGTCAAGATCCCACGAGCGGGTGCGCTATTACCTTGCAGTGTCAGATCTGGGGATCATTTCGCCGAGTGAGGCACGACGTTGTTATGTGACAGCTTCGATCATAATGCTCGACAGTACTTATGAATTAACTCCGTCGTAGGAATGCTGTCCTGGGCTTCTCTCGAGATATTGAGTTCATGTCAGTCGAGGTGGGCTGTTCTGGGGGATGCGGCAAGCCGCCTTCGCTAACTCCTTCCCAAGATTGGACGCCACCAAGTACTTGGCTAGAACAAGCCCTTGCCAATTTGAGCGATTCCAGGAAATATGTGGCTCCCCATTTCGTTTGACTGGAGAACATCGCGAGACTACATTGAACAGCCCCTTGCTCGAGATGTTATACTTTTTGCTGTGAGCTTACCGCAAGTGTATGGAATACTATGCATTTGAAGAGCCGTAGGGATCGAAAGAGACCAAGAGGATTCGGGTCGTTAGGAAATGAAAAGACGCTTGAAATGAAGGAGAAACAATGAAAAGACGTCCCAAGGAACCAAACAAAACGAAACGCTGACGACCCTGGTCAGCACTTCGTCAACACTGTCAACCGTACTCCATCTCCGCCTCTCGCTTTTGCTTAGCCCGCTCCGACATCTTTCGATAGACCTCTTCCTCCAGCTCGGGGATCCGCTGAAATCGATCGGTAAAGTTTTCGCCATGGACCTTGACGAAGTCGTAGAAGTTGTCGGCGATGAAATCCGTGAGCATTGCCTTCATAGTCTCATAGACAGACAACGGGGCTTCCTCCGTCCTGTAGACCACGATGGCGAAAGCGAGCACTTCTTCCGTGCTCCAAGGCATCATATGCTCCATTTTGCCAACAATACGATCAAGGATGTCGACCATTCCGAGCCTCTCCCCAACCTCCCAAGCTGCGACACACTCTGCCATTGCGATGGCTCGCTGCTCGTCGTCCTCTACGCGCCGGTGGCCGAATTCGCCAGTGAGCATAAAGTCGGCGATGTAACGGAAGTCCTCCGGGTATATTGACTCAAGGCACGGCATATCTATCGTCCATGTCTTCTTCCCCTTAGCTCGGAGATAGCCGTGATGACGGTCGGAGAAACTGGTACGAAGGTCCATTTCCTTCTTCGGTATCATGAAAGACTCTTTCTCCGGACCAACTAGGAACTCTACGAATTCCCTGCTATCGGAACTATAGGAACGATGTCAGCCGTACCTTCAATAGTGGTGCCGGCGGCTACGTACATTTCGCCTTCAAGTGCATCCTCAGCCCGGACTGAGCCGCGATTTGCATTGACCGCGTTTGCTCCAGAAGTTGAAGATGAGGCCGGAGGAAAATGGTTTCGGATATCGGGCAAATCGTTCACACATGAGCGCGATAGAGGGAGTATCTGCCGTTTTCGTGGTTGCGGAGGAGACGTAGGGGGTGTTCGCAAGGCGGATCTCGCGCTGGTTTCCTGGCCCGCAAGACTGAGCTTTCTCGCTAGGCGTAATTGGGATTTGTCAAACCCGGAGTCCCCATCTGAGCTTAAGGTCGAACTTGAGTCCGAGGAGGCTTCTTCAGCACGCTGGTCTTCAGTCGTGTTTCTCCAATAACACAGCCCCATTCCCGAGTCCATCGCCTCGTGCACACGGTCATAGGCCGTTCCCAGGCCCCGGGTCCGTGCAAATTCGTCTGGATTAGGATAGTCATATGTTTTCATTTCCCCCGTCGATGCATAGCGGCTAACAGTGTCAGCTCCGTTAATCTTCCGGGCTCCGAGCACTCACAATTCCAACCTCTCTTTAATCACCAAGATCAAGGTGAAGTACCCATGAGGCCGAGCGGAAGCAATTTTGTTCGGAGCCAGGTCATCAGTGCAGACTACAGCTGGCCAAGGCGGTAGATTAGAATCTGCCGGCTGATAGAGGAGGTAGTCCCCCGGCGAAAGCACGAGCATCTCCTATTGCTCGTCCTTGTGTATGTGTTGTAGTGTTAGAGCTGAGGAAGAGGTAGTTTGCTTTTGTGAGCACGAACGAGATGAGAGAAAGAACTGTGAGACCAAATGGCATGAGTGATAGAGAATTATGTATCTTGCTTGGATGGCGGAGCTGCTGGAGTGAGAGAAGCAACCGTGATGCCGGTTTGGACAGGTACCACAGTTAGGGGAGAGGTTAGTAAGAGATGAAAAACTGAATTGATCAAGCCTGGTCAAGAGAAGAACTGGTATACGGGTTAGTGATATGGATAGGATGATAGAGAAGCCGCTGGAAGATGATGCTCGAGCGCATGGTGGGCGTGAAGGAGGCTTGCAAGCCGTGGTGAGAGGAATCAGCAGCATTGCTCGCAAACATAGCTGCGAGCTTCATTTCGAATGAAGCAGGCGTTCTCTGCAGGATATGGTACGGTGAGCGGTGAGGTCTTGAAGCGTGCAACAACGCCGAGCTGTTGGGTCTTGGAAACCAGCTTAGTCATCCAAGTTCTGCCAGCCAATCACCGAAATCGTGGACATCTGGCATCAAGCTCGCGAGTCTGCAGCTTCACGACACGCCCACACTCGCTTCCCATTCTACGAGCGACCTACAATCCCCTGCGCTCGAGCCCGACGAGCTCGCACCGCCCATATTTCCTGTCCAACCCTTCGACAAGCCGCGCTACAATCCTCCTCCCACCCTCCCACCGCAACGATGCTTGGCCTCACGAACATGCAACCACGGCAACTAGCCACCCAAATCCTCAACTTCGCGCTCGTCCTGTCCACCGCCTTCATGCTCTGGAAAGGCCTCTCCGTCGCTACCGACTCGCCCTCGCCCATCGTCGTCGTGTTGTCCGGCTCCATGGAGCCCGCGTTCCAGAGAGGAGACCTGCTGTTCTTGTGGAATCGGGGGATGAATACGTCGGTTGGGGAGGTCGTCGTGTATAATGTGAAGGGGAAGGATATCCCGATTGTGCATCGGGTGGTGCGGAGACATGGTGGAGGGTAAGCAAGCTTCAATTTCTGACTGCCGCGCAATGGATCAGTCGAGACGGGGTCTAAAGAGGGATGGATATTGGAGATCTGCGCTGACGGTGAGATAGGAAATCACCCCTCCGACTCCTCACAAAAGGCGACAACAACGCCGCCGACGACACCGAGCTCTACGCTACGGGCCAGTCTTTCCTCAACCGCAAAGAGGACGTTATCGGGAGCGTGGTTGGGTACATTCCTTTCGTGGGCTATGTCACGATTCTGCTGAGTGAGTATCCCTGGCTGAAACAGGCTATGCTGGGGATAATGGGCCTCATGGTGGTGCTGCAGAGGGAGTGACGGAAAGGCTAAGAGCTAGGCGCTGCGTTTTGTAAAGGATCATGAATAGACATGCCTCGACGTATTATATGTGGCCGTCCTGCGCGTTTATGAAGCGTGTGGGAATTAAGGCTCACCTCTTCGATGCAGGACAGGCGTTGGATGCACTTTGTGCAAGGGTGGGAAAACGGTTCCGGACAGCATGGCGCTCCGATTCTGCTGTACACTGTCTGGCATTTGAAGGATGGAAAGAGATATCCTCTTGTGAAGAATTGGGCCACGTTTTCAAGTGGATCACATGCCCAACTTGCCGCTTCCTTCAAGCGTCCAAACATCTCTGTGTTCTCTCTCCCCTATTACTCCACAACCGCGCCGCTAATGTTCGTCGTACCTCTTAACTAACAGTCTGGAGCCTCCTTTCCCCACTCCCTGTGCGGCTTCGTTCATCTAAGCGGCTATCATTACCGTATAACTTCGGTGGTGGAACTTCAATGGGCTTTTCGTCGTCCAGCCTTACTGTGAAGACATGCGGCTACATCTCCGCCCACCGAGGTTTTCCGATGACGGTTGGCGAGGCATCCCCGCCTAGACCAAACAAGCAGAGAGTTGCCCCCAAGATCCACGGCCTACTTTGACAATGTCTCCCCGGATTGCACGAAGGGCATGCGAACCTCCCTATGGAGTAGGCGGTATTGACAATCTGTTCAACCACTGGTATTGAACACCTGGGGTTACAGGAACACGATCCGCGAAGTGTTCGTTTCTCATCGTCAACATCCGGGATCAGGGTAAGTTCAGCGGGGCTTAAAGGGTTGAACTGGTTGGTAACATCTACGGTTCTGACAAACTGATGGCTGTCTTGACCGATATGCCGCCTCTTAAACCTCCGCAGACCTCTACTTAGAAGAACCACGCTCTAATCACCACTTGTTCGCTGAATGAAGCAAACATTGTCAGAGCTAGTGAAGATACCATCGCTCATGCACCATACACAGCTGTCGACTAGTCGTCAATCTTCAAGCCATTCTACCTTCACCCCGAGGCCCTTTAACAGAGCAAACTAGAAGAAACCCCGAATCCTTAGTCAGCCTGAGCGAGACCTTAACCCTCCCCTCCCCCAGCCCTGTCCCAGTCCCAAAACCTCCCCCCAACCAACCCAAAAAAAAAGAAGCCTGCGACGTGCGGGGTCTGCCACCGAATTAGCAACCACGCTTCATAAAACACCATTCAATCCCACATACTCGAACCCGCGACCCCTACCTCTGCCACACGGGAGAATGGGAAGGTAGTACCCTAACCACTGGGCTAACGACGCCTGAGTGAGCAATGAAGCCTGCTGCAATTTTAAGCATCAGATATGCATGCAGTGAATCCACCAAACGGGGGGAAATAGCAGTCGGCGAAAGCGTATGGAGGCCCCAACGGGCGGGCACGGAGTCGGGGAAGTGCGGGTGTGTGCGTGTGGATGCAGCTTCCCGTGGCGGTGAGGGAAGGCACGCATCACGTATCACGCGTTGAGTGGGCTGAGCGCCGCCGGGGGAGACGACGAGATGGGAGGACGGACCCGTCTTGAATATGACGGGCAGTATATAACAGTGTTGGGGAAGGGAATGCGGTATAAGTTCTCGGGCGACTAAGCGCTGTGTAGCTTCGGTTCTGTATAGAGTAGGTAAGACGGGCCTGGGGACAGCGAGTGCCCGGCACCAAGACGGCGATAGGTCGCCGGGTCTCTGTTCAAATGCGCCAGGCGCCTCAAAAATCATCAATGTAGCCCACTTCATGATATCCTTATAGTTAGGCACCAGGAGACACACGACGAGCGGGACTGAGTTGAGGTGGGATTCGAAATACGAAGTCCATGACCACCAGTACTGTGAGAGCAACAACCACATATACGATCCCTCACGAACAACACAGACCAACAGCAAAAGATAGTAGAACCATGATCTAACAGCGCATGTTTTTGATACCGCAGATAACTAGTGTACATATGTCATGAGCCTCGTGATGTCTTCCGCGTCCGAGGGACACTGGGGCGCAAACATCATTAAGAAACCCCATGGTTGAGCTTCATGCGGTCCTCGCGAAATCGCCATAGATCGAGAGCATCCTCCAGAACCCGTCGAGAAAGAAGAGGACAGAAGCAGAGTAACATAAGAGACCAAACCCCATATCCTGAGCCCGTGACACCGCGACCGCCGACCGAGAGAAAGACCATTACGGATGAAGCTCACGAAGAGAGTCGTGGGGTGAGGAGAGTGATGTCCATGGCGAGGGTCTCTACTCAGACTCTTCCTCCTCCTCGTCGGCAGCCTATGTTTGATTAGCGGCCTCTTGATGCGTCGAAGTGAGCTGTACCCTTACCGCATAGGCAGCTTTCTCCTCCTCGTAGCGCTTCTTGTCGGCCGCAGCCTTGGCCTCATAGGGAGCGCGCTGCTTTTCGGAGAGAGTCTTCCACTTCTCACCGAGCATCTTGCCGACCTCGCCTGAGCAGCGTTAGTCACGTGTTAGGATGAAACGGCGGCAACTTACCGAACTTGATGCCGGGATTGTCCTCTCGCACCTTCTCACGCTGCTCGTTGGCGAAGAACATGTAGGCGGAAAGACCACGCTTGGGGGCGTTGGGATCTGTACAGTTTAGCGCTGGATTTCGGAACCCGTTGATGTATGTGGGACACGTACCCTTCTTCTTCTTGCCGGTGTCAGCCTTGGCGGCCTTGCCTTTGCCGCGGGTGACCTTCTCCTTGGGCATGGTGATGGTAGATATGCGAGCTGCTGTCGTCGGGGGTTAGTGGTGCTTTGGTTGAGGTGCAGTGAGAGCAGTCGATTGAGGTGTGGTCCTCAGAAGGCTGGATACATGAGAGAAAGGCGCGCAAGCATGAAGCGCAGTCCAGGATAAAGTGCTGAGGTAATTGACAGGAAAGCCGCTGGAAACGAGGTTGACAGGCGGTGGGGTTACATGAGTGACATGCGGTACAGCGCCTTCGGTCTGCGGGTTGAGGCGAGCGAAACACCACGATGCGATCGCGAAGATGCGCCATGTCGGTAGAACGGTGGAGCGGAGTACTTACAGATGAGTTGTCAAGAGTAGGAAAAAGTGGTGTTGACGTAGGTCTGTTTGCGGTCAGTATGCGCTGGATGAGCTGCTGCAGATGGCGATGAACAAAAAATGGTCGCAAGGCGATGACGCTCTGAAGATGCAAGAGCAGAGGCTACGAGCGTCATTGCGGAAGGCGCGCTGCGGAAAAGGCGAAAAAAAGGTGCAGGTGGTGGTGCGCGATGCTGGGCTGGTAGGCCGCGACTGAAAATACAAGCGAGGCCGACTTACCAAAGGTCCACAGGTTCTGGTGGTGAGGGCAGATTCGCAGGCGGAGAGCGCTGAGGAGTTTGTGTGTGAGAGCAGCGCTGCGCTGGGGGCCCGCCAGACACCCTACTTTATTGCTGGGGCGCACGTGACGCGGCCTTTGTTAGTGAGGGGTGCCCTCTGTTTATGATGCGAAGCCTGTCTAACCTGGAAAGCACGACGCTGCCGACGCTCCCCACCGCCCATGATGCAGTCACAGTGCAGCGCAAATCCGAGGCCCGGCCGGCGCTGTGCGAATAGTTTTGGTCTCTTGCGGTCCAGTGCTGCTGCGCTCACCACAGCGCCGTCCGTCGACGCTGTCGTCGGGCGCCAGGGACGCTCCCCTCCACTGGACTGGCCGCCGCCCAAGCCGTCCCAGCAGCGCCGGGTTTCATGTGGCCCCTTAGATTGCAGGAAGACGGCGAAGCAACACTATTCGCCTGCCTGAAATTATCCCCTCGACGTTATCTCTTCCCTACCGGCGTCGGCTGGCTGAAGCGCTTCCAAAGCTACCCGCAGCGGCCGCCCTCCGCTTGCATGCAGCAGCAGGCCACTTTCGCACCATCCGGCAGATGATGGTCTGAGGCCGCAGGCATTACTTGCAGCGCCGCGAACAGACCCGTGAGAACATGATGCGCAGCGCGGCTACTTCTCAACCGCAGCGCCTCTGCGGACAGACAAAGACGCAGCGGTTACTCTGCCCTTCGCACTAGGCCGGATACGGAAGGGTGCAAACAAATGGGCGACGGGCTCAACGCCCTGTTCGAGGACATCGAACGAACCTTGGGTTGAATTCCTAGATGCTGAGCTTGAGTCTCGCTATCTGTCTGGCGCACGAGAAGTGAAAAAATGCCGTGCTCATTGATCGCACCTGCTCACTACTGATCGCACCTGCTTTGGGGACCCCCAAGCGCAGCAAACGTGGAAGGCGGTTGCGCGTTTCAAGCGCTCACCGTAGCCTATCTAGATCCCCGGCCATGCACACTCCAGGAGACTGAAACAGCTCAGCTCGAAAAACAATTCGTGCAGCCGAATGTCCTGCACCGCAACAGCGACGCCTATTGTCAGCCCTGCCTGAGCCCACGGAGTGGATGACTAATGAGCCCAGGGTCATTGCTCGGCAACCGCACGCGTCCAGTCCGGCCAGAACGTCAACCCCAGATATCTTGCACACCGTCTGTCAACCACCGGCGGAGGCTTCTAGATCTTTTAGTACGCCTTTGTGCGTGGTGAGCGACATCTTGGAGCAAGGCTGGTGTCCGTTGTGTAGCAGAAGCGCGACACAACGACCTCCGTTGGGATCTTGTAAGACGAGCTTTGTTCCCTGACGCATTTGAGCGCACACTCACCACGGAGACATCAGACAGAGTTGTACCGCCGCCCACTGAACGTTCCATCGTTTTTCGTACGTAGCGACCTCTGTCCTCAGTCGAATGTTGCGCGCCGGCTTCCAACACCGAGCCACAACCCCGCTTCTGTAGACATGGTACTCGTCCGTCTACGACATACAACTGGCTGCGCGTTGGGACTAATATCTCTCATTGGAAAGTGTTCTGGCGACACCGGCACGGATCAGAGTGGTCCTTCACGGGAACTTACAACTCTGAGAGTTTGTGTTGCTATGCCCACCGATGACTACAGAGGGATTCTGCCCATGGCGGTGTCGCTAGCAGAACGCGACGTAACATGTCCCACAAGCCCTTCATACCATCTGCAATCCTAGCTTTCCGCGATTCCAGGAGGCCTGGTCGTGCGCCCTGCGAACTGACACATTGAAGGCCATTTCAGAAGCGGACCACCAACATTAGCCGGGCTTTCGAGAATATCTCTACATTGCTGCTTAACCTGCGGCATAGGCTCAGCCATCTTTTTCGTCGTCCATCACCAGCTCCCGCAGGACCGGATCTGCTGCCCAGTTGATACCGCTGCCCACAATCGTTGCCGAAAGAATACCCTTCAGGGTTCTCATCCTCCTGCGCGCCTCTTTGACGTCCTTCTCGACTGCCTTGACCTTTTCGCGAAGCCGGGGTTCTTCGATGTCCTCGGTTGACTGGGTCTTCATTTCTTCTGCTAGCGCCAGAAGCGTCTCAGACAGCTCTCTATTCTTCTGGTTAGCGGCCACATTGGCCTGCTCGGCTGCACTCAAGGCACGTGTGGTCGAGGCGAGCTTCGCTGCTAACGAGCCTAGTAGCATGGACAAGATATCATTCTCGGTAATCAAGGGCAGTATTCGTCTGCGATGATTAGGCTTTCTGAGTAGTATGAGGGTGGAGCCGCCTCTTACTTTTCGGCGAAATCAGTGTCTTCGCCTCCGTGCACAGCCTTTAGCACAGGGTCCATAGCCAGCACATTGTGAGATATCCTGTTCCGTATCTCGAACTTGGCCTTTGCTTCCATGGCCTCGCGCTGTGCTGCAATCAGCTGCTCCTGTAAGACGTCATCTGATAGTGCCGAGACATCAGGCACGTGGGCTGCAAACAAATGAGCTCGAGTCACTGTTCATCTGATTGTGCTACATGCCTTCCTGCGCCTCAATGAGGCTCCGCTGCAGCTCAAGTTCTCGCAGCTGGTCGTAGAGCTGTAGGGCCAGTTGCTCGGTATCGGAGAACGCGAACGCGTCGCAGTGAGGCGTTTGGAGCAGTTCAGAGTACTCGTTCGCATTTTGCGCTTTGGGAGCCGCGTCCGCCATTGGAACATCGTTTGAAGTTGCCATCATGGGAATGAAGAAGGGTAGGGTTTAGATATGAACAAATTCGTATCGCGCATCTGATCGCGTCTTTCACACAATGATGCGGTATTGGTGGCCCGTGTGCATGATCCCTGCGGTCCACGCGCCTTGGCCCGCGGCATCTGTGCCTAACGGTCACACATTCCACCCTCGAGCTCGCATTCTCCTTCAAAGACCTGTTGCAGCAGGCTCCCGCCAGCTAGAGGGTAAAGCCCGAATGTCGCTGCAGATTGCTGTAGCTCATACGGGCCAGCGCCTCGACGCTGATCCCGTCGGCTTCAACTCGGTCGATGCGCTGAAGCACTGGATCTCGAGGGCTACCGAGATTCCGCCTGAGCACCAGATCTTGCTGACGCCTCGCGGAAAGCATGTCAAGCTGCAAGCGCTACTGACTGAGGTATGTGAACTTCCGTCAGCTGAGGAATAGAGCTCATAGACTCGTCCATAGAGAGAGATTTTCGTCTATAATCGAGAGCTCTCCAGCGGAGCCCAGTCTACCGTTTCGCCCACGCCGCTGCCCGACTCCTTTACGCCCGATGACCCCCCTGATACGCTCTCCAGCCATACCGACCTGCGAGCATGGCAGACGCTCTTCCAGGCCCGCCGCGACTGGGCGTTCGCCGTCCTCCACAAATCCCAGTCCATGTCTCAAATAGCGTCGCAGCACTTCGCCGAGCAGGCAACAATCGAGAAAGGCACCCATATTGCTGTAGGCAATCATGAGTCGCATATTCGCGGGCTGGAGCAGAAACACCAAGCGGCAAAAGAATGGTTCGAAGGGGTGGAGAAGGAAGCCGCGGACAACTTGCGAAGACTGGATGGCGACTTTGGGCAGCTAGCGGCTATACCGGCGAAGGCGGAATTCGTACAATTCCTGGCGAAGGATGTGCGGTCGACCCATGCAACACAGGCAGCCCAAGCCAACCGAAAGACTGCGCCGAACCGGACAACTTCGCTGCAAGAGTTTCTGGACGTTGAAACTGTCAAGAAGGCGACAGGTGTGAGCAGGCGTGTACGCGAGTCCTTTGGGAAGCGCATGGAGGCTATGAAGACCCAGCTGGAGAGGATAGGCACGGACTACAATGAGCTTCTAGGTGCGGTTGGTCAAAGCCAGAGTCGATCACTCGTAGACGATACCGAGGAGCCGATGCGACTATACAATGAAATCGATGCAGTGGCGAAGAAGGTAGAATCGGACTTTGAGCACGTCATGGGCCTTCCTGCGAATTCTAAGTCGGTTGCCCAAGTTTCGAAAATGGCACTCTTACACACGCGCAATTTTCTCCCCGCCATCAAGGAGTATTGTACCGAAATGAGCGACCTCGTGCGACGCTCCGTGGAGCAAAAGAATTATGCGGTCAGGAACGCGGTAGAGAGCATGCGCGGCATTTCTGATATTGAGTCGATCATCTCGAGCCTGAATTCGGAACTGGAATCTATCAGCATCCCAGAGGAAGGGGTCGCCGCGTTCGAGCTGATCTCGCTGGTCAGCAGGCTACCTTACGTCTACGGAACGCTCCTTGTAGAAGCTGTTCGAAGGCGCGAATGGATGGAGAAGATGCAAAGGGACACATCGTCGCTAGCGGAGGAGATGGCAACATTTCAGGAGGAAGAGGAGCGACGAAGGAAGAGATGGCTGAAGCCCATCGCAGACGTCATAAACCTAGAAGCTGTGCAAGGCAACTTGCTTGGCTTCGAGATGAATGTTCAGCCCGAGAAGAACAATTGGCCGGCTGTTACACGAGAAGATCTGCAAGACTATTTGAAGAGTCTACAAGGCCTTGAAGGGCAGAATACCGAAGCGGACGCCCTCAACCAGGCCATGAGAGACCTTGACCGACCCACGAAACAACAAATCAAACGCGCCAAGAACTTCAAGATGGGTAGTGTGCACGAACCCGCGTTTGGAAAGGGGTCGCAGCTCATGCTCAGAGGAGATGACGAGCTTCGGGTTTTGAGGGAAGTCAATTCCAAGCTGGAGGATGAGCTTAAAGGCTCTAAGAGTAGGGTACGGCGTCTTGAGGACCTGCTGCATCGCCAAAGCCATGTCAGCAGACTTTCGATTGGGGGTGGCTTGCCTTCATTTGGTCCACAGAGCCCTGCAGACCCAACTACGCCGACGGTAGAGGCACCTTCTCCTATGCCGCTAGCTGAACACTCCCGCAGATCGTCCGTCTCCTCGCGGCGGTTTTCTACAAATCAAGGACAGGACGATAAGCGCCGTATTGTTCGTCTCGAGCAAGAACTTGCGGCCGAGAAGGAGGCTCGGGCGACCGTTGAGAAAGAGGTACAAACGAAGAAGGATGAAGATGCGGAGCTTCAACGGCAAGTTGAAGAGGCTGTGTCTACCAAAGAGGCGATTATGGAGAACATGAAGGCGCAGCAAAAGGAATTTGCCGATGAGAGGAGGTCGCTCGAGCAAGAGATCCATGCTTATAAGGGTAAGATTGAAGAGGCTGAAGATGAACTGGATCGTGTGCTCGGAAGTCGCGACAACGAGCGCACTGGTGTTGATACGAAGATCCAAGAGTTGGTGTCTGAAATCGAGAGAATTCGCAATGAAGCGGCAGAGCAGAGCAAGGTGGCGAGCAAGCAAATCGCTGAACTTCAAGCCGAGCTTGATAAGCACAAAGAGGCCGACACGCAGCGTCACGAAGCGCTCTCACTGGTTTTCAACCATTTATCCCCCGACGGTAGCGTACCTGAAGATCATTCGGCAATGATCTCCCAGCTGGAGCATCTAGCATTGCGGTCTTTCGACTACCAGCAAGAGCTTCAGCAAGCGGTCGCGATGGCGAAGACGGAGAATGAGAACGCCCGCGCTAGGGCACAACAACAAGCGACAGAGCTCAAGTCTGACCTCGCGAAAGAGGAAGCTGAAGCGTTCTCTCTCCGCGAGCAACTTGAGACTGAGAGGGCCAAGGTTGCGTCCATCACAGAGGAACTGGAGGAGGAGCGCGACCATCTACGGGATCTGCGAACCAAGTTTGCTGAAGGCGAGACTGGCTCCGAAGCCCTCCGCAAACGAGTTGAGGAAGAGGAAGAAAAGGTGGGACGATTGCAGGTCAAGCTTGCGGAATCGGAATCGCATGCCAACAGTCTCGACGTGGAGCTTACGCATCTGCAAAAGAGGGTGCTCAAGTACGAGGAGCTCGATTCATCCCGAATCCACGAGCGCTTGCTGCGCGCGAAGGATCTCAGCAAGCGACTGTACTCGCAGCAGGATCGTCTTATGCGGCTCGTTGAAGCGCTTGGTTTTGTGATCACTTACGAAGACGGTACAATGGTGCTTCAACGTGCCTCCAAAATTGGCAGCAGCACAATCATCGGCGGCGAGACCAATGGACCCCCCCGCAGCGCGACAACACCCTCTCCCACCCCTCTCAAGCAACGCCTCGAAGAGTATGCCGACCTCTCCTTCCTGCAATGGGCAGAATCTGCGAGCTATGAGGAAGAAGATCGCCGCTATCATGACCTCATCGACACGCTCAATCGCTTCGACCTTGATACCTTTAGCGAGGCAGTTGCAAAGCGCATGCGGGACATGGAGCATACCGCACGGAAATGGCAGAGGGAAGCTCGCGCATATCGTGAGAAGTCACACCGTTTCCAGTCTGAAGCACATGAGAAGATCGCCTACCGGTCGTTCAAGGAGGGCGATCTTGCGTTGTTCCTCCCTACGAGGAATCAGGCTACACGTCCCTGGGCGGCTTTCAACGTTGGAGCGCCGCACTACTTCCTTCGCGAGCAAGACTCACACAGACTTCATGGACGGGAGTGGCTTGTCGCACGTATTTCCAAGGTGGAGGAGCGCATCGTGGATCTTTCAAAGACGATGGATACCGCCGCTCGAGCCTCTCTTGACGGACGATCCATTGCATCAAACAGCGCTGTCTCTTTCGAGGACGACAACCCCTTCGAGCTTTCGGATGGCCTGCGGTGGTACCTACTCGATGCCGCAGAGGAGAAGCCAGGAGCACCCGGCACACCGGGCTTAGGCAAGACTACCGTCGCGAGCGCACGCGTCACTGGGCAAGGCCAAATGGAACCCACGAGGAAAAAGTCCTCCAACGATCCTGCCAAGACCCTTGGTAAATCCCTCGACAGCCGTCGCAGTAGTGGCACTAGCAGGAAAAGCGTGCCTGTGGTTGGACGCAACTCGACCGAAGTCGTTGTTCCGGGAGAGAACGCTGAGTCCGGACCTAACTCGAATACCGCGACTAGGGGCGCGAGCCCAGCTGCCGGGCCCGGACCGAGCCATCTGAGGGAGAGCGAGTCGCCCGGGGAGGCGACGGGTGTGGACAGGTTGCTAGAGGGCCAAGACGAGGTGCGGAAGGACCTTCTATGGGGACCTTAGTGTAAATCTAAGCTCCCCAGCAAATATCCCACAGCCCGCTAACTCTTAACAGGACGGTAGCACCAACCACACGCGACAAACGTCGCCTCACAAGCAATTCACGTCTGGTCCCTCAAACCTAAGCGGAAGCGGCATGTTACGAGCCGCGATCACACCCAACGCGTCTCCAAGTAAGTCGCGAGTTGGTAGTTCCACCGATCTCGCCAGGGCTGCCAGCCCCAGCGCAAGCCCGAGCAAGAAGCCGGCGCGGGATAGGAAGGGAAGCTTTTGGGATAGCTTGTTCCAGGTCGACGTTACGTACCAGAAGTCGAGGAAGTGATGGCGCCCGGTTTGGCATTTGTCTTGTATCATATTTTGAACGCATAGCGGATTGGCGTCCCATGCTTTATTAAGAAAGGGAAGCAATGATAATCGAACATCACAGAGGAAGTCTCACGCATTGTTAGTCGCCGTGAGATCGAAGACGAAGACGGTCGCGGCTTAATTCTGATTGGCGGATATTCTCACTCCACGACTGCCAGGTACCGTTCTCTCCCCGCATCCATCAAGTCCACAACCCCGGATTTTAGATCCAATCTACCCCCATGTAGCTAGTTGCCGGTGGCGAGCGGCTCTAGATGCTTGTTTTCTTCAACTTCCACACGCATCGTCATCTGCCGTGGCTCGAGTTATCCCGGTACTAGACATGCAGACCCGTTCATCTAATGTCCGCGGACCCGGTGGCCAGAATATATTAAGCTTCATCAAGCTTCCACATCCTTCCCGCATTGCCGCAGCATTTCAAGCAATCAATCATGGGTTTTCTATTTCTGGGTCGCAATGCTGCGCTGCAGGCGGGCTTCGTTGTGCTGCTTGCTGTGGCGAGGACGTGTTCAGCGTTGCGCAAGGGGCAGCGGTATGCGTGCCAGGCTCCTTCACTGAATCCTCTGAGCGGCTGCCCGAAGCATACTCTCCTCATTGATGCTTCGTCTGCCAATTCTTCAACGGAGAAGAATGTCTTCTCCACCATCCAATCCGCCGTGCTCTCCCTCCCCCACGACAACTCCACCCAGTACATCCTCGTCCTTCCCGGCCAATACACGGAACAAGTCAATGTCACGCGTCCCGGGCCTCTCTATCTCCTAGGTCAGACTGCGTCCCCCGACTCCGTAGGGTCCAATGGCGTGGAGGTGCTATGGCACCAAGCAACCGGCACCGCTACCACGGGCACCCTCGACAACGCATACACATCCACACTCACCATCGCGCCGACTCTAAACTCCTCGCTCACAGGCGCCGGACCCACAGGCAACACCGTCCCCGCCGACACCCCCTTCGGCAACACCGACTTCCGCGCCTACAACCTCAATTTCACAAACGACTACCTCCCCTACTCCGCCGGACCCAGTCTCGCCCTCAGCACCTCATACGCAAACACCGGCTTCTATCACTGCAGCTTCAAGAGCTACCAGGACACCGTCTACGTCGGCAAGCTAGCCAACAGCTACATGCGGCACTGCGAGATCGCCGGCCAAACCGACTTCCTCTACGGCTTCGGCACCCTCTGGATCGAGGCCTCCACGCTGCTCCTGCGCAGCTGCGGCGGCGGCATCACCGCCTGGAAGGGCACAAACACCACCTACGCCAACAAATTCGGCGCGTACATCCGCCGCTCCGCCGTTCGCAAAGCCAACGCCTCCCTATCCTCCATCGCCGGGAAGTGCGCCCTGGGTCGGCCCTGGAATAGCCAGCACCGGTCGATCTTCGCGCAGTGTGACTTGGATGATAGTATTCGGCCGAGTGGGTATGTGGACTGGAGCGCGACGGATCCCAGGGTGAGTAATTATACGTTTATGGCGGAGTATGCGGATTTTGGGCCTGGGTGGAATTTGACGGGAAGGCTGGAGGGGAATGTTACGAGGGTGTTGGGGGAGAGCGAGTGGGAGATGTTTGATGGGCCTGGGAAGGTGTTTCAGTATTTTAGGAGTGGGAGGGCGGGGAATACGGGGTGGGTGGATTGGAGTGCGTAGGCTTGGATAGGGGTTGAAGAGGTAGGAGAATGAATCTAATTCCAGCGGAGGATGTATTCCTTTCAAGCGGTTTCCCGAGCTATAGGCAATTGTGCTTGCACATAAGGATAGTGGATCGCTCTTACTCTAGATATTTGGTTTGACACGTCACGACGCACATTCTTGGCGAGCGAGAACACGGTTCTCAACAACTCTTACCCCCAAACACCATCCCATCGACTCTCACAATATATTCTAGATTTGCAACGAGCAGATACATTCTGGGCAGTCCGCAGATGAAGATGCCAGAGGAACCCGGGGGCGCTGCTTCGGGGAGCAGCACACTCGCCGGTGCCACGTTCACAATCCGACCGACCTGCAAGATGCATCATGGCCACGATCAGGCCATCCACTCTTGGTCCCTTTCGATGATTGCTCGCGGATACGACGAGGAAGCGTGCCTTCAGCCTGGCATGGTAACTGGCCAATCACCACTGCATCTGCACCGCCTCGGTTAGCGCCACTGAGGCTGAGAACGAGAGATATCATCCCACCACAACCACACCGGACGGCGATGGCTTAGTATGACAGAGGCGGGAGCCTCTTCGCGCTGCCTAGTCTAAAGGACACAGCAAGCAACTACCCAGAAGGACAACGAACGGAACAAATGCCTGCGCCATGGAGCCTGCATCCGTCACCGGCCTGATCAACTTCTCCCTGGACGCGATCATTCTCATCTACAAATTCGTCACAGGCGTGAAGCGGGCTTCCGGAACTGTATTACGGCTACAGAAGGAACTCGGTGCCCTAAAAAGTGTGCTAGTCTTGCTTGATTCCATTCTGAAGAAAAAACAACCAGCGCTGCAACAATCTTCAGCTCTCGTCCAAGCAATCAGCAAATGCAAGGAAGAGCTCAAGAACGTCCAGAATACGCTCGACGGCGTGGCGAAGGGTCAGCGTTTTCGGAAGGTGTTGCACAAGCTGAAGTGGCCCTTGGACGAAGACGACACCCTGAAGATAGTCCAGACCCTGCACCAGTATGTCGATGTTTTCCAGCTATCCTTGACTGTGGAAGGTCTCTCCATCCTGTGTGGGAGCGCAGCCGAGGCTCAGAAGAAACTGGATTCGCTTGACGCATCGGTGCTCGGAATCGATATTAACGTTAGGGACGTCAAGGACATTGTCGCTTCTCTCGATGTACGACTCCGGCAGTTGATCCACGACGAAGAATATGCTCGGTTCCTGAACTGGCTACCGACGCTCGATTACCAGGAGAAACACTTAGATACTGAATCCCGACGTCTTGAGGGGTCTGGTCGATGGCTCCTAGACGGTGATGCCTTCCGCTCCTGGTCCGAAGATTCGAGTTCAAACAGTACGCTGTTTTGCCATGGGGGCCCTGGAGTAGGCAAAACGTTCTTAACGTAAGCCATCATTCGGGCAACCACGAACGCCGAAATTGACATGTACAGGTCTCTCGTGATTGATCGGCTGCAGGAGAGGCGCGAAATTCATGGAGATAAAGTCGCATATCTGTATTTTGACTACAAGAAACACTTAGATCAGAATCCGGTCAAGGTGGTCTCTTGCTTGCTCAGGCAGATTCTCTGCCAATATCCTTCGACGCCGAAGCCCGCAAGCGATCTTTTCGAGAGATTCAAAAATGGTTTAGGCCTCCCACAGGTATGTAAGTCTCAATACGCGTATCAGGCTGCCTTACTTGTCTTCTACGAAGATGCTCCCGGAGACGTTTAGAGCAAATACGGATCGATATGCGTCCGCTTTTCTTTAATTCGAAATGCTATGCTAATTTGCATCGCCACGTTGGCAGTGGTCCCGGATTTTGGGCATAATTGTCGACATATGCTCCGATCCTACAGCTGGAAAGCATTTCATCGTAGTCGACGCTCTAGATGAATACTGCGAAGGCGAAAGCCGTGTTCAACTCCTAAATTTTGTCAAGGCCCTCCGAGGAACCCACGTACGCTTGTTCGCCACGAGCAGACCATTTCCAGATGAAATAATGAATGCGTTTGTCGGGGCGTCCATGGTCGAAGTCGGAGCAAGCGAGACAGATCTTGAGTCATATCTTGCGCTGAAGATCAAGGGAGCAACAAGATTGAGAGCAATATTGAAGGAACAGCTCATCAGCGACGTTGTCAACACTGTTATCGAGAAGGCCCAAGGAATGTAAGCAATCCGCTAACCCTTTCAAGTTCATGCGGTGGATGGTACTCATAAGTTTAGGTTTCTTCTCGCCGCCCTTCAGATTGATTATATCCTCGGTCAGACGACGGCTCGAGAAATATGGAGTGCTCTCAAATCCTTGCCCGTCGGGCTGTGGGCCAACTTCGAGCACACGATCAATCGTATCAAGGCGCTGCCCCACCACTCACAGCGGGAGCTAGCGTTTCGAACCCTCCTCTGGATCTCCCATTCTTTCAGAGTCCTTACCGTTATGGAAGTCCAGCACGCCATTGCAACTATGCAAGGAGCTCGAAACATTAGCGACGATGCCCTCGTTCCAGACGTTCTCCTTGTAGAATACTGCTTAGGGCTAGTAACGATCGACAGAGGGACGGCAACTATTCGACTTGCGCATTTTTCCATTTACGAGTACCTCCAGCAACTAGACCACTGCGACCTATTTGGACAGGCACATGCAGTTATCACAACGACCTGCTTGGACTATCTGATGATGGATGCGTTCAACGAACCATGTAGCAGGGACCTTCTCCCAGAGCGGCGGGGCGAATGTGCTTTTGCATACTACGCTGCTCAGCACTGGGGCAATCATGCGATCAGATCCCAACCATGTGATATACGATTCAGCGTCGAGAGTTTTCTTCGACATAGCAACGCATTGTCCTGGTGGTCGCAGTTCGGGTTCGAACCATACGGCAAAGGCAAATCCTTAGATCTCCGGATTGGTGTTGCGCCTCTACATGCCCTCGCTAGGTTCGGCCTGGTTGATTTGCTCCAGACCCTGCCATCGGATTTATTCGAGGATGACTTTGATTGCCCAACTTCCTTCGAGGAAACTCCGTTGATAATTGCCTCCGAATATGGCCATACCGAGTTCGTTCGTTGTATGGCTTCTGGCAAGCGAGCTTTGGGGCTCAACTATGCGGACTGCACAGGGCGGACTGCCTTAGTATGGGCTGTTGAGAAAGACCACCTCGAGATTGCTAGAGTTTTGTTAGGAAGACCTGACTTGGACGTCACTAAAGGTCTCCCACTATTACAGGCGGTTAAAGACCAGAATCTCAAGGCCTGCATTATGCTCCTCGAGAGGACCGATCTCGATGTGAATGCTTCCGATGCGGACGGAAATACAGCCCTGCATGAAGCTGTGCAGAATCTGCTGGATGTCAACATCATCAAGCATCTTGTCCGAAGGGAGGACCTTAATATACATACGGCGAAGATCGAACTCACGATGGAATATTTGCTAGAGGACATGCACATCATGACAACAGCAGATTTAAGAGCATACCCTCTAATCGTTAGAGAGATGGCAACATTATGCTGGAAGCGCGCACACACGGACGGAGACGTGTCTCTCAGGTGGTTCACTGAGTGGATTCCCTACAGATCTTGCATAGTAGAGGATTCTGTGCCGGCATGGAACTCTCAATTCTTGATTCAATGGCTAGACGAGGGGTTCGACGGCTCGATCGCTGACGAAGACGGTGTCACCTTACTCCATGTAGCCGCCAAAATCGGGAACGAGGTTCTCGCAAAAAAATCCATGGACTATGGGATAAGTGCGAACGCTGTCACCAAGTCGGGGCAAACGCCACTCCATATCGCCGCAAAATTCGACAGCGAATCCGTCATTTTTGTGCTTTTCAAATACTCAACTGATCTCGACGTTAAAACGGCGGATGGCATAGGATCGACAGCGCTTCATTATGCGGCGGAAGCGGGCAACGAAAGCGTCTGTCGTTCACTCATCGACAAAGGAGCTGATGCGAAGGCAGTGAATGGGCTTGGCTGGACTACGCTCTTATCGGCCGCGTATGGCGGCAACGCGTCCATTGTTAGGCTACTCCTCGAAATTGGCATCGATCCTAACCAGCTCAACAAGCGCGGTGGAAGCCCGCTTCTGTGTGCTATATGGGATGATAGATGCGTTATGGCACGCCTACCCTTAGACCATGGGGCGTTGGTGGACATTGGGCGCCTACCAGACGTAACACCGTTACACACAGCGGCAAATCGGGGGCATTTCGGAGCCGTCAAACTACTACTTGAATACGGCGCCAAGCCAGACCCAGTCTCGGCTTTGTACGGAACACCTCTGGACCGCGCTGCCGAACGAATGAATGGACCCATCATGAGCCTACTCATTTCCAACGGCGCAGATCCGACAAGGGCAGGGCCCTATGGTCGAACTCCGCTAGACTGGGCGTTGCGCTCTGAGTCGGTGTCACAGATGATATCTCTCCAGTTCACCGAATCTTATAAGCCGACGCCAAAGGTTCGTATGCTCACCCGTCTCCGGAAGAGGATCGAAGCCGTGGTTACTGAGCTGCTGAATGGGAATTTGAACTACTTTACTTACCGGGAACTTGGACGCGTACTGCTATTTCTAGGAAACCAGCAGGATGCACTGTCTGCGTACGAGAAGGAAGTCTCCTGGGACGAATGGCGGGAAAAGCCAATCCATGGCGGGGCTAAATGTTCATTGTGCTCCGTTGAAGTCGAGGGACTTGCTTTCGTGTGCATGGAATGTCCATTGAGCTATCTATGCCAGTCATGCTTTGTCAAGCATCCCGCTGACAAGAGGACTTGCAACGAGATGCTACTTTGGTATTGGCTACCGAGACATCCACGAACTTCTCCTCTCAGAGGCCTCGATTCCAACCCGATTGACATTAACGATTGGCCTACGGAACCGGATCTTAAGATGGAAGAAGACCCCGAGATGCATCCCACGCAAAAGATCCCCTGGTGTTCTGCCAACCACGTTTTCCTCGGGGTGCCTGGTCGTGCCTGGATGGAAAGCGAGGGCGCTTCTGCGATGGACGATGAGGCGTTTGAGGCATGGCTGCGAGGTTTAAGAGAAAGGTACGCTCGAGAGGATGAGTTGGGCGGGACGGAAGACGCGGACGAAGTGAAAGCGCCGGAGTAAGTCAGGGGATTCAAGGGACCACCCAGCATGTCTTGGACGATGGGGGAAAGGCTCAAAACGGCACTACTGTAGTTTAACTGTTTCCGCATGTAGAATATCATACTTCTATGCTGCTTCTATTCCTCGCAAACCTGCGCAGGCCCCCCGGCCACCCTCCGTGAAAAGGACATTACTACGTTTCTCTCTCTCTCTAAGAGCCCTTTTAATATTATATACAAACGGCCTCGTGCTCCAAACTCTTTCCACCACGCTCAGCGTCCTACGCCCAGGCGTATAAACAATCCATAACCTACTCGCGCTCAACAAAACCCTTACTCCTCCTAGACTCCCGCCATTCTGCCGGCGTTAGCATATTATAAAACGCACCTGTCCCCGTCTATCCACCCGCCCTCGCCGCCACCAATTAACTATACAAACCCACCCATAACCACAACTAGCACGCACATCACATCGCGTCAAATCAACTCAAGTCAAACTACCCGTTTCCATTTCCATTTCCATTTCCATTAGAGCACTCAGTCAGCCAGTCAGCCAGTCAGACACCCACTCACTCACGGCGCGGAATTCTCCAGATACAACGACGTGTGTAACAGCCACCCTGGAGGCCGTCGCGGGTGCGTGCAATGGGCACGTATTTAATGCGCTGAGCCAATCTCGCTAGCCTGTACGGCGAGTTTTGAAAGCTGGAGAATGCTACACCGTGAGGGTTAGTTTAGTAAGGAGTAGGGAGTAAGTGGTAAGGGGTAAGGGGGAAGGAGTTTAGGCTGGGCTTATTGTTAGAAGGACTCGCTCCGGTTGCATTGCGTTGCGCTTTGGGATGGGTGCTACATAATCAGTACTGTGGATGCTGAGGGAAGGGAGGAGGGAAGGGTTCTGGCAAGTGCACCTGTGTGTGTGGACGCAGTCATAGAATTTTAAAATGGACAATTCGGCCAATCACACTGTGTCCTATGTAGATGGGCGTTTGAGGTCCTAAGCATGTCAGGGCGTCGAAATGTTTTGAGTTCTAGTCTGACCAGGGGACCGAACGATGTCCGCAGTCAGTTCGCGAGCTATCTACCGTGTATAGGATGGCGTCACTGAGGTGAGGTGAAGAAGAGAAATTGTTCGGCATGCGCTTTTGGTTGGCGACTGTGAGAACGAACTCCATTAACTCTAATCCGAAGCTACTGATGAGGACTTGCGCACAGATAGTTGTGCTTGTGCTGATATGAGTATCGTATCGTAGCGACAGGGGAACAAAACATGCAGCGCTACAGTAGAATGCGCAGCGCACAGGACACGAGCGCGAGAGGATGGGATGGGCGAGTTTCCTGGTCGCCTTAAACCCATGAGCCAGCGCGCCGTAGCGTCGCAGCCCAACGCGCATGTATCCGTGCGCGTCTGTGCGAATATCCCAGAACACCCCGAAAAAGGCCGTCACAAGGTAAAAAAGTCGCTAGCAGAAAAAAAGCGGCTAAACCTTCATAGTCGGGGGGAAAGAAAAGTAAGAAGGTCGCCCTTGCTTTTATTCCCAGTTTCCCAGTCTTTTCGGTAACGCCGAGGCCCAGGATATCGTGATGATAGGACAGCCGCCCCCGGTATATGAGTGGCCCTGCTGACATGCTTGGAAGAATGCAAGTTGAGTTGGGGTATCTGGAAGAAGATATGGAAAGCGTACTAAAGTTGTATGTGTGTTAAAAACAGGTGAGAAGCGAAGAGTGGAGATCGTCGGACTGGAGTTAATGTTGACGTTGGGTTGAGGCAAGATGGGATGAATCGATGACGGCTGGCGGCTGGTGTCGGCCCGATTGGTGTAATCATGTCATGTGGGTCGCGGACGCGTTCCCACCGTGAGGCGCCAAAAATGGTCTGGTCTAGACCGGCGTGTTGAGCCGTCCACGTCCCCGCGTGAACATTATTTGGACCGGTAGTGGAGGCCAGGTGGCTGTGAGGAGCGAGAGCTTGCGCGGCAACTTCGAGGGAGTCACTTGAAGATGCTCAGCGAGAGCCTCTTGGACTTTCGGCGCATCTTCTTGAACATGCCGGGCTTGTCCGTCTGGGACGACGTAGACGATTGTCTTAGACTGTCTTGGCCGACGCTGGAGGTGTCGCTGGGGCTTGTGGCCAAGTTCGCGGCGTCTTCGTCGTCCGCCTCAGGGAGAGGCGCTGGGAACGGCGCTGGAAGAGGGGCTTCCTTTGTCGGAACTCTGAAGTATGCGTCCACCCTTGCGTTCATTGCGCGGTTCTTCTCTTGTGCCATCATGGTGATGCTGGTGTTGCTGTCGCTTCGGGAGAGGCTGCCTCGACGCTGCTCGCGGCGCGTGGTCGTCAGGGTGAGGGAGGGCGTGCGCGCGAGTCCCCCCACGGCCGGAGAGCGATCGTTGCCGACGAGTCGGTATTCGGATGTTGAGAGATTCCAGCCTGAGCAGTAGGGGCAAAAGTCGCACTTGATCTCCCATCCTGAGAGGCCCAGCTTGCCTCCGCAGTTAGCCAGGTTGGTGGAAGGGGTGCATGGCTTGACTAGATGGTACCAGCGGTGCCGGCAGGGCAGCAAGGATACGTTCAGCTCGGCGACACACATGCTGGTGGTAAGGCGTTCAGGTAATGCCAGGGAAGTTCGAGATATGTGCGCGTCGGGGGATGCTGCCTTCGGGCAGGCTTTTGGAAACCGGAGGCGACGTTTTGGGAGGGGTTCTGGTCTCAGAAGACGGAGCGATGTTGGGTATAATATCACGGGTTCGAGCTGGTTGATGACGATGGCTTTGTATGACAGCCACTATGTCGTGTAGGAAGGAAACTGGCGATGAGTTTTCGGCGCGAGCAAGCTTGAGAGTTGGTGCAAATGGCGGTGTCGCGAAGCGTGTGGGGAATGTGTTTTGTACGAGTGGCGTGTAGGTGGGTTGATATGATGGCGATAGTGGCTGTGGTACGCCGGCGTCGTGTGCCAAGGACTTGGATGCTGATAGGCCGGGGCTGGAGAGCGGACGATGCCCCTTGCTAGGCTCCTTCCCCAGGAGCACAACGGGAGATAAATGCAGCGGGTGACGGAGCTGATACGTGTGTTGCAGAGAAGGAGACTGCGCAAGACGGAAGTTGCGGAAGACAAAGGCTGATGACTGGTGATGATGCGCTTGGAGTCTTGGTGAGGGTTGGCAGCTAGCAGCTTACCAAGGCAGCAGAACGATGACGAGGCAACAACGCTGGAATGCTAAAGACAAACGGCGATGACTGCGCGGACAACAGCAGGAGAATAGGAGCTGCAGGCGGAGGTGAGGTCAGCCTTATTCGGCGTGCAGCTGGCGGAGGGCGTGAGACGAAGCAAACCCGTGCCGGCGGCGGCAGCGCTCCCTTTATGACATGGGCGCCGCTGGGCAGCGGAGGCTGGGGCGGCGTGCGCATGGGAGGGCATGCTAGCGGGGGTGAAGATTGGGAGGTTCAGTCGTCCAAGGCCAGGAGCGAGCGCGTGTTTCCTCATGGGGCTTGGGACATTCACCCAGCAGCGTCGCTGGTCGCGGCGGCGGGACGAGGACCACGCGGAAAAGGAGCGCTAGCGAGGCGCGAAGGAAGCTGGTGACGGCCCCTGAGCAGATCCGACCCATGCCGCTGGGACGCGCGCTGCATCCTGGCGAGCCCGCCGCCGACGCCGCAGCCCGCAGACATCCCTCTGATTCCCTCTCACCGCACCGCACCGCACACCTGTCCTGAGCGGGCCCTGCTGCGAGCCCGCCCCGCTGCACTGCTATCGCGAGGTGGCCTCTTTGCCCCGGGCGTGGGCACCCCATTGGCCGCGCGCCGCCGATATCAGGCGCCCGGGTGCTTTTTACGGCGGCCCCCTGTGGAACAATCAAACGTTTGCCGACGCAGCAAACACGGCGCTCTGACGCTTCTCGAAGGCAGCGGCTCAGCGCCGGGGCCAGGTCAATTCTGCCAAAAGAGCATGAGCAGGGGTCGACGGGGATTGGCGACCACGCCCGACAGACAAGAAAGAGTCAAGACGCTGGTGGGCAGGAGGCCCGTCTTGGTCAGGAAGAGGGGGAGACGGCCCAAGAGATTCCAAGACGCGCCGTCGCTTTCTATCCGCCAACCTTGCTACTGTGTATGTGGCTAGCAAGGGCCGGCCCTTCCTGCCTGGGGATGGGTGTGCGCACACAGGAATCGCCGCGACTTTTCTTTTTCGCAGAGTGCAGGTGTAAACGTGGGCAATACGGAGCAAATGGCGCAGACTTCAGCCGTCGGTAGCGAGCACAAGCAGCTGCGAGTTCCGGGAGATGAGGGCGGCGGGTGAATGTCGCTGATCGCACACCGGCTGGGAATAGCCGGGCCGGACGCTGTTGCGATATGAGGTCACTGCCGTTTTGGCCTCGAGGCAGGCGCGAGGCAGGCGCAGGGCAGGAGCGACGCACTTGTCTCCCACTGACCCTCGGACCGCTCCAGCGCTATCCACTATCCTCCTCCTGAGCACCACGCCGCTCGCCTTGCAGCCCAACAGACGCACGGGGAAGAAGCAACACGCCGGGGTACGGCAGTTATCTGATCTCACCGTGACACGGACGTCGACAATGGCATGCTCGCTGGCATTATCTCTGCGCACGTTTTGCTGCCGCGTCGCTGAGAGGCGCGCTTGTCCCTCTGCGGCGGAATATGCATCGCTCCGGTAAGACATTCTGCCTCCACTCTATCACATCGCATCATAGATGCATGCAGGCCCTGTCTGCAGCAGCCAACAGTGCCGATAAACGCTGTGCATCGAGATGGGCTCTTTTTCGACCTCCATGGCCGTTGTATCCCCGAAAGTCGGCGCCAGCTGTCATCTACACGGACACGCCATCCAGCCATATCACTCACCCGACAAACTTCACATGAAGAACGGCGCCGACACACCTGGGCCCACAAAAAGAAGGACTGGAGGACTGATGCTCGTGCAACCTAGCAACGCGTGGGAGGACCAAAACACCCTGGTCGGCCCGAACACAGCCTCAACGCCACCATGCAGCCTATCCATGCCTCCGCCCTAATTCGAGTTCCGCTCCTCTCGGTGCGCTTGGCCCTTCCTTGGCTCTCTTGGCTTAAGCTTGCGACCCCGCTCGCCAGATCAACACCACTCGTCTGGCACTCCCAGCGTCACGAGGCCTCATGCCGAAACTAAATGGGAATTCCAAGCGCCGGTCTTTGACGGTGAGCGGACAGGCAGCGACTACCTCAGACAAGCTGCATGCCAAGAAGCCGCCGAGCGGAAGGTCAACTTGGGACCTATCGCCTGGAGAGATTGCCGAGCCGGTGTGACGACCAAGGACGGACAAGACAGTAGTTGTCCCATCCTCGTGGTTCCGACACCCTGCTTTCATCTATCTCGAAGGTCGATCCTGGTTCCTGAAGTCCCAAGACACGCCGCATTGGAGCCAGCAATTCTCTCTCTACCCCGCCGTCTCCGCGAGACGGCCTTGTTCTCGGAGGACCGTCCCCAGAGTTTCAAAGCCGGGTCAGAGATCGTCAGGCTGCTTTGAAACACAGTGGCCTAACGAGTCACAAAGCGAGTGACAGCCAGAGCCCTCAACTGCTGATAAGACGTGGAAGGCCGCCCATGATGCTTGCTCTGTCTCAGTATTATGTAAGAGCTGGAGCAACTCAAACTTCTTAAGAGATATGGATCCTATTTCAGGCATCAGGGCTATACATTCGGGCTAACGAACACCGACGTATCGCCGACCTCAGCCAACCATGTCCACAACTCAGCTTGCATATTGGAGCATTTGGCGTAATCAAATCCGAAAGAGATACGGAGAGAACGATCTCCTGTGCTAAGCAACATGGCAGAGAGGCCCAGCCCAAAAAAAGGTCTAAAGTCAGGCCATACTTGCAGCAGTCTTCGCGGCCTTATTGTCTCTCCTAGGCTCAGCAATCAATGTACGCGAACGCCCACCTGTGCCAGAGACCAACACTCAATGCAGCTCTGGTATCAGCCACTGGTCGATGGGATGGATATCAACCATTACCATGCTCGTACGGGAACAGTTTCGGCTTCCTCTCGGCACTCCTACCCCCCTTCGCTATCCCATCATCAGAACACTACAGACAGGGTACGTTAGCTAACCCACGGTCCCATCCTAGTCTTAGCCTGCGGCCCCGCTCCGTCTCTTTCTGAGCTAGATCCCGGAGCTTGAGAAGGCTTGGCCGTCCCTTGGCGCCTTAGGCCCTCCTGAGGGGGTAAGAAGTTCACTGGACGTGTGCGGGCAAGCCGCCGAATATCCAGACTACCGGTGTTTCGATCATAGTCCTGCGTCTACAGTCCATCACGAAACCGCTCCAACTAGCGATCCTCTTCCGCACTTGCCGATACACTAGTGTTAGACTCCGCTCGCACGCCTTTAGCTACACTTGGCAATACCTTCCCCTGCACGTTTCACACATACGCTCCAGTCCATACTGCCTCGAGCTATTTCTTTTGCGCTATCAGGGTGGATGGGCCATCTATGGCTCTACACAAAAGGCCGGGCAGCACAGGGAGTGCACAAAGAGCTCCCTCCCAATAATCAGTATCATTTCTAGTTGCCCGCCAGGACGTCCCGACGAGCGCGCCGCCGAGTTACACGACAGCTCTCCCTCAGATCCAGACCCATACCAAACGCAAACTCGCAGCAGCTTGCCTGTGCCGTCCACGTGGCTCAATCAGTGCTGTTGTCACCGCGCGGTGACAGCATTTCGCGCTCATAGAGCGGTATATTTCGGATACATTGTACTACCATGGGGTATCGGCAGTCCATTCAACTACCTATTCGTATACCCGCAATCATCAATAATTGACTTTACGTAAGTATATACGCTGGTCTGTTGCGTTGCACAAGGCGTTCCCTGCCTGGTCATCCGCGAGCGAAACCTAGGAGAAGTCACAAGATCTTTTGACAACTAGGGCTGCTGGATTGCGGTATCGGTAGCGACCGGATCAGAAAAAAGAACTAGGGCACACTACTAGCACACCTAATACTCAGCGAAGAGAGTACCCCGACCTGGCTTCCTGCAATAAGCCTCTTCCCACCCAAAAGCACTATCTCTAGTGGTCACCGAAGGTAATCCGAAGCGTGTAAAGTAGATGTAGATGATGTACGCAAGCATCTCGGAGAATCTCTATATTCAGTCGCCCACTGCTGTCTTGGAGAGTGTGGTGGGAGATAGCCAACAACCGTCGCTCCTCCTTCGTTAACCCCTTCATCATCAACCATCCAACCCCAACCTCACCTATTCACATCTCCAACACCCCTCACAAAGCCCCAACCTACACTTCATCTTATCCCTCATCTCCTTAACCTGTGCCTTACACTTCGTGCACACATACATGCTCCCCTTGATCAAGGCGCCCACGCCCACTATACTCGCCCCCGTTATAGCAGTGATGCCGGTCCAGTCCAACGGGCTGAAGGCTGTCACGGCAGAGCCGGCCAGCATGGTGGCCTCTCCGATGCGGTGGCCGGCGTGGAGGGCGCGGTCGGTGGTGCTGCGTTTGCTGGAGGCGCTGGAGTAGCTAGATAATGCGCCGGAGTAGCGGCTGTTTGGGGGTTGGTGAGTGGAGATTGAATGGCAGGGGTAGGGGCTGAGGAAGAAGGTATGTACCTGGACGAGGACTTTGTGTCCCAGTCCATGGTTGACGTGTTGGCGCTAAGATGTCTAGAAGACGTGAAGGCAGCTTGCGCGTGTAGATCGAGAGCCGTGTCTGCCGTTAGGAGGAAGTGCAGACGAGGTAGTCCGGGAGGGAGCCAGTAAGAGCCAGCCGATGCCCTTCAGCTACAGGTAAAGATGGATGCCAACTTCGTGATGCAAAGAATCTTTCAAAGCGCAAAGTCGGAGTGAAATCAGGATCAAGCTAGCCTGCTCCCCGCGCCGTGCCCGCTCTTCAACATGCTCTTATACCGATCTCTCGAACGCGGCTCAAAATGAAGGACTCTTGCTGCGTCCCGCAGGAAACGCCTCGCCGCAAGAATCTCCTCATACCATTGGTCCATGTCCATGAGGCCGCCTGTATGAGAACTATCCGACGATGAAAAACCAGACTCTCGTCAGGCCATGCGTCTTCATGGCTGCCTTGAGCAGGCGAGCGGATTGCCATTGCCAAATCGTGATCCTGCCACCACCTGCAGCCGACAAGATCGTGAGTCGAGTGAGTGAGGCGGTAAGGTAAGGCGGAATATTTATCGGCCACGAGCGGGCGAAATATTTCTCTTCTTTGCTGCTTATTGGGTCAGCCTGGGTTTTGGAGTGGTTTTGTGGAGTGGCGAGCCAGTCCTGCGCCGCGAGAAGCGAGGGCGTGTGGCGAGTATCGTATCTCGGCATTGGGGCGTAGCTGCGTAGCGAGAAATATGTTCGTAGACGAATGCAATACGTGGTCCTCATCCAACTTCGCGGGTTGGCGAAGAGGGAGTATGTGGTGCTTTGCTCAGGCTTCGGCGGCTTCGGCATGTCCAACGGGGGCTCAGCCGAGCACCTGTGAAGTGAATCGCCACTGTGAACAATCGGCCCCAGTCATGGTGAGCGAGGCGGCATCGGTGGTGGCAGTCAAGCCTCCTTTGGAGTTGGTTTCCTGATCTGGGGCGAGTATCAGGAGACTGGATGGTCACGTGCGGAGTCCTCCATGTGTACCTAGGTAGATGTAGGTAGCGACGGCGAGAGATGGGTTGCAGAGGAGGCTTTCCAGCCGCCATAAATGAAAGCCTACCTACAACCTACCGGTATAGTACAGTCTTCAGAACACTCTCTCTAAATCGCATACCACGACCCAACTCTAGCACCCTCCCCCATCCCCTCCCCCTTCCTCACACCCCTCCTACCTACCGCCCATAATCGTCTTCTCAACCCACCCACCCCCTCCTCGCCGCAACAGCGCTCCTACTAATCCCACCTCGGGACACACCACAGAGAAAACATGGCACCCCCCAGGCCAAACACGCACCTCGCACTTTCCCCCACCCTGCCACATCCTCCCCGCAAACGCAACCGCCTCATTCCTATAGCTCTCACAGCTGCCCACATCTACATACGCAGCCGGCAAGCCTGACAGATCCTCCGCCGAGCCGGGCGACGCGTATGGACTAACGTCCTCGCTGTCGTACTACCCCGTCTCGCCGCCGAGATACCAGCCCCAGAAACTCTGCGCACTCTTCGCATCCGAGATGCCCAGGTCGAAGAACTGCCTTGCGGACGGATGCCGCTAGAGACTGAGACGGAGATCTAGCATCGGCGAGTACAGCAGCATGCCTTTCACGCCTCTATCCTCCCCCTCCCCTTTCCTTTCCCCTCTCGTCTCCCCTCATCCCGCGCCCTCAGCACCAAACCCGCCGCTAGCACCGCGCCCCCGCTCCCCGCCACGACGCATACCTTCTCCCCATCAATGCCAAACTCCTCCGGTCTCTCGCGCAGCGCGCGAAGCACAGTCTGGCAGTCCGCCAGCCCAGCTGGAAAGCGATGCTCGGGCGCGAGCCGGTACTCAACCCGCTCACGGCTACGACGTCGAATGCCACGACCCAGGCTAGCACCTCGCTCATGCCGAGGAAGCGGGTCCCGGCGACGGTACCAGCGCCGTGGATGTGTAGGATGGCGAGGCGGGGCGGGTCGTTTAGCGCGGCGTCGTTGCGGGTGAAGAGCGAGATGGTGGTGCTGTGGGGGGTGTCAGGGGGTTGGATGCTGGTTGAGGTGTGGTGGGTGGGGCGGTTTCCTGTTACTGTGGCGGCGGAGGTTTGGTCGCGCAGCGAGGGGAGGGAGGATAGGGTTAGGGTGTTGCTTGGTTGGAGGTGCTGGAGTTGAGATTGTATGGCGGGGTGGTAGGGGGGCCGGGGGTGGAGGTTGCCTTTCTCGTCGAGAGTGGGGTCGGTCATTAGGGTATGGAGGGGAGGGGAGGGGAGGGGAGGGGATAGGAGAGTAGTGAGGCTTGAGAGCTGAAGCTCATGGTAAAGACAGTATAGCTTGGAGGTGGCCTCTTAAATTTTCAAAGGTTCATCGAGCTCGCTCCACGTTATAGTGAGCACTGATGGTTCATGTAACGTCATCTTATCCTTGTTAGGAAATATCTCGCACTATACGTCGGAACGAATGTTGAAGGAAGGTCCGATGGACGGAACGACTCGGAATCGTCGGTAAGACATCGGAATGAGAGTATTTTATCTATCCCTAGCCCCATTTCAGCTGCACAGCAATCAAGTAGCAAACTCTCCAGGATATACATGAATAACGTAGAACGCGTTCCACTTTTCACCTACGCTCTATCCGCGCATTGGCATTCTCAATGCAAAAGCTGGAGGACCTTGACAAGATCGCCCGTGACACCCATTGCCGTCACTTCGCCGCCGGCTCCCGCACCCTGGATAATCAGAGGGTTATCGCCGTAGCGCTTGGTGTAGAAGGCGATGATGTTGTCGCTGCCCTTCAGCGCTGCGATTGGGTGACTCTTGTCGAACTTCTCCAACCCGACTTTAACTTCACCCTTCGGTACATCCACGCTGCCGACGAAGCGCACGACTTTGCCTTCTTTCTCAGCATCTGCCTTAAGCTGGTCCATCTGACCGTCAAACTCTGGTAGCCGAGCCAAGAATTCGTCGCCAGATGAGCACGACTCAAGCTCCTTGGGGATAAGCGATTGAACGGGGAATGACGTCGGCGATTCGACTTTCAGCCCAGCAAGGCGAGCCAGAATGGTGAGCTTCCGTGCGACATCGAGGCCATTCAGATCATCGCGCGGATCAGGCTCGGTGTAGCCCTTCTCTTTCGCGGTCTTCACCTCGGCTGAGAACTTGCCGCCGCCTCCGTTGACTGGCTGGAAGGAGTTGAACAGGAAGCTCATCGTGCCGCTGAACACGCCTTCGATCTTGCGGACCTCGTCTCCCGTCTCTACAAGCTCCTTCAGCGTCGAGATGACTGGTAGTCCGGCGCCAACGGACGACTCATGGAAGACATATCCCCCCACTCCAGTCCCATTCGCCGCTGCAGCGAAAATCTCCTGCCATAGCTGGGAGCTTGACGAGAAGGCCTTCTTGTTTGGAGTGACGATGGAGATGCCTTTCTTCAAGAACAGTGGGTATGACTCGGCGATCTCTTGGTTTGAAGTGTTGTCCACCAGTACGACTTTTCCGGGCGCCTTAACGAGGTACTCGGCGAGCTGCGGTATGGGGAGAGGGGCCGTCGTAGATGATTGAAGTTCGGATTCCCAGTTGCTCAAGGATTTGTAGTCGGCGTGGTAGAGGGCTTTCTGACTTGTGCTGAGCCATATGAGAGAAAGGTACGTTGGCGCGGAGGGAGAGCATGAGAGGTTCTGTGCGAGGTGGGCGAGTTGGGAGAGGAAGCATTTGCCAACGCCTCCAGCACCTGAAACATACGTCAGTATCAGCCATCAACCAACACTTGGATGGATGCAAGGGGAGCTACCGATGACTGCAATGAAGACCTGCCGAGGGGGAGACATAGCGGACGATTCTGGGGTCAATTGCTGAAACAAAGGCGGAAGTCGAAGGTTTTAAAGCTTTCCCAGGTTGAGTCAGTGAGCAGCGGCTCCGCAAAGTGACACTGCAAGTGCTGAGGAAGCAATTGCTTCTTCGCTCGTGGGATGACGAAACGCAATTCACCCCGCACGTGCCCCGCCAATAGCTTAGCTCGGAGCTCCGACATCGCCCGCCGGAGATCTACGCTATCCACACCATCATCACCGTGACTCGAGATCTACAACCCCCAACCAACCCCTGGCGCCTGATTACAGGACATCATGACATCGAAAGACGCGCACCTATACGGCCAGCGCCCTGCTTCCCGCTCCAAAGCAAAAGAAATCTCGTCCTCGAGCACCCTCGCCTTCTCCTCCACGCTCTCTGGCCTCATCAAAGCCTCCGCGTCCGACTCAAATAAGCCTGCCGCGGGCCGCGCTCGATCGACCAAGGAAGATATCTTCAAGACACATAACAAAAATGTGCAGAAGCGCGCGTTAAAGGATCTAGAGGATTCGGATTTCACGCAGAAACACCGAGGGCGAACCGCCGACGAGAAAGCCGAAGATGAGGCAAACTGGAAGCGCGCGAAGCGGCGCATGGAGGAAAAGGCACGGCTATACAATGCGCTCAAGCGCGGCGATGTCGAGGACTTAGACGACAAGTATGGTGTCGATTTCGACCGCAAGTGGGCCGAGAAGCGCGAGAAAGGGGACCCAGAGTCTGATGGGTCGTCCTCAGAGTCAGACGAATCAGAAGAGGAGCTGATAGAGTACGTCGACGAGTTTGGCAGGACGAGAAAAGGCACGCGAGCGCAGGTCGCGCGAGAAGAGCGCAAAAAGCGGACACTCGCCGCCGACGAACCGGACCGCTTCACCGCGCGCCCCAGCATGCCCGATCAAGTCATCTACGGCGACACGGTCCAAACCAACGCCTTCAACCCCGACGAAACCATCGCACAACAAATGGCCGACCTCGCGGCGAAGCGCGACAAGGAACTTACGCCACCGCCAGATGAACATTTCGATGGGCGCGCAGAGGTACGACAACGAGGCACGGGCTTCATGCACTTCTCCAAGGATGAGGAGGAGCGGAAGCAGCAGATGGCAAATCTCGAGAAGGAGAGACAGGAGACGGAGAAGGCGAGGGTGGCTCGGAAAGAGCAGATCGAGGCGAGGAAGAAGATGATTGCGGAGAAGAAGAAGGCGATTCAGGAGAAGAGGAGTAAGGGGCAGGCGGAGAGGTTTTTGAATGATCTTGGTGCAGAGCTATTTGGCGGGAAGGAGTCATAGAGGAAGTAGGTTTACGACTAGATTCAGCAGGTAGATGATACCCGGCAGTCTTAATTGAGATACTGCTACCCCTACCCTAACGCTTCCCTGTTCCATCGGACTTCCGGATCACAGTTGGATAGTGTTCGTTTATGAATCTATCACTGGCCCGGAGGGCGCCTTGAACCCACTCCCTCGGGCCGCCTCAAAACCAGGAGCATCATACACCAGCGCCATTTCCAAGTTTGCCTCACAATCGGACGGCCCCAGATCGCCAGTATTTAATCGCAACCCCGTCCTAATAACAGTCTATCTTCCGCCTCATACTCGTCAATATCTTCCTTCATGATCTCTCGGCGCTACGAACGCACACCGGTCCGTTCCCCTTGACCCTCCACCGCCCTTCCTCTCCCTGATCTCCTTGCCGTCGACCACAACCTGAAAGAGTGGGTCGTCGTCGTCCTCCCAAAGCTTATTCCCGTAGATCGCTTCGCCCAAGCTCCTATGCACCTCCCGTGCCTCTTTCCTCCTATACGGATTACAATCCAGAAACAGCGGAGAATTGATTTGGAGGAAGCCACGGGGCGAGAGACTCTCGAGCGGGAAACTCCCTTCTAGCGGATGCTTGGTGTATGCAGCTCGTGCGCCCCAAGTAGCGTGCCATCTGCCGTTGGCTTGGATAGTGGCCTTGGTGACGGCTTCCCATTCTATGGAATCGGGGAACTTGTTGAAGAAGCCGGCCTTGGGGCGGTTGTTAGTACGTACGGGTCTGGGAGTCAGTTTTTTTTTGGAGTAGGGCATGCCCGGGTAACGTACGATGACTAGTGGTCCCTCGCGCCATATCATTAGATCCATTTGAGGATTCATGACCCCGCCTTCTCCCCGGTTGGAAAGGCGCGTGAACTTGAAGGACTTGACTGCGGTGTTCAAGAGGGCCTCGAGGGCGCCGGGCAGCTTGGACTCGAGGTTGTGGAGGAGGGTGGCGATGGCGTCGCATAGGCAGAGGTTCTTGGTGGGGACCGAGGAGTTGTTCGCTTCGCTGTTGAGGATATGTGGGTGGTTGAGAGGTGCGGTTGAGGGAAAGGATGGGTGGTCGATGTATTGGAGTGGCAGCATTGTTGTAGCCTGCACAGGAGGTGGTTTCGTAGAGGTTCGGGAATGCGGTGGGCCGTTATTGGAGGAATGGAGGAAAGCGGGGGAAGGCATGTCTGTTTCAAGTGCCTAGGGTGAGGCAGGCGGTTAGAAGGTGGACGGAAGACGCTTTTACCTTCACGAGCCTTGTGCTTGCAAAGTAAAGTCCAAGTGGTCGAGCAGCTGGCTACCATTCAGCGTGGTAGAGACAGCGCCACTACTCCTCCTGCTCTCTCACCTCCCCACCGCTCCCCTCCCTATCCGTCCTCCGTCTCATCCTCACCCTCATCACCTTCCCATCCACAACCAACTCACTCCGATCCCCCGCCCCCTCATCATAATCCCACACCCTCCACTCCAGCAGCCTCCTCGCCAGACTCCTCCCAATCCAAACCGCAAACTTCGCATCCTCCGGATCTATATCGCTCTCCTTCTCCACCACCTCGAAAGAATCCCAATCGAGCCCTTTTTTGGTGACCCGGGAGGCAGCCGTCCAAGGACTGGCATACGTTTCCGTCCACTTCCCCGTAAAGTCGATAACGGATTTCACGTAGTAACCCCATATATACTTGAAGCCCTGTGAGCGGAAGGAGCCCACGAGGACTTCGTTGCCCGCGCGACGGATTACGATGGAGGGCTGGTAGTGCGTTGCGTGCGTACGACGCCACAGCTCGAATATCTTATTCCGCGGATCGAGAAAGGCTTCTAGGACCTCGGGACCGGCTTCGAATAGTGTGGTAGCTACGGCGTCGCAGAGCCGCGGGAGCACGTACTCGAAGATAGGGATGGACTCCGTGTCTGCGAGTTGCGGGAGGTTGATGATGTGCATGTGGCGGGCTGGGTAGGATGGAGGGAGAGAAGGGTGGGCTTTGAGGAAGAGGGCCTGCATGATGTCGTCGTGGAGATCGCTGCCGGTGGGGTTCATGCAGTTCGCGTCTGTGAGCTCGGCGACTAGGTCGTAGTGCTTTTCTTGGGCACGGAGGGGATGTGCTTCTTGTTCTTGTTTGACGGGTGGGTGGTCCTCGCCTTCGTTGTAGGTAGAAGTTGTAGATGTGACGCTAGAGCTTCCTCGACCGAACGTCGCGCGGAGATTTGCAAGGCTTTGGCTAATATCGTATGTGCCCGTTCTAATCGTGTAAGATGGAGTGAGGTGAGGCCGCCGATAGGTACTCGAGCGCTTGAAGGTGCCATACGCGGACTTGAACGTCGCGACTGATTGTTTCCTGCATTCAGTTAGCAAGACTCCAGGTTATATGGCTATGGCCGCTCACAAGTCGGTATAAACACTATTGTCAAACTCGTCGTTATCAGCATCCCACACGCTCCGTGCTGGGGGTGCATCTTTGGTCGTGGATCCTGACGGACTGAGCGCGTTTTTCTTAGTCGGAGTCCCCATTGGACTTAGCAGGTTCTTCTTGCTCAGAGGCGGTGTACGCAGGCTACTGCGCACAGACTTTATTGGACTTCCTCTAAGTGTCTTAGTAGGAAACTTCCGCAAATCAGAGTATATTTGTTCGTCGAATTCGCCCTCGTCGGGATCCCACATGCCGTGCGCCGCGCTCGGCGGTTTCGATCGGCTCAGTTCGAGAGTGAATTGCTGGAAAGAAGCTGTAGACATTTTCATTGGGCAATCCGTTGGTGTTCCTGGTGTAGCGGCTTGTGAGGCCTCTGTGGGACTCGAAGTTGGCGTCTTTGAGAAGAAGTCGTGAAAGGCCTGCATGCTGACTTGTGGCGGTTATATGGTTGAGGCATATTGCGCGAACGGAGGTTGAATAACGTTTCGGAAGGTGAGGTAGCTAAATCTCGGCGCGTAGTCTGTGCTTAGATTGTGCTCTAAAACCGAGCGGTCACATAGTCTTTAAATATCACTGTTACTAGTACTGTCCCCCCTAGCAACTTACGTTCAACGTTGTAGTAGCAACATACGGTGTGGAGTCGAAATTTCAGTCAGCAAAAATAAGTGTTTGTTCCAAAATTTACCAGACCATCAAAGTCGATGTTACGAAATCAGGTTCTTTGCATTTCGACAGCGTCCCTGATGGGCGGCTTCTCGGAAGCCCTGCAAACCGCTAACAAGAAACTCAGTCCTCGAGCTAACAACACGTCAGTAAAAACAAGTAGCGAGTCCGCGGAGAACACGCCAACGAAATGCCGCCGCCTTCCTCGATACCAGACGTGGGCTTGTGCAGTGTGTAAAACTCAGCCATAGCTTCCAGATTCTTCGGCACTTCCCTACCCTAGGATCGGTGAACCTTCAACAGCTCCGTCACGAAATCCTTCAGATTTACGCTAGACCGTTCATGCTCCTGGGTATAAGCAGCCCTCCAGAGTGGCTGCTACAAACTGGTAGACTATGATCCCATCTTCAGGAGAAGAGTGCTGTATGCTGTGGATACCGTGAAAAACAAGAATTGGATCTCGAAAGTTGTGCAGGCGGGTCTAGTCATTAATGAGTGGATTCGCCGGCGACGTATTTTCCGCAATATAGAAACAGTGTTCTTGTAGGCACAGGAGCCTTCGACGCAGTTGTTCCAGAATCCGTCCACCCTGCGAGCGCTGCAGATAACGTGCTATACCGGGATTCATAGCAAGGGTTGCTCCAGCAGTTCAGCAGTCTCCAGTACTTGTTGGGCTGGAGATCAGTATGTAACCCACCCAGTTATCCGCTCGAACATGCGCGGAGCCTGTCAGCTGCCTTGATATTACCTAGGTACTCACGATTGCCTGAAATGCGCTTTTAACACTACTAAAGATGGTAACTCTGTATAAGAGAAGAAGACAAATCATGCTATCTCGAGTTGGTGTCCGGACGGAGAGCATATCCCGGGAAGTGGAGAAGACCGCGGCAGGGGTGGGTAGTGCACTAGCGCTAAATAGCCTAGTCTCAAATCCGTTTTGAGGTTGTCCCGAGGTCTCCACTAGTTCCACCTAGACCTGCGGACGAGTCATCTCTGCTCCCTCGCACATTTCTAGATCACGGATCAACCGTCCAGGAGCCGGCTCAACGTCGGAGACTTTCCCTGCAGCTCCAGAAATGGACAAATAGCTAGCCAATCAAAGCATGTGCCTGGATTGATCTTCCCCGCAAACTTTTCCCCGCAGCCACCTACGCCGCCGCAATCCAGGATGAAGTCATGAGTTCGGGGTGATGTTGCCCGAAGGCGAGAAACGTTCTGGAGCGGCAAGTGGGGATGGTAGATGATTATCTTGCTCGTTCCTTTCTGCCTCGGCCAGTCCTGGTTCGAGTCGGAGCTTTAAAAGAGATGGATATGACCAGAGATGAGCGGTAGCCATTGTCATCAATATGAAGCTGTTTCATCTATTCCCCGTCCTGGCTCTCTTTCCCTTTTCCTTGGCGATACCGTATGAGGAGTACATCCTCGCGCCTAGGACAAGAACACTATACCCAGATTCCGTCCACAGCTCCAATGGATCAGTGAGCAACCCGGATAGCCTCACGGCATCATCCGGTAGCTCCGTCTTCCAAGATGACTCTGCTACAGCCTACGACTTCGGCAAGAACATTGCCGGCCTTGTCACCTTGACGATCGGGTCTGTCTCGGACGGCAACCAGTACATCGGCGTAACATTCTCGGAAAGCTCTCTATGGGTATCCAACCGATCTTGTGATGCAACTGCAGATGCAGGAAAGGATGAAACTTTATGGTTCAAAGTCACAGGCCCAGGGACTTACACCGCACCGCGGGAGAAAGAGCGAGGAGGCTTTCGATATATGACCTTGGTGCATAACGGCACTGGAAGCGTTGAAGTCACTTCTGCAGAGATCCACTACACTCCTATGCCTCACTGGGAGGACGATTCTCTGGCAAACTACACAGGATACTTCCACTGCGACGGTACGTGTTGAGCATGCGGAAAAATACTCACCGCTTACATCGGGCAGACGAGCTGCTGAATCGCATCTGGTACGCCGGTGCGTATACCAACCAGATGTGCACGATTGATCCGCACTACGGCAATGCCTTGGTACATTTACGCGAAATCAACTCTTCCGTCTCGGATGCAATCAACGTAACGTGGTGGAGCAACTATACCATCACAAACGGCTCATCCGCTTTGGTTGATGGAGCGAAGCGAGACAGGATCGTCTGGGCTGGAGGTCAGCAGATACCTTCAAGTTCCAACTGCGACTTACTGATCTGGGTCAGATATGTCCATTGCCGTTCCAGGTGTTGTGGCCTCGACGAACGATGTGATCACGATTCAGAACTCTTTGAACTCGCTGTTCGACGTCCAAAATGCAACAACCGGCCAGCTTCCATATGCTGGCCGGCCATTCCCATCGATTCTTTCATTCACTTACCACCTTTACACCTTGATCGGAGTATCAGATCTTTACCTGTACACTGTAAGTTTGGGAATTGGGAGAAGTAGCACAAGTACTGATCAGTCGAAGGGAGACATCGAATACCTTTCGTCACTCTGGGATAAGTGGAAGCTTGGATTGAGCTTTTCGTTAAGTTTCATCGACGACAGCGGCCTGATGAACGTAACCTCGCCCAACGACTGGTTGCGATTCGGAATGGGAGGGCATAACATCGAGGTAAGAGTTTTCTTCTTAATCACAAATAATAGGCTCACACAGTGCGAAGGCGAATTCGATCCTCTATTATACCATAAACCAAGGCATCATGCTCGCCGAAGCGCTCAACGACACAGAATCTACCGTCTCATGGCAGACTACAGCTGAAAGGATCAAGATCGCCGCGAACCAGTTGTTATGGGATGAGACTGCTGGGATGTACATCGACAACGAGACTACAACGCTCATGCCCCAAGACGGTAACTCTTGGGCTGTGGTCGCCAATCTCACTATGAACTCCTCGCAAATCGACCGCATCAGTGCCAATCTCGCTGAGCGCTGGACCCCTTACGGCGCACCAGCTCTCGAGGCTGCCGACGCTATCTCGCCGTTTATCTCAGGCTTCGAACTCCAAGCACACTTCATCGCGGAGAACGCGACTGCCGCTCTCGAGTTGATGAGATTAGAATGGGGCTTCATGCTCGACGACCCGCGCATGACCAACTCGACCTTCATCGAAGGCTATTCTACGACTGGCGAGCTGCACTATGCGCCGTATCTCAACGATGCTCGGATATCGCACGCCCACGGATGGGCTACGGGTCCTACTTCTTCGCTCACGTTCTACGTTGCGGGTATCCAGCTCCTCAGCGCTGGTGGGAAAACTTGGCGTATTGCTCCTTCGCTGGGCGACCTCAAGTTCACAGACGCAGGTTTCAGCACTAGTGTGGGCTTCTTCTCTGCGAAGACGCAAGTCAGTGATGGGGGCGTGCAGATCGATTTCCAGGCCCCTGAAGATACTACCGGTGAGGTCAGGATGCCATCGATGGGATGCACGGGACAGATTTTGATGCAGGAAGCGAGTGGGAGGTGTGAGGATATTACCATAGATGTCACTGAAGCGGATGCGGGGCCGATCACCGTTGCTGGGGTAGCAGGCGGCCAGTGGAAGGCCACCTTCTCGTGTGATTAGGTTTTCTAGCCAGCCAATTATGCGGAACTCGCACTCAGAGCATCCGCGCCTTTCACACACGGGGCCGGGTATTAACGACGGAAGAGAGTCAGGTTCAACATCCCTAACAGCGTTGTGTTCTCGGTCTAGGGAGCGATTCAGCTTAGTGTAACGGCACGGAAGTTCGCTCAACTTCCGATCCGACGCTTCTCGCGCCCTTCCGATCAGGCACCAAGATTCTTCCATCTCCAATTGGATGGCGTGGATACACAGGGCGTATAAACGGATTGAGAATTGTCCGGAAGTGCTCGAGCATTGCGCGGCCTACAGAATGCGGTCTCGGAACGGGAGTGAAGTCGCGGACACAAAGCAGACGGCCGACACAATTCCCAACTATAAGAGCCGCGACCCTCAACACCAGTCCAGCAGCAAAGCAGTCATTCCTCTTCAATTGAATACAATAAAGAAGTGAATATCAGCAACTCACCCTTTCAACATGTCTTCCTCCACCGCTCCTCCCCCAAGCCAAAAGCCCCTCCGCATCGGTGTCCTCTACGAAGAAGTCCAAATGACCGACCTCGCGGGCCTCGACGTCCTCGGCAACATCTCCACCAAGGTCATGGACATGATCGGGGAAATGATCCCCGCCGCTGCCCCGCTCAAGCCCCTCGCCGTTCCTATGCAGTTCCTGTACATCTCCTCCTCGCTCGAGCCTTCCTGGACGACGCCAGAGATGTACGTGCGCCCCACACATACATATGAGACTGCGCCGAGGGATCTGGATATTATTATGGTTGGGGGCCCGAATCCTGCGACGGTGAGTGAAGAGAGCTTGACGTTTTTGAGGGAGGCGGTGAAGAAGACGAAGGTGGTGCTGACGACGTGTACGGGTGGGATGTGGTTGGCGAGGAGTGGGGCGTTGGATGGGAAGAAGGCGACTACGAACCGGATCTTGCTTGCGGCGGCGAAGGAGACGTTTCCGAAGGTGGAGTGGCTGGACCAGCGGTGGGTTGTGGAGGAGGGGCATTTTGAGGGCGCGCAGATTTGGACGGCGGGTGGTGCGGGATGTGGTAAGTTTTCTCTGTGCTGTGGTGATTTCAGTTTGAGTGTGCGCTGATTGATTGGTTAGGTATCGATATGACGATTGAGTATGCGAGCAAGAACTTCGATGAGAAGTTGGTCCAGATGGCTTGCTTGGGTCTGGACTTCGAGTTCAATGGGCGCAGTCAGTCCTATAAGGGACCTTTGCCGAGCTTAACATAAGTGCTTCTCATCACTGCCCGGATGATATTGCACTTGCGGCAAGAGTTGAAAGGGAAAGCTCCTATCTCGAGAGCCACGGTTCTAGCTTAAATATGCAGCGCAGTACTTGGTAGTAGAACCATCTCAGCTTACGACAACTGCTTCTCTTTGCCATTCTGCATCCTTGCACGTTCCTCTTGTAGCATCTTCGCCTGCTCTTCGAGCTGCTTGACTCTGCCGCGCCTCCACGTATTCCAAAGGCAAAATATTACCACCGTCAATGGGATTGTGCTTGCAGGAAGTATCCACCACTTGGGTGAGACGTGTAGACCGTCCTCATCGAAGTTAAAGAACGTGGTGCTAAGAACAGCTGAGATAAAGGTGCCCGGTAGGAAGAGCATCGTCAAGGATGCCATGGTGATCATGGATGCGGAGTCACGCTGCGTTTGCTCGGCGACTTTGGCGGTTGAGGCAGCGATCTGGGTGTTGGTGCGGGATTCGCGTTGGTTGGTCAGGTGAAAGAGCTATTCAGGTGTCAAAATAATGCGTTACCAAATCAACTCAGAGACCTACGAGGTTGATGCGAATAAGCGTTCGCTCACGGTATACCGATGTCCAGCGCGACAGGTTGTCACACTGCGCCGTCAGCGCCTCGAAGGACTCTGACATCTCCGAGCGCTTGTCGACGTCCCAGCTATTCTTAGGATCTTCGACGGTCTTCCTGAACTTCTCGTAGGTGCGGTGGAGGAACTCGAGCACGGCCAGTTGGTCTAGACAGTCCTGGTATAAGACATTCCAGTTTCGCGAAAGCTGGTGTAACTGCTTGGGGGCTAGGACCAAGTACGACTTATCATCCTCGTACATATTCTCCTGTAGTGGAATTAGTACTTGATCGATTTATGACAGCTTCATTCCCTCAAAGGCCTTCAACTTACATGGAACATGAGCTCTTTCCGGTGCTGCGCGATAAGATATTGCCATTGCTTCGAGTTCTGGTCCGCCGCTAGTGCATCGAGGAAGAAATCACGATGCGCGAGGCTTGGATCATGTTCCAGAAGTGTTTCTAGTCGTGTGAGCGCATGGGGAGGGTAGTTGATACAGAAGTATGTGGTTTGGTGGCGTGTCCGGATGAACTGAGTGAAACCAACGCCGGTCACCCAGCCCCCTCTGGAACGGTAAGACACTTCTGCGATAGTAAATGTCAGTTTCTGGATCTTTTTCTCCGCTACAGATATAGCGAGAGCGAGCAAAACACGTATTTGGCATACCGAACGAGGATAAGCAGGCGCTTTCACCGGGGTGCGTAAAACATCGTGGACCCATCTTGGCGAACCACCCTTCGGCAGAGAATATTTCGGCAAGTATGGCACGCGATAGGCCTTGGTGCAGTAGGATGCGTAGTACAAAAGGCGAGATACTGAAATTTCCGGGAAGCCAAGATTGGTCAGTCTCCTCCGACCAGGGTGTGGTAATGAAGCTAGTTCATGTTAATGGCGTGTGACGGTCACTATATGATTAACGGACCAAAGAAAATCCTGAACCAATCCTTACAAAGGTGCCCTGCTCTAATTCGAGAAGGGGGATGCGAAATATCCTTTTGTGAACCGTCGAGACATGACGGGTGGAAGGAGATTTGAAATGAGCCAACAGAATCTTTACGTACAAAACTTGAAGCTTCCTCTCTTTGATAGAGTCAGGAGGAGAAGTGGTCTGGCTCTAAGGTTAGCAAGTACCTTACAATATCCGGAAAGTAATACATACCGCTACCAGAGTCTCCAATTCATCATCTGGGACCTCATACTGCCAGTCTACATGTTCTTCAGTCCCCGAGAGTCCATCCTCGAGCTTCAAGCCTTACCAACATCCGTTCCAATGCAAGTAAGCACATCAAGTCTTGCGTGGGGGCCCTTTTCCTTTTCGCTTTCGCCAAGCCCCCAGCTTAGGACAGAGAGGTCTTCCAGCTCCGGGTGGATGGAACTACCAAGTACCGAAAGAAGCTGCGCATCGTCCGTTCCACCACTACCAGTCGGCCATTCTCGCCAATAAGGCTTGGGATGAAAGCGTTTTGAGCTTCTTGGTGATATCATCTGATCATACCGAAGAGTCGTCGACTAGAAGGCGATCAGGCTGAGTCGGAGATGCAGATCGGAGATGCAGACTCGAATGCCTTGGAGGAGATAATTTGCGGTGTGGAAGGTTGATATTCTCTTGAATTATTCACAGTATCCAGGAGGATGTTAATAAGACGCGGGGCAAGGCAAAAAGCGCTGCTGTGCGGTTGAAGTGGAAGGAAAGCTCTCGCCCCGTATCCCATCGAGCTGAGCTTGGTGAGTTATACCCAAATAGGATTAGCCTCACTCCTGGCCCCAGGGCTGTACGAACGACCTGAGAACGCAACACTCGCTCCCACAACCGCCAACAACACGTCAACACGAAGATATTGCATTCAAAGCGCGATCGGGCTGTCCCTATTTTGATACAGAAACCTCAGCTACAATGAGGACCCCTGCTGACTGAAAAATACCCGGCGTCAAAACGAAAATCCTTCACAACACGCCATTCCATCTCAACTCTGCAATCCTCATCTTGTCCAAGAAATGATGATACTCCGGGCCCCCCTCATTCACCAAAGGTGTCCTTTCGCTCGCGGCATTGTAACCCGCGCCTGGTCCACGTTCCTCGTCGGCAAATGTGATCGCCCTTTTGGGGCTTTTCTTGGTCTGCGATCTAAGCCCGGCCTTGAGTATCGGAGTGGGAATATACTCCGGTCTCCTTTCAGCGGTTAGATTCGAGGACGGGGGAAACGAGAATACTCTTCGTCGTCCTTTCGATAGGTGTCGGGCAACCGATGTAGCATCGGGCTTACGGTCGATGAGCCAGCCCTCCAAACCCTCTGTCACCCTGGCCGCATTCCTATATAGCTTCTGTCGGAGCTTTAGCTCTGGGATATTCGGATCTTCTCCCGAACAGGAGCTTTCCCTCGGACTTGATGTGGTAAATGGCAGCGACTGAGGCGAGCGTCCAGTGGGTAGCTCTGGATCTGGAGCAGGAGGCCTTGAATTCCTAGTCTCCGCCCTGAGATCCGCTCGATGAGCTGAGGACGTATCCGAGTATCTGGGAAGCCTCGTGAAACTGTCCCGTGGGACAATATCTGGGTCAACCTGTCCTTGCGAGTCTAGAGCCGAGGTGGGTCTGGGGAGTGATCTGTTTGAGAGAACCTGAAGCTCATGAGGACCCTCAGGGCCTGCGGATTCAGGGCCCTTGGTGCCGCCACCACGACAGCCATACCAGAGGCACAAGAAAGCGAAGACTACCAGGACGGCACCGATTACCCCTATAACAAGGAGGACTTCGCCCGTCGGCGGGGGTTTGCCACTGGAATTTGGTTGCTGGCTCTCCATAGTTTAGGCTGTGGACCGCCTTAGGCTGGAATTCGGGAATGCGAAATTTAACACCTGATAGGCGGGTGAAGCACTCGACGAGTCGATTTCCAGTGCAGAGCTCTGTGTTGGCCTAGGACCTCTTCTGGGTGGACTGAACCGGACGTGGCTGTCCGCTCGGTAGCCGCGGAGACAAGGGGCTCGAAGCGAGCGGCCGTGGCCGCGAAGTCGGTACAAGCAGCGAATTTGGAGCCACCGGCTGCTGACCCGTAGTACGCGTGTTCTGGACGAGCTTCGTGAGAGCGATAGCGAAAAGTCCGCGAAACATAAGTGTGAGCGATAGACGAGGATTTATTCTAATAGCGGATAGTGATGGGCAAGATACAGTTCCAACGATAGTGATGGTGAGTGTGATGGTAAGAGGGGGAAGCTGTGCAGTCGAGAAGACCTCGGAAGAAAGTAAATAAGCGCATGGCCGGTGGGCCATGGTGACTTCTGCGGCGTAAAGGAGGCAGTTGCATCGAAGAAGTTGCGCTTGCCTTATGCCGTCACCTCCACCTCTGCCAGGCGCGAATATGCCTCCTCAATCTCATGGGTATAGTCTTTCTCGATCTCCTTTCTCATGAGCGTTTGCTTGTTACTCCTCTTAAACGGTTTCGCGGGTTTTGCCACGAACACCGTCTCTTTTGGGATTCGAATCTCCTTGAACCCCTTATCGTTCGTCCGGGTAATCACGCCCGACCAAAGCTCGTCCAGCAAGGCATCTGCGCTCTTCGCATCGAGAACACCATGATGCGGCTCGACAATCACATATGGCGCGGGCCTTCCTTCGCCCCCAACGAAAACGCTGGAAACATCCTGATGCTGCTGGATCCGCGTCTCGATATCCTGAGCGTGGAATTTGGCGAGCCAATTCAGCTTCGTAAGGTCATCTTTCCGGGCACTGAAGATCCACCGCATTCGCCCATCCAGGTCCTTTATCGGCGCATACATCTCCTTCGTCTCGATGCGGTCTCTGTTCCTGAAAACCGGATTCCAAAAAGCGCACTGGAAGTGGTTCTCCTCGCCTCCCTTTGGCCTCTCGATAACAAGCTCATACATGTCCTCTGACCCGTCCTCCGCCTCCCCAGAGCCAGGGATGTGGACCATACGATGGCCATTTTCTGGTACATAATCGTGAGTGTACCAGAGCTTCTTATCAATCGGCAGCAGATCGATTTGTTTCCCTGTCTCCGTGGACCCAATAACGCTCGTCAACTTCGTACACTCACACAGATCATCCCCAATCGCCCGATCCAGCGCCGCGCCGAGATAAATGATGAAGTTAAGCGACTTCAGTAGCGGCTGCGTCTCAGGATCGTTATACAGCTGGACGATTGTATGCGGCGGACACATGATGCCATCAACAACGTTTGCCTCCACTACTTTCTTGAAGACGGCGGGTGGGAGTCCGATCATATCGGCGGGAGGCATAATACTTGAGGTGTCGTCGACAATAGGCATCATGATGAAGGCACTTACGCCGCCGAGCCACTGCGGAGGACAGGACGACAATACGGATTGGCCTATCCATGTGTCGTACGCGATGCCTCGCGGCCAGTGTCTGCGTGAGAGCTCGTGGCCTCGGCCGGCAGTGTAGAAGCCGTTGGTGTGATAAATTGGCCTCGGTGTGCCCGCACGGCGATTCAGCACTTGCGCTCTCTGAAGTGAAGTAAGAGTAGCATACCTGTAGTGCCTGAGGTGTGGATGACAACAATCTCGTCGTATTTCCCTTCACCCCATACCTTGTCGTACGGATACCGCTGATGCCCTTTAGCATCTAGACACCACTCGACCGACGGTAGCGCACAGAGCTTAATGCTCGGATCGAGCGTTTGCGGCGGCCCGCTTGCATCGTCTTCAGCGTATATCCACGCTTTACATCCAGTGTCTCCGAGCAGCTCGTTCAATCCTTCATCAGTCACACGGCCATCCGGGATTAGGAACTGCATCTGTCGTCAACCTAGACTCCTTATCCGCGATGCCAGTAACCAGATCAACCACAACGTACTTTTCGACCCGTCTTCACCAACGCTAGCAACAAAACCGAATACCTCGGGTCCGCAGGCCCCAAATACGCGATCGTGTCGTCCTCCACAGACTTTCCCAACTGCTCGTCAAGCCAGTACGCTACTTTGTTGACAGCGTCCGCATATCCCGCCCACGTCAACGTTCGATAGCCTTTAGTCTCCCAGTCTTTGGGCGGATAACGCATGAATGTATGATCGCCAATCCATTTCGCTTTATCTTCGACGATGTGAACAGGGAGCTTGGGCTCGTTGTGGTGATTTAGAGGCCGAGGTCCCATGATGGACGGTCGCATTTGCTGGAGAGAAGTGTCTGTAAAAGGAGATCGATACTGATGGTTTAGAAAACTACGGAAGAAGTCCAGCAAGCGCCTCTTTTAAATACCCCCACCCCTTCTATGTGCCTCAACTGCATCAGGAAATCGTGCCTCATAATGCAACATCGCGGGTTGCCTTACCAACTCACGCGGTAAGGATTGGCGGGTAGCGCGTAGTCAGACTGGCATGACATAAGCGGTTATGTCCAGCAAAAGACTAGGCGGTCTGGCAACTGCCGAGCTTGCGGCGCGAGGCAAAAGCTTGTTTTTGTGAGCTGGCCTGCGTTGGAGTGGGTCGTTGTACGAGGTTACGGTTTCTGATGCGCAGATCATGTGACGAGGTTCGGGTCGTCGGGCAGGTGCGAAAAGAGAAGTGGAGAGAGCCGGGAAAGCAGCTTTGAAATCGATGGGTTATTCATAGCACCACTTCATAATCTCTCTTGGCAATAACCACAAAGGTCTTGTTTTGTCGTCTCTGCGTCTTACCCCAAGCCTCTTCTTCCTCCACTATTGCAAACACCTCCGCATTTGCTTAACATCTCATCTATCTAGCACCCCTTCGGCACCTCGGCAATTTCAATCTTCTCTGTCATCTTACCCATCTCCTCGGCAATAACATCCGCAGGAATCCGATCCGGCGTCTGATTAACAAGAGTAAGCATGGGCAGCACGGCCACAGCCATGAGACCGAAGGTCACGCAGAAGCCGATAAGTGGGCTGGTCTTGATCTGCGTGTTCATGCCGTAGGAAATGGCTTGACCGATAGCTTCGAGGCAGCGAAATGCGGCGCCATTGCGGACGTTTGCTAGGGCGATTCGTCAGCGGAGCGGTATGGGGATGTGGGTAGATGAGAGCTTACATTGCGCATCAGTAGCGAAAGACGAAAGCAGCCAGTACATGTACGATTGCGACAGCGGGCCGGTGGTCTGGACGAAGAAGTACGGCAGGAAAGCGGTCGGGTAGAGTGACTCATCCCAGTCAATCTTCCCAGGCGCGTGGTGGTTGAAGCGGACTTGCATTACAATAGACCAGACGTAGACGCCGAGATTGAGGATGACAACGGTGAAGAGACCCAGCTGCGCTCTGCGACGCTGGCTGACACCCTTCAAGTCGAGAATAAAGCCCAGGCCAAAGCATCCGACGATACAGAAGAAGGGCGATACGAGGGAGGAGAGGGCGCGGGAGCGCACCGAGAAGTAGGTTCCGAGATAGGTGGACCATGTGCCGCTGCGTATTAAATTAGCTCAGTCTTCCCCATCGTTGATCGTGGATTAAGAGAGAAAAAGCTCACCTGTAGAAGAAAGACCACATAGCCCAAAGAGCCGAAAGCAGAATGAGCTTCGACATCCAAGTAAATCTAATCTTCTTGAACTCCTGTTTCGTCGACAGCGGCTCTGAGACCAGAATCCGGGTCCCATCAGATCTCACAACTTTTTCAAGCGGCGAGATTAAAAAAGCAAACGGCAGTGCCATAGACTCAATGATCAAGAAAGCAATATACGTATCCGGAGTAACGCCTCCCTTAGCTCCCTTCATATGGTTCTTGGACAGATTGATAGCGCCTCCGACCAGTTGTCCGAGGTTACGGGACACAATCCAGAGTGCGAGATACTTGCCACGGGCGCCAGACGGGGCGAGAGACATAATGGACCCGGATTCGGCGACGTACCAGCAGCCGCTGCCGATGCCGGTGAAGAAGCCACCGAAGATGAGGTACCATTGCGTGCCGAACTTGCTATTGCAATAGTAGGAGGATCCGCGAATAGGGAAGGACATCGCGCCGATGACCAATGACCATTTTGTGCCAAGCTTGTTGACGAGAGGGCCGCCTAGGAAACAGACTAGATGCTGCGTCAGGCGAGACGGTTGCGTACCGCGCTGAGGAAGGCATACGAACCGATAGCAAGCATGGCGTAGTTGATAGCGGTAGCAACGTTCGACGTCTGGGGAGTAGCAAGACCACCTCCACCGAGCCCTGAGCAGTATCAGTTCAGTTGAACACATGTAGCTGTATATCTCAGAGTGTATAGTTACCCGCGATCGCATCGGCCATGGCTGGTCCGCAGAATGCTTGAACGCTCAAAAGCATCATCTGCGTCAGGCTGTGCTGCCACACACGCTTCCAACGTGGAACATCTCTCGAGTAAGCGGCCATGTCGACTCTCTCGTCAGCGTACTGAGGCGGAGGCGCATTCATGGGGTCATTGCCCTTCGCGCGGAGAGCATCATCGTTTCCGCCCGCATGTGTATTGGGAGGAGCAGCGTCGAATTTGGACATGGCGAGAGAGACACACTACCCTTGAGGGTAATGAAAAGGAAAGAGTGTTGAATACTTGAGAGATCGAGGCGCTGGGGTCGTCTTGACGGATTCCATGCGGTCGGTGCTTTACACACCATGTTGGCGCTGTACCCCATGCCATTCCTAGATAGCGCTGCCTATCGGTGCCCTTCTCCGCACCCAGGGCTACACCTTATCTGTGGATCAGTGTCTAGTCTCCATCCCAAGATACTCCGGACTAAATTGATAGGGTGTGGAGCCCAGAGGGCGGGTTTCCAGCGCACGAAATCCTTCCCGCGTAGTGATGGCAGCGTGAAAGGTCTCCGACGGCCAGTTTTATTACTATCGGTCTATCTAAGCTTGGGAATAATACCAGTCGGGAATAGATACGGAGACACTAATGCAAGCTAGAAGCTTTGCACACGGCACATGCATCCTTGTTTCCACCTCTAGCCCCGCTTTCGGAGGCAGAACGGCGCATCCAGTCGAACCATCCGACGTCCTGAAGCACCAAGTTGATAGCATCCGATCTTGCAGATATCAAACGATTCAAATTGGCTTTAGACTTCCGTTAAGGCTTGTGATTTCGTAAGTTTTCAGCCTTGTCGTTTGAGTTGTCGAGTATTTTGCGAAGATGAGGGTGGCGGACCTCGGAACCTTCCATGACGTCTTCGCAGTCTAACCAGAGAGGGTAACTTTACCAGTCGGGTTTTTCGCCATCGATAACCGCACGCTACTCTGCTCCGACGTCCTAGCCGATGTTTGTGTGGAGTAAACGAGACAACAACTAGTCAATGGCCAGATTAATTCGTCAACCGTACTGAGGGACCGTGTCAGTATCGTCCCATCGAGGAGAGTGGCGTGCTCAGAGCTCACCTCTACTTAAGCGATTGAAACAACGTAGGGAATGTGCAATTGCCGATAGACAAGAAACGCGACAAGAGCACTGCATTGACATGGCGACTTCTCGCGGAAACACTAAGGTCATTGTTGTTGGTGGAGGGGGAACGATTGGCTCTTCGACAGCGCTGCATCTGCTTCGATCCGGATACACCCCTTCGAATATCACGGTCCTGGACATCTATCCGATTCCCTCAGCGCAATCAGCTGGGAATGATCTCAACAAAATTATGGGCATCCGGTTGCGGAACAAGGTGGACTTACAGCTGAGTCTGGGGGCGCGCGATATGTGGAAGCATGACCCATTGTTCAAGAATTTCTTCCACAATACTGGCAGAGTACCCTCCGCCGCATTCTGTTCGTTCGGGCCATGTTCAACTAATTCATGAGCAGCTTGACTGCGAGTCCACGGACGACGGGATAAAATCCCTTCGAAAGCAATATCAAGCTCTGCTTGATGCCGGCGCCGGCTTGGAGAAGACCAATGAATGGCTGGAAACCGAAGAACAGATCTTGGCAAAGATGCCACTTCTGAAGCGCGAGAATATCCAGGTAGGCCTGCGAACTAAGGCTCCATGTGACAGTGCCGCTGAGAGTCGCATTATAGGGATGGAAAGCCATTTTCAGCCAGGACGGCGGTTGGTTGGCTGCCGCAAAAGCGATCAATTCGATCGGAATAGAACTAAAAAAGAAAGGAGTCAATTTCGGATTTGGCGAGTAGGTCTTCGGTGTATGGAGATCCGTGCGGTGCCCATCTGACCAAGGCCGCGCAGCGCTGGATCCTTCAAGCGACCGCTTTTCGCGAGCGATGGGACGACATGCATTGGGGTTGAGACGGTGAACGGGGTGAGGTACCATGCGGACAAAGTTGTACTGGCAGCTGGAGCCTGGAGCCCCGCATTAGTCGACCTAGAAGAACAATGTTGCTCAAAAGTAGGTACTTCCTAGTCTTGGATCAGCGTTTGTATGCTAATCCAGCAATGCAAGGCGTGGGTCTACGCCCACATGCGACTAACGCCCGAAGAAGTGGCGGAATACAAGAAGTCGCCGGTGGTGTATAATGGCGACGTTGGATTCTTCTTCGAGCCGGACGAGTAAGTATCGACCCGTTCCTGAACTGGACTGTTGACTAATTAGTGCAGATACGGGGTGATCAAGGTCTGCGACGAGTTCCCTGGCTTCACTCGGTTCAAGCGACATCAGCCGTATGGCGCGGATGCTCCGAAGCGCGTTTCCGTTCCTCGGTCTCATTCAAAGCACCCTACAGACACATACCCGGACGCATCCGAGAAGAGCATTCGTAGAGCGATAGAAATCTACCTTCCGCGCTTCAAGAATAAGGAACTCTTTAACCGAGCTTTGTGCTGGTGTGCGGATACCGCTGATGCGGCGCTGCTGGTATGCGAGCACCCCATGTGGAAGAACTTCATTGTAGCCAGCGGAGACAGCGGGTGAGTTTCAGTTTTCAAGACGTCGGATACCGCTGACTGGAAGCTAAAGCCACACGTTCAAGCTTCTGCCGAACATTGGTAAGCATGTAGTCGAGCTTATAGAAGGTACTTTGGCAGATGATTTGGCCCACGCTTGGAGATGGCGGCCAGGAATTGGTGACCCGGTCAAATCGAGGCGAGCTGCTCGAGCGAAAGATTTGGCGGACATGCCGGGATGGAAGCATGACTCAGACGAGGCGAAATTGTGATGGTGTTGCGGTGGTGAAAGAAGCTCTAAGACGCGTAAATGCAAAGAAACGTGACATCGAGTTTGTGCACGGACCTCGAACTATACCGAATCGCTTAGCGCGTCCAATGACATAATGCATTCTCTCGACTGCCTGGCGAAAGAGTCAATCGCACCGCCCTTTCGCCCTTTTGCCTTCTGCGCTATGCCTCCTCTAATTCTCGAGTCCTTCCCCTTACCTTCCTCCCTACTTGCCACATAGACTCGCGCCAGGTCGAAGGTGGCACCTTCACCTTTCCGCTCCTCTCAACAACGCCGTCGCCCCGCCACTTTCGCCGTAGCGCACCCACGCAGCGCTTTCGCAACGTCGCCGGCCTCATTCGACGCCTCGACTTAGTTCACGCATATTGTCGCTCCTAAGTGTGAGCTGCAACGATGTCTTCTCCGCCACAGAGCGACGCTCCCGCTGCGCCGGAGATAATACATACGCCTACGGACGACTCGGCCGCCCCGGAAGGCGAAGATGGACATACAGAACATGGCGCAAAAGATGAGGCAGAGGAGCTTCCATCGGATGCTGACGAGGAGACTCGTCTGAAGTTCCTCACCACCGGCACCCGCGATCAGGATGATCTGGAGCGAGACATCGGCCGTCAGGCAGACCAGCTGCTCACAGAGCAGGCTGATGAGAGGGACAAGAAGCGCATGGACAAGGCGGAAGCAGAGGCTAAGCGGTGTCAGCAAGCGATTCAGAAGCTGCGGAGTCGGTTGGCAATGCCCCTCGTAGACTCGCAGAAGCTCAAACTTCGTGGTGAGATCGCATCGTACCAGAAAAAAATAGAGGATCTGGACAAGGAGTTGGACTCGATACAGCAACGTATTAATGACAGGCATAAGGCCCCGGGCGAGGAAGAATCAGCCCAAGATGGCGTTCATGGGCCCTTACCGAGCGAGACCCGACGAGACTTCCTGATACGCACGGGCAAGATCACACCTTTCTCGAAGCTGGCGCAAAACCGGCCTGGTGCTGGAACGCTCGGGGAAGTCATGCTGGATGCTGAGGTGGAGGATATGGTTGAGGAGGCCACCAAGGGTCCAACATCGCATCGGAATCTCATGAAGCCTGGATTTGAAGGCGTTGCGTCCTCGTCAGAGCCTAGCAGCGCACCGGAGTCTTCGCGGCCTAGGAAAAGGCGGCGGATAACGCCCGTAGGCGGGGCCGTTAGCTCAAGAGAACCGAGCGAGGCCCCAGGCACACCGCGCGATGAGTCTGATGATGCCTACGCACCTGACCTGAATGATCGTGAGCTTGCGGCGCTAGGGGAATCCGAAGGTTACTCCGAGGACGTCACACAAGACGACGAGTATGAAGACGAGACGGTGGGTCGCAAGCGCAAAGCAGGTAGCAGAAAGGCCAAGAAGAAGAAGGAGGCTGCTCAAGCCTCGGTCGAGGAGGAGGACCTTGCGGGAGTCGATGATGGCAACGAGAAGGTTTACCAGAATCGAATGCGCGCATGGACGGAGAAACGGTCTACAGCCAGGATGCGAGCGAGAGAGAGGAGAGCTGAGGCCATTGAAGAGGACGAAGAAGAGGAGGAATGCTACAAGCCTCATCCAACGGAACCTGATACTGAATTCGAAGGCGGCTTTCGCATACCCGGCGACATATATCCTGCCTTATTCGACTATCAGAAAACTGGCGTACAATGGCTATGGGAGCTCTACTCGCAGAATGTCGGTGGTATCATTGGCGACGAGATGGGGTTGGGTAAAACCATCCAGGCCATCTCCTTTATCGCTGGCCTACACTACTCGAAACTGCTTACGAAGCCTGTCATCGTGGTATGTCCGGCCACCGTCATGAAGCAGTGGGTCAACGAGTTCCATCGGTGGTGGCCGGCACTACGCGTGTCAATTCTACACACCTCTGGTAGCGGTATGCTCGACACGCGCCGCGAGGATCGCATGGAGCGTGAGATGGAGCTGAGAAGTTATGGAGAATATGATGCGAGTCTGACAGGCGCTGGTAAGGCAGCCAAGAAGATTGTCGAGAAAGTCAAGCGAGACGGTCACGTCCTCATCACCACCTATTCAGGACTTCAGACCTACTCAGAGTTCCTGGCTCCCGTCGATTGGGAGACCGCTATTCTGGATGAAGGGCATAAGATTCGCAATCCGAACACATCTATCACCATTCACTGCAAAGAGCTGCGTACACCAAACCGGATCATCCTCTCTGGAACTCCGATGCAGAACAACCTAACTGAGCTATGGTCATTGTTCGACTTCGTCTTCCCGATGCGTCTCGGCACGCTTGTCAACTTCCGTAACCAGTTCGAATTCCCGATCAAGCGGGGTGGCTACGCGAACGCATCGAATCTCGAATTTGAGACTGCTATGCGATGCGCAGAGACGCTCAAGGATGCAATAAGCCCGTATTTGCTCCAGCGCTTCAAAGTTGACGTCGCGGCCGATCTTCCGCAGAAGAAGGAGCAAGTTCTCTTCTGCAAGCTGACCCGCCAGCAGCGTGAGGCATACGAGAACTTCCTTCATTCGGATGACATGAGGTCCATCGCCAACGGCAAACGCCAGATGCTCTTCGGAGTCGATTACCTGCGCAAAATCTGCAACCATCCCGACCTTACTCAACACAAAACGCTTTCCAAGGAACCTGGGTACGATTACGGTGCGGCAAACAAGTCCGGGAAGATGCAAGTCGTCAAAGAGCTGTTATCGCTCTGGGTGAAGGGTGGGCACAAGACGCTCCTCTTCGCCCAACATCGCATCATGCTTGACATTCTGCAGAAGTTTCTCGACAGCCTGCCTAACCTCAATTACCGGCGTATGGACGGCGAAACTCCAATCAAAGACCGACAGGATCTCGTTGACGAATTCAACAACGACCCGGATCTCCACGTCTTCCTCCTCACGACGAAAGTCGGAGGTCTCGGTGTGAATCTGACAGGCGCGAACCGCGTCATCATCTACGACCCTGACTGGAACCCTTCCACCGACATCCAGGCTCGTGAGCGGTCATGGCGTCTGGGTCAGAAGCGAGAGGTTGAAATATACCGTCTCATGTCTGCAGGAACCATCGAAGAGAAGATCTACCACCGCCAAATCTTCAAGCAATTCCTCACGAACAAGGTGTTGAAGGACCCGAAGCAGCGGCAGACATTCCAGATGAGCGATCTCCACGATCTCTTCACGCTGGGCAGCGACAAAGCCGACGGCGAGACAGAAACGGGCAACATGTTCCGCGGCTCAGAAGTCAATTTCAAGGATCAAAAGAAAGCCAACGTTGCCGCCCCATCAGCAGCCCCAGATGCAACCGCAACCGCAGACCTCGCAGCCGTAAAAGGCATCGCTCACGCTGAAACCTTCCAAGCACCGGCCTCCGACTCTGAAGACTCTTCTAAACCGCAAGACGGTGAGGAAGACAAAACAGATGGCCGCCTCATGTCCACTATTTTCGCTAAATCAGGTGTGCACTCCGTCCTTGAGCACGACGCTATCGTCAACGCGACTGCTTCCGGCCGTAAGCGCAGAGTACAAGCAGACCCCGCGTTCGTGCAGCGCGAAGCTAAACGCCAAGCTGCCATTGCCGCCGAGCAGTTGAAGAAGTCAATGGAGGACGCACGGCGCGCACCGGTCGGTGTACCGACCTGGACGGGTACATACGGCGAAGCCGGGCGGCCCGAAGAACCACCTCTCCGCCCCTTGCCCTCCGCTCGCGGCGGCCTCTCTGCGCGCGGCGCTCGCGGTGGTGCCCGCGGCGGCGGCGGCGGTCTGTCATCAGCATCCATCCTCTCCAACCTCGCCGCCCGCCAGGGCCGCCCCAGCACAACAACCGCCTCAAACAGCTCCTCGGCAGGCTCCTCGCGCGCCAACACCCCGCAGTCCTTCCGCGGCCGCCAGATGCTCACCATGCTGCGCGACTTCATGCTCACGCACGGCGGCGTGGTCCCCACGCGCATGCTCGTCGACCACTTCGACCATTACTGCCGCGCGGTCCCGGGGCGCAGCGAGGAGTTCCGCGAGATGCTCAAGTTGATTGCGAAGCTAGAGCGCAGTGGGAGTGCGCAGCGGGGGCGGTGGGTGTTGAAGGATGAGTGGAGGGGTGAGGGCGCGGCGGGACGCAGTTGAGGAGTTAGCTGGACGATGTGCATTCTTGAGGGTTGTGTATATGCGGTATGATATCCTGGCATGATCCTACGACTGGATGAGCATTTGCATCCTAGCGAGCTAACGAGCATTTTGGGACCAAGGCGTTGGTGGTTGCCGGGGGAAGGAAGATACCACTGCATTCTCGCCAAGCGGCGCGAGGAGCATATGCATTCCGCGCGCTGTTGATAGACCAGATATGAAAAACAATCGCATCCCGACAAGGCTCTTGCAGATAGGTGACGCTATCGACTAATTTGATGACTATTAACAGACGCTACGTCAACATCGTGATGACAAAGCTGTAGCCTACCATACCTTGCTCCCCTTCCATACTATTCAATATTACGACTCTTGCAGTACTATCCTAGCATTTCCTAGCAGCGCCATCAGCGCCATCTTTTGATAGTATTAATAATGCATTATAATCCCAAGTAAATGCAAATCAAATTCCCCACTCCACCTCCTTGGATAGAAACTCCAAAAACACCAGATGCCAGATATAAGGAGCGATGAATATCAAGATTTCCCATAGCGTAGCATAGGCTGCGTTCCCCTGCAGCGCCGCGACCCAGTTTTGTTAAATTGCGTAAGGAGCGAATATATAGACAAGATGCGAATAGTAGATGATTGCCGTTATCGTATGCGGATGCCGAAATGCGAGGTGTGAGGCGTGGTTTCGTGTGAGTTCGGATGGATCGGGAGGCGTGGGCGGCGTATACGTAGATAGCTTACCACAGACCGAAGCTAGCAGTGAAATAGAGGAGCGAGGCAAGGGTTGTGGCGGAGGTGAGGAGGAGGGCTCTAAGGGTCAGGCTGTCGAAGGCGCCGAGGGCGGCGTTGCAGTTTGCGCATTTGAAGTCTAACGGGTGTCAGTGATACGCGATCTAGGAGCATGAAGTGAGTGAGGGGAGGGGCGACTTACCCTTCCATGGCACGTAGGGCTGTGGCGAGTACATGCCAAACGTGAACTGGTTGTACACAGCCAAATATCCAGGCTTAGCCGTCGCGCTGACACTGGACTCGGCATCGTAGATGAGGAGGGTGTAGGTCTCAGTGAGCAAGTTTGATGTCTCGTTCGTGTTCCAGTACACCCTGCCTGTCTCTTCCACGGACTGGTTTACTGCGATGGTGTAGGTTGCCTGGTTCGCCGTGCACGTCGCCATGATATCAATATGCTTGGGGGTCATGGAGAGGGAGGTGTAGTTCCACGCGAACTCGACCCAATCTCCGATCTTGTAGAACTGCGGCCCTGCAATGACAGCAGGCGTTATCATTGAGATGCCACCCGCTGGTACGTCCGCGCCGAAGTTGGTCGCCTTGGGCTTGCCGGTCGTTTTTGTCCCTGTTGCCTTTTTTGTGCCGCTGGCTTTGCCGGTGGCCTTGCTACTTTCCTCGCTTCCGGTCGCGGTGGGCTCGTCTGTTGCTGTGGGCTTTTCTGTGGTGTTGGCTTCTTCGGTGCTCTTGGGTTCGGCGGTGGATTCGGGCTGTGCGGTCTCGGAGTCTGGATGAACACGTTAGACGAGCCGTTGGATGGAGGCGGAGGCGGTGGAACTCACTGTCTTGTCGTCCGTATAGTACGTTCTTAACCTCCCCCAGTGCGTTTACGTTCTCGAAGATGTCAGGCCATGCAGCTGAAACGGATGACAGGGCCACGACGGCCGCGAGCAGCTGCGACGGCCTCATTGCGGGTGTGGAAGTTGAGAGTGTGGCAAATGTCGGTGATTGAGGAGACCAAAGCTTCGTAAAAGTAGTTGGCGTGGAATAGCAAGCAGTCGTCGAGTCGTGCGGTCGGTGATTTGCGGCGGCGCGGTGTTTCGTTCGGGCAAAACGATGAATGTCAACAAAGTGGAGAACGGAACGCGACGGTAAAAAGGGATGCGATGGACTGAGCGCTCCCGGACCGAAAACGAGCGACTGGCGAAGGAGCAAGCGATAAGAAGCGGGGTGAACGAAGGTTGGTCGGGCGGTTGGAGAGCGTTGAGGTGGTTAGGAGACGTCGAGACGAGATGGTGATGTCGGGCGGAGAGGGCGAGAAAAGCGGACAGGGGCAGTGGCAGGTTTGGCCTAGCGACCGGGGGCTAGCTGGGCCTAGCGCGCCACTCGCCGCCTATTTTTGGGGGGGCCCGAAAATCATCGAGGTCACCATTTCGCGGCCCTGCGCTCTTTCACTCTCTCTGCACTGCGCTTTTCACACGACCATTACTGCAAATTGTATGCTAAGTAAGTATCGCCTTCTCTATTGCATTTGTTTCTCCGTTTTGTCTTCATTTTCGTAGGGGTGCATCGCTCGCCGTGCTCGCCATCCCGATGTTTTGTTTCTGCTGAGCGGGGAGGCGCACGCATAGCCACCCGCCAGCCCTCTGTCACGATACCTCGTCACCTCACCCACGCGCCCCTCTCTATTTTCTATCGAGTCTGTTTCAGTTATTGTCAGCTACTTCGCCGTCTCAATTTGGCGTTTCAGCAGAGAAACTCTCACGTGGTCGCCTATCCGTCCGCTGCCCAATCAGGCGGCCCTCAGCGATCCGTCGGACTTCCCTTAGAGCCTCCTTCTCCTGCCCATGCGAATGTTACCCACGGCCTGGGTAACGTTGGTTGGGTTGGGGAACCTACCGCGCGTGGCACCGCGTTTCTTTTGTGGAGCTGTGTATCCACTATACTCATCTTCGTTTCCAATCATGTCGACCAAATCTTGTGCAATGGAAGGCTCGTCAAGCTCAAGTAACGCTACGCACTAGCCGATCCAAGTCCGTGGCTTCTCCAAATAACGACCTTTGCTTGAAGACTTCATGGCAGCTGGGCGTGTTACTTTCAAGTCACTTTCATTGCAGGAAAAGCAAACACCCAATTCTTCCTTAGGGGTCTCTAGGCGCTAGACGCAGATATACCCCAGCATCCCTTCCGCGACTGTCTAATCTAGATGTTCTAGTTCTGATTTCAATTTTCAGAAAACCCCAGATTCTGGTGCGTAGAGACATGAGTGGAACATGAACTCTTCGACTTTTAGATTCGGAATAGAACAAGAAGGAGGGAACACGATCCCAAAACTCGAGAAGTTTTCGTCAGTCGGATTCATACATAAGCAGAAATTCGACTTCAAGAGGACTACGAGGCGTTGGCTTTGGGGTTTGGAGCTAGGAGGGACCAGCCTCATATTGGCTTTCATCCAAGCGATGCAGTGCAATGCATCAAACAGTCGCGTTCCTTTCGTGTGTAAACCCAACATCAACAATACGAATGGTGGCACATTTTTCAATGTGAGAATCTCGTACGAGTAGAGCGGCTTGTTGGGGGCCGTTTTGGCGGGCAGTGCCGCAACACATCCCCTCAGCAACACCTTCTCTTCCATCTCACAATCCGCGCTCTCAACCCCTCGATCCACCAACCATGATTCTCCTCCTACTAGCAAGCTGCGTTCTCCTCTACACAGCATGGAGCCTCGTCACGCTCGAGCTCAACTACAGGCGAGCAGCCTCAATGCGCATACCGCTTATCCGCGTACCTGTCGATCCCCTGAACATCCCCTGGCAAGTGATCGAGCCGCAATTCTGGCGCGTTGTCGATTTCTTGCACATCCCGTTGCCAAAGTACAGCGTGCTGCTTCGGCGAGGCTGGCACTTCCGCGTCAAAGCGGATATCCATAAAGAGCTAGGCACTGTCTGGGCGTTTGTCACGCCGCGCGATATTCACCTCAATGTCTGCGATGCTGAATCCCTGAGAGAGATTTTCGCGAGGAGGGGCGACTTTGTCAGGCCGAAGGAGTTTTACCGTAGGTAAACCGGATATGGGGAGTGTTGGGGCTAACTGTGTGAAGAACTTCTCGCTGCTTTTGGACCGTGCTTGAGTACTGCAGAGCCAGATGATTGGGGCCGCCATAGGAAGATCCTCGCGGCGCCGTTCCAGAACGAGAGTATCATGGGCTATGTGTGGAAAGAGTCTTTGAGCCAGACGCGGCAGATGCTCCATACCTGGGCCCAACCCAACGCCATCATCAGAGTGGCAAAGGATACCCGGACGTTGTCGTTGAATGTGCTTGCAGCTATCGGTTTCCGGCGCTCGTTCAAGTTCGAAAGCTCGACCGAGGAAGTTCAGACAGGAGGGGGCTTCTCGTATAGAGATGCCCTCCAGCTCGTCCTCGACAACGCCATCCTGGTCATGGTGGTTGGCCGCAAACACCTCCTGTATTCATGGCTTCCCGCTTGGGTCCAGAGGATTGGAAAAGCTGCGGAGGATTTCCAGAAGCATATGGAGAGGATGCTCGATGAGGAGATGGCGGTGATGAATCGCGGCGACAAGGGAACGGGCACGATCATGACGAGCTTTGTCCGCGCGCTGGATCAGCATCAGAAGGATCCAAGCAAGGGCATGTCGGTGGAGGAGATCTTTGGGAATACCTTTATCATCAACTTTGCTGGCCATGATACAACTGCGAACACATTGGCGTTTGCGGTGCTTCTCCTGGCGGCAGACCCGGAGATTCAGGAATGGGTCGCAGAGGAGGTGCGGGGAGTTACGGTGGGTGTAGCAGGAGAAGACTGGGACTATGCTACGCTTTACCCGCAGCTTGTTAGATGTCGGGCGGTGCTGGTGGGTAGACCTGCCCCTTAACGAGACACAAGACTGACCGCATCCTAGCACGAAACACTCCGCCTCTTCCCGCCCATTATGTCGATCCCCAAGTGGACGAACGACCAGCCGCAAGAGCTTAAAACTTCTAGCCGCACCCTCACGATCCCACCAAAAACCGGCGTCTTCCTCAGCACTCTTGCAACCCACACCTACCCTGAATACTGGGCCGATCCGCTCGCCTGGAAGCCGTCGCGATGGATAGCATCTGACCCCTCAGAACAGGAGACCGTCATCACCCCGCCACGGATCACGTACTTCCCCTGGTCAGATGGGCCGCAAAATTGTCCGGGCCAGAAGTTCTCACAGGTGGAGTTTGTGGCTGTGTTGGCGATGCTGTTGAGAGAGCATCGGATTCGTCCGGGGAGGAAGGAGGGAGAGAGTGAGGGGGAGATGCAGAGACGTGTGACGGGGGTGGTTAATGATTGCGATGCGTTGATGATTTTGAGGATGAGGGATGCGGATCAGGTGAACGTGAGGTGTGAGAAGGTGCAGGGTGCATGATCTGATGCGTTACAAAGGTATCGACTTAATGTCGTTAATGGTGTCGAAACAGACGGGAGAGCAAAAGACGGCAAGGCAATAGCTAGATTCGGTTAATCAATACTGCGGTCACAGTTCCGCCATGCCGTGCTAGCACTCAACATTTGTTCAACACCACAACACCATTATTCTACCATCCATCCGTCTAGTACACACCTCTCATTGCATGCTAGGCACCCTGAAGATTGCAAGTTGACAGTATCATCCACATCTGGGGGCCACGTTCCGCCAATTTCCCCAGGAGCCCTGCAAAGATTAGACAGAATGGAAGGCTGAAACACTGTGAGAAACCGAAAGCGATCCAGCTCACAACTATGCGCAGGCCAGACATATCATACAAGGCGGATTCCATCTAAGCTGAACAAGAGATGTGGCGCATGAGCGACATTGGCGGCCACTGCCTCGAACCAATCGTCGACCACTTTCCTCAGCCTCGTTGGGTATGGGCGCATAAGGCAGAACTGTGGGGTGCTCTTTCCGCAATCACCTCAGCCTTGTGCACCTCGATCGCCACATGAAATATATATCGCCTCGTGCCTTTGGATTCTCATTTTCCTTCCTCATACAACGCTCGCCCCGACCACTCCAATATGGACGGGCTTTCTGGAGTCGCCAGCGGCATGGCCGTCATCTCGTTAGCTATACAGCTCATCCAGACCGTGGACAAGATCAGGACTCTTGCTCGACACGTAGCAGGAGCCTCCCAAGAGCTGGAGCGGCTACTCAGCCTTCTCGATCGACTGCGCGCGCTTCTCGACGACGTTCGCCAGATCACAGAATCACAAAGTTCGCGGTCCAGATTTCTCGTTCCGCCGCCTACTTCAACGATTTTCCACAGCCTCAAAGCCTGTGAAACCTGTCTTCAGCCTTTACGAGAAATAGTTGAGAAGCATGAGCAGCAAAACGGCCGGTCAAAGCGGGCGAAGCTTTACGGCGATATCAAGTTTGCGCTGAAAGCGAAAGACATAGCTGGCTATGAGAATCGCATCCAGCACGAAGTAGTCAGCCTCATTGCAGCTTTAGCAATCAATAGCACGAACATCCAGTAAGTATTTTGATTCGCTATAAAAGTGCTGTCTAATGTTTCTCAGGTTGCATAGTATCCCCCTTCTCGTCAGCGATCAGCAAGCGACTACGATAACGGCTTCTCAGCCCTCGTGCGGGTCGGCCCTCGAGTACGGAATGTACGATCCAAAACTAAAATCGGACATGGTTCTGCACACAAAAGCGTCACGACCGACCATTGTACTACGAACAACGCTATCGCAATCCAGCCTAGAATGGCTTGGGATCCGCTATAAGAAGATTGTGAGCAGATTGCCTAGCGCAGAACGAGGACAGGTCAAAGAGGATCGTTTTGGAGACATCGTCTCTGAGGAAGACATGTACACGTGGACGATAAGACTCCTTGGATACGAGATTTGCTGGGCGCGGCGACGACCATATGGAAGCGTTCTACCATCGCTCAGTGTGTATCCCGTCGTAGACTGGTTTGATCTGTCTATGATGGCTCTGTTCGGATGCGGGAGTATCAGCGATCTTCAACAAGCTTTCCATACAGGTGCCTTGCATCCTTTCATGCGGAGTCGAGACGGTGAAACATTACTGCACGTAAGACCCCCTGTGTTCTAGAGCCTGTGGAGCTAGTGTCTGGCTTACATAGTTATAGATTGCTGCCCGGTATCATCGGGTGGATTTTTGCCGTTTATTAACGGGAATGGGTGTTAAAACGGAGCTCGACCGCTGGGGTGGCAGCCCTCTCAGACGGGCCTTAGAAGGCCCTTGTAGTGAGGGTGTCAACGCTACCGTTGCTACCATGGACACCGTCCGGTTTCTATCTGGGGATGCCATGCGCTTCGACAACCTCCTCTGCGGGAGTGGTACCTGGAAATACTGGCTCCTACACGTGGATGAGAACCCGTGCTTAATTCGGTGGCTTTGGACACAAAGCCGAGAGCTCTTCTGCGGCTTGGATGAGCGCATAGTAAAGGCAACGTGTATCTACCGGGTGTTGTGTAATTTAATTACCCGGCCGCGGGATGATTTCGATACAGACTGGGCTTTGGACTTCTTGAAGATATCTATGACTCTCGAAACCTTGCGTGGCCCTGAAGTTGGAGCGCAACTAGTACTGACGTCCGCTGTATATGCGGACCCATTGGATTCAGCGAGAAGCTACGACGCTGGAAGCGCTTTGCTCGATCTCCTCCGCAGGTTGGATATCGATATTGAAACATTTTTCGACCTTGCGCTCGGCGCGAGTTCTTCCTATCCCCGTCCTCGACACTTCTCCGAACGCAAGCTCGTCTTCGAGTATAGAGAGCAGGGGGGCTGGATCCTCGGTTGGGAATGGGACTTCGATCAGGAAGCCTCTGGCTTTCTAGTAGCTTCCGAGTTCCTCGCGCTTGGAGCTGAAAGTTTTTGGGCCTCGGAGTGGCCATTCAAATGGGACGACTATTGGGAAGAACGTCAGCGTCTCTCTGAAGAGGATAAGAAGAGGATCCGTCCCAACCGAGAAGCTCGATTCAAACGCCGCTTAGACGCCAAAGCCCGCAAGGAACTGAAACGCCAGCGAAAGCACCAACAAAGGACGATACCAGGCAGCTGGATTGACTGATGGTCCAGAGGATACCGCAGCCAGACTTGGTACCGCAATACCGGCTCAACAGCAACACCGACCCCCAAATCCACATACAAAAGCTTCCACGAGATTCCAAGACGTCGCCACATCTTTATATGGCTACCTCTTCTTTTCGCAATGCGATCGAAAATCATGCAAAGCGCAGTCGGAAGTTTTGCCAAGACCTGCGAATCAGCTTGGACGCCTGAGGAGCCAGTGCCGTCGAGCATGGCCTGTTCAGGGTATAACGGGGTGCCTGAACGCGAGAAATGACGTAGCGTGCTAAATCCGTCGAATGTCCAACTGCGAATGCACATGGAGAGGTTGGGATGTGGTCTTGATAAAATTCGAGGGGGCTCGCGAGCCTGCCGGTCTCACGGAAAAGCCACTTGCTGCGAACTATCACAAAATCTACCACACCACACGAACTTCCTTTTCCTATTCACTACACTTTTCGAGAAAAGGATTGCTTTCTGAACCGGACCGGACTTACGCCTCCCAAAACCTCCTAACTCCACATTAAATTTCGCGAGAATGCATTTCCGACACCATAGCAAATCCCCAGCGTCCAAGCCCGAAGACGCTCCGCCACCAATTCCGGACCAGATTATCGTAACCGAAGACGGGAAAGTTCGAGAAATCGAGAGGATAGGAAAGAGCACGAAGGAAGACGAGGAGAGGAATGGGCCGAGGTACCGCAGTGCGCATGGCACGAAGCCGTCGGTATTGGAAAGGATGGCTGGTTTGGCTTGAGGGAAGAGGCGATCAGGAAGGGGAAATAGGGCGTTACGGTTTGGATTAGTGTGCAGGTTGCGATGCGAGACCGGCGCGTCTTCTCATATTTGTCCAGAAGGAGGGGAAGGAGAAGAGGGCGAATATATCAACCACTGAGCCTCGAACGGCTGGCAGCGTGATCTTAACCGCCTCTTTGAAGGTCTGGAAGATCTCATATACGTGTTCCGCAACGTCCGTAACGTGTGTTTTTACCTTTTTCGCAGCTTCCGTCGAGAGTTCGTACACCTCCTTCGCAGCCTTCGTCAAAAGCTTATATATCCTTTTTGCGGTCTTCCATAATAATTTCACCGTCTTCATTGACAAGATGTATATCGTATCCCAATGGAATTTCTTCCTCCACAGGTCCCAGAGTACAGGCAACGATATCGGCAAGAGCCAGAAGATAGTCCAAAAGACGTTGAAGTTTGTATAGTCCATGTCGCGAAAAGAAGGCTGCCGCAAAAGACGGTATCATTCTTCGGGAAAGGCATAGTAATCGGCTTCACGATCTCGGCGAAGATTCTCGCCCGCTGGAACACGATCATGTTGAACAAATCCCTATGTGCAAACACGTAGGCGGTGTCAAACCACGCCCTGACTTCCTTCTGCCACTGCGCGGCGTTGTCGATGAAACCCACTCGGCGCGTTCTGTGGCCCGATTTGGCGAGGATGAAGTTAATGTTGAGGCTGAGATACCGAGCAACCGAGGCGCTAATGAAGAGCGTATGATAGAGAGTGAACAAGTCCGAAGGAATGACGCCGTTGTCTTTCCACCAGGGTTAGCTATTCTGCGGCGTAAGAATACAACGTCCGTTCTTTTCTTCGACATACAAATCATCAATGGCGTTTCCCATCCAGGATGAGCACTTGTTCCCCGGATAGTAGAGGCGGAACTGCTCTACGCAGCCTGGGGCAGTGACCTCGCGGTCTGGGACGAATTCGTCTCTCCGTTCCGAATACGGTCTGTGAGCTCCGAAAATGGGATCGTCGATGGCGCCCGGAGAATTTTAGGGTAACAGTGTTATCTGACCGGCATAAAAGAGTGCGACGAAGGCGGTACCGTCCGCTCGATATAAGTGCGGGGAGATATACCGGAGACCAGAACGCATTTCAGATAGAGATACAGATATAAAATAAACGTACATGCTCCTCGCATGCCTCTTGTCGTTGTACACGCCGTCCCACCCTGAGAAGTTTGAAGAGAATTTGTTTGGTCCGTTAGATGCACATAATTGAGCCGTGTAATCCATAATAATGTTGATGTTGGCGATGCGGTCGTCCTGGAAGAAAAGCCGGCCTGAGCAGGATTCGCCTTCCCCATCTTTGGGAGGCCTGATGAAGGGATCGGTGTTGAGAGGTAGGCAAGAGAGTGCACGGTGGAAAGATAGTTCTGATGCAGAATTGTACCCTATATCTTGTGGAAGAAGGTGGCGTTCCACGCGTACACCAAGCTGGCCATCGATACATACTTCTCCAGTGAACGGGCAGTCGGCGTTACTAACTGCTGCATCGGGAAAGGTTCTTTCGAAGATGTCGTTGCTACATCCTCCAAAAGATCGACATTCATGGTACAGCCTTTCCGCTTGACGAGCCACCTCCCCCCTATAGATGGCATTAGCCGATATCCCGAGAAGGCTGATGCCGCATCCTGGCGTCCATTTCGAGACTACCAATGGATATTTGTTTCCGAATTGGGATAGCAACCAAGGAATTAGAGGAGCTAGGATACCCGTGACCAGGCAGACGAAGATAGCGTTCAGACAGAACCTCGTTCGTAGTTCGCGGGAGAATTCGTCGTGGAGCTTCTTGACTCGAGGCTTGTCGAGGCGTATTCCGAGGAAGGCTTCGATAGCCTCTTTAGGAGAAAAGCCTTCGTCTCGTAGGTTGACGAACTCCGCGGATCGTTCTAATACGGGAAGAGGATTGTCCGCTTCGTCCGATGCAACTTGGTCTCCCAGCTCTATAGCGTCATTAACAGTGTTGTTCCACATACGATCTTCTTGCTGCGAAGTGGTGCAAAATTCGGACGAGTGGATTGCCGGCATCGCCCGTCGTCGAAGGAAAGCCCACAAGCGGTCACCGGCATAGATGATGTAAAGGCCTAGAACCAGTTGGAATACGACGGCCAATCATCGCTCAACGTGAGCCACCATCGGCTCGGAAAGGGTCGAAGTCGGTTGATCCAAAATCCTTGGAAAACGGCATTCTTCCTTTCCATGATTGGAATTGGGAATAGTGTTGGTTGTGGGGCTCGACGAGGAAAACGAGGAAGAAGCCCGCTACAGAATGCGTCTAACCTTATGATGAGATCGTATTGACATCTAGGTCTTAATTGTATGGCCTGGTAGCGGACAAGATAACTCATGAGAGTTGGAGAAGAAGCGAAGTCGGTGCTCTAAGCCACGATTGCAGCCTGCTGTGGCGTGAGCACGTCCTGACGCGCCTATTCGTGATCGTTGTCGTCCATCTAGCCTTTCCCGTGGGGTTGTCGAATACTGCCCATCATCAGCATCATCCGATCGCTAGTTCAGTTGCTTTAGCATCGCCACTGTCAGCTATCAGTGCTCTGCGCATCCTTAGAGACCGGTCAAGGGGCAATTTCGCTTGAAGGTGCTGAAAAGATGTAAGTCAAGCACCTGATTGTGGCGTACGTCGCGTGTGCAGTACAAACGTGGAAACCATCGTGCACTAGCCACCACCTCCGGGTGGATGCGGGATCTTGAGTCTGGAGGCCACGATAGCAGCGTAAAATTTTGCGCAACGCGATTGGTATTGACCAGAAGACTGACAGTCTGGTTGTGGCGAGGAAAGACGCGACGGAGATTACCTAGGTAGACGGAATGTACGGGCCAGCGCCAACCCTATTTGGTCTTGCCACGTGAATCATTTTCGCGTTGACTCCGCTTCTCGTCCACGCCTCCACTTGCGCAGACACCTAAAGGGCTCGGGATCACCAAAGCGAATGGGCATTCACTGCGCGCAAGAGCTTCATGAGTACTCACTCTAGACAGGGGAGAGAATTTAAGCATGGAGATGATAAGGTGCGCAATATTGACTAGTCAGTCAGGTATAAGAAGAGAAGAACGAGGCCGTTCCGCATGCAAAATCCCAAATAAAAACAATTGCACCAGGACACCTGCGGAAAGGACCGAAAGAGGCTCCCTCTACAGTATACCCACGTTCTCACCAGTTGGATCCACCTTCCGCGATGGATTGAGGATACCAACCACTCATATCGAGACCCGCTCGAAAATGGTCCACCACATGGTCCATCCGCAAGGCCGTCGATTCCAAAGAAACCTGACAAAAGCCACACCACAACGAAGCGGGGTTAGAAACCGCAGCGTCAATGTCCTTAGCCCAACAGTGCGGCACTTGAAAAGCCTTCTTAGTTGCCTCGTCAGCCATCGCTAGATGAACTTGCTGGACGTGCTGTTTGAGGAGGTCCTTCCGAGCAAAAGTCTTTTGAGTGGCATCCTTGTCCAAGCAATTAAGGATGCTGTGTCGGTCGAAATGGGTGGGGTCGTCGACCTCTTCCCCGCAGAAGGCGCAGTCTACCCCGTCTAGCAAGACACCATTGAGCATGCAGGTCCACTCCGTGAGGCGAAAGTCGTGTACGCCAGATTCATGTCGTTTCCACCCATACATATCCTTGAAGGATTTGGTGCATACGGTGCAGTGGAATCTTTCAGAGCATTTGCGAAGATTGTCACTGGAGTCATCGGATGTAGAAGGCCCACCTGCACTGGTCGGATATCTTGAGCGATAGCATCTCTTTCCCTTCCTCTTGATAGCCCTAGCCGGAGCGGCCGTGGAAGCGAGAGGCCAATCCTGATACGGGACTTCGAGTTGGTTATTGTCGATTGGAGCAGCGCCCGTGAGATTGACGATACTCCCAACCTGCCAGTCCAGGTCGGATGTCTGAGGGAGGGTGCTTCGATAGTCCACCGCGCGCAAGCCTGCGGTTCCGTCGGGCGTTGAGCTGGAATAAAATGGGCTAAAAGACGACTCCTCTGAGTCGTGAACCGAAGGCCGAGATACTCTGCGCGCCGTAGCGATATCGTCAGAGTGGTAAGAAGTCGCTCCGATGTTGGGAGGTTCTGTTTAGGGGTTAATAGTAGTTGACAGACTTCTACTCAGACGATACATACCTGAGGTATTCTTCAGCAGGCGGGCTCGAAGATTACTGAGGCAGACTCGCACTTGCCGAGGAGAGTGGCCAGTTACTGAAGCAAGTTTTAGAACCTCATCCTCGCTCGCATACGGAGATGAGGCATGGCTAGATAGCCATTTCTTGATAGGAGCAATGCTCGTCTGAGGGCCGCGGTGTCCGCTGGAGTCAGATTTCTGGCTTTTGCAACCCGCGGATGGCTGCCAGGAGTGATGAAGGCCTAGATTGGGGTATTCGCTTTCGTTCCTGGGGGTTTCGGGGGTGGTCGCGTCGGTTCGGGGGTTGTTGACGCATCGCAACGTGAGCGACGTCCCCTTCGCGGCATCTCCTGTGCAGACGACTCCGTTCAACTCCAGATCGTGAGGGCAGACAACAGTGTCATCATCGGACCAAAGGTAGTGATCGCTCTTAAATGCGCTGAAATTGTCACAGAGCTGTGCATATTGGAGTGATGCAGACACAGATGCGGGACTCGCGCACGATTTAGAGAAGGGAGTCCAGGGATTCTCGCAGAAAGCGTCAATAGGCTCGGAGAAGATAGCATCAGTTAGGAGACTGGAGGAGCCATCGTTTTGCTTGCTATCGGATACGGGTAGGCTAGATGACACCGTTAATTTGATGGCGAGGTGGAGACTGCAGTGGAGGTAATTCGGAAAGAACCTTGGAAGTAATAGATATAGTAAAGAGTGCATCGCAAAGGGTAGTGGAATGAGAAAGGAGCATATAGCGCAGGGTTGGGACAGTGAGCTTTAGGGCTTGCGCGGTGACTGTCCTCGGAAGGAGGACACCCTTCTTATTATTCTGAATGGCTCGGCGTCCTTCTAAAAGAAAGTACTCATGCCCAGGGCTATCGGGGATTATAACGGCACCGGCTGACTAAAATGCGACTAAATCTATCGAGAAAGAGCGATTTCTCACCTGGAGAATGGTGGTGTTGCACAAGGCTGCTGTGGAGGCTCTGCGCTGGCGGTCGCCCATGGCTCGTCCTCCAAACGTGGGGCCGGCGGAAACGGATGCTCGGCAAGCGTTCCGTGCTCCGACTGGAAACAAGAATCAAAAGACATGGTCAAACAAGATGCGAAAAGCTATTGAAAGAAAAGCAGAAGACGTGGAGGAGCTCGCAGGGCCTATAATTGACAGTTTTCGCCTTGAAAATGAGTTTTAAGGCGTGTTGCGAGTTCTGCTGCGGCAACGGGCACGTGATAGCTCTTGGCGTCCAGAATTAGGTGGTGATAGCTTTTCCCATCCAGAATTTCGTGGTCGGTGGTTCATATTCCGGCTTTCTATTTCTCGCTATCAAACATTAACTCGCTGGGAACATGATGGATCCAGTCCGCCAATGATTACAACATAGCAATAAGGCAGAACGCAATCTTCAGAAACGGGCTCGAAAGTCAATATCTTCAATTTTCTTCCACTCCCAACGCGTCTCGACTTCGTACCCGGTATTCTCATTCGATGAGCAACCGTCTTTCTAACATGTCCATATATACGCCAAAAATGCTCGGGTACCCCTATGAAGTGTTGAAGGTTTCCTAACCGAACCATCCGAAGCCATGCTAACTTTTGTTCAGCCTGTACTCTCATGAGAACGCCGTGTTGAAATCAGCATTCAGATGCAACTCCTGCCTCATGCACATGCACATCTCACTTCTAGCCACCAACACCTACAACACCGCCCAGATACACAACTGCTTCTTACGGCTGGCCCGGCCAAACAGCATCCGCAATGCTCCTCACAAGCATCAACTTCTTCCTCATATCCTCATACCCCAGCGCATTCCCCTCAGCATGGCTCGCAAAGCCGCACTGCGGGCTCACACAAACGCGCTGCAGCGCCTCTTCGTGGGTCTCATCATTGCCTTTAGCAATGAAGTCAGCAGCTTGGTTGACACGGGCAATCATTTCGTCCTTGTTCTCGAGGGCGGGGAACTTGGAGGTAATTACACCGAGCACGACGTTCTTGTTCTTGGGAAGATGTGCTAGGGGCTCGAAACCGCCGGCGCGCGGAGTGTCGTATTCAAGGTAGTACGTGTCGACATTCAGGTCCTATGGAACGTTAGCATACCTAGTGGCATAGGAGCTGCGGCAGTGACAAGAAGAGGATGTACCTGGAAGAGCTTCTTCGCGATGTTGTCGTACGCGCCTTCGGAAAAGTGCCTACTTCCGACGTAGTTACCGCGGCACAGGTGGATACCGAGATGCATATCCGACGGCCTCTCAAAGCACTTATTGTAGAACTTGACGTAGGCGTCGAACATCTCGTCAGCCGTCTTGTCGTTGTCCTTGTCAGCAGCCCACCCGTCCAACATAGCTTGAGAGCAGAAGTACGCCAAGTTCGGGTCGTCGATCTGGATATTCCGGATGCCTTGGCCATGCAGATACTTTAATTCCTCTTGGTATGCCTTTGCCACATCCTCGAAGTACTCCTCATCGTTGGCATACACGTCCTTTGGGTAACTCCTTCCAGCCTTGTATCGGAAGTGGTACCATGACGGCGAGATCATGGTGATTTTGATGTTCTTCCATTCATTCTCCGGTAGCAGCTTCTTCATTATGTCGACTTCGCGCTGGTAGCTAGAGTGTCCGGGATGGCTGATCTTGCCGACACAGACAGTAACAGCATTAGGAATTTCCTTGGACTCCATGAAGGACTTGACGTCGGGAGCATACGGTCGGAACATGCCAGCGTCGTAGCCTTTCAGCACGCCCAGTTGCAGTTCCTTCATGCCATTGAGTTCTTCGAAGAAAGTTCCCCAGAACATGTGCCTGTTGGTGCGAGGTTAGCTTCTAGTTTCATGATTATAGAGAACGGCGCGCACCTCGCATATTCCCCACTGGAGATGATATGAAACCCGGCATCCTTCTGCAGCTTCACCACATCCGTAATGGTCTTGTCCTCCAGGGGTTCGAGCTCAGATGTGGGACATTTGCCCGCAGCGACATCGTATCGCTTCTGGACCAATTCTTGTGGGCGGAGCAAAGACCCGCAGTGCTCAGCTCTGAAAGGAGGGTTTCGTTTCGCAGTCGACATCGTTAAAAAAGCAACAGTTCAAACACAGAATGGAAAAAGCAAGGCTGAGGCGTGAGATTTGAGAAGTTGAAGAGGAAAAGTCTGCCCCTCATCTGAGGCTGCATGCCCCGCCTTTGTAGTGAGCATTACCCTTTCCAAAGGACTGTGCCTTCCATCCACGTGCCGGTGTCGGGGCGTAAGCGAATGGATAAATCGAAGCGGCGCGGTTTCTAATGCAGGTTCGTGTTAGGCTAATGCCATTGTTGGTGGCAACCTGGTATACGAGTTTTCGTACTCCGAAAGAACGTTACTAGGGTGAAGGGATACGGGAATGCGCTCAATTGCTGAGCTCATAGGAGCGAATGAGAAGAACGATAGGCGAAAAAGTCTAGACACGTGTGTGATTCCTTTGTACCTAGGTAGGCTGTGGTCCACATGTTAACCCGCAGAAAGATGAACGTACTAGGTGTGTTGTTGAAGTGCGCCCGGGAGTTAGCTTTAAAGACACCCTCGTCACCAGTCCAGTACGCAGAAGCATCCTCGTATTTACGACATTGCGCCCGACGAAAAAAAGTTACCAATCGATGCGGAACGACTGCGGAAATGCAAATGGCGCACTATGTACCGTCCCGTGACGTCAGCAAAGTCAGCGCAAGATTTTGGGAGGAGACCTACAGTCAGCCCGAAGCGGCAGTCACACACGACCACATCTGACGTCCATCCCGATGAGAAGCTGCTCAAGACAGTCGGACCTTGATACACCGGAGTTTACTGCCGGATAGGGGACACGAGATAACGGCAATTCATAAGCATGGAGGCTTTAAAGCAAAAGCCGAAGGTCGGACGGTAGTGCCCCGCAGTGGGGTGTCGAATACTTATTGCGACATCCATCCTCGACTCAAATGCCACTTCCGATAGATTATTTCCGACCGCTCGCACAACCTTAAGACGCTCGACTTGCGGAATCCCCTCTTCTGCTTTTCAATTGTTGAATTTCGACCTACCAACCCTACGATGACTCGCGTTCTGCTCACTGGCGGCAGCGGTTTTATCGCCGCCCATACTCTTGATGTGCTGTTGAAGAGGGGCCATTCGGTGGTCACGACAGTCCGAACGCAGGAGAAAGCCGACAAAATAAAGGAAGAAAACAAGAGCGCTGTCGACAAGGGCCAATTGGACTTTGCCATTGTACCGGACATTGCTCAAGAAGGCGCATTCGACAAAGCTGTCGTCTCAGATCCACCATTTGAAGCAGTGTTGCATACAGCTAGCCCCTTCCACTTCAATGTCACAGATGTGCAGAAAGTTAGCAGTCTTCAGAGCTGTTCATAAGCTACCGCTCACGACGACAGGATTTGCTCGACCCCGCGGTCATCGGTACCACCGGCATCTTGAAATCGATCAAGAAGAGCGCGCCATCGGTCAAACGGGTCGTCATCACCTCCTCCTTTGCCGCAATCGTCGAACCCAGCAAAGGAAACTGGCCTGGTCATGTGTATTCGGAAGAGGATTGGAACCCGATAACGCTGGAGGAAGCGGAGGAGAACCCCATGGCGGGCTACCGAGCAAGCAAGACATTCGCTGAAAAGGCGGCCTGGGAGTTCCTGGACAAAGAAAAGCCGAACTTCACCATCGCGACAATTTGTCCGCCGCTGGTGTTCGGCCCTATCGTGAGTTATTTTCCAATACCTAGCATTGCATTTTGCTGATTGGGATGACAGATCCACGCTCTTGACAGTCTCGAGAACCTCAACACATCCAACCAACGCATTCTCTGGGCTGCGCAAGGCAAGTGGAAGGACGAGATTGCGCCCACCGGCGTGTATCTCTGGGTCGACGTTCGGGACGTTGCGGAGGCCCATGTGCTTGCTCTCGAGAAGCCTGACGCAGCCAACAAGCGCTTCTTCACTGTCGGCGGCTATTTTACCAACCGAGATATCGCCGAGATCATCAAGAGGCACTTCCCTCAATATAAGGACCTCCCAAGTGCGTCAACACCAGGTGGCGACTATCCCGAGGGCGGCAAAGAGAAGGGTGTGTATGGGTACGACAACAAGCGGACTATCGAGGTTCTAGGTCTGAAGTATAGGTCTTTCGAGGACTGCATCATAGACTGCATCGTGTCTTTCCAGTCCAAAGGCTTGTAAGGCGCGGGAATGGAGCTGCTCGGAAGTAGCATAAGGCAATAGAGTGTATATTCTAGTATAGACGTAAAATGCCAGGATGAGATGATGCGTATTCCGATCGCAGATTGCAGCGCGCGCGATGTCTCGAAGACGGTGCGCCGAGGAGAATGGACGACAGGAAGGCTGTCACCTACGAATGACAGTCAGCAAAATTATGTGGACAGACGTTGAAGCGAAGGCGTTGCAGTGACGGGCTCATATTGTTGAGCTTGAACTTTGAACTTCATCGACATCGTCTCAGAAGTTATCGTTTATGTAGGTAAAATCATAGCGGAATTGAGGGTGGAGTGGCCGGGTACTTACTCAGTAACACTGTAGCAATGCGGATAGAAGCATTCCATGAGGTGTTGAGAGTGAAAGATGAGAGGAGAGGCGAGGGAACGATCGGTGCAGAAATTGAGGCGCGCCGGAGAAATGTAAGGCCGAGGCTCGCTGCCCCACCACTCCAGACCCCTTCTGCCTCCGAACTGCCCCAATATAAGGCTCCCACCTTTGCACGCACAACTTGAACGTCGCTACCACACCTTTCTCGCGTAGCAACCGCCCTCATTCGCGAAATGGGTACGTCTTCTTACCCCGCCTCCACAATACTAGATACACTGACGGTAGAGCAGACTTCCAGCAGATTGCCGGTACGTACCTACCCGCCTTTTCGCCTTCGTGCGCCCAGCCGACCGTCTTAGTCAAGCACGGAACAAGCCGCTGATATTGCTTTAGAAACCTTCATCAAAGATTACTACGGGGCGTTCGATGGGAACCGAGCCCTCCTCAAAGATGTCTACGTATGTTTCTCGATACATATCTGGCCGCGTTGAGCGACTAACCTGGCATATGTGTAGCGCGACCACTCCATGCTCACATTCGAGCGGCAGCCCGTGGGGGGAGTGGCGGCCATTATGGAGAAGCTCGTGGTAGGACCAGCCCTCGAACTCGAGCGTTCCTCTCCGCGGGGCTGATTGTATCCAGAACCTTCCTTTCCAGCAAGTGATACACCGAGTCGATACCCTCGACGCTCAGCCTTCCGCCGAAGATGGGATCATGATCATGGTCACCGGCGCGCTCCAGGTGCGATGGAATAAACAATGCAACATGGTCATAGAAGTTGACAGAAATCTAGGTGGAAGGTCAAGAGAAGCCAATGAGCTTCAGCCAAACCTTCCAGATCAAATACGAGCCCGGGTCCAAGAAGTGGTACGTCTTGAACGACGTTTTCGTACTCGTATACCCCGCCGCATAGGGAACGCCTCCGGAAAGTTCCAGAGCTACTCTTTCGAACGGTGAGGGTATGGTGGACGCGACAACATGGTAACGAGATGACGAAGCGTGGCAGCCGTCATGGAGTATGGAATTGCTGGAGCTTGGGATGAACGGACGTGAGTTCTCTGAATCCATGCTGAAAACCACATGAAATACCATGTGAGTCTTTTCAGTACGATAGATTTGTCGAACGTCGAATATATCCACTGTTACCTTTCTATTCCGGCCTTTTACACATGTTGGCTTCCCCTGTTTCGGTTCCTACTTCGGTTTTCCGAAAGTCGCCCGGTATCCGGCCTCGGCGAATTTGGCGGCGTTCTCGCCCCCGCAGTGGACCATCTCTTCCGTGCGTCACTGCCGAAGCACCATCCTCGCTCCGCCATTACTCGGCCACGGGATTGTGAGCGGCAGCGTTCTGTTTCCACTCTTTTTCTTTCCTTCTCTTGCCTCCAAGGTTTCGATTTTTTTTTCGTCCAGCTCCGTTCTCACTTGTTATTTCCTCCCTGGGACCGCAATTGGCGTCGCAATCTTGCATTTTCTAGCGCCGACATGTCCGGGTTCATACAGAAGGGTGTCAAGAACATCCTGCAGAAAAACCCGCAAGACGTCGTCTTTCTGTCCGCAATACGGACACCGATAACTCGGGCGAGAAAAGGTGGACTGCGAGACGCGTACGACCATGAAATGCTCGCTGCAGTACGGCAACCCACGTCCCGAAGCTTCATTCATTACTCTAAGAACGTCCGGCGCTAACACCGGTTGCTATAGGTTCTCAAAGCCACTATCGAAAAGTTCCCGAATCTAGATCCAGCCAAAATCGACGACATATGCATTGGCACCGTCTTGTCCGAACTCGGCGGCTCCAAAGCGGGCCGAATGGCTGCAAACCACGTCGGTATCCCTACTACGACTTCCTTCAGCACCGCAAACCGAGCGTGCGCATCTGGATTGACTGCCATAACCCATATTGCGAACGAGATTGCGGTGGGACAGATTAACGTGGGCATTGCAGGCGGCATGGAGAGCATGTCAAGGAACTATGGGAGCAGAGCTATACCCACAGAGCTGTGGAGCGAGCTCAAGAACTCTCCCGTCAAGGAGGCAAGAGATTGCATAATGGGCATGGGAATCACATCCGAAAACGTAGCGGAACGATACGGTGTCTCGCGTGCCGACCAGGATGCTTTTGCCGCGGAATCGCAACAGCGGGCTGCGAGGGCGCAGGCTAGCGGTTTCTTCGACGTGGAGATTGTTCCTATCAAGACGAGGTGGCTAGACCCCGAAGTTCCAGAGAACGAGAAGGAGATCACGGTTACGAAAGACGATGGTATTAGACCAAATACAACCGTCGAGAAGCTCGCAACCATGAAGCCGGCGTTCAAGGAAAATGGCACTGGCACCGCCGGAAACAGCAGCCAGGTCTCGGACGGTGCTGCCGCAGCCCTCATGATGCGCCGCTCCACTGCTGCCGAACTAGGTCTTACCTCGCACATCATTGGTAAATGGGCCGGAACACAGGTCGTCGGATGCTCACCGGACGAAATGGGCGTTGGTCCCGCTCTTGCGATCCCAAAGCTGCTAGACTACACCGGCGTTAGCAAGGACGAGATCGGTGTATGGGAGATCAATGAAGCATTCGCTAGTCAGGCGCTGTATTGTATTAGGAAGCTAGGACTTGAGGATAGGATGGATAAGGTGAATCCGAATGGAGGAGCTATTGCGCTGGGTCATCCCTTGGGAGCGACGAGCGGGAGAATGTTGTCAACGATGTTACATGAGATGGAAAGGCAGACGCATGAGTTGGGTGTTTTGAGCAAGTGTATTGGGACGGGGATGGGGATGGCATGTTTGATTGTTCGAGAGTAAATTTTCGAGAGTCGGAAAGGAGCAGCGTGGGGTAAAATATGGAAAGTAGAAAAAGTGGTGCCGAAGAACGTGGAATTCGGCGATGTGGAAGCTCGACACAGCAAGCCGAGGATAGAATCTTTACACCTAGGACATCCTAGTTAAAGGATGTTTTGCTAGAGGAAGAAAACACTAGTGCTTCAACAAATGTTCCTAGGGCGCCCGAATGTCGGAATATAATCGGAATACCAGAATGCTTGCCCATCTCTCGTGATATGTATACCTCGAGCTCACGCGTCGTCTTTCTGCTTGTTTCGCTTCTTCTTTTTCTTCTTTTTTGATCGTTCGGCGAGTATTTCGTCCAGATAGCTGCCGGTCTTCGGTTTTGAGGAGCGTTGCCTCGGTGCCTTCTCTTCCGTCGTGCTGTCGTCTTCTCTAACTCCCAGGTCCAGCTTCGTAGCGGCTTCACCACCAGCGCCGTGCTCATGGCTTTTGACATTGTTTGCAGGTTGTAAGGGCAGATCTGCATCTGGTACCTTCGCTAGATCATCACTCTCCTCCCCCACATCGACGGCCGCTGGCTTCGGCTTCTCCACCTTCCGCTTCTTCGACTTGAACGCAGAGGCTCGGCCCTCCTCTTCATCTTCGCTCTCCTCTTTCTTCGGCGCGGGCGCTGGTCTGCGTGACTTCTCCTGCTTGACCTTGGACTTAGAGGCTTCCTTCTTAGCAAGATGTGCTTTGGCGGCTTTCTTGCCTATCAACTGCTCGAGGAGCTTGTCGTTTGATGTCGGCGCCCGTCTTGTAAAGCTTCCATCTGCGACGTCTTTGGGTAGGATGGATCCTAGGCCGAGTCTGTGGTTTGGTGAGTTATGATCTGCGACTTGAAATGGTCGTCCAGGATAACACACTTCTCATCGTCCACGGCACCCTCGTTCAGGTCCTCGTCAACGGCCTGGCCGTTCACGCTCAGATTCTTCAACTCCTCTTCAGACGTCGGTTGCATCCACGAGGCCAGAAGCCTCTGACGTTTCGCTAGTGCGACATTGACTTTGTTGAACAGCACATCTCCATCGCTGTTCCGCTTCGACATATTTGCGCGACAAATTCGAGGAGTTAATCAAGCATTGGGCAGAGTGCGGATATTACCCTCGATAACGCATCATAGCCGTGGACCGCTTCCCGGCCGCGACATTTTTCACAGGCGCGGAAAATCCTCGGCGGCGTCCTTGGCACCTCCGCGACCCCGACCTCAAGGAACTACGGCCTCAAGCTTCGCGCTCATCAACCCCATCCTCCACGAGACTCTCCCATTTCTCTTCTTCGTGTGTGTTCGGTAGCTGGACACCATGTACAAGCTCGCCCGCTGCCGGCCCCTGACAAGCGCTCTCCGCGCTGCTGCTGTAGGGTCCCTTTCCGATGGTCCTTCGCAAGCTTCAGAAGCCTCTGACGCGGGCTTGCATCGCAATTGGATTTGTCTGCTAACGCGGAACAGGAGAAGCCATTGAAGAGATCGGTGATACAGCAGAGTAGAGCGCTGTCGATACACGAATATAGATCTGCCAATCTGCTAGAAAGGGTTCGGACCTAGGACATTTCCGTTCGGAGGAGATACGATGCTGACGAGGGAGTAGTATGGCGTTGGCGTTCCCAAGGGTGGCGTAGCTACGACCGCAGCAGAGGCAGAGAAGGTTGCTAAGGAGATTGGTACGCGCAAGAAGGGACAGGTTGTGCGAATTCGGGCTAACGGGCGCAGGTGGTGACGACGTGGTGATAAAGGCACAGGTGCTTGCTGGTGGCCGAGGAAAGGGTACTTTCGACAATGGCTTCAAGGGCGGTGTCAGAGTGGTCTACTCGTATGCGCTCTGATGCTCAAGAGACACAATCGGTGCAGGACTAATAGCATGCAGTCCCCGCGAAGCCGCCATCCTCGCAGACCAGATGATCGGCCACAAGCTCATCACCAAGCAGACCGGAGCCGCCGGCCGGCTCTGCAACGCCGTCTACATCGTCGAGCGCAAGTTCGCGCGCCGAGAATTCTACCTCGCCGTGCTCATGGACCGCGCAACACAAGGGCCCGTCATCGTCGCTTCATCGCAGGGCGGCATGGACATTGAGGCCGTCGCCAAGGAGCACCCCGAAGCTATCATCACCACTCCAATCAACATCCACGAGGGCGTCACCGACGAGATTGCACGGAACATTGCGAACGAGCTTGGCTTCTCGGAGCAGTGCATCGAGGATGCGAAGAACACCATTCAGAACCTATACAAGGTTTTCATGGAGCGGGATGCAACGCAGATTGAGATCAACCCTCTATCTGAGACGACGGACCACCAGGTCCTCGCCATGGACGCTAAGCTCAACTTCGACGACAACGCCGAGTTCCGCCAGAAGGAGGTCTTCAGCTGGCGAGACTTCACCCAGGAGGATCCCGAGGAAGTCAAGGCTGGTGAGGCAGGCCTCAACTTCATCAAGCTGGACGGCGACATCGGCTGCCTTGTCAACGGCGCCGGTCTCGCCATGGCCACCATGGACATTATCAAGCTGAACGGTGGCAACCCGGCCAACTTCCTCGACGTTGGAGGTGGTGCTACCCCTGAGGCTATCAAGCAGGCTTTCGAGCTCATCACTTCGGATCCTAAGGTTACTGCTATTTTGGTCAACATCTTCGGTGGTATTGTCAGGTGCGATGCTATTGCCAAGGGATTGATTTCGGTCGTCGAGTCGATGAACCTGAGAACACCGATTATTGCACGATTGCAGGGCACGAACATGGAGCAGGCGCATAAGCTGGTAAGTACCTGTGATGCTACTGCGCCTTTGGGAAGTTGGAGTTAACAGCCGCATGTAGATCAACGAATCCGGCCTCAAGATCTTCTCCATCGACGACCTACAAGGCGCAGCCGAGAAATCCGTCCAGTTCTCCAAGGTCGTCAAGATGGCGCGCGACATCGACGTAGGCGTCGAGTTCACCCTCGGTATCTAAGCACCCAGCATTTCATTGGACGCATGCCGCTGACCCGTTTTTCTTCGGGTTGATCGAAGCTCGATGAGGCCTCGAACGCCTTGTGGCTGGTATAGAATTTGCACACGGCCGTTGCTGAGTGACCGGGCGGGTTGAGTGCGTATGTATCATGTATTATTGAGTTAGAGTACCCTGTGTTTATCCGTCTTGCTCGAATGCGGTTTGAGTGTATTTAGATGCATGAAGAGCGAGATTTTCTGATTACATGTGTGTTTTGTGCTTGCGTATGGGGGTGATCGTGCGCATGTTACTATATAAGTGGTGTATGTATGGGCTCTTTGCCAAACAGACCATTTTGTGCATTGCTCACATGAGATAGGATTTCTTCTGACTCTTTCCGTCTCTCTATGATCGAGAGTCCTTGACGCCGGCTTGGCCAGCTCATCGCGGAACAATCCCTCCGAAACACTTCCGCAGGCTCCATAGTCACCGCTTTCAGATCCGCCTCGTTGGCCCACCACCCGTAGACTAGACTCGTTAAGGAGAGTCGCTATGCCGCGTCCTGCGGCGCCACTACGCATCTGGGTAGAACACCCGCGAAGCCAGTCAACGGGGAGTGATCTTCCCGTCTACAGGAAATGAGTCTTTCCGAGCGGCTCGCAAGGCTAGATCGAGGGGGACTGACTAACTTCGCCCGAGGGGTGTGGCCGCAGAGTCACACTGCCCTCCCTATGTTTCTACAAACTGGCCTCGCTCTCGCTACTCATATGTGCTCCTGATGCGCTTTCGCAATCCCACGGCTTCTTTCGCTCTTTTCTTGATGGCTTCTCATCTGCTATGGGGATCCATAGACCATGGATCTCAATGCTACATACACTCTGCACACTCGGATTCGAGCCATGGCTCGGTCGGTATCATTAACCTAGCTCCCCATGAATGACACTACGTCCCTCCCAGTCACGACGCCCGCTGTGTCTTCCGGTATCTACACAATATGAGTCCAACAAGACGACGACGCAACCCCTTGAGTATGACCCACCCACTATGGTCACTCTTTGCTCGCCTCCTCCAACGGAGTCATATCGTAATATGTATAAATTCCTCTGTCCGCAAGCTCCTGCTTTCTCTCTACTTCCTCTGCAAATCCTCGACAGCGACGACTTATCTACTTACTGCAATCTACGCATAGCAAGTCTCTGATCGACTTCCTGCAACGCCTACGAATCAACCTCCGGCAGCTACAGACCCGATTCCAAGCACGCAAAACTCCAACTACACTCCACACCCCACCGCTCTCAAGCAAGCATGTCCTCCAGCAACGAGGCCCCCCAACCGCAACCGCAATCCCGCCCCGCCTCCCCCGACATCCCAAAAAAGACCCTCGCCGAATGGCGGTAGGCCCTCCTCCCAATCCCCCTTCAACCCACCAGCACACTAACGCCCCCCGCAGCAACATAACCGCCCGCTGGAAGAAAGACTGCCCGGGCGACGCCCTCGAGTGGTGGCCCTGCATGTCCTGCCTCCGAAAAAACCACGTTGCCGGCGGCAAGCAGAGCTTCTACTGCAGGGGGAAGGACTATAGCAATGATAAGGATAAGGACCCGGAGTGTTGTGGGAGGCATAAGTTGCAGGTTACGCCGTATCATGCTCTGTATAAGGGGTGAGGAAGGGGTGGGGGTGCGGGCGGGTGGGAGATGCTGGAGGGGTGGCCGGGCGGGGGGTTTGGTGGGAGTGTGGTGGATGGGGTGGGGATCTGGATATGGATCTGGATATGGATCTGGATACTGGTTTTGTTTTCTGGGAGAGGGTGTGTTTGGGTGTTGGTCGGTTTTATTGTTGGTGTTTCTGATAGGTCCTTTCCCCTTCATGTCCTTCCTTATTCTTTGACTTTACTTGTTGCTTCTTCGATATCTATCTGAGTACTTTGTCTTTGGCTAGATGTGTATTTTCTTCCACTGGTGGACTTGTCGGCATTGGCTTAGGATACTACTAGGTACGCTGCAGTATGCCTTTGTCAGTGACACCAATTCCTACGGATATCGCTGAAGGTGGCACTCATGGGTAGTGGGAGCGATAGAAACGCACTATGTACGTTGTTGAAAGACAATCTTGATATTACAAATATCTAAGCACTCATGCAATAATAGTTGACAAGCGGTTACCTGGCGAGGCGCTGCGATAACTCGGCGATATTGGTGGGCCGTGAGTCCGCCGCGAATATGAAATTGGGTCGCCGTGATTGTCCATCATCGAAGCGCGATCGCGAGCCTTCTTCTCCTTGTGCCGCTTCTTCAATAACAAGCTAGCAATTATAGTGATCGCCACACAAAACAAGGGTACAACCGTTCCTACGATAATTTGAATCTTATCCGTTTGCGATAAACCAGAGTCGTCATCCTTCGCCGGAGACGAAGGAGAAGGCGATGGAGCCGACTCGGATCCAGAGGGAACAGGAGAACGGGAGGCTGAAGTAAGGAAAGAAGAAGCCGGGGAGTTGGTGAATGGAGCGTCGACGGCGGAGGACGGATCGGGGTTTGCGAGAGAGGTGATGCCGCCTAGCCACTCACCATCAGCTCCAGTCGACGAAGAGGACGGCGAGGCTGGCTACAGCAACGGCGAGGAACCACTCACTCGAACTCGGTGCTGCGTCTGAGGAGAACACTGTGACCGTCGCCGTAGGCGGGCTCGTGAACAGCGTGACCGTTTGCGGCTGGTTGTTCCAGGTCGCGTCCGGTGTTTGCGTAACCACGACCGTCGCGGGCGCAGTGAACGTGCAGTAGCCGTCGTATAGCGACACCGCTATTGTGTAGTCCACTCCGTCGTTGCAAGTCGTATAGGCAGTCTGGACGCAGCTCTCGATGTAGGAAGAGGCGTAGGGTCGAACGTTGGCGCGGCAGATACACGAGTCTGAGTCTGCGCATCCAAGCGCCGCGGGGAGTTTCTGGCCATAGCCGTAGCCTAGGCAGCTTCGGACGCAGTCGCGTTGTTCAATGACTTCGCTGATGCTTTGGATGGTAACGCTGCCGGCTGCAACGTGGAGGGCTTGAAGGAGGAGAAGCAGGAAGGGCGCAAAAACTGCTCGGAAGAGTGCCTGGGTCGTGGCCATGGTTTCTTCTCCGGTACCTTAGGTAGTGTCCTGGTATCTAAAACCCTTGTGTTCCGACTACGCTCACGATTAGTATATCGCACTTATACCTGTAGAAAAGGGATGCAACATACCTTTTTTTTGCGCGACCAAAAGGCGGACACTGCAGCCGGCTCCAGCCTGACTGGGCAAACATTGTGTTTATATAGTTTCTCCAAGGCTCATGCGCGCGTTCAGGGTCTCCCAGCCACGTCGATAGAAAGAGTTCTGCGAAGCGAAGGCGTTCTCAGCTGGACCATTCACGAAAACACACTGCGTAAAGCCTCGCGCTCAGCCACCGTATTTGAGCCTTGCGTGCTCTTTTTTGCTTTTATTGCTAGGCAACGAAGGCGCAGCTATGGCTGCTTTCAGCCTGTTCAAACGAGTTTTGCGGCTCTTTCTGAAATCAAGGGTACGTATGCCCAGAGATTTGCATACAATCCGGGACAGGCGAAACGGGGTAGGCGTCGACATCACGTAAACCTTACTACTTGTCTCCCTGTAGCTACGTTAGTAGAGGCTCGTAAATACACTCGTCGTTCGAGTGCATCGTGCGACGCAGCGATACTCTTCGAAATCGAGCACCACAGTATGCAACAGACCTTAAGACAATCTTGGCAGAAATACTTAGACGCTTCCGGGGAAAGCCCCTTCCAGCCGCTCACGACGTCCTCAGCCGATGGTCGTTGTTCGGGATCCTTCATGATCATTGTTGCGATAACAGATCCAACCCGGTCGGCGCTTAAACACTGGTCGTAACAGGTTCCGTGTCCGAGGGATTCGTTGATTTTCAGATAGAACGGTTCGTCAAGCAGCGACTCCGGTACTCTTGAAGGTATAAGGGTGGCGAGTATTTCGATATATACGCAGCCAAGGGAAAAGACGTCAGATTTTGAGTTTCGACTGTTCCAATCCGCAACCTCAGGGGCGCAGTAACGTCTTGTAAATGAACGCGGATAACCGGTGGTAGTGCTGTGGCCCTGCTGACTGAAGTCGAAAGATATGCCGAAGTCGGTGTAAAGCACGGAGCCTTCGTGAATGAGAATGTTCTGAGGCTTGATATCTTTGTGTCGAATAGTTTGCTTATGCATGAAGGCCAGCGCTGATGCAAGGCATCCAAAGGCTCCCCAGAGGATTCTTGATGTTCTCCTTCTGTCTGCATCACTGGCATCTCGGTACTGATCGAGAACGGCGGCCAAGTCCCCGCCGTCTGCCACCGGAGTCAGGATAAGTGCTAGCTCTCGGTGAGCCATGTACGTCGCGTAAATTCGGACGATATGATGATGGGAGGCCAATCGTCGCATGTTGCGGATCTCATTATGAAATTCCCGTTTCGCTTCATCGAGATTCCGTGCGTAGACGTTCCTGAAGATCTTGCGAGCGTATACAGAGCCCGACAGCCTGTCTCGGATCATCTCTACGCTCGCGTTCGCTCCGTGGCCTAGGTTTCTGACGAGGACATAAGGCAAGCGCTCCTTGTCTTTGAGTTCAAGTTCTAAATGAGCACCCTCTGTGATGGTGAGGAACAGCGAACGATCGGGCCCATTTTGAATTTGCTGGAAGTAGTCTCCGAAGGGACCCTCTCCGGCGGTATAAAAGGGAGTGTCTCCTCCAGTATCGGAACGAGAGTCTGAGTGTGGCGAGTGCAGCACATTTTCCTTTGCACCTTGGCCCAGATCGCTGAATGTGTTGAATGCAGTCTCGAACGGGTTCACCTCGCGCGGGTGGATGGGGCTGCCCGAATCATAGTATGCTTCCTGGGCACGTAAGCAATTCGGTTTCTCAACGGGGCGTCCGCTCATTTAACTCCATCTACAATAGACTTCCGGCTTCAAAACTCAAGCATATCTGACTGCCAGTATTAAGATCAGGACTTACTCTTCGAACCAACTCGGGCCTCTGCGGTATGGATTCTGTCGCACCCGAACTGACTCCTGGCCTGGTGATATCACCTTCCCGCGTGGCAAGACTGCGACCTTGCTCATACGTATCTTCATTCGGGTTGTAAGAGTACTCTTCAATCTCCTTCCTTCTTTCCGCTTCCGCGCGCCGGCGGCTCCTCCCTCCAAAAAACCATTGATGCATTAGGCGGGTCCGTCGCGATGAAACCGACCGACAAAAACGCTCTCAACCTCAACCAGCCGTTTCAGCGGGTCAGAATCAAGCTGGAAGAAGGTACCAATCCGCCTCGAGACCAACCCCACGTAACTCAAAGAGATGGGAAGAAAGATGAATGCCTAGCTGGCACGCGTGCGGGACCTGGATCGGAGAGTGAGGCTGAGGCTGAGCGGGATTGGCATGCATCTCGATGGCGCGCCTTCGTCTCTTTCCAATTGGATAGGAACCGAGCCATTCAGCGACGCTGAACACATGTCGACTCGAAAAAGAAATGGGAGTAACGTCGTACTAAGAGGATAATAGAGTGACTAGGAGAGTCTCCAGGGATGAGGAAATTCTACTGTGGTATCCGGGATAAGAGTTGTCAATTCGCCACCCGTGCGTAGGGAGCCAAATACCTCGCGCAGGGCCGTTTCAGCCAATTGTACGCTGTGAGCTAGCTGTCTAGGGCTGTGCGTGCCCCGTGCGCGCAAAAGTAGAGAACTAATAAAATTTATGCCGGATACCACGGTAATACGAGGTTGACGTCGAAGTTGAAGGGTGCGCTAGTGAGAAGCTAGTCCGAATCTGTGAGCGAACCCACCGGATTCCAGATCAAACCCATTACCAGATCCAACTTCATGCTCACATCATCGCCAACTCGTCTCGTTCTCTGGCCTTCCATGGTACAAAAAAACGAACGCCAGAATGCTCAAAGGAATCAAGTACCATAGGTCATAAGCCACAACAACCTCAGGGTATCAAACCGCTACGCAAATCCACCAGCCCTCACGCCCACAAACCACAAACCATCTCCCACCCCACCATCCCCTTAACTCCGCCGACTCCCCTCCCTCCTAAAACTCCATCTCCTCCTCCTCTCCCCCGTCGCCGGTCTCTCCACCTCCCTGCCCCTCCCGTGAATCCCGTGAATCCCCTCACCACTCCCCCTCCCCCTACGACTCCACGCGCGACTCAAACTCCAACTCCTACCCACCCCATCCTCCACACTATCCGTCCCATCCACCCTCCTCCGTCTCTGCAACTCCGCTGGCTCCTGCGTCCACCCGCCTTCCGTCCGATCCTCCTGTTTCTGCGGCCAAAGGATCTGCTTCAGCCGCACGGCGCGAATCATCATGCCAAAGACGAAGAACCACAGGATAATAAGGCAGATAGTCATCGTGCACCCAATATACTGAATCGTGCGATTATGATTCAGCGCGCGGGCGATGGCGAAAGTAGCCGTCGTTAGGGCGGTATTAGGGAAAATGAAACTGTACCACGTCATGGCGAAGTCCATCTTTCCGCGCGTAGCACAAGACAAGTGCGCGCCGACACTGATGAGGAAGAACCAGAACGCGAGGCCCCACAGCCACAGGCCGATCCAGTTAGCGCAGATCTTGCTGACGTTGCCGGCGAGCTCGCCCAGGCCGGGGCCCATGAAGTCTTTGCCGACGACGTTGGGGAGGTGTTGGCCCATCGTGACGATGGCTGCGATGGTGAAGCCCGAGGGGCCGACGCTGATGAACATGCCGGGCCGCAGAGATTCTTTGGGGAGTTTCTGCGTCATGAGGCGGTAGATGAAGGCGCTGTAGATCATGAGGGAGACGAGGAAGCCGATGCCTTGGATGACGTAACCCGAGAGTATTATTTTCAAGGCCTTATCCGGATCGGATACTTTCGGGGCGAGGTTTCCGGCGTGCGGGCCGATGATCAGGAGAGGGTAGGCGGGGAAGATCCAGACGGGTGTCATTTGGGAGATGGTGAAGGTTTGGGTAGACCACCTATTCTTGATCAGCAAATGCCGCCGGCGCCGGAAAAGAAGGCGTAAGGTAAAGAGAGAAGCAGCTCACATGATCAGATAAATCCCAATCGAAAAGCAAATCGCAAGCCCGCAATCGCACCAGTAGAGAACACACATAGTCTTCTCAAGCCAGTACCCCGTCCGATCAACCCCATACTGACTGATATTGATCAGAATAGTACCGAAACTGATGACCGCCGCAGGGATGAACAAACTCTCCGTGGGATGCAGGAAGCTGGCTTTGAAGGTGCGCGGGAAGTAGTAGAAGCGCAGGGAGATCATGGTGACGTTGAAGACGAAGAGAACTATGTTGAGGATGAAGAAGATGCAGCCGAGGGCGTACAGGCCGTGGAAGCGGAAGGGGACTGTGGTGGCAGCTGTCAGTTACGTCTTTCTTTCCTGTGGTTTTGATATGACGTGAATCATAGGCAGACAAGGGGGAAGACGTACCGGTCCACAACACATTAGCAATCCCTCCCGTCGCCATCGTCATGGTAAACCACGTCCAAGTAAAATGCCTCAGCCTCTCCCTCCAGCTCAACGTGCGCCTCGGATCCTCTTCTCTTTCCACACCCTGCCTGAGCCCCATGTCCCCCCTGCCCCTCATACCCCCCCTGCTCTCCCCACTCAGAACCCTCCTATTCATTCCCTCCCCCTGCCCATCATAGCTAACCTTCTCGTTCTCCGCAATCTGGCCTTCCCTCACTTGACTCCTGCTCCTCTCACTCGCACCCTCCACCCTCTCCAGCTGCGTCACATACGTCGGATCCTCGAAGGGGTTCCGCTCCACCGACTCCGGGTTCGGCGATATGATCTGCGGGTGGTTGCGCCATCTTAAGCGCTCAATCGCACTACTATCCGAGTCCAAGGAAGCTCTTGATAGTCCCTCATCGGGGAGGCGGTCGATGTGCAAATCCATTGTCGAAGCTCGACTTTACTTTTTCTCCTCCAAGATCGGATCGGGGATAGGTGATGTACCGGGGTACGTCGTCACGCGACTTGCGTGAGCCAGCCGAGGTGGGGTAGCGTAGTCTGGGAGGGAGGACTGGGGCGTGAGGGCTTGGGCGCGAAAGCGACAGGGCAACTAACAACAAGCGACAGAAGAAGTAGGTCCAAGAAAGATAGCAATGCAAGTATAGGGTCCAGTAAATACGCAGCTAGCTGGTGGCGGTCCGAAGGAGGAGTACACCTGTCCAGGTATGACGTCCAGCACTCGCAAATCGTGTCTCAGCCCGTTGCGCCTTCAGGGTCCTCCACAGAGTGGCAAACGAAGAAGGAGCATGGCAACGATACTTCCAGTCGTGCCACCACCCCCAAGATATAAACTCCCGCAAATTCTCTGATCATCGCGCGCTGTGTGGTTATGGCTGCAGCCAGACTTACAGTAGCGTCCCTTAAACCCCCGGCTTATCCGACTTTCAGTGCGCCAAGTTCGGCTATTCGGCTCGCCAGCTTAGTCACTTCCCTGCCGAACATCCACATCTGGCTTCACCTACAGCACAAGGAGATAACGTTCCCGCATCATAGATGACGACTCCCTTCTCAATGTCCAAGGTAAGTACTATACGCCCAGAAAGAACACAGCCCAACGCCCCTCCTTTATCGGGCACCAAAAAGAAGCGCTCCAAGCTCCGTCGCCAAATATGCCGCTGAAACATGAAACACCCATCGCAGATCCAACGCCGCTTCCGGGAAAAGGCTAGGCGCCATGTTTCCATACAGTGTTCCCTATCCAGTAACCCATGCCTAACATATGCCGCTGGTTCCGTTTACCATGTCCACGGGTAGTACCGCACCAAAAGCTCGTGACACCGCATTATGCTGACCCTCAGCCTCCTCTCTCCTACTGCCTCAAGCCCGCTATCGCTATCGCCATCATTATCACCACCTTCCCGATACCGATTGCTACACGGCGTTCGCTTCCCTGTGGGGCAGTTGGCAGACTCGCACGCCATTGCGCACGCCAATGTCTCATGTTTACCAGAAGCTGCACCACCCAATGTAATGCTGGCACAAGTTCTCCAAGTTCGTCGCCTCCTTGATCAACCGATCCACTTGCGCATACACATTAAGTTCCTCATGCGGCTTGAAGTCGCGGCCCGTAAGCTTCTCCTTGACACGCGCAAGCACCTGCACAGCACGCGCATTCTGCACTTCCTTGGCCTCAGCTTCATTCGCGGGCGCAACACTCGAACGGTGGCGCCCGCGCACAAGAGAGCTCATGTCGCGATCCACGTCCGCGCCGATAATAGAAGCGCGGCGTTCTGAGGGGAAGTTTGGTTCAGGCGGGGAATCGCGGTTGCCGAGACGCCACGTGAGGAGTGGGTCGTGGATGAACTGCGACATCGTTAGCATTTCATGGCAATAACTGATCGACCGTTTGGGCACTTACGGCTTCGAGTACCGCCATGACGGACTCCTTGTTGGTGCGCAATACTCTCATCACATGCTCGCATGTCGTCCGGTAACTGCCTTCGATGTTGCTAACTTCCATAGCATACGTCAACATGCGGGTGAGACGGAAAGGAACGCGCTCTGGGTATTTCTCCCGGTGCATGGCAACTTCGAAACAGTCGCCAAAGTCGATATGCACAATCTTGCCGGTGACCCGGTCAAGCATCAGGTTAGATGGGTGGCGATCGCCCAAACCGAGGATGTAGCCCACCATCGACATGACGGCAAGCGACCGAGTGTAGTTTGTACGTCGATCAAGCCAAGCTTCTGAGCTCTTGCTCTTCAGCCATAGGACGCGGTAGAGGTCCTGGCCTGTGGTGTTGTCGAGCGCATATCCGAACACTTCGACCTTCTGCATCAGGGTAAGGCAGTCGTAGTCCGGAGCCATCTGCAGCATGATGCGGTGCTCGATGTTGAGTAAGATCTTCCGGCTATCGCGGTATTCCCTGATGAGGACATGCAAGGTATCGCTGTTCGGCACGAAGCCCAGAAGGCCGGACTGCGTAGATAACGGAACAGCGGCATAACGGGCAATGTTAAGATGCCGCTTGCGGGACTCGGTATCGTTCATGAGCAGCGTATTGCAGAGGCCGAACAACTGCATGACACGCTCGTCTTGGCGGATATCTTCATGGCCCTTGAGGATGTGGGTATGTGCCTTTCCATCGCTGCCTTGCATCTCCAGCTTTCTTGGCCTCTGCTTGGACTGAATGACGGTTGCCACAGGATTAAATGACATAATGCGAATAACCGGCTTGCCGACTTGGTACGTTCCGGGAACAGCAAGTTCGAGGTCGTGCGCTTCCTTCAGTTTCGGTGACACGTATTGAAGCTCCAGAGTCATCAGTGACGGCAATTGACGAGTGATCTTCCGGAAGACCTGGTAGTACAGATCCCAGGCTTGGTTGAGGTCACCCATTTCACCTGACGTGCGGAAGGTGTTGCACCAGTCGCGAGCTTCCTGCAGTTCCCGGCCGAAAGACTGAATAAAGGATATCTCGCGCAATGTCTCCGGGCCTCTATCAAGCATGGCATGCAGCGGCGCCAGAGTAGCAAACATGCCGTCAATGTTGTGGTCACCGAAGTACAGTCTTGACGCTTCTTCGAGACCCTCGTGCCATTGCTCATGCCATAGAACAGCGATACGGATGAGTTCAGTGCTGACGAGATCAGCTTGTTCGACAAGTCGCGGCGAATGCTCCCGCATGGCCTCCATGAGCTCCTTCGCGGAACGTTGACGTCGGGACACATCGGACTTCATGGAGACGGTCAAGGGGAAGACCAATGCCTGTGGATGCGCCTTGCCAACTTCGACGAGTAGCTGGTGGATGGATTGCCTGACAGTGGGGTTTGGTTGGTTGATGCGTGCAAGAAGCTGAGGAATGACCTCCAACCAGGTGTCGATGGGCACTGTCTTCGTGCCGTCGGAGATCGTCTGATTGACGTCCCGCAGTCCACCATGGCTAAACCAAAGCGTAAGCAGACGGAGGGTATCTTGGAGCGAGCTCGATGACGACAAGGCGATTGACTTGAAGAAGCCAGTAATGGCGGGAATGATATGCTCGTGGACGACGCTCGGCGGAAGCTCCGTGGACTCGCGGTCTGCTTGAGAAGTGATGAAGTTGACGACCTCAAAATTCGCCAATGCCCAAGAGTGCCATGCCTTGTACCAGTCCTTGTTGTACCGCGTCGCGGCGGAATATGCTGACAGAATGTCATGTACCTGGTCGTGATCCCATTCTCCATGATGCACCTGCGATTGCCACTCTCCCACCTTATGGTAGCATTTGGCAAGCAAGCGTTGACACTCGTTTAGATCCGCTGGTGAGCCGTACGTGCCCGAACCGTTGAGCACGCTGGAACCATTCATCCCATTCACACCGTTGACACCATTCGTCGCGAAGGGATTCACTGGGCTGATGACATGACCATTAGTCATGCCGTTCATGCCGTTCTGCGGGGCCATGCCATTCTGAGATGCCCTCACCCTCATGGCAACATCGTCGGACAACCGTGCGGTGAACTCCTTGAGCGACTCAAGCGCCTCCCGCTGATGGTTCGGAGTGGCCCACATGAACTTGAATGCCGCATACGACACCGGATAGGGAATCTTATGGACGTTGTCGCGCACGAACGTGAAGACGTTCCCGCCCTCGATTTCCAGCAGCTTCTGCAGCGCTTTATCTGCAAGGCCATGTCGCTCGTTCTTCCGGCATAGGTTGGTGTACTTGATCCACATATCCATGCTCTCTTTTGGTGTGATGACCAGCTGGCGGACCTTCATCATCCGCTGCCAAACTTCCGGATTCGGCTGCAGGCCCTTGAGACGCTTCATCCAGGTCCTGCGCATGCTGGCTTGCTTCTCCTTCTTGCCGTCATTCTGCTTGTACTGCATTATCTCCTCCAGCTCAGCCAACATCTGGACGCGGATCATAGGCAGATATGCTCGTTGGTAGGACTCGCCAAGCAGTGAGCTTAGCTCCGTATCGAGACCTTTCCTGGCTTTGCTAATCTCTTCCGCAGCAATTTCAAACCGGTTGTTGTGAATGTTTAAAATCGAAGCAAAGAAAGCCCTATCGGGGGACTGTTCCTTCATGACTGCGAGGTAGGAATCCATATCCGCGAACTTGCCCAAGCCCCAGGCAGCAGCGGCGGCAAGTGGTGCAATCGCTTTCCGGTGGTCTTGAGAAGCGTTCGCCCACTTCTCCTTCGAAAGGCTCGACAAGAGGTCCCATTCTCCTAGAGCGTGCAAGCAGCGCATTTTGCCCATAGTGATTTCAAGTGAATCTGGCTCCTCCCGTTCACGCCGCTGATACGATTGCAGAGCCTCTTCCCACTTCTGCAACTTTTCGAACCACGTTTCCTTCAACTCCACGTCCTGGTATCCTTGCGCCTTACGCAAGATTCCGAAAGCAGCATCGGTCTGCTGGAGCTGGTTGTTGATGCTGATAAGCGCCTCCACCGCGCTAGCATTCTGCTCAGCGTTGAATTCGAGCTCCTTGTAATGTAGAGCTTTCGCGAAAGCATGACATTTTCCGGCGTACATGCCAAGAATCCGTACGTCGATAGGCAGAGCCTTGTCATCGTGCTCCATGAATTCTGCCAAGTTGAGCAGAATTTGTAGGATCTCGGGTGGGATGTTGGGAGAGGTGAGCGCGGTTTCGATGGATCGCACAAGCTCCTCCTGGTACTGGTCGTACAGCTCAGTCCAGCACGATACGAAAGCAGAGTTGAATAGACTCCTGGCAATAGGGTTGTAGATACTGGCCAGCGGCGTGCACGCCCGAAGTGCTTGTTGTGGTGACTCTCGGAGCAACTCGACGCTGAATCGCCTCATCCACTCAATCCAGTCTTCCCTCGTAGTCTTCGACGAAGCCTCCCATGCCTGCTTCAGATGTTGTTGATTGACGGCCAGCTTCTTTGTGAGGATCTCGGCAGGATTCAAATCCTCATCATCCTCTCCATAGCGCTCATCTGGGCTCAGGTCTTGAGGCAACGGCTCCCCTTTCTGCAGCTTGGAAACAATGCGCCCATAGTTCTCATGCGGGACCTTGTGCGTTATCAAGATCTTGTTGACTGTTGGTACGAAGTGAATATAATCGGGACCGAGCTGGAAGATGAGCGCGCAAAGCGTCTCAAGCGCAGTCTGCTTGATAGATGGCTCGGGGCCAGCAAGTACACGGCAGATAGGGTGTATGATGCGCGCCGCGAACTCTGAAACATTGACTTGCTTAGACAAGCGGCCCAGCGTCTCCATAGCCAGTTTCCGAAGATGTGGGGGTTGGCCAGGCTTATCGAACATCTTGACCATCACCGGGATGATTAAATGCATATATTCCTCTGCGCTCGAACCGAATATGAGGAACGCATGCAGTACTCTCTCGGAAGGCAAACGTTTGCTGGTCTGGTCGGTATCCAAGACGCCCAACATGAGAGGCAGCACATCGGCGAGATAGATTTTGAACTCTCCCTCAAGCGAACGCGCAATCGCTTCAATGAGGGATAGTATCGTTGCTTGCAGCTGAGGAATGCTGCTCCAGTACTCTTGAACCGTCGACAAGATGCTAGGAAGATAAGGTCGAATATGCTGTCGTACTATCCGAACAAGTTGGCTGAGCTGGTTGAAGTAACCCTCCACTCGCCCCGTCGGCGCACCACGGATGACCTGCAGGAAACCAGGCACAACTTGGTTCAGGAAAGGCACGCATTTAAGACCCATCGTGGCGTAGATATTCATGACAGCATCGACAACCGCGGAATGGAATTGGCCTAGCGAGGAATCCTTGAGGAGGCCCATGAGAGTGCTGATCACGATCGTCGGATAGTATTCCTCGTTGGATGGAGTGATGCCCTGCATGATCAATGACACATCCGTGACTGCCTGAGCTTCCATGATGAGATGCTTGTCCGGAGACTGCTCCATGATCTTCTGGTATTCGTCCGGATCCAGAGCGCCAAGGGTACCCATGAGCTTAACCGTTTCGCGGCGAAGCTCACCCTCAGGTTCCGTCTTCACGATGTTCATGAGGATGTTCATGAGCTCGGGATAATCGCGATATGGTTCCATAACATAACCGGCATTGGTGGCCAGCTGCCCAAGTGCCCTTAGCGCAGCGAATCGTTTGGAATCCGAACCCAGATCTTGCATGAATTCCAATATGATGGGCATCAGTTCAGGAAGATACCTGATCATACCCTCGCCGCCCACTGTGGCCAGATCTCCGATGGCCTTGAGTGTCGTTGAAGCGACCTCGGGATTTGGATCGTTGGCTTTTGGTAGGAGAACAGCGACAATGGGGTCAACAAGTGGTTTGATCAGATGATCTGCCGCTCCGACGAGGTTGCTGATAAGTTTCGCACTCTCCTCCTTCGTTCGCGGGCTATTTGAGTAGTTGACCTCGGTCAACAGCTGAAGAAGTACTTTTCGTAGCGAGGGGAATACGTATGCCGGGTTCACAGTCGTCAGCCGACCAACGATGGACATGGCAGCTTCTCGAATCACGAAGACTTCGTCGTTCAAAGCGAGGAACAGAGTCCGGATATTGTCCGCTTTTCCAAGATGTCGGTCGAAACGGGCGTCCAGAGCCATGAGAACCTCCCACCGAATCTCCGGATCCACGTCGCCCACTCCTACTGTAAGAAGCTTCTCGATGATGTCGCCGACAACCTTGGTGGCCTGCACGCTCGTCTGATGTACAATTGGGTCTTTGACGAAGAGCTGACAGCACGTCAAAGCGGCGCGCTTCCGGATCTCAGGATTGTCTGCCTCAACGTAACGTATAGCCACGTCGCGGACGAACTCGTTCAGTACATGCCCGGAGAAGTCGAAGCTACCGAGGGTGTGGAGAGCGAGCGCAATTTCAGCTTCTCGCTGGCCAATTGTTTGAGGGTCTTTGTGGTCTCGGGTCCAGATCTGAGGCGGTTGAGAAACTTGGTAGGGGCTACCCAGGGGTAGGTAATGTCTGCCTGCGAGAATCTGGCTGAGGAGGTCGAGAAGCTTCTCTTGAATGATCGGTCGGCATGGTGGCACATAGTGTGCCATATCAACGAGAGCCTGGAAGAGAGAATCGCTAAGCCCACACGAGAATATCGGATCCAGTAATCGTTCGACGTTCTTACTCAAGGCCTGACCGACGGCTGCAGCAATCATACTAAGACACTGAAAGATCGGGGCCTCGTTGATGGCCTTATTACGTGCTTTGGCAGCAAGACCATCTTGAATGAATCCAAGAATACCGTCCAGGTATGGAGCGATAGCAACACCAACGGCATTCGCTATCTGGCCAATCGCAACGAAAGCTTTGTCGCGATCTCGGTCCTTTCGGATGAGCCCTTGGAGGTGGAGCATACACTGGTGGAGGTATTTGGTAGCGAACTCGGTCGGCGAGTAGCTGGCGAGAATGGGGATGATGAGGACCACTTCCCGTCGGACGAGCGCATCGCGGTGTTCCCTGTACTTCAGCACCGTTTCCACCGTCTCTTTATACTTCTGCTCATTCATGAACATAGCGCTCTTGTCCAGGAGTTCCTTCATCGTAAGCAGCGATCCGTGGATAGCCTCGTTCGTGTTGAGACTGAAGCCCTTCAGTATCTCGTCGTACACCCGTCCAAACCACAGCTGCCGCATCTGCGAGTCTCTTGGCGAAATAATCTCGAAGCACGCGCTGATAGCTTCGGCGGCAGACTCCCGGATCAGGACCTTGACATCCCGGAGAGCCACCCAGATGACCTCAAAGATCTGCGCAATCCATTGGTACATCAGTGTGGGCGAGTTCTTAGCTAGCTCGCGCAGGATCAGCACCGCAGCGAAGCGGCGATTCTCCGAGCGCTCGAGCTGCAGCCACTCCAGCGCGCCCTTGACCTCAGCTTCGACGAGCTCTGCCGTGAGTGTCCCGCCCGGTTTGGCCAATCGCCCGAGTGCCTTCGCCGCGACCACCATGGACGCTGTGTCCGACCCGCGCATGACGTTTCGGAGGTAGCTAGCGAAGCGCGTTGTCTTCTGGCCGGCGTCATCGCCCCGGAAGTCGATGAGGGCGTTGAGGGCGTGGATGCCGCCGATTCGTTCGTTGGAGTCATTGCCGGCGACGATGAGCGTTGATATGCGTACGTTTACGTCGTTGTAGAAGGTGGAGAAGACGCTTGGGGCGAGCTCTGTGATGTGTAAGTCTGAGCAGCTCCGCTAGAGACCCGCTCACCTCGATGCGCATTTTCGACCGTTTGCCGCAGGAGGTGGGCTCCTTTTTGGCGATGGTCATCGTTCCTGCGGCCGGTCAGCTTTCCGCAGCTATGGCGACGCGCTGCTGTAGCTACTCACTTGGAGCGGAGCTCCAGGACGATGCGGTCCAATGTGGACGCGAGGGGGGTGGGGGGCTGCGTCATTTCGACTGCTTCACCTGAAGCACGCAGCAGCGAGAGGGGAGGAGATTGGGGCTTCCATGAACAGGAAGGTGAGAGGGGTATAAAGGCGGCGGAAGACGTCTATCCGGGAACAAAAGCTACCTGTTGTCTCTCATCACGAGCGCGGGTGGCCGTCAACGACCGTCCTCAAATGATGCGCACAGACCACCGCTTATTTCTCACCGCTTGCCCAATCTGGAACTATGCATATCGAAGAGTCGACCGCGCGAAGATCCCCTGTGCCAGTTATTGTTGAAAGACTTTCAGGCAGTCTATGATCAATAACTAGGGAGTAATGCAATCTAGCAGGCATCGCAGTGAGCAGTTTCATGCCACACCTGCGCCAGCAAACCGTTTTCCACGGTAAAGGCAGCAAGTCAGTACCACATCGCGCCCCAATCCCGCCAAAGCTTTCAAGACACCTCCCTGCAGTGCTAGAACCCATCCAGTGACCGGCCACCACACCTCCCACACTCATGCAATAACACCCTGCGCCATCCGACCAACGAACCCCGCCGCCTCACTAAAGAAAATCCCCTTCAGCACCGTCTCGCCCTCCTCCACAGCCCACATCCCTGCATTCACTAGCTTCTCCTTCCACCTCTTCTGCTCCTTACTAGAAAGCTCCTCCCACCGCTTCGCCTCCGTGTGCTTTCTAACCACGTCCTCGGCATCTGCATGCACCTCCGTGCTAAGCGAGGAGTCGCCTGAGTCGGGGTCGTGATGGACGATGATTGCTTTTTGCTGGGCATCAGTGGAAGAGTCAGGGGTGGCGGAGTGGAGGTGGAGGATGTCGCGGAGACGCTGGGTGGTCTTTGCTATGGGGGAGTTGCTGCCTTGGAGGTGCGCGGCATTGCGGGCTTCGTTGAATACTTCGCCGGGGGTTTTGATGTAGCTTGCAGCATTTTGCAGGCTTTCTGGAAGTAGACCCCTGGTGAGACTGCCCTCGGGGTCGATGAAGCTTTGGAGCATGAGTGCTATTGCTGCGACAATCATGGCGATCACGACGTATTTTGCTGTGTCTGTTAAGGTTCTTGACCTCGCGCTTTGGAGTATATAGCGTGATTTAGGCTTATTCGAAATGGGATGTAGTTCGAAGGTTTCTACATCGACAGTGTTTCCCAGGGAAGTTGATGCTAATCGGAGGTATTGCGGTCCCGGTTTCTTGCCCGGGGACGCTTCAGGCTTGAAGAAGGGTGAGAAGACTACTTTGGTTATTGAAAGATCGTGGACCTGGATATCTCAGTATCATCCGCTTGATAATAATCAAGGATACTTACACCGTGATATGTAGCGAAGGAGCGGAAGCTGCTCAACGAGGCCCGGGACTGGCCATGGTAGTCTATCGTCATCACGACAAGAGCGTTGTCGTCATCGCCGACCGTACCAACAGCGACCACAATCTGATATGCTCCATCAGAATCGGGATCCAGGAGAGCGACGTCCATATCCACCGACGCCTTCGCATGCCTGGAAAGAGTCTTGCGCAAAATAATTGATCCAGGACCTTCCTCGTACAGCCTCAAGATCAACAGCTCGACCCCAGACTTATTCGGTTTGTTCGCCGCGAGTAGGATATGTGACGGAGACAGCCAGCGCAAACACCGAATCCTCGGGCGTCCCTTCTTCTCGAAGACATCCGGGAACGGCACAGAATACAGCTTCCTGCGCAAGTCTCCCTTTCCCAAGCGTTTCTTCTTGCCAAAGTCATAATGTATGTCTTGAACAAAGATGTCGTAGTCGAGGCAGTACGCGACCTTGAACCGTCCTTCCCCTTGATCCAGAATGTCCAGGTCGTTCGCTTCTTGGCCCTTATGCAGCGCAATTCGTTGTATTACGTCCTTTGTATTATCCGGTCGATTTGACGTCGCCGCAAAGACCACGATCTCGTTCTCATCCCCAGCGAGGCTCGAAGCAATGGCCCCAATTCGCCTATTAGGCGTACTCTGGGCGATTCGCTGTGGCGGTGATAGGCGCACTAGACGTTGGTATCCTTCTTTCTTCCCGCTGTCGGACGCCGGAGGTGTGAAGAGTGCAGTCCTGCTCAAGAACGAGATGTTGCCCTGCGGTATCCTATCCTGCTGCGCATTGCTCGTCCGTCTGTTTGCCTTCGGGAACTTGACCTCGAAGGACCGGAAATGCTCGTTCTTGTCCTTCAAGCGTTCTTGTTCGCTGCTGTTGATACCAGCGTATAGTATCAGCCCATCTTTCGTCGCCAAATTCGCCAGACACGTCACCGAGTCGTCCTCGGAGGCTTCGATTTCGGCGCAAGATTCGACGGTTGGTGCTCTCGTGCTGAAGTCAAACACTACAATCCATTAGAGCCATGCTAACCACGTTGTCGCGCAACTTACTCGAGATCTTATTCTTGACGCCATGTCGGCCAACTCCTCCTCCTCCACCGACAACAAGGTACCAAGGTTTGCTATTCGCAAAACAGGCGGAGAAAATAGGATATGAAGCTATAGTTCGTCAGTCTTGAACGAATTCCGCTCTTGTTGGTGTATCTCCTTACTCTTCGCTTTCGACACCGTAGGTCGTGACATCAGGCCAGGCTTCCCTTCCGAGTACGCTTCTCACGGATACAACAATCGTCTTGCGGTCGTCGATACGCCTTGGTCTATGTGTGGGCGGAATAAAGAAAGGATTAAATAGGGGGAGAGTGCAAAAGGAAACAGGTTGAAAAGCCTAGGCAGAAGGCGCGAAGAATTGCTTTTGTAGTGCAGCTTGAACACGTTGCGCGGGATTCGAACGAGCGGGCGCGGGCGTCATCCCGAGCTAGCTGAGGGTCGTTCCACGGTACCTGCCATGTGCAGACAAAGCAAGGGTCGAGCTCTCTCTTGGCGTTCTTATCGATAAAGATTTGCCTCTTTTTTTTATTTCTTTTTTTTTACAGAGACACACCAATCAGAGTGAAGCCGCGAATAACTTCTGCCTCAATGCTCCCAAAGCACCACGTACGAGCATGAGTGACAAATACGATGCCTTGCCAAACCATCCTTCCTTCTCTAATCCTACGGAGGGGAATACTATCAACTGCAGCAAATCCGTCCACTCATCCATCTCCCATGATCAACCTCTTCATTCCGTCTCTTCCTCGCACCCGGCACAGTAGGCCGACATTTTCAGTGGTTGCCCACACACTATCTGTAACAGCCAACTTCATGACTCCTTCTCTCGCAACCAGTTAAAGATCGCCGTATCGAAGCCTCCAACCCCGCGAGTACGCCATTCCCGTCAAGCAAGCCGCCGAATCACCATCAAACGCGTGCACCAACGCCAGGGGGTTCTCTTGAACGAAATCACGTGCCAGAATGCTCGCTAAACAGGGTCAAGTGGTATTAGGAAAATCCAACAGTCAGGCTGAACTATCTATATTTTGGGGAGGAGGCGAGGGAAGGATGAGGGGTTGAGGGAAGCTACTGTTGGCCCGCCACTGGATTTCCGTTCGCATGGCCGGTTTGCGCAGCCACTTGAGCCTGTGCAGCCGCTTGGGCGGCTTGCTGGGCAATGACGTCGGCTTGGTGAACCGCGGCTTGAACAACTTGCTGTTCTTCAGGGTTGAGGTTCTTTGTGAGGTTCTCGTACAGAGCGGGTTGTTCTTGTTGGAGGCCTGCCGCCGTTAGCAAAAGGTGCTCGCGTTAAGAAAGGCGTGGAGACAAACGTAGCAGAGCATGCTTGAACATGACGTAGGGTTCAACTTTGTCCAGCGGCGTCTCGAGGAGGCTTTCTTCCTCAAGCTCATCGTCATCCTCGTCGCTAACGGCGGAGAACTTCTGAGCCTGCCCAAGTCAGGATTACTGTTATTTTCATGGTGAGGGAATGGCATACCTCTTCGTTGAGGAATTCCAGATAGGCAGCACTCTCATCTTTGACGTCTTCTGCCTCGTCGGCTTCGTTGTTCCAGTCATTTTCCTGCTCCCACTCCTCGTCCTCTTCCTCGTCGTAGTCGTTCGCAAATTCAAAGTTGTCTTCCTTCTTTGCCTCTTCGCGGTCTGTGCAAGCATGTTAATCGCACATTCTGGCCAGCTGCAGCGATTGGACTTACTCTTCATAGCGGCCGGAAGCGTCTGGAACAGGCGCACGATGCCCTGAAGCAGGCGAGGCCATCCTTGCTGGACACTGACTGGGACGTCCTGGCCCTTCAAGGTGAGAAGCGAACAGATTGCTGAGATACACAGCTTCTTGTCGTGCACCCTTGTGAAGCTGTCGATGCTTGAGAACCACAGGCTAAAGAATTTGTTGGTCCAGCCGTTGGTCTCGAGCACGTGCAGCGCTAGGACCGGGTTGTAGTAAATAGCGTTGATAACAACTTCCATGAGATGTATTCGTAGGGACTTGACCTTCGGCTCGTCGTTGGTGAGAACCTGCATGGTGAGCGAGATGAACTCTGGAACGTATTCATCGACGTGGCCGCGCATGTTCAACATGATGATTTCGGCAAGCTTGCAGCCACATATGCGGTCAACTCCTCCGACTTTGTCGTCTTTGAAGATCGTTCGTACCATGTCCACAATGGCTTCAAGGTACGGGCGGTTTGAAATCAGCGTCTGTGTTCCGTAGTTGACAAAGTTCTCCAGAGCGGGTAGCATATCTACATTTGATTAGCAACCTTGCAACAAGACAGGAAAAGAAAGCTCATTTTACCTTCAAGATACAGCTCGGCGCCAGCCTTGAATGTCCGATGGATCAACTCGAAAGCTTGCCACATGGTAGCAGATATGCTCTTAGCGGCGAATGTGCAGCTATCGATGATCTCAAACACCTCGTTGTACAGGTCTGCGAATAAATTAACATGGGAGCTGTAGCGGGTGACTCGGTGGAATCGCGTACCGTAGAGCTTATTCTCGAGCGTAATGGTGATGACCGGCATGAGGATCGTCTCCAGGTGTAAGAGGACATCGGGAGTGCTCTCCAGCGTCAGAATGAGAGTACCAATGGTCTGAAGGACTCCGAGCGCAGTGATGCTCTTCTCATCCAGGAAATCCCCGTATTCGCTATCTTCGCCCTTATCTTGATTCCGTGATAACAGCTCACGGACGATCCGCAGGTAGGTGTCTCGGAGCTGCTCGCTTAGCGCGACTGCGAACGGAGTGAGTTCCGGTGCGAACACTTCAACGAAGTCCTCCATGACGTTGGCCAGGGCGTCGACATCAACTTCGTTGGCGAGTTTCAGTAGCTGCTGCATGACTTGAGGGATATTTTGCTTCATGTTGGTTCGGATGATGTCGTGTCGAATCAGTGGTTGGAGGGCCAGAGCAGCCGCAACCCGCACAGGTAGCGTAGGATCGGCCATCGACTCCAGGATATTACGGTAGATAATGATGAGGTTGTTGGGGTCCTTGAAGTCAAGTTGCTCAAACTTCTCCAACGTGTCGCATGCGCGCGCTCGGAGGAACCCATGGGGGCTCCGGAATTCAGGGAAAACATGGCGAACGAAGAAATATTCCACTTGATCTGCGATAGGACTCTTCTTTCCCAGGATGACACCAGAGAGCGTCCCGATCATGCGCAAAGCGCCCTCTTTTTCTCTGGGATTCTTCTCGGTATCGGGAGCGGCTTCGTACCGGTTGACCATGTCGTTGACGAAATTGAGCACGCTAAATGTTTGTTTCCGCCGGCTCTTAGTCAGAGTGACCAGGAAATTGGTAGCGGCGACATCAGGCGAAGTGACCTCCTCGTAGAAATTGAGCTTTCGGTGCAAGTACTCCTGGGGCTCTTCCTCGAAAAGCTCGATATCCTCGTCCGACTGGCACAAAACGGGGAAGATCAGGTGTGAGATGAGGTTGTCCGTATGCGGCTTGAGGAGGTTCCACATAGACTTGGGCTTGATGCACTCGTCCAGGAAATTGAGCGTGTAGTACAAGCTGGCCTTGGACAACCACACTTGCTTCCCAACCCACTTCTCGATCTGCTGCAAGTATATTTTGAGAATTTCGGGCGCAAAGTTAGCAATGAAATATTTGGCGACTTCTGTGTAGTCAACGTCGTTGTTCTTGCCCAAAGCCGACGGATTTCCGTATCTGCGCAGTGTTAGCCTACCTGTATATGCGCAAAGCCCTCAAGTCTACCCACCTCACGTAGAGCCGGTTCAGGTTCGCATACGACCACTTCTTCGCCTTCCACCAGTGGTTTGTTTCGCGCTCGTCCACGTCTTCCGGAAGCGAGCATTCCGGGGGATCCTTGCTCACAACGCTGAGGAAGAGGGTACACCAACCGACCATGGTGGCCTGTTCACGGAGCGATGCGGGGAGATCGAACTGCGTCCTAGTCAGCCTCCGTATCCACGAGTCCAATAATAGGTATTCGTACGTATATGGCGTGCTTGTACACCTTCAGCACCGTCCGGAGGATCTCGCCCGCCTCCAGACTCGTCTCGTTGGCGAGCTGATTGCCAATATTGAGCAGCTGCGGGAAGGACATGGCAACGATCTTGTCGAAGTCGGTGCGGTTCTCGCCGGACTTGAACCTGTAGATCTTGCATATTGCCAGCAGGCACTGCACGCCCGCAAACACCGACGCAATGTCCCCCGCATTCAGCAGCTGTATGGTGATGTCGAGGAAGTTGGGCCATTTCTGGGGGAAGTCGTATGCGAGGATCTTCTGGAGGGTGGGGATGAGCTGGGCGCGCACTTGGGGCTGGGAGGCGACGAGGACGGGCACGAGGCGGTTCCGGAAGGACTGCTTCTCCTCCTCTGGTATCGGTTTGGCCTGGCTGAACTCCTCGGCGGGGCACCAGCCTTTCGAGATGCGGTTCTTCAGGTAGACGGCAGCTGGGCACGCAGTCAGCTCGCGGGGCTCTGATAGGAACGCGGCGCGTGCTCACTTGACAATCGCACTCCAGCGTCCTCCTCGCGCTCCAATATGTTCAACAGCGCGTCCGTGAAGCCGGGCTTTTCTTCGGCCTGGAGCAGCTGTTAGTGCAAGGCGGCAGGGGATAAGGCACCACCCGTACATGGCGCAGGTCGAGCTCGCTGCTCTGGCGGATGGCGAGATTCGCCGAGAGCGTGTTGGCGATGCGCTCTCTGAGCTCGGCCTCCATGGCTGCGGCGGCGGCGGAGAGCGCGGGTTTGTTTTGGACGGTTGGGCGACGAGCGCTCGAGGGAGGGTGCGGTGAGGGACGCGGTGGGGGGCAGCCACGATCGACGCTCTTTGACGCCCTCCAGCGGCGCGAGGCGGGTGAAAAGCAAGTTCAGCGTGCGCGGGCCGCGAGCACGCGCGATATGGACAGTTCGTGAGCGCCTTCCGGCCGTTGCTCAGGGTGTGCGGGCAGAGAAAGATAGAGGGGCAGTTTTGTGCGTTAATCTCGAAATCCTTAGCGCGCCGGGTGGCAGCCAATGTAAGCAGGCCTTTGCACGTGGCGCGATCCCTTACACCGCACCACTCCCGCCGGCACTGCACCGCAGCAACACGCCATCACCACTCCCCTCCTGCCCACGTCAGTCAGCCGTCGCATGTCCTCTTCTGCGGCCTGCTCGACTGGATGCGTCCCGACGTCGTTCTCTGCAGCTAGGGTCTGCATCTCCGCTGCGCTCGGCAGGCACCCTCCAATGGCAGCCGGCCGCCTTCTCCGGCCACTTCTCCCCCGCATTCGGCGTGTTGGCAGGGTCCAAGATCCGATTCATGGCAGCTGTGAAGGCGCTGACTTGATGTCTCGGAGCAGCGAGACGCCCTGCCAACTTCCATGATGAACACCCTTCTCTCGTTCCGTGTCATCTTCGACGCGGAGATGAGAACAGACCCTACACAGTAGATGCCGTTTCTATGCCTTGCCACTGGCGCCACGCGTGCACAAGAACCTTCCGGGAAACGGCAAAGATTGACTCCATGTCGGACAGTTGATTTGACATCTTGACACCCCTGCCATAGTCGCATTCCCATAGTCCCCATAAGTGTACATGACTAGACTACCGCATCATGCCGTACAACGGCCTCGTGCCGACCACGCCGTCTCCTGCAATAATCCGCCCATTCACGGCCGTTTGGACCATGTGCGACGCAGCCTCATGAATCCTATAACCCGCCAAATATAGGCCGCTCCATGAAACCCGAAACATGGCTTCGCTATGCTGACATGAAACGTCTTACAGGTACAAGCTCGCGCAGTTGCAAATGTCCCTGTGCCCGCCCGTCAGCATCATCCTTTTCTGCCATCGCAGGCATCGGGAGTGTGCAAAGAATAGTGTCGTGGTTTGAAACTCACCGTTTAATCAGCTCCTGGCAAGTCCCCATCTTCTGGAACAATGTCGGGTCGCCGATAATCCTAGCCGCGTTCTTGACCTCTCTGCATGTCTCGTCCAACCTCGTGATGACGCGGACGATGGTGCCTTCCATGACGTCCGTCAGGTCGGTAATGCGGTTGAACGACATGCCACGTGCCCACTCGTACACCACCTCCACCATGCCGAAACGGGGCTTGCTAACAAAGTCGTTGGAGTCATCCGACGACAGAATAACCTGATGGAGCGTTTGGAGGTGATTGACCTTCTCCGATATCTCGACGATCTTCGCCACACCGCGTTCCAGGCTTGCCGTCAAGGTGGGCTCCACATCGGTCTTCTCCTGGAAAACGAAGGACGAAAGCAGTGCAACAATCTCTTCGGGCTCGTACTCTGCTAATACATTTTCCAGGATCAGCTCTGTGAGAACCAGCTCATCGGCGGAATGGATCTAGAGAAAAAGTTAGCAGCTGGATCAGTTGCTCTACTATGACCAGCATACCTCGCATGCGACCTTGCCCTTCAGCTCCACCCGGGAGTCCTCGTCAATGAACCCGAGATCTTTCAGCACTGATATGCGCTGTTCGTAATCAGGCAGCAGCTGAAGGTTCTGGTCCGACATGAGCTGTCGAAGTTGGAGAATATTCTCCTTGATGAGCCATTCGTCATGTTCCATAGCAAACTAGTTCCGTCAGCTACAGACTGAATGAAAAGAAGTCCGCAGTCTTACATGCTTCAAGAAATTAGGGCACTTAAAGCATTCCTTGTTTGTAGCTTGCTGCCCAAGTTTCCGTCTGGCGTCGTCTATCTCTCGGAAGTTCAGATTCTTGATCCTGCCGTAGTCGTATTCGTCCCAGTCCTGGTAATCCCAAGATTTGCATAGAGGTAGGAACTGATCCTGTGCGAGCTTGATAGCATCTGACGATGCGTTATCAGCATAGAGATCTATATTGACGTCGGGATATACTCACCCTTCCTCTTGTTTAAGTTGTCGACGCCTTCTGGGATGTCAATGGTGGTTCGCGTAAAGCACTCGATGTCATTGAGAGGGATGAGGACGCGCTTGAGGATCAAGTCTTTCGGATTCTTCGGCAAGGGTCTGAAGCACTTTGCGAATGGAGAAAGGTACGGCAGAAGGTCGTCAGCCTTGCGTTGCTCGTTCGATGCGATCTCCAGAACTTGGACTGTTGGCTCGTTGCCCTTGCTAGTGCCTTCACGGAGAAGCATCCCAACGGTGCGAATATCATTCTGGGGTCGTCAGTCTATGCAAGTCGCAAAGGTACACCAATTACGCACCTTCTTATATACTACAAGGCGATTTGGTCCAAGTATTCGTCTCCCGACCGGATTGATGAGCAGGGCCAGGTGCAACTCGTTCGTCAACCGTTGGTAATCCATGCAGGCCTGATGGCAACCCTCCAGATCAATGTCGCAGATCTCGCACGGCTCTCGCTTTACCTTTTCGAGATCTGCTTCTGAAAGCTTGACCTTCTTCTCGTGTTCTGGAAGCAATGCTTGAGTAGCATTCTCACTGAAGCTGCGCTTAATCATCTCTTCGATCTTCAAAGCCTCCACACGTAGCAGGTTGAGGATCATATTGTATGTGAGTCGGAATTGCGACCTGAGCTTGGTTGGATCGCCTAGCATCATTTGTCTGAGTCGTGCAACGGGTGGGGCTTCATCTGCTCCCGGAGCGCAAATGATGACGGTGCCCACAGAGTCCAAGCCTCTACGTCCGGCTCGTCCAGCCATCTGTGTGTACTCTCCAGGGAGCAGATCTCGGAATTGGCGCCCATCATGCTTGCGGAAACCAGAGAACACCACCGTCCTTGTCGGTAGATTGAGGCCCATGGCGAAAGTCTCGGTGGCAAAGAGCACCTTTACTAGTGTCCTCGCAAACAGTATCTCGACCATTTCTTTAACGATTGGTAGCATCCCTCCATGATGTACAGCAATTCCTCGGCTCAGTAGTTCTCTAAGACGGGTAATCTGAGGGAGGCCCCTGTCCTCTGGACTCAGTCTAGCGAGCGACTTCTCGATCGTCATATGAATCGCACTCTTCTCAGCAGCGGTGCAGTAGTCAAGGTTTGACAGTGCATCCGCGTTCTCTTCGCAGCGTTTCTTGGAAAACACGAAAATGCAGGCCGGGAGCAGATCCTTGTTGCGCAAATGCTGTACGAGGTGGACCCAGATGTTCCGGTCCTGCGCAGCTGTCGTTCTGCCTCCGCCTCGTCCTGTCCTAGCAATATTGCCCCGACCTCTCTGGGCTGGCGGTCCACCACCGCGTTGAGCTCCTCCGCGCTGACCCGGTTGTTGGCCTCTCCCACGCTGGTTCTGGCCTCCTCTTCCGGGACCTCCTCGGCCGCCTCCACCTCTTCCGCTTTGGGTGTCGTTGGCAGGGGTTGCCTTGACTTTATCTTTGCCAGACAAAATATCGTTCGCCTCTTTCCAACCACTCTCCAAGAACTTCTTGTCCGCGGTGACAATCTTATACATGCCCTTATTGGCCCACAGATAGTGCTCTAGAGGTACGGGACGCATGGGTGTCGAGATGACGTAGATATTTTTCTTCTTCGTTCTGCCAACCCACGAGGCGAACTCGTAGGTATTCGGAACGGTAGCCGATAGAAGGATGAGAGTGACGTGCTCTGGAAGCATGATGATGACCTCCTCCCATACCACACCTCGTTCAAGGTCGTTGACGTAGTGTACTTCGTCAAATATCACAAACTCGACATCCCTTATCAGATCCGCTCCTCGATACAGCATACTCCGTAGAATCTCAGTTGTCATGATCAGGCAACTGGCTTCGGGGCGAATTTGGACATCCCCGGTAAGAATGCCGACATCATCGAAGGTTAACCTGAAGTCGCGGAACTTCTGGTTGCTGAGGGCCTTGATGGGAGAGGTATATATGGCCTTGGTCATATGTTTTGCTGCCAGAGCTATGGCGTATTCAGCCACTACTGTCTTACCAGCAGAGGTATGGGCAGCGACAAACACAGAGTCGCCATGCTCAAGGTGATAGACTGCCTCTTTCTGGAAAGTGTCGAGCTCGAAAGGATATTCGCGGGCCATTTCGGGTACCAGTTCGCGGAAGTTAGGTATCTCTCGGTTGACGTCGACCATGTGCGCCCACTCCTTTCCGCCTTTCCTAGAGGCGGCCATCACGAGCGCACCGTGAGGAGCCAAAGCTGGAAATTCGACAGGCAAAAGAGAGTCTATCTCCTCTTCGCCCCGTGTTTGGCCCTCATCTTCAGGCGCAAGGACTCCGTTAGTTTCAGCAACGCCGTCGAGGGCGTCTTCATCCGCGGCAGACTCGTCCTTTGCCTCTGCCGGCTCTTCACCAAGGGTGTCCTCAACCTCCTTAGCTGTCTTTGTGTCCGTAGTAGGCTTCATTTGAAAATCGAGGCCACGTGTAAAGCCCGGAGGGATTTCCAGCAAACCCCCCTCTGCGCTGAAGTTGATTACTCGGTCAAGACCGCCAGACTTCCTCGAATTCGCCGACTCCTGGCGCATAATCGCATCATCTTCGATAGCTGCGATCGCCTCCACGCCGTCAAGGCCACCAGGAGCAAATGGAAAGAAACCAGCAGCACCGCGCACAAATTCGGCTCGGTTAGCAGGCTTCCTCAACAAAGAGGTCGAGTTCTTTGCTGTCGCAGAGTTCGCTGGGACCGTAACCTCTTTATATCCCGTGACGCGCCCTTCGAGCCCTTCTCGCGTAAAACGAATGATCGTGCGTGTTTGAGTTGGTGCGATTTCAAAGAGGCCGCGATAGTTGGTAGGTGCATCCCATCGCTGCTGCAGTTGGTTCAGCCACTGGGTATTGAATGATTTCGAGGGCGTCAGGAATTCATGTTCCAGCTCCTTTTTGATGTCGTCTTTCGTCTTCCGTTGTCGCTTGGGCGGGCGCTGTTCGCTTGCTATAGAATCTACCCAATTCAGAGCCTTCGCCCCGCCTGCACTGTAGCTCAGCCGAAGCTGATCAAGCTCGTCGGCGAGAGCCTCCATGCTGATCAGTGGAGGGTTTCGAGTTATGAGTGTTGTTGTTAGAAGTCGCAAGGCAACGACAAACAAATGAGTTGCCAAGCCCGGAGAAAAGCGGACCGATCCGCGGGGCAAAGAGCCTCGAAGGGGGAGCACGATGCACAAGCAATAGCAGCTTCCATGCCAGCTTTACTTCTCTCGTGAAACGTCATTCACTCAGGGTATGAGTAAATACCTATGCAACATGATCAAGAACCACATGTACCGCCCAAATACCTAACGCCACGCTATGCATAAACCGGAACCCTTCCGTTCGCTGGGACTTCACTCGGCTCGACTTGGATCACCCTGACCCGTATCTCGCAGCCGAGCGCGCCCATCTCACCACATGGCTTCCATTTCCGCTATGGCCTCCATATCGTCGGCGAATGGATCATCTGCTTCAGCGGCTCCTGTCTTTTGCGCCAGAGTTGCTGACGTCAGAGAAGTATTAGGTGCTCCACTTTCTGCTAGCAGTGCATCTAGCTCATCCTCATCCGGATTATCAGCTCCCGTTGCCTCTGTTGTCTCTGTTGGGTCTCCCGGTTCTTCCAGACGGTGGCCTTGCGCTTCGCTCTCCGCTTCCCTGTCTTTGGCCGTGTTGTCCGACTCCACGCCCTCCATAGGCTCTGCATCCCGCTGAGATGATTGGTCCAGCACGATTGCCTCCACATCCTCGTCGTCCGGCTCCGTAGTATGCCTTGGTTTCCCTTCATCAATCCACTCTTTACGCATGAGTTGTATACGCTTCGTATGTCCCAATTTCTCGATCATTACAAGACCGTCAGCGAATTTAGCGCGGGGGTATAGATCATCCAGCCACAGCTGGTACATGTTGAGCATTCTCGCAATGTCTCCGTACTGAGATAGGTCAGTCTCATGCCATGTATGAATGGTGTCCGCACCCTACCTCATGACCTTTGCCTTTGAATCTGAGGCGCTCTTTCGATATCTTCCTGAGCTTGGGAATGCCAGGATCTGAAAGCAGCCTGTTCTCATCGAGCTTGGGTATTGGCTGTCGCTTCCTGACGACCTTGATCTCTTCATCGATACCTAGCCCTGCATCTTCGGCGGCGTTTTTTTTCGGCGTTTGAACTTGGGCCTGGATATTGCTCGTGTCAAATATGTCTTCCCCGTTCAATGTGCCGTTGAGAATGTCATCCAGTTCGTGATCAGAGGGGACATCATCAGCAGAGGAAGTAGCTGTGGCCATGATGTCGGTAGAGCTCGTCTGCTTCAATGCCGCTGCACCCGGGTCTGGGTAGGTCTCCGCTGAATGAAGAAAGTGGGGTTGGATGCGCTAGGACAGAGCGACGTAAATCAGAAGACGGTACTGGTATGGAGCGAAATGGGCTGATGGATATGAAATGTCCCGACTCACGACGCGTCACGTCGCGATCGCGTGCGGCGACTGCCAAGCGACTAATGACATAATAGGAGCTAAGACCACGGCGAACGCCACTAGTGCAACCTTAATTGCAGCTTCTACCAGGGCTTTTTATCAACCAGCAAACGTCTCTACGCAACAACGTGACAATGCCCTTACGAAGAATGTGACTGATCCGTTTGCTTCAGCAGTGAAAGCTTCCTAACGAGAAGGAATCATCAAGCGCGCTATCTCTGCTATCTCACGCCCATCACAATACGCCAAACCTGGGCACCTGCAATTGGCAACGCTTGCAAAGCTACCACACTCGCGACTGCCTATCTACAATGGCTGTCCCCGATGCCGCCTCTGAAAGTGCCTTGACGGCGAGGCTGAATTACTTGCTCCGACGTGCGCGTACAATCAAGCGGAGCACCTCCATCGATCCTCCGCTCCAGGTCACGGCACTTGTATCAGACAACGAACCCGTTTTGGAGCGGATAGATCCGGACAAAGAGATACATATGCTTGCCATCGAGAGTGCCGCAAAGCACGTCTTCTATGCCAACCTCGTAAGTCAATGGCATGCCATCTAAGAGCCCGCGGCTCATATCGCGTAGGGATCCACCCGGATCGACGACCCGTCTTTTGTTACCATATGGAATCTACTCGACATTCTGCAGTATTGTGGAGACCGAGGTATACACCCCGACAGCCCGTAATGGCATGAGCTAACTCTGCCAGACTTGTGCTCCCAGCAGCTAGTCCTGCTCCTTGTTGAGGAGTTGCTAGACAGTCTGTCTATCGCCGCTTGCCGAACTGCTTTCCGCTTTCTCGAATCACGGAGGGAAGCTATCATTGCCGTATGCTAGCTCTGGACTCATCAGCGTCCCGACTAACTGTTGTGTAGACCAGATCCCAAAACAAAGACTTAGTCATCCTGCGGTTATGCAACGAGCTTCTCCGTCGCTTGTCTCGCGCAGAAGATCCGGTGTTCTGTGGGCGCGTGTACATCTTTTTGTTCCAAAGCTTTCCTTTGGGCGACAAGAGCTCTGTCAATCTGCGTGGCAACTTCCATGTCGAGAACGTAACGACTTTCGAGGACTATCTGAAGACGTCGAGCCCGGAAGGAGATGAAATGCAGGTTGAAGCGAGCCGCCCTGAGGAGATTGTCAAAGAGGAAAGCAAGTCGGAGGAGAAAGAGGCCAAACCAACGAAGTCCGACAAGGCCACCAAAGGGACGCCTCCTACGTTGGACTTTGACACACTCTATCCGGTGTTCTGGTCTTTGCAACATTCTTTCTCAAACCCGCCGAGACTGTTCCATGAGGAGAACTTCAAGCAGTTTCAGAGGGGTTTAGAGGAAACACTCGCAAAGTTCAAGGAAGTGCCCAAAGTCATCCAGTCCGGAGACTCAGCCCGCAGGGCAGGAGGGCATCCGCGATCGGATGACAACCATGACGAATATGCAAGCGCATTCAACCCGAAATATCTCACAAGCCGTGATCTATTCAAGCTCGAGGTTCGCAATATCCTCCCCCACTGTCTGTGTGGAGGCGCTATGACTGATCGCGCGCAGCTGAGCGATCTGGCGTTTCAACGCCACATCCTGGTCCAAGCACTCATACTGATCGACTTCCTCTTAACGCTCACAGAGAAGTCAAAGAAGAAGGCCTACTATCAGAACGCGCAGAAAGCAATGCAGTATGGCTTCACACTGAGCGAGGACGATGTGAGTTCATGCCACCCCTTGACGCTCCCCACTCCCTGCTCGGCTCTAGCTCTCCCCGTGCCACCATGATCATCATCCTTTCGGCTGACCGCAAAGCACAGACCGCGTGGGCGTTGGGCATCAAGAACTCGATTGCAAATTACCTGCAGGACGGTCCAGATGGCAAATTCTACTATCGAATGGTGGATACCGTGTTATCCCGCGATAAGAATTGGGTAAGGTGGAAGATGGAGAACTGCCAGCCGTTCACTCGCGATAGAGTCCCCGCAAAAGACTTCCTGGAGTCAAAATCTGGGGCACAGAGGGCGGTCGCGTCTAAGAAGACTACTAAGCCTGCAACACTGCCACCGACTCTGCAGTTCTTGTCTAACACGGAGGCCGAAAAGGGGCTGTCGCAGCTGAGGCAGCCTGACAGGTATGTTCCGCTCGTCCGATCGGCATCACATTGTCTGTATGCTCACGGGAGATCAGGTTCACCCAGCCAAGCGCAGAGTCATATGCGAAGCAGGTTCGGATGAGTGAGCTAGACCTGGACATAGCTGATGCGGAAGAGGAAAAGCGCCAACTGGAGGAAAAGAAAACAAGCAACACATGGCGCGGTCTCCGCCTGGCGTCAAAGGACCGGCTCAGCTCATTCGACAGGCTCGAACATGGCAAAGGTCTGGAGAGGCTCTTTCAGCCGGTCACGTCGTCGATTGAGGCGACAGGCGATGACAATGCACCCACTGCTCCGGAAGACAGGGATTGCGTTCCGCAAGAAGAGCATTAAAGCGTCGAGGAGCAGCGGCCCGGCCAACAAAGTCAAGTGACGGCGGACATGGCGGAGTAGCAGCAGGGGCAGCAGGGGCAGCAGGGCGCCTACACCAGATAGGTATCAATTGTCGAAGTCTGTTCAAAGCATGCAGCTGTCGTGAAGCTTTTCTCTTTACGATGATGTGCAGGACGGGGAGGTTGTGGCGCTTCGCAGTGGGCTCCGCTTGCGAAGGAAGGGCATTGACCATTGCTAGAGGCAGACGACGTGCATGTCTCCGAACGATCCCCTTCGATACGATCGTGATCCCCCCAGACCTCGACCGACCTCGACCATCGACTGTGCCACTAAACTCGCAACCGCCACGATCCGCGGCTAGACTGGGAAATGCGGCGCAGGCTCTATGCGGCGCCTCGACTTGATGAATAGTAACTTGGGCCATATGCTCGCACCTGGGAGCGGATGGTTGCATGCCAGGCTCACACTCTGCAGCAGCAAGATATTCCGAGAAGAGCGTCGAGCTGTCCCTGGCTAGCCGTGGTGCTGCTTCCCGGCACTCTCGCGCTGCAGCCAGTGGACGTCGCGGGCCGGGGTGGTGGCAGAGGGGCGCGATGGATGGGGGCGCGCCGCAGGTATTGGCCGCACTTCAGGCTCATTGAGCATGCGTTGTCAGCATATCGATCCACCGGCGTGGGTGATTCTGCAGCGTCCCGAAATGAAAGGGACCTTTGTGTATCGTCGCCTGCTCAGGGCCGCCCACGCAGCGCACTGGAGCGGCCTGCGCTGTACGAAAGCAGCGCGCCGCTCTGTTCTGACGTGTGGTGGGACTGTCGCTCTGCCACGGCGCGGATTGAATAGCAAAGCGGCCGGCCTGGAGTGTTTCTGGCTGTTATGAGAGGAATTCCTGTCAGGCGCGCTAGATTCGGTGGGCGTTCGGGGAGCAGCTGCGGCGCTGGAGTGAGCATCTTCTGCCGACCTCACCCCAGCCATCCATGTCGTCTATCAAACCTCCGCGACTATGCCTACGCTCCGTCCAATGATGCGTCGAAAATATCCGCGGCGGACGCTGGACAGCGCGGTCCGGTTCGCTATCGCTGCCCGTCCTGTGCCCTCCTGCTCATTTCCTGGCCGCCTTGCCGTCCTCGCGATTGGGGTGCACCCGCTCAACCACACGTCGGCGTGCTTGGCAGCGTCTGAAGACACCGCGCCTCCGGCATTGCCCTCAGAGATTGCGTATGCCCGCGGGCGTGTCTCTGGCGCCTGCGAAACGTCCGGCTGCTTCACACGTCCCGCGGCCGTCCGGTCGCGCTCGCGATGCTGACGGCGCCGTGCCGTGTTGTGCGCATGCTCCCCAGCGCAGTCTCGACAGCCGCGTCTACAGTACGAGCGCGCCGCCTCAGCCCAGCGCCGGCTGGAGCACTGTTTCCGGCACGGACAGAATCCATCTCGTCAGGTGGGCTGGCGTACCCAGCGCTGATCACCGCGGAAGCACCTCGCACGTCGCTGAGGCAAGCCACCGATGGCGAGAGCTCCCCTGCAGCGAGGATTGATGGAAATTGTAGCCGCCTCACCCAGCCAAACAGGACCGCCGTCGAATGCCGGCTGTCAGAGGGACAGTGCCATTTTGCTCGCCCCGGGACCGGGCGCGGGTCACGTTACGTCGAATGGCACCGCTGTCAACCACAGTTTGACAAGCAGCACCGCTGCGCTAGCCGTGCAACCAGCGAGCTTCGAGAAACAGCAATTCTCCCGGAGCGGGCCGAGCTTTTCGCCGTTGGATCTCATCGTCCAGCCAGATCCGTCGCTCGTTCTGCGCAGGCGCCGCCCATTGGCAGCAGGGCCGGCGAGGCGCTCACTACGACCGATCGCGCAGGTGCAGCAGCAGGGGCACAGATGCAGTTAGGGGCGACGCTGCGTTCGCCGACGCTTGACGCCTGAGGGCTTCGTTTTCATGCAGCAGCACGACGGCGCGCCATGAGCGGCTCAAAGGCGTGCAAGGCTGACGATGCAGCATGTTCCTGACGCAATCTCGCCAGCCATAGCCGTTACGAAACGCCTGCGCGGGAGCCCACTCTCAAGCCACACGCCTCGCAGGGCCCCGCGCTGATAGGCACGCTCGCCCGGACGGGGGGCAGCGTTGCGAGTGCCTTGGTTACTCGACAGGAGCATGGAGAACAGCACGCTGCACCACGCGCGGCATGGTGGGCGAGCTCCCAGTCCGACCTCACCACCACCTCCACCATAGTGGCCAGCTAAAGCAGCGAGACCCCGCAACAAGCGTTGCCGAGACCTGAGCATCCTTGCCGCTGTCCCTGCGGTGCCCTGGCCCTCCCGTTGTGTGCTATGGACATGCGTCTGCCAATAATGGCGCCCCATCTGCGTCGACGCTCGATGCTCAACGCCACGGATCAGGCCTTGTTCGTCGGCGTTTTTCTCCACGGCCCCCCCTGTCCTCTGCAAGCTGTGCAGAGGCCTCCATGTTCACGCACACCTCACATTCTCTTTCGAGAAGGACACCCTGGTGGGCGCCAGCACACCTGATCCCAGCGCCATTCGATTCGCCAGAGTCCGCTCCGTCTCCCCCCTCGTCTGAAAGGGTCGCGTCCCGAGGTACCGCACCCCTGTGCCTCGATCTTTGCCTTGGGGCCCTGCTCGCCCTCGAGGTCAGTCACGCCTCTCGTGGTGTAACAAGCGGCTTCCAGATCCTCGAAGGATAACATGTTTCCCTAAGAAGTCCTCTGCCCTGCCGGTGGTCTGACCCCAGTCTTTGGACTTCTCTTAACCTCGATTTATCCGGATCGTCCACAGTAAAGTGCCGTCAAGCCTTTTCTGTCTGAATGATCTGTCCCGCTCCCCTGCCGCTATCGCTGATATAGCCTCCGTGGTGTTCCTGAGAGATCTTACAAAGGGCACCCTATCGTCAACCACAACTGGGCGCTTGCAGATATCTGGAGCAACTAGCCCACCCATCTCACGTCTGTCAAGTGTCAACCGCCCTCGGTCTCGGTCACCGTCATTCTTTATTTGGCCCACGGTATCACCCTCTCACACGCTGCTATTTCGAGCAGACGTTACACCAAAACTCCGCGCCCCATTCCAGTCTTGGGGGTGCGACATCAGCCATTCAGCCTTGGTCCTGCATATCAGCAATCCCAAACCTCCCCGACGCGGCGCCCCCAGATCTGTTTCTTTGTAACAGACCTGCGACCTTAACGCATTGAGCAGCCTATACGCTCGATCTAGCATTAAAGCATCGCGAAGACCTTCACTTTCTCCGCCGATCACCCGCATCCAACCCCGCACTGGGTTTTGGAGTCCGATCGAAACTGTTTCCCGTCAGCTTTATCGGATCCTTTCCCTCTGCAGCGAGTTCGTGGGGCGTTCGCATCGATCTTTGAAGAGGTTTCGCATCCGAAGTTCGTTCGCTCGTTGCAAGCCTGAGCCGATTGTCCGATAGGATCGCAGGATCTCTAAGGGCAGTGCATCGAGGTAGGCCGCCCCATCCTTCCCCCAGGGCAGCCAGTGCTGACTGTGAAGCTTATTAGGAGCTGGTTCAGCCACAAACCAACACTATCTCAACTTCCCAGAACCCGTCCTTGAAGGTGCCAATGGTGGACGGAAACCTCTTCATTCCGCTCTCTCCGCCTAGCTCGCCGCGCATGTCTGCGTACAGCACGACTCCCGCAGATAACGAGTGGCAATCATCGGATCTCAAGTCTCTGGACACTACCTCCGCGCACTCTGACGGCGACATGGCATTGCTCCAAGCAGAAGTCTCTGCCCACAACTTCGATCTGAAGCGGCCCTTGCTTCGGACACACAAGAGCTTCCCCTATACTCTGGACAGCAAACACCACCACAGCAATGGCGCAGACTCTCCATCACGGGAACGCATCAGCATGAGCAACATCGACGAGGTCGACTCGAGTGAGATGCCAACCGTGACCTTTGGAGGTTCAGCGCCGGCAAGCCCTGTGTCAAGATTGACGCCTCCGTCGCCTCATGACGCGGTCAACGGGGAGAAGAACGAGCCCCAGGGCGATGAGATCATCACTGAGGACATGGATGAGAAGAGCGGCGAGGATGGGGTCAAGGAAGAAGAGAAAGCCCCCATGACAGCTGCAGAACTGCGTGCACAGAAGCGTAAGATGAAGAGGTTCAGACTCACGCACAACCAAACCCGGTTCCTCATGAGCGAATTTGCCCGGCAAGCTCATCCTGATGCTGCTCATCGAGAACGGTTAGCCCGCGAGATTCCCGGCCTCAGCCCGAGACAAGTGCAAGTCTGGTTCCAGAACAGGTAGGCGCCCATCGTATTCATCAACGAGGTCTTGCTGATCCCACTGTAGGCGAGCAAAGCTCAAGCGACTAACTAGCGACGACCGCGAACGCATGATGCGGTCGAGGGCTCTGCCGGATGACTTCGACATGGCACAAGCACTCCACTCGCCTTTCGGCAGCACCCACGGACTGGGGACTCCTCTGGCTTCTCCTGGATCGTACCAGCCCAGTTTCCCTGAAGGAAACATGATGCGTCCTCTGAGCATCGACACCCTGCGGCGAGGGCCGGTTGACTCCCACATCTCCCCCACCGGAATCAGCCCTGCCTTTGGTGGCTTCACCTTCACACCACCCCAGTCGGCAACTGATACCCTTTCTCCAGTATCAAACCACGAAGGCTCTCCTTTCGGCTTTCCTTCTGCGCCTCTTGATACCAGCCCGAGGACATCGAACCCTTTCTCCTCATCAGTCAGCGCTTCCCCGGCCTATGCTGCGCACCATAACATCCCTCGTCTGTCTCTACATGCCGACCGCATTGCAAGGTCTCGTGCGGAATCCTTATCGTCACCTCTCAGAGCCAGCATGAGCGCTTATACAAATGGTCACGACAACAGCTTCAACGGTTCTAACGATTCTGGCAACCACATGCCATACGGCATTGGCTATTCCTGTAAGATCTCCGACATCGTCGAGGATGCATTTCCTAACGGACATAGACTCTCCAGTACCCGGCTTTCAAGCCGCCAGCGCTTCAAGGATGCGCTCCTTCTCGAGCAGCGTCCCACGACGCATTGAACTGAGCACTCACTACACACCTAGTCGCAGCGCGACCACACCCCAAACGGCCACCTTCCCGACCTACACAAGCTCCCCACTTATAACGCCCCAAAGCTACTCCATGCCTCAAATGAGTGCGCCCCACCACATCACGACCTTCCCGAACTCGTACTTGCGAAACGACAATGGCCAGTCGGATCAGTACTCGTCCGGCTCTATTCTGGGAGAAGTGATGGAGAACTCCAATCACGATAACGACGACCAGAACGACCAGATATCACAGTCGTATTGAGCGTTTCGGATTTTGGCGAGCGGCGTTAAACTTGTCGGACCACCACGAGGGCGTGGACTCCGGGGCGGGCTTGTTGCTGGATTTGGGAAAAATTCAAGATGATTATGAGACTACGGAACTTTGCGCTATATGGAGACCGGATGTTGGGAATCGCGAATGCCCCCCACCCAACTGTATGACCTGACGGCTCTTGCTCGGGCTTGACTGGCAGCCCAGTCTTGCTTTCGATGGCACACACACACCCCTGGTGGCTGTTTCATACCTTTCGAAACTCTATTCGGCGTCAAGCGTTTCGAAGCCCCGGGTGGGTTCTTCTACTGATGTTCCTTTTTCTATTTCTGATCTGCCGGGTTTCGGAGTTTCACCTTCCCGCCCTTTCGCAATGCAAACTTGTTGGGGGAACCGGTCAAACACACAAGTTTTGTTTATTTTTGGAATCAGAAAGCTAATGGCGCTGGTATACCCTTCTTGTATCTACTTTTGTTCTTGGCCCATCACACGCTATTATGGCTTCTTTTCTGCTCTCCTGCTTTTTGAGTGGTGGACTATCTACGGATTTCTCTTCTCCCGAACCCGATTTGTTTCCTGCCCTTTTTTTTACTCTTCACTTCAACGATAACCCCCGCTTTGGATACCAACAGACGCCGTCACACCATCATACCTGCAAAAACTCGCTTCGCGTGTAGAAAAATTCTGGTTTTTCGACTGCGAAACCTACCAAATACGAAGTAATGATACCCAATCATCGAGATCACGCCCGTTGACATCACGCCGTTGAGATGCACTCTTTGCTCTTCTCTGCAAACTCGTTCCCTGCGATCTTTGCTAAATCGGACGTATGTTGCATGGCGCGTAGGTACCTTGGCAATAGAATGCTACCACTCTTTTTTGCCAGCGGGAAATAGGAACCAGGCCCGGTACGTACCCTTAATACCCAAGCGACCATAGCACGACCGCACTCTGCGCAGGGCGCGACATCGGAGGAAAAGAGGCAATGATGGCAAGAGCCGCAATGCAGTAAATGGAGGAGCAGATCAGGGTCGCGCGCGCGCTCGCTAGCACAGTGGTCGTTCGACAAGCAAGCGCAAGCTTCCGAGGCAAACGATGGGACATGCTCGGCTCGCGCTTCGCACGCAGCAGCGCAGGCCTCAAGAACGAGTCGACCGACCGACCGACCGCAGAATGCAGTTTCCATGGCCCCGCGGAAACAGTCGCCCAGTGAGCTTCAGGCTGTTCCTGAGCGGCAAGCCGCTGCGACTACGATAGTCCCGGCAGGGCGTCATGCTCAGAACATTCCATACAGCAGCGCGGCTAACGGTGCTGGTTGCAGAGTGCAGGCGAAGATCGCCGTGCCGGGTGGGCAAAGCCAATCTATCTTTCTCTCCGCATGATCACTTTTCGCAGCAATCTATCTCCACACTTACCCCGGACGCCTCTTTCCCCCTCCTTAGGCTTCGGCTTCTCGACGCTCAGGAACCGCGTTCCGTGCAGCGAATGCCCACAGAAAGCTTCCATGGCTAAATTGGCGAGTCGTGCGCAAGCACGCTCCCCTTGCGTACGATGGGAGGGGTCTATAGTATGAATCCATGTACCGTAGCGTGGGCTGGGCAATATTCCGATTTTGCGGGGAACGTAGGATTGAGCGAGCATGCAGGACGCTCGACTTGGAGCTGCGCTGGGGTGCGGGATGCGATGAGGGACGACTGTGGCTGTATGCACATGACGCCGGGATGATGAGAGCGTCGAGAGGCCCTTCTGTGGTTGAGCGGTGGATTTTAGGTTGATTAGAGTTATTGAGGTGCATAGATTAAACGGCGCCGTTCTGCTTGCTTGCGTGTGGGCCTGGGGCTGCGGACTGGGGCGGGCAAGGGCCGGATTGATGATCTGATAGATTGAGTGTGGAAATTGAGGCGCGAGCGCCGGCTCGCCGTATAGAGGCAGGGACATGGAGCCGCGGGTGATTTCTCCAAGGCCTTGCTGCAGATCTTAGGCTTAATTACGGGCTGGGCGGTGCGTGCTAAGAGCGCGCGGCGAATTGGGTGATTGCTGGCTTTTGCGTAGCTTTTCTTCCAGGCGGCTTCCAGAAGTTCGAGAAGCTCGAGGGGTGCGCTGCCGCTATGGCGGGGGTTGCTGGCAGGCAGGCCCGCTGTGCGCGTGATGCGATGATCATGATGGGGGTTTTCCAAGGTTGTCGATAAGGTTTGCGACGTGGCGGTGTGCGCTCTTCGATGCGTTGTTCTAGTTGTTTACTCGAACGACTATGGGCTGGGGATATTATGTAAGGAAGGCAGGGGAGGGGGGAAGTGGCCAGCCGCCAAGAGGGGGTGTCAGCGAAAGCGAGGCGCTGACCATCCGTTGCTGAGCTCAACGTCAGGTTCGGATTTGCGAGCTCTTTGCAGCGTCGGCTCCGCCTTCGCGAGGCCGAGTCGTGTCAGTGCTCTCATGATGTGGAGTGCAGCCGCTGCTTTTGCGCGCCACATACGAAGATACGAAGGGTTCGCATTCTTGGTGCTGACCGGAAGTTAGGCTAAGGCGCTCGCGAAATGTCCGTGTGGTGCAGGTACGGTACAGGTGCAAGCATCGTTTGGAGGCTGCTCGGAACGTCGTTCCTATGGCGTGTAGCACGGTAACATTAGCTCCCCCAGGGCCCTTGAGCGACGCGGATGGCTTCGCACCGAGCATCCTCCGCATCAGCGGACATTAGCTATTGCTCCTTCCCGTTCTTAGTTCAGGGACCGCAGTCATGGTGGATGCAACAAGAGACATCGGCATTCCAAGACCGCGCCTTGTAAGACGTACAGCCTCAGCGTGTGAGATGCTTCCGGCGGTGCGATTGGTGCGTCGCGGTTTGGCCGCTCCGAGACGGCGCTTTCCTATTTGGGAACGGAGTGAATGCTCAAGGCGGTCTGATTGGAAGGATAAATACGAGATCACGTGGAGCCAGGCAACTCACATGTGAGACGGGACTTGCCCAAACGATGACAGCGCAATGCAGGAGAAGTGCAAGGAGAGGCGAGGAACGGTACAGGCGCAGCAAAAGCGAAGGTATGAAGGTATCTTCCAAGGTTCCCCCTCCTGCCCAAGAGGTTCCTTTTTGACCCGCTGCAGCCCCAACCACAGAAGCAAAACTGTCGACTTGCTTCAGGCGACGTTGGATTTGACTCTTACCTGCCTTTTCCTTTCTCGAGCGGGCCGTATTGTGGGCTGACCGAGGATCAAGAGGCTGCGCGAGGCGCCTTTAGTGCCCGATGGCCCTCTGCAAGTCGTGCAGCCTGCAGGTCGTTGATTCCCGAGCAATGCTCCAATGCGGTTGGAGATCACCGACGTGTTTTGCTTCTTTGGGCGGCTTGACGCTACTTTGGTCGAGGAGCGCTTGGGTAAGGCAGTTGGTGATGGTGTGCATCCAAGGACGAGGCCGACAAGGTGACGGTGAACGTGATTTCGATCACCCTGTTCTCGAGTATCTAGGGTATCGTGGGGTACGTTGGGCGCTGTGGTGAGCGGAACGAACTGGCCGGCAGCTCAACAGAATTTCTCCGTCCCTGCTCCTTCATGCGCCGCATGAACATGGCGTAGGAAAAGAGAAGCGAGGGGACGTCCCGCACGCCGTGGAGTCGCGGAAAAGCGGCGAGCAATGCCAGCACATGCGGTGGCCTCCTGCAGTCACGAGCTCACAGTCACTCACAGTCACAGCCGACGCGCAAATAGAAATACCGGTCGCCGTCCTCCAAGCAAAGCCCTCGAATTTCGGGACCAAAGGTATAAGTCGACGCTGTGCCATGGAGTCACCGTCCTGCACGGGCATCTAGCACGCTCGCATCCGCTTCCGTACCTAGGTACCTGACCGTTCGCTGCGTCCCACAGCAGCAGCCTTGTTTCGTGGCATGTTGGGTGTTTCGACTCCCGGGTTGGAAGGGCTGTGTGTGCCGGCTTCATCCCCGGCGCAGCACCAATGGCACGACAGTTGCCGCACAGCGGGCTGCGGCTTCGGCTGAGGGCCGTCGCGGTGCTGCTGTTGAACGGCCTGCGCGCTGTGCTACACCGCCTGGGAATGAGTCATTTTCGGCTTGGTCGGCGTGGACGAAGAGCTGGCGTGGTCTGGGGAGTTGGGACGCATGAGAGCGGGGGGATTACAAGCCCGCCCGTCCTGATGATGCCAGCCAGGGCGATAGGCATCACAGCGCGTGCCGGAGCCCACCGCAGGGTGTGTTTCTTTGAGCTGTTACACAGGACAATGGGTAATTTTGTCGTTTACTTTGCGCACTTCCGAAGTGATGTCTCGCGCCACGTCTTCCACGCCTTCTAGAAGCAATTAGCGAACCGGTAAGGCAGAGGTCTGCTGTGGCAACGGCAGTCCGCCTTATCGATTGCTGAAAATAGGGGCGACCTGCTCCCTATCCCGTGCGCTTGGGCGTCTGATTGGCCGTGGGGGCTCGGAGTTAAGCGGACATGAGGTTCGAATGAATGTCATTTAAAATAGCCTCGTCATTATGCATGTCCTCGCATGCGCGCGAGACGTCAACGGTTCGCTGGTCTGAGGGCTTGTAGGAGGAATGCAGAGAGCGAGTTGCGATTGCAGAGGAGGAGTACAAGTCCAGATGGCAGCGCCGGCAGGACCAAAGGGGCTTTGTCTGCTTTTTCGCGCGCCCCTGGGTGGTGTCGTCCCGAGACGATGCGACACTCAAAACAGAATGCGACAGCAGCGGCGACGAGGCAGCTATAAATGTTTGAGATATGGCCTCCCGCTGACCTGGTACAACGACTCGAATCGTTGCTGCGAGTGCTGGCACAGGGCAGATGCAGACCATGACCGTGTTTGCTCGCATGGCCTGCCACGGGAGCGACTCCCGAGCGGCATAGGAGACCCAGAGATACGAATTCCTGGCCGTGGCGCCACCCGCCCAGTTTTCTTGCGCGCACATTCACGTCCAGACGACGGGCGGCAGTGGTGAGAGTGCATGCGAGTGGTGCGGAGCGGGCAGTGACTGGTGACGCACTCACTCCGCCCTCCCTCCAGGCAGCCGGCAGCCTCGCGAGGCCGTCTGCAGCGGACAGCGAATAGACACAATGCGACCGCTTCCCAACACAATAGCAAGCAGCGCAGGCAAACCAGCCCGGGCGTGAATGGCAGCATCAGCAGCTGAGGGCGTGTTGGGTCGGGCGCGCTCAGGCAGTCGCCCGTGGTTGGGGCGTCATCCATGCTCGCTAGCCGAGACGGGGCCTTAGAAATTTCCTCGCCTCATTTCTCCTTCACCCCAACCTTCTTCATCACGAAGACACACCTACACCCATCCCCGCAGCGGCCTCAGTGAGCATTCACACGAGGCGCTTGCCGATTTCGCACAGTCCTCTGTCGAAATCCGTCCCCAGAGGCACCTGTCGAGGACCCGCTCACTGTCGCAGTGAAGGCGCTTCGGACAGCCGCAGCCCAGTCGCCCTTTTTCAAGGAGCAGACTTTTCGTCCTCCCCCTTCCTTTCGTTGTACACTCCTTTCTGCAACCGAGTCGCGCGCTCCCTGCAGACTCCTAATACCCGCCCGCCCGACTCTCGCGGATCTGAGATTCAGCGACCGTCGCACGCCCTCGCCGCGACCGCGCAAGCCACCGCCTGCACCTCGCACCACACGCCCACACGCCCGCACAACCTCACCCACGGCCCACGCCCCAGGTTTCTAATGAGTGCATCCATCTCGAACGCGCTGAACCCGCCGATTGCCGCCGCCCAGACCGCCGCCGCTGCGAACTCGCCCTCCCCGGGACCGTCGTCCGCCAACGTGGCCGCTGGATCGGCTCAACAACCCACTGCCCGCAGCTCGTACGCTAACGCAACCAAGAAGACGTCTTCTTCGCCGCCGATTGCGAGCAGTGGTGCGCCGCCCGTCGTGGCAGTGGGAGGACCGCACACACAGCATGGCAAGAGCTCAATTTCGCCCGTGAATGGCAGCAACCCCATCAAACCCGCCGTCCCCGCCATGGCTCCGACCATCGTGAACAGCAGCGGTGTCAACGGCGCCCCTTCACAGGGCGACCACAGCCGCAAGTCGTCGGTCACTATTAGCGCAGCCGGCGCAAGCGGGTACATGCCCAACGGCACCCCGGTGACCTCCCGAGCGCCCAGCGGCCTAACATTCGGCAGTATGGCTGGCTCGCCCGCGCCTTCACACCCAGCGCCAAACATGCAAGGAGGACTCAATCCGCAGATGAACCCACGGATCGCCAGCCCTGCGCATTCACCATCGCCAATTCCTGCCCCCGTGTCTGGTGGCAAGCCTGAGACTCTCCCAACACGTCCTGGCCTCGGCGGGATCCAGTTCGGTGGCGGCAGTGACAGCGGCGAGCCCAACGTAAGTTATAACGCTCCCTCACGCTGTTTGAAGAATATTTCTCTCACACAACCACAGAGCCGCCCCATCTCCCTGCCACCACAACCAAACGTACCTCCCGTTCACATGCGCCGTGAGAGCTCCCAGTCCGCGCACTCTCAGTCCGACATGAGCAACCGAGGATTTCCCAACGGCGGTCGGGGTCGTGGCGGCTTCAATCCTGGCTATAATCCACAAATGGGTCATCCCTCACCGCAGCCCTACCGCCCGATCCCAAACCAAGCGCCGCGAGGACCCGGTATGCCTCCTGCATTCCAGCCTCAGATGGGGATGAATTCTCCGTACAGGGCAAATAGGTCTCCCGCACTCACCCCAGCTCAGCTGCATCAGCAGGCGCACCAGGGGATGCCTTTCTATCCCCCACAATATTCTCAGCAAGTTCGTATACCTTCCAGTATCTCTGTTCCTCCTTCAGCGCTCGACTCCATCAGCAAGCCGTATCAGCCTGTGGATGGTGCTCGGAATCAGCTGTCTCAGTCTCCTCTTCTCTCGGCGTCCTCGATGCAGCCCCAGTTTCGGTTGCCTCGCGGCTCGCCGATCGCTCTCTTTGAATCTTTCGACCCTTTCAGCGCGAGTTATGGCAACGAGCAGTATCTAACGGAATTGCAACATCAGAACATGTATGGCATGCCTCAGCCCGGTCTCGACCCCTATAACGGGTACTATGGCCAGAGTTATGGTGGCCTCCAGCAGAGCATCCATGCGTACCCAGGCGTGCCAGCCAGCCCTGGCCGAGGACATGCCTTCCCGCAGCAGCCATATCAGGTGCCTTATGGGCAGCCACCGCAAGCCCAAGGCATGACTCGCACTCCGTCGAACATGTCCGAGCGGCCGCCATCCGCCGTTCCGCAACCGCAGACTCCGGCGATGACCAACGTTAACGCTCACGTATCACACACGCACACGCCCAGCGCGACTTCTGGTTCGCCGGCGCCGAATGCCTCGACTTTCGCTATCCCTCCCAAGAAGTCTAGCAAGGCGATCGTGATTAAGACTGCCGATGGAGAGATCATTGACTTCAACAAGAAGGCTTCCTCGCCCGCTCCTCCTGCTGTAGTCACTCAGCCGCCGAAGTCCCCTGTGGTCGTCGCTTCTCCAACCCCTCCCCCGAGGTCCGAATCGACGCATAGCAGAACCGAGAGCATCGCTGCTAAGACGGACAGAGAGAAACAGGCCGACTTTGTTGCGCAATTCAAAAAGAATCTCGAGGCGGAGAAACAAAAAGAGGAAGCGGAGAAGAAGGCTGCGGCCGAAGCAGAGGCCCAGGCTAAGGCTGAAGCTGAAGCGAAGGCTCAGAAGGAGAAGGAAGAAGCAGACGCGAAGGCGGCTAAGGAGAAAGAAGAGGCTGAGAAGGCTGCCAAAGAGAAGGAAGCTGCTGAGGCTGCGGCAAAGGCTGAGGCTGAGGCAGCAGAAAAGAAGCGGCTCGAAGAGGAAGAGATGGAGCGCATGATTGCCGAGATGGAGGCCGCCGAGAAGGAAGAGGAAGAGCGAATGAAAGTCTACGAGGAGAAGAAGAAGCGTGAGGCCGAGGAGAGGAAGGCGCACGAAGCCGAGCGCATCGCACAGGAGGAAGAGAAGCTTCGTCAACAGGAGCGCGAGGCCGAAGCTGCAGAAGAAGCTCGTGCACGAGAGACACCAGAGCAGAAGGCCGAGCGCGAGTCTCTGTTTGCCTCGTTGAAGAAGAACACCCAGTTCGGTCCTGCCGCCATGATGCACCAAGAAACCGGTGGCGCTTCTACTCCTCCGGTTGAGCCAGCTGTTACTCCACCCGCTCAGCCCAAGACTGCTAAGAAGCCCGCCCCGGCGGCGCTCAAGATACCCGGAGCCGGAACTCCCATAGAGCCCGCTCAGCCCACAGCAGCGATGCAGAGTTTGAAGAGCGCCCGATTTCTTGAGGTGAAGAAAGAAATGGCGATCTACCCTAACGGCATCCAGTCTCCAAACCCCGCGCTCAACCTCAGCAGCAAGGGCAAAGGTCGACAATACGACAAGGACTTCCTACTGCAGTTCCAGGATGTCTTCAAGGAGAAGCCGTCCGTTGACTGGGATATGAAGTTGAAGGAGACCGTCGGTGATTCGACGGATTCTGCCCGGCCGCAATCCGCTCGTGCCCCGTCAATGATGGGCCCCCGTCAGAGTTCTCGCCCGGGAATGGGATCTGTAGGTCCGATGGGTTCATTCCAAGGCATCCCTAGCAGGACTCTACCTCCAGGTACGACATCCGAGCAGCGTTTCAGAGAAGCATCATCACACCGAGGACCGATGACTAATCCTCTAGCGCAATTCGTTGCGCCTCCCCGGTCAGGTGCCTTCCCCATCCAAATGCAGCGCAACCCGTCGTTCCAGAACATGTCTCACGCCGGTCCTGGTTCTCCTCGTGTGGGCAGCTCCGGGGGTAAAGGCAATAGCAGAAGGGGTCCGAAGGGTCCTAACAGGAAGGAAGAGGCAGCTATGCCATTGACTGCTGGACAGGAGGTCAAGGGTCTTGAGCGATCGACTTCTGGCTGGCAACCTCCTAGCCGAAGCCACGCCGCGCCTGTACAACTTGCAGGCCACATGGCTCCAGATATGGTACAGCGTAAGGTGAAGGCCGCATTGAACAAGATGACACCCGAGAAGTTCGACAAGATTTCCGACCAGATTCTCGAGATTGCTGCCCAGTCCAAGGATGAATCGGATGGTCGCACGCTCCGACAGGTCATTCAACTCACTTTCGAGAAGGCTTGCGACGAGCAGCACTGGTCCTCAATGTACGCCAAGTTCTGCCATCGTATGTTGGCGACAATGAGCCCGGACATCAAGGATGAGAACGTCCGCGACAAGCATGGCAATCCAGTCGTTGGCGGTGCTCTCTTCCGGAAGTATCTCTTGAATCGATGCCAAGAAGAGTTTGAGAAAGGCTGGGAGGTCAACCTACCCGACAAGCCCGAGGGTCAGGAAGGGAAAGAAGCAGCCCTGCTCTCCGACGAGTACTACATCGCTGCAGCCGCAAAGCGCCGTGGTCTCGGCTTGATCCAGTTTATCGGCGAGCTGTACAAGCTCGGCATGCTTACTCTTAGGATCATGCACGAGTGCGTGCTGAAGCTTCTCGATTTCGAGGGCCTGCCTGACGAATCTGCCATTGAATCACTCGCCAAGCTGCTTAGAACCGTGGGTGCGACCATGCACGATACAGACACTGGTCCTAAGGTACGTCGAGGTGCCCTTCTCTCCGATAAATCATACTGACCAGTGATAGATGCTCAATGTCTATTTCGAGCGGATCGAGAAGATTATGAACATGGACGGTCTGCCTTCGCGTCTTAAGTTCATGCTCTTGGTAAGCAAGCATATCCCCTCTTCCCAAAGATAAGACTAACATTTGGCTCAGGATCTTTGTGACTTGAGGAGGGCTGGCTGGAAGAGCAAAGAGGACAACAAGGGCCCCAAGACCTTGGCAGAGATCCACCAGGAGGCTGTTGCTGCTCAGCAGGCCGCTGAGATGGAGCGGACGCGGTCCCAACGCGGGCCTCGTATGCCGATGGGTCGCGGCGATGCTCGCTCGTTCTCTGGAGGTGGCTTCATGCCTCCGCAAGACTATCCCACAGGCCGTGTGCAAATGGACGACCTTCGCAAGCTGTCCAAGGGCGCCTCTGGGCGTGCGGCAAACAACCCAGGTCTCGGACCAAGCATGCTTGGGAGCCGTAGCGGCAGCGGTCGTCGAGGCCTTGGCCCCGGTAGCAATCTGATGGGCCGAGGTGATGACTCTGGTGCCTCCTCTCGGACAGGTACTCCACCCGTCCAGAAGGATAAGGAATCCACGTCCCACGCGAATTCTTTCAGGTAAGTCAATCTGCTTCAAGTCCCTGTCTGTACATGAAGCTGACAGTCACCAGTGCGCTCATGAACCTCGACAATGAAGGTGCTGGTGAGGTCGGCTCACCCCCTTCAACAGCCTCTTCCCCTCCACAGTCGAAATCGATCCCCGCTCGATCGAAGTCGCCGGCCACCGAGGGTAAAGCCACCAAGGCTTCCGAGTGATTACCGTCCCTCATACCTTCATAATGGTCTTTCGAGCGTGCGCGATCATACCCATAGACGACATGGCACGCGGTAATCTAATATGTGTTGCATAGACGGGGCATTTTCTGCGCGCATTGTATTGCATTTCGCGGGGTTCCTTAATTTCGGCATTCCAAGACCGATACAAAAGTTTGTTGTGGGTCGGCGGGCTATCAAAAGAATGGGACATGGGGACAAGCTTACATTGTTTCCGGCCTACCTTTTTCAGCACTGCGACTCACACATCCGCTTCTTCGGGGGAATTTCCATCACTGGCGTTCCGGATCGGTCCAATTTCCATGGGGTATTCTACGGGCTATCGCCGCCTCTGCGTGGGAGAAGCCTTCTTTCCTACACTCTTACCACGCGGCTTCGCCTCATGCCCCCGCTAGCGTTTCTGCCGAGCGTCTCGGCGGCTCTTCGGGCACTGCTTTATTACCCTTTCTTGCTTCCTTCCTTTCTGTACCCTGTGTTTCTATGGCAAGCGAGAATTAAGAGCTGGCGGATTTACTTACCTAGGGGGCTTTCCACGTGGAGAGGATGGGATCCTAGACCTTTCTCTCCTTCCTTTTCAATTACCACTTTTCATCTATCTGCTTCTCGTTTCTCTTTGATGCAGTGATGGGGCAAAATTGCCGGCGGGTGGCTGGACTGGGTGATGAGGAGCTTGCTTCGGCATGGTTGTGATAGTTCGGTGGAGGCGGCTCAGTGACATGGCAATGTGCGTATATGGCAACTTGCAGTGTAGACTCTTTGTGTGCATAGTTTGTTTTAATCTAGAATACGGTGGTAACTCCAAAGACGGCTTCCTGGTCTGTGATGTGTGATCTCTTCCCTCACTCATCTGCAATGCATTCGCAACCTTAGCCTTGGTCGACTGTGTATATGCGCGAGCCTATAACGAGAAAGTTAGCTGACGCTGTCCGTCCGGGAGGCCGTTAGGGTAATCGTATGTAGGCGGTATGGATATACGTTCCTAAATCGAAGGAGGCAATCCGGCCCCCCAATCCAGCGAATGAAGACCAACGCCTCAGGGTCCGATTCAAGGTTCTGGTTCAAAAGAACGTTCTACTGTGTCCTTGGCCATAGGACTTCCATTGCTCCTTCAATGTCGCGATCTCCACAGGGTTCTCGGTGCTGCACCCGATCGGATGCTTCCACGCTCCCTTTCGCAGGCCGTTGATTCGATGGGCGTCAATTAATTCGCCGATTGCAAGGCCCATCTTCCCTGCAGATGATGTTATGGCTGGTAAGGTGCGCATTAGTCCTAGAGCGGCGATTCGTGGTGGCTGTGTCCGTGTGGTTGGTGAGGGGGTGCGTTGTGCTACGTCATAGGGTTAGGCTGGTTTTGACGCATTGGGTCGAGGGTGTATATAAATGCCATTGCTGCTCCGCGATTCAGGGACGTACTGGTTGACTATTACACGGCACTGCATACACATACCTGAACTTGTCATTGTTGAAGATTCTAAGAAAAGTCTACGAAAGGGAATAAGCATCATGTCCGACCAGAATCAGAACGAGCAGAAGGGTAAGTTTGCCAACTCCGAACAGTTGCTCATTGCTCTCTTGTCGCCTTTCCTTCTTCGCTTCTCGAACGAACATGTGTTAGGATAGCGAAAGAGCTGACCTCATTTAGGCTTCTTCGGCACCGCAGCGGGCGGTCTAGGTACGTGCCCTCACCTCCCCCTCCAAGCTCATCCAACTGCACTCATTTGCTTTCCCTCCCTGATGGCCAAACTTCTTCCCTACATGTCCTTTGCTCCTAGAGAACCTGTAAGATCGCCCTCCTCTAACAGTTCTCCTCAGGAAACACCCTCGGCTCCGCAACCGACACCGTGGGAAAGGGCGTCTCGGGCGTGACCAACACCACCGGCAACGCGGTCTCTGGCCTGGGCAAGGGCGTTGGGGATACCTTGACGGGGGTTACTGGCGGGTTGGGCGATACCACGAAGGGTGAGTTCTATCCGGCTGAGGGTGCTTGGGGAGGTGAAGATGTGGTTGCTGATGTGCGGATAGCGGCTGGCAACACTGTCAGCGATACGACGAAGAAGGGTGGCGAGGCGGTTGGCATGAAGAAGAATGAGCCGGGAAACCAGCAGTAGATCTGCTGCACGGTATTTGGGGAGAGAAAGGGATGAGATGTTTTGGGACGTGGCAAGGCTGCGAGTGACACCATGGATTCGCCATGGATGTGAATGGGTAATGCTTATGAGCATGAAGACAGTGCTATTCGAGGCAGCAAAAAATGAAATAAATTGAGACCCACGAACCGTACTAATTTGCGTGGCGACGTAAAGAGATAGTATCGTTATTTCTGCCTTCCCCATTTCGAAACGGAAATTCACGGCGATGGTCCTCCTATGCTTGTTCCTGTGTTGTTCAAGCGCTAAGAAACGAGCGACATGTGCGATCTGTTTCCTGCCATACTAGCTAGGTTCACTGTGCAAACTTCTGGATTTTTTGGCATCGAAAGAATTTTTATGTGTTTTTTTTCTGAAGCGCATATTCATCCGACGAAGAAGAATCAAGAAAAAAACGAAGATGTCCTTGCGAAGATGTCCTTGAATTTTAGTAGGTCGATGTTTTCTGGATCTGTCCTAGCCGAGACTCGGATATGGCGGTGCCGCACAGCCCTACGTATCGTTTTTGAGTCAAAGAGTCAACACGATGTAGAGTCAATTCCACCGCTCTCTCGGAGCTTCAAATGTGCTGGCTCGCGCTCATATGGATGGCAAGCAGAATTAGACCTTATCTTCTTTTTCTTCGATTGAAACACTTATTTTTGGTCCCTTGGGTGGGTGGGCGCATGGGCCAGCTGCACCGCCACGGCTGAGCTAATCCTCCCAGAGCGTCTGAGTTAGTTTGGTTCCACTTTCTTAGCCGCTGTGATTGGGGATTTACATGGACCGGAGGGATAGGGCACGGCAGTGTCAGGTGGACACGCGCAGTGGGGTTTACATGGACCGGAGGGATAGGGCACGGCAGTGTCAGGTGGCAGTGGGATTTACATGGACCGGAGGGATAGGGCACGGCAGTGTCGGGTGGACACGCGCAGTGCTGACGGCGCGGGCGCGTTATAAAAGAGGCGGTGCCCTCCTGCTTGTTCTTCTAGACTACTTCTGTTGCGTTGTGTTTTGTGTTGCGGAGCAGTAGGTGCCGGGATGGCGAGGTTTGGCAGACGTGGGGATGCTAGCTATGGCGGGAATGGTGGGTACCGGTCGTCGTACCGGCGGCCGAGGAGTTATGGGCCACCAGCAGCCCACGCCCGACCAATCACAGATGGCCATTTTCCCGAGTACCGTCCGACAAACATCACAGACATCCCTGTTCCACCGCCGGTCCCCTATATTCCGACTGCAAACAAAGCATCCCTTCCAGACATCGGATTTCGAGTCGTCATCTTCATTGTCGTTGTCGCGTGTCTTGTTGTCGGCGTTCGGACTCCATTGGTCAAGAAGAAGGCGGAAGATGGGACTAGTTCGCTCCAGGCTTCCGAAGGTGCTCAAGACGATGCCGTCCAGCTGCAAGAATGTATGTTTATCCTAGTCCATCTACCTAGTCAACTTAGCGTTAACACCCTTGCAGTAGCCTCAGGTTATGGCTCCGGCGAGCGAGCCGAATTAGGTCCTACGATAACAACGGAGCAGTCGACCGTCCAGCCGCAAGAATGTATGTTTATCCTAGTCCATCTACCTAGTCAACTTAGCGTTAACACCCTTGCAGTAGCCTCAGGTTATGGCTCCGGCGAGCGAACCGAATTAGGTCCTACGATGACAACGGAGCAGTCGGCCGTCGAACTGCAGAACGACACTGCCATGCTGATCGTCGCCAATACGTCGGAGCCTTCATATATCCCGCACCACCAATCAGATAGTCATACGATTACGCAGATGTCCGTGGGTACCCAAGGCACCGGCTCGACGTCAGCCTTGCCGATTGCACCAGCATATGGGCATATGCAACCACCAGAGTCAAGCAACTCTACCCTCGCTGCCGAAGCACCCGACGTCGAATCTCAGAGCCACAACTCCCCCGCAGACATGCACACCGATGCGCCCACTGGAACGTCTGCCTCCCACGTAAGTTGCTCACCATGAAGCACTGCCTTCTGAACAACTTGCTAACCCAAAGCTCTAGGCCAACTTCAGCTAGCTCAGCATAACGTTTAACCAGCACTATCTCAGCACCGACCGATCGCTTAACGTATCCGCTGCCGTCCCTGGGTCCTTCAAGACACTCCTTAAAGTCTTTTCTTCTAACGTGGAGTTCTAGTTGGAGGTCAAAAGAACGCTGTATCTTTCCTATGTATCTCTCTTAGGTGACAATTGTAAATACTGTTTTAAAATATAGAAATGGCTCCTTTGGCTTTCTACGGAAGTTGCCCTAGTATGAATATCAATGTCAGTCGAGCTCGAGTGGCTTTTCCACGTCCTATGTGAAGGTAGCGAGCATACGATACGGTCTCCTAGAATGCATTATACCTCTCGATACGATCGGCCGGCTGCGACTGGGTGTCAAGGGTCACATTGCGCCGCGGCCGACAACTTGGAAAAGTAAGCTCAGTGCTCAGCTCTCTCCCCCCTGCCTGTCATAATGGAGGAAACAGCCATGTTCATATATATAAAAGGGGCATGCAGCCTGTACCTAAAGATCCATAGATTCTAAGGTCCAAATATGCGGTGACATCCGTTCAATGCGGCACAAGCAGCGACACAATGCAGTGCAACGCTACGACCCCTTACTCTATCGTGCAGCTGTCAACCACGATACCTCCGATGCAAGATCGCAAGTGTCGTGTACCCGTAACGCCGTACCTCCTTCCCCCAAAATAAAATATGCAACGCCGCTCTAACGCTCCAAATCCCATCTCCAGTGTCACCATCCAAACTTCTCAACTTGCACCTTCACACCGACACCCTCCCCAATCAACCCCGCGCACGTATTTCTCACGTCTCTTACTAGGCCGTCCGGGCCACTAACCACAATGCCCGTCCTCTCGCCTTCAACCCACTCACGCAGTATAGGCCGCACGTCAGGCCGTCCGACGACAGAGGTCGGCGCTGGGATATACAGCTCCAAGCCCCACTCTTCGAGCTCCTTCATCTTCTCATGAGGGACCCAATCGCGGTGCGATGGCGAGTGCACTATCCAAAGCAGCTTCACTTTCCTCTTGTTCTTCGGCGAAGATTGATTTTCGGGGTCGGTGGATGTAGGCTGCAAGAGAGCATAGAGGAGTGGGTATGCGACGGCTATACCGGAGCCGCCCGCTACCAAGATTGCGGTATCTGAGGATGAGATGACATCAAGCGCGTGAGAGGTACCGTAGGGTCCATCGAGGCGGATGCGGGTCTGTGGATGGGACCGGGAGTGTTCGAGGAGGGTGCGCGTGAAGCCAGAGTCGGCTTGTGCGCGGATAAGGAGCGAGAACCATGCATGGCGGCCTTCCTCGTCTTGAGTCAAGGTAGGAGCAGCAGAAAAGATGGTGAAGGGATGAGCTTGGACCATATATTTGTGGGAAATTGAGGGGACGGTGATGAAGATGTGGTCGTTCGGTTTCCAGCCATTTCTCATGTTCTTAGGTATAAACACTGACTTTAGGTCAGAGACGTTCCAGTTTGCAGACAGAAGTAGCGTCTCGTCGTCTTCCAGGACGGTCAGGGTGGCGGGATGCGAAGTCGTGTTCAACCACAACCGGAACACTAGCCTATCGATGAGGAAAATAGCCAGTGAGACGCCAACATATGGCCTTGAGGTCTCGTAGTGCAACCAAAGGAACACCAGGCCGGCGATTTGAAGCAAGATGTGCGTTGCAAGGAAGACCTCGTACATCCTCTGCCGGAAGCTTCCCAGCGAGGTGAAGTACAACACTTGATAGGAGATGAAAGCACCAAGACCCAGGAGGACAAGCCGGTTCAAGATAAACTGCGCCAGTGTGAATCCAAGGCGCCTCAACAACCCGTACCAGACGAACAGCATGCCCAGGAAATGGACGAGTGCTTCGAAGCACATCAGCTCCCCCACCCTGCGGTGAAAGATGTTCAAGCTTTCGTACGAATAGCCAGTGAGGAACTTAATGGGCTGATTCTTCGCGGCCAGGAGATAAAGAATGGGCAGGTTCGCGGAGAAGATGAGGCCACAGCGGTCGGCGAAGACGAAGACGTACTGCAGCGAGAGCGGCATGGCGTAGAAATTGTAGAAGACGTTGAGCGCGATGTACGCGATGACGAAGAGCGAAACAGCATTCGTGGGAAGTGCCCTGTTGATTATTGGGATGGATCGTGGTTGGTATTGCATCCATGACTTTAGAAGGTAGTAAGGTTTCCGGATTCCTAGGGCTTTCCGTTTGGTGGGTTTCGCGGCGAGCAAAGGGCTTGTCTCATCCGCTGCATCTGTCTTTTTCTGCGAGGCGTCTGGAGGTGTCGCAGTTCCCTCGATGGTACTGCTCGAGCTTGACCAGGCTTCATCGACCCTGTCATCCGCCTTGCCGTCGCTTCCATCTATCCTCCTCTTCCTCTGCCTCAAAGCAAGCTTCTCAGCCCAGTGCCACGCAGTAAACACTAACAATACCGCGAGCAGCACTAGATTATAGGTCGGCACAAACTTCCTCCCAAACAAAATGGCTTCCACAAGCTTCCGGAATCGCGGGTCCTTCCCTGGATCGTCCGGGTTGACAAGTTCGCCTCCTCCAGTCGCCGCTACGCTCTCCGAGCTAGGGAGCCATAACGACGAAGTAGACGATATGGCGGTGCGAGAAATACGGAGGGCGTCCTGCACCCATGAAAGAGTTATTGAATCCATAAGAGGAGGGGGATAAGGAGGGAGAAGAGATGCGAGATACATGATGATGTTCCCCGCGTCATCTCCGGCGATCGTGTGCTGCGATAAGCGCGGGTGCGAAGCTTGAGGCACGCTTTGCTCCGTTTCAGGCCAGGCGAGCAGTGAATTTTGCGCACGTCAACTTCCAGAGGCCGTTATGTCACGCGCCTACACGAACCTCCAAGGCTTGCAGAGGGCGTCGTCCCTACATTCCACCACTTCTCCACTAAATTCATCCTTCATCGCAATAATCGACACGCTATGATTCAGCGTCCGAACGCGCGACGCGCTTGTCGAAACGCTTTGAAACCGGCTGTGGAAAAGCGCCTAGCTGGCCGAAAGATATGGATGGGCGATTTCATCTTCTCCTTTAAACGCTGTTGGTGTGTGTGCGGAATGGGGAATGGCATTCGCCGAGATTCAACAGGGCTGTGCTTCTGCATACGCCGCATGACTGCTTGATTTAGATCACCGGGCGTACCTAAGGTATCTTGGTATTATTCAACGTCTTTCCTCTCAGTTAGCAGGCATCTTTCACAGGTCGATCAAAGTCTATTTCTCCTCGCTTTCGTTCTCTCCATCAGTCTTCGCATATGTTGTTGTCCTATCCGCCGATCCAGTCCGGATACACACACAACCTCGCCTATTCTTACACCACACAACGGCAAGGCACACAATGAGGCTCTGCAACCCGGCCCCAACGCCCCGAGACCACACCAGCACGTGCTTTAAATCCTACGCCCTACCATTTCCAGCGACACACCAACAGGAACCGGCATTTCTTCTCCCAACCCCCAACGCCACATCCTCCAAATGTGGAAACTGTTTGAAGACACCTATTTCAGCTCCTCATTTTAAACCGCTCAACGTCCCTCATGGCGCACACACGGCTGGCGCTGATTCGCCTTAGGCACGAATGTTTGCTCAAGAGCACGAGGCTGGCCCCATGAAGGATGCGGATGCGGACGCGGTGCTACGCTGCTACGCACTACTGCTACGCCCGAGTGAGATAATCGGCGGTGCAAAGCCTCGACAGTGCGTTTCTTGGGAGACGCGTTGACGGAAGGCGGGACTGTGCCTCTTGCTTATGACTGTCGGGACTCCCGCTTTCTGCTCTCTCTTCTTTTCCCGTTTCTTGCTTTCACCCTCGCTCTAGTCATAATTTTAATGTCTATCTCATCCTAGCCTCACACTCGCTTCCCACCACCCAAATCCAACCCGGAGCAAACCCAAACGCAGTCACGATGTCTCTCGCTCATCTCCTCGCGCGCGAACTCTCTACCTTCTCACCCACCTGCCCCTCCGGCGGGACCTGGTACGCCTGCGCATCGGGCTCCAAATTTGTCGGCTGCTGCACGTCCGACCCGTGCACAAACGGCTGCTCCCAAGGCAACATCCAGCCCGTCGCCTTCAACGCCTCCGCTTACGGCACATACCCCGACGCGAGCTGCGGCGCCTCGTCCACCTTCTACAGCTGCTTGAGCCCCGACAATGCGACTACGTTCTGGGGATGCTGCAAGAGCATGCCGTGCGATCACACTGAGTGCCCGAGTGGGGATCTAGTGCCGGCGTTTATGGAGCGGCCCGAGCAGTTCAATGCGTATGCGACGAGTGCGCCGAGTTCGACGGGGTCGGCGCCCAGTGCAACGGCGACAGGGGGATTGGATGCCGGAGGGAACGAGGGAACGAGCCATACCACGGCGATTATTGGGGGTGCGGTGGGTGGAGGGCTGGGAGTGGCGATTATCATTGCGCTGTTGATTTTCTTCCTGTGTCGGAGGAAGAAGAAGAGCGAGGAGGGGAAGTCCAGCGGGCTTGATCAGCCGCCGAAGGTGGAGAAGAATGATTATAGGGCTTCGACGCTTACTGAGGGTAAGTTTATTCCGGGCAACAAGAAGAGCAGGACTTACGCAAATGCTACAGCACCTCCCAAGTACAGCTCGCCTAATCCGAACATGTATGCGCACTCGCCGTCACACCCGGCATACTCGCATCACTATCATCCAGTTGCGACGGAGCTGCAGCCGCAAGAACTTCCTGCGGAAATGTCACCTGGGTCTCCAAGTTTGCAACCACCTCCAAACACACAACGGTACTCGGAACTCCCCGCCGATGCCGCGGCGGCGCGCACGGCTGCAGAGCTGGAGAGCCCCGTGCCGTCACCAAAACCTGCTCAATCGAGCTTCGCGCTGAGGAGTCCGCCAAAGAGGAGTACGGGTTTAGGGTTCTAGTCGACTGGGATATAGGCAAAGAGAGCTGTCGGGAAGCTGCAATGAATTTTCATGTCCTTTCTTGTAGATAGTTGTAATGTCATGCTTGCGCGCTTTTTCCGATGTGCTTATTGTTTGACGGCCTTTCTGCCTACTCATTCGTCCAGTCAGCCTTCTTCTTCTCCGCAAAAGCCGTCATCCCAATCTTCTGGTCCTTGCTCCCAAACAATCCATGAAACACCCTCCTCTCATACTCCACGCCCTCCCGGATCCCCAAGTCCTGGCTCTTATTCACGGCCTCCTTGCATGCCTTGGCAGCAATTTGACTGTACCCCGCAATTTTCTCCGCCGTCGCAAGGGCACCGTTCACGCACTCTTCCGGCGAGTCAAACACCTTAGCAACGAGGCCCCATTCGCCAGCCTGCTTCGCTGTGATGTTGTCGCCAGTAAGAATGCACTCCATAGCCCGCGACTTCCCAATAGCCTTCGTAAGACGCTGTGATCCCCCAGCTCCTGGTATAACGCCCAGCTTGATCTCTGGCTGCCCGAACATTGCTTTCGGCCCGGCGTACATGATATCTCCCATCATCGCCAGCTCACATCCTCCACCCAGCGCATACCCGTTTACAGCGGTGATGAGCGGCTTCTTGAGGAACGTTACGAGGTCGGACCATGTTTCTATGAAGTCGTTGCCGTAGGCGGCGCTGAATGTGAGGTCCTTCATCTCTTTGATATCCGCGCCGGCGGCGAAGGCGCGCTCGGAGCCGGTTAGCACGATGGCACCAATGGACTTGTCGGATTGGAAGTCGCGGAGGGCGGAGTTGAGTTCGAGGATGAGGGGCGTGCTGAGGGCATTGAGGGCTTTGGGGCGGTTGAGCTGGACTGTGATAGTGTTAGCGGGGTTGTAATCGTCAATTGGTCTAGACAGATGTTGTCAAAGGGGTGGAGATATTCTGAGAGAGATGAAAGATGGGAAAGTCACTTACTGAAGCCAACGCCGGGCTTTGGCGAAGACACCAACAGATGCTCATATGTCTTGCCTGACGAGTACCCTCTCGCAAACCGCAAGCCCGCCGGCCGGATCTGCGAGGATATTCTCAGCGATGGTCTGAACGCCTGCATCTTGACTGCAATCAATTGAGCCTCCTGGATTGGGAGTCGTCCCTTCAACCTCAAGATATGTCGAAAGGGAAGTGCATGTGAAGCCTCATGAAGCTGAAGCTCAAGTGGTGCTCTGGATAGCATCGGCAGACCTCGGTAATGACGCCAACCTTCAGCCGATAATCCGCTAGAGCAGAACAGGAAAAGCGCATATTGCCCCTTCCCGGGATGGCACGAACCATGCTTGGAGGGCTGGACAATCTTCGGGGCAACCGCAGCCTCGCGACACGCAGACACTTTTTGACACGCCGCCTCAACACTTTCTCCTCCTCCGACCGTCAAACTATTCACTCTAGAATCCACAGAGGGACAAATAGGAGACCGCGGATAACCTCGGAACCCCCAGCGCGCAACGATGGACTCCCCGGAGCCGGATACCCCTTTCGCGGCTGTGACGGCGCAGACGACAAAGTATGGACGGGTGCGTGGAGACCTCTTCGGCGCGTTTGCACTCCTATGATGATAGATGGCGAATGCGACCGCATTCTAGGACAAAAGAGCAATCTAGCTGATGCGCAGCAGTTATTCCAAGCCTATCTCGACAAATCGACACCCTTCACGGTATACCGATGGGTAGGCACTGGCGTCCTCTTCCTCCTATTCGCCCTGCGGATATTCGTTGCGCAGGGCTGGTATATTGGTACGCTCCCCCTCCTTCTCTGTTCCCAAATCCCGCCATGAGCCATCTCTACCTCTACCGCAAGCCGGTAGCAAAGAGATTCTTAAACTGACACGTGTGATGTAGTCGCATACTCCCTCGGCATCTACCTCCTGAACCTCTTCCTCGCCTTCATATCGCCGAAATTCGACCCCTCGCTCGAGCAGGATGAAGGCATGGAGGACGGCACAGCCGGCGGGCTGCCCACAAAAGAGGAGGATGAGTTCCGGCCTTTCGTGCGCCGGCTGCCGGAATTCAAGTTCTGGTATTCGACCACCAAGGCGATCTCGATTGGCTTTGTGTGCAGCTGGTTTGAGGTGTTCAATCTGCCGGTGTTCTGGCCGGTGTTGGTGGTGTATTGGTTGATTCTGTTTGGGCTGACGAGTGAGTACTCCAGAAGTAGACAAGGAGGGATGGGAACAAGAAGGCTAACGCGAGACAGTGCGACGACAAATTCAGCACATGATCAAGTACCGCTACGTTCCCTTCACAGTCGGCAAGCAGCGGTACTCCGCGAAATAAGCCTCGTTCGAACTCCGATAGCTCATCTCCTATCACACCGACGAACGTACGACTTCGCACGATCCCAACTTGATTCGCACCATCTTGGCGCACGCACTTGTACTTCATAGATTTGTTGTTCTTCGTCACAGCGACATTATCATCGCCCTAGGGAGGCGCAGAAGAGCGGAAAGCGGCGAACTTGGATCTGGATGCATGGACGGGTGTATGACCCGAATTGTACACGTACCAAGAAGTGAAAACGCTTACATATTTTAACTCTGGGGAGGTTCTGGGGTAGTGTTCAATTCATTCATGTCAAGACTACTTCCGCCGGCTTCATGAACGTGCTATGCCGCCTATTGGTCGACGCTAATATCGACCCATGAAAAGTGTGATAATGGTATAGACAGTAAGCCGCCTCCAGAATCTAGTGATATGAAAAGGAATGCAGAAAGAAAGTATCGGCCGAAAAGGGCTTAGCCCGTGTGGAAAATCGGGGAAGGAAAAAGTATCATCCGCAACATGTCGTACCTCGAACCTCTTGAAAAATTGACCTCTCTAGATATTTAGCTCACCCATCGAGCTCTTCCTAAGATTGAGCTTCACATCCTCCGACTCAATACTCTTCTCCTTCATACAGATCCAGGTGGAAGCATACATATTCACCCTAACCACAGTCAGCATGCGCGCTCTTTAGTAGCACACTATTCCTCCAAGGCATAGTCAGAAAAGAGAGCAGAGTGCACACTTACCGATCAATACACGCCCCGGGCACCCTCACAGCAACCCTGCGACACGAAAACCCATTCTCTCCAAACACGGCCACATACCACGGCTCCAGGCCCGCACTCCTCAGCATAACGCGTCCCCTGACCTTCAACGCCCTATTCAGCGCGCGGATCTGCTTCAGGGCCTGGTTCCCACTCGGCGGAAACCAGTCCATGCTATCCATCACCACCACAATCGTCAGCGTACCAGGGCGCATGCGCGCGATGACTTCGGAAATTTCGTCCGTGTGGATGCGCAGGCCGTTGAAGGCGGAGGGCTTGCTGAGCTTGAGGTGCGACTTGGGGGAGAGGTAGGTTGGGTGCGAGCTGGGTGTGTAGTGGCCCAGGAGGGTGAGGAGATAGTAGTGATTTGACGTGGAGAGGAGGGTGGTGGTGACGACGGGCTCGAAGGTATTCAGCACATACTCGTAGACTGCGTTTCCGGAAGATGGAACCTGGGGCGCTGAGGGGTTGGCGAGATCGAAGTCTGCTTGTTTTTTGAAGTCAGACTCGATCATGTTGCGTTGGGCAGGGGGCACGCCGAGGGCTTTCCAGAGCCACTTCTCGTTACTGAGAACTGTCCATGTCAGGATCTTGCTGTGGAGTACTGTCTTGATACTGCGCTGCCAGATCTCGCGCTGCTCGTTGAGCGTCTGCGCGGCACACAGTTTTCTGACTTCTTCGGAGAGGCCGAGGACGCGGAACAGCCAGCCCACGAGCATGAGCGCGTTGCCTGAGCCGCCCGAGTAGTAGAGGCCTTTGCTCTTGGGGTCTTGGAAGACACAAGGGCCGTTGTGGAGCCAGTATTGGAAGGCGGCGCTGCTCATGTGCGGGCTAAGTTTCCCTATCAAGAGATCGCGGAATTCAGGGTGGCGGCCTTCGCCGAAGAGTTTCCAGATGTCGGAGTAGGGGAGGGTGGAGAAGGCGGCGACTTTGAGCTCGAAGAGGTGGTTTTGGCTGGGGTTGAGGTCGACGGCGTGGACGCGGCGCGGGGAATCGAGGCAGAAGGAGAGGATGTTGTCGCCCGCAGAGGTGATGGCGAGGACAACGTCGTCGGGGGTTACTTTGAGGAGGCGGGCGTCGGCGCGGTCGTCTTCCCAGGTGAAAGCGTAGATGTAGGAGTCATTGAAGCGGGTATGCTTGGGCAGGGTATCGTCGTAGTGGATGCGCCAGTGGTGATTCTGGTACCTAGGTCTTGTCAGCATGCTATATACGCGATCAGGGAGAGGAAACATGTACCATGTTGCGGGAAGAGGGAGACTGGACTGCAAGTTCACAATCGCAGACTCGTAGGCCTTTGACCTAACTTCAATATCCGTAGGCGTCGGTCCTGTCTGCAGATCTAAGGCAGAAAGATACGGTGATTCGGTGGCAGCGGCATCAATCTCGGCAAGCTTCGCCGTCGAGGCACCATTGTCTTTAGAGCAGCCTATCCAAACATAGTAAGGAAGTCTAATGCCAAAGAAATGGTTACGGGCGTTGACGCTGAGAACGGTACCGAACCGATATTCGAGATAATCCTGAGCTATCAGCCAGATGCCATGATAGTAGCAGACTATGGGCTTACTCGTCTTGCTGCTTCAAGATTGACGCGGTCGATCTCGAACCAAGTCCGCCAGAACACCCTGGAGATCCACATACAGTGCCTCCCAACCACACCGCCGGTATAGTTCCGGCGTCCGAATTCTACTTTGCTCTGCACGTAGAAGTCAACCACCCCAACAACGCCATTTGGGCTCAGCAGAGAGGACATGGAGTCAATAACCGGGTAGAATTCGGGAATCATAGAAAGCGCATAGCTCATAGTCACCAGTTCAGCGCCACCCGCGTCGGCATTCTCATCAAGGTCAAGCACGGCTTGCTCTTGTAAGATGAGTTCTTTGCGCTGCAGGGCTTGTGGCTCATGTTCGTGAAGGCGGAAGGCACGTGCATCCTGGCAGATGACCTTGACATTCGTCCAGCCCAGGCGGGCGAAGCGCTTGCGGGCCATGTCGCAAAGACTTGGTGAGAGGTCTACGACATCTGGAGGGGGGTTAGACCAGGCTATGTCAAGAGGAACCGAGGACCCACAAACTGCGCGGAAGAAGTCTGGGACCGAGACGAAGGCGCCCATTTGTTCAACGCTGAAATCTTTCAGTATGCATATGGTTCCATGTTGGTAGCAAAGTATTTACTTGTTGCCAGTTCCACCACCGATCTGTTAGGGTCAGTTCTAAGCCTTTAAGTAGGAGCGCTCGTATGCTCACATCAACCCAGACAGGTCGCTGAGAGATCATTCCGGCGTCACAGCGATGCTTCAACTGTGCTGCGACGAGCCCCAGCATATCCTCTCGTCCTTTGAGGAGTCTCGTGCGTGTGGCGTCGTACACGTCCGCTTGAGCCTTGTAAAAGCTTTCCTGCACCCGGTAAGCTTCGCTTCTCTGTTTCGATGTATAGCCCATGCGTACTAGAGCATCTTGCTGGTCCCCACTTCCGTCACCAGTATGCGGCTTAACAAAGCACGCGTAGAAGAATTTCAAGTACGCTTGAAAAGTGTTTGCGGGCTCTTTACCTTTCGGCTTGAAAGCGATGGCGAAGACAGCCAGTAGGAAGATGCTCACCACGCAGAGCGCGAGCACTACCAGGTTCAAGGGATCACGGGGGAGAAATGTTGAAAGTCCCATCATAGTTGCGACTGAAAGGGTAGAGAGAACGATAAGGAAAAGAATAGAGAGGGGAAGACGCGCAAAACAAGTCAAAGGACACGACTGAAGGCTTAAATGCAGACCAGTTCCGATGAGCGTTCCGACTTCGGTTCGTCATGATGGCGGTCCACATGATGCTAAACAATCCACATACAAGGGAAGCCTTCTTCGCCTCGTCCGTACGGTCTATCAGCCAATGGAATTCGACACATGCTGACCTGGCCTGAAAACAGCATTCCGGACCCTGTCTAGAGGCAAACTGGACAGTTTCTCGACCGCTATCAGCGGCTATGCAAGACAGATGGGATCGAAAGCTTCTCCAGGTTCCATTGTATCCAGATGATCAAAGCGAGAGCATGAGCCTATCAAGTGGTGATGCCCTTCCTCGTGCGGAGGAAGTATGGTGTTGAGGTTGTAAGTTTGCCTTGTGGAGCACTTGGGTGTTCGGCCTGTAGCCAATCAGCTGCATCGACGCGACGGCGTGCCAAAACAACTCAACAACAGACGCAGGGACTTCATCAGACAAGGCACGGCTGTGACTTGCATATGGTCCAAATAGAATTTCTCGAAAACCTTGTCGCGTAATTCGGGGCGGTTGCACATCTGTTCGAGCCTCCGTTAGATTCGGGCAATGTCGGCAGTCGCCATGTCGATGAGTGATAGAATCCTGTCAATGTGAGAGTGATCTGCTAGTTACCCCACGATATTGCTCGGAAAATCATGGAATGATGCTGCCTTGGTTTCTCGTCGTTAAGCGCTATTTATTCCTACAAGCGCGGCGTGACAGCGCGCACATGCAACTACCCTGGTACAGCCGCCGCCCCACTACGCGTAGAAGTTCACAGTATCCTTCTTCTTGGCCTATCACATTGTCAGCAATGTCAGCAAGAAGGAGTTGTCTCTGAGCTGAGCTTACCTGAACTTCCGCTATGGCGTCGACGTAGTGCTCGTGACTGATCTTGTGCTGTCCTGAACGGAGAGCAATCATACCTGCCTCGACACACACAGCCTTGAGCTGCGCCCCACCAAACTCGTCAGTGCTACGCGCCAGCTCTTGCCAGTTGACACCGTCATCTACGGTCATCTTCCTGGAGTGGATGCGAAGGATCTGTGCCCTAGCCTCTTCGTTCGGGAGCGGAAACTCGATCTTCCTATCCAGTCGACCTGATCGCAGCAGAGCGGGATCCAAGACATCGACTCGATTTGTGGCGGCAAGCACCTTCACGCGGTCGTCGGATGCGAAACCATCAAGCTGATTGAGGAGCTCCAGCATGGTTCGCTGCACTTCTCGATCTCCCGACTTCTCCGAGTCGAATCGCTTGGTTCCAACGGCATCTAGTTCGTCGATGAAGATGATTGACGGCGCCTTCTCCTTAGCGAGGGCAAAGCAGTCTCGCACGAGCTTCGCACCGTCTCCTATGAACATCTGAACGAGCTGCGGTCCGGCGAGTTTGAGAAAGGTGGCGTCTGTCTGGGCGGCGCACGCTCGTGCAAGGAGCGTCTTACCAGTACCGGGGGGACCGTACATGAGGGCGCCTACGCAATAATCAGCCAAGAATTCCATAAGCATTTTGTAGATATCCATACCCTTGGGCGCTTTGATGCCAATCTTCTTGAACCGCTCGGCCTCCTTCATGGGCCACACGACGGCCTCGACGAGCTCCTCAATCTGCTTGTCTAAACCACCAACATCTGTGTACTTCTCTGTCGGCTTCTCGTCGACTTCCATAGCCTTGACCCTGCTGTCGTACTCCGCGGGTAACGTATCAAGCACGAGATAGGAGTCCTTGTTCACACCGATGAGGTCGCCAGGCTTGAGCTTTTCGTGGTCTACGAGGCCGATGAGAGGGAGGAAGATAGTCTGCCGTGTGGACGTCTTGATGACTGCTGACTTGCCGACCCTGGTGGCGTCCAGGTCGATGTTTGCGCCTTCTTCTGCTGCCTCAGCGGTGACATCAAGGTCTAGTATTTCCACAACGTTGCCAACGAGATATGGGAGTTGTCTGTGCACAGTCAATCCATGTCCGAATCTGGAGGCATTGCAATGTGAAGGTGGCGGCCTACCTGTTGTTCTCAATCTTATCGAGGTTGTCCTTGATCTTCTCGTTCATCGACGCTTTCTCGTGCGTCAACCTCTGGAACTCGCTCTTCATGATCCTCATATCGTTCTCCAGTAACCGCTTCCGGGCGACGATGTCTCGTGTGCTAAGGTTAAGAATCTCCTCGTCCAGCACCTCCTCCTCCTCCTCCGGCTCCGCATCCTTCATTTCTGCGTCGCCGTCGGACTTTTTGCCATCTTTGCCATCCTCTCCATCCTTCTTCTTGTCGTCCTTCTTGTCCTCCTTCTGCTCGCGCTCAAGGTCGTCGAGGTCCTCAAGTGTTGACATGGCGGCGGCGGGTTGTGGCGGACGTTGAGAGGTGCGGAAGCAGAGTTAAGGCAGGAAATTCAGGGAGCGAAAGATCTACGGTTAAAGGTATAGAGAGGACGTCTCCCGCAGTGAGGTGATGTAAGGCTGGTGTTGATGGTAAAGCTACATGGAGGCAGCTTTCGATTACGAACGTGAAGCTTCCGGCGATTACTTAGCGGCCGGCCTTGGCGCGTTGGACGGTGCGTCCGCTCCGTCTAGCCAATCAGACGCATTCACCGCCGAAACTGTCATCAGAAGCAATGCAGGACATTTCTTAAATCTTTGACTCTGTGCCATTCAATAATAGCACTAACCCGAGTGCCAAGTGCTTTCTCGCGCTATATGGCCATCCCCAAGGCGTTTGGAACGGTGATTAAGTATGGAGATCCTCGTGGATCTGAAGCTGGACACGGCCGCTAGCAATGTTCAAAGACAGCCGGTGCTTCAATATCTCCGTCTCTCCGTGCATAGTTTGAGCTCCAATAACGCAGCTGCACTTGTAAAAGCTGTGGCCCAATGTGTGACGTGGTGTCCCTTAAATTCGAGGGAAGCCCCGGCATTTCGCCATGTCAGATATGAAGGGCCGGTCTGGTCGTGCAGCATGTGATGAAGTCGCGCATATCTCTGACTTCGCGAGCAGACACAACGTCTAAAATAGCGTCTTTACTACAGCGCTGTGCTAGGCGGCTTTAGTGTTTTTGCATTACGTATATATTTATTTTTATTTAAGAATTTTGTTATACCTTTCAGAAACTTGAGGCACCATGGCCTAATGGTAAGGCGTTGCTTTCCGGTGGCAAAGATTGAGGGTTCGAGTCCCTCTGGTGTCGCTCGCTTTTTTGTTGTGCTCCTACCGCAGCCATTGTCTTTTTGCCCAGACAAGTTTTCAGCGCCATAGGTTTTGCTTCTTTGTGCTGTGCTGGTTCCGAGGAGCGCCGACAACCGAGCTTCAACACCAAGCCGCGACATCGTATCATCCACGAACGGTGCCCCGCTGTGCCCCGCCTTATAATTTCTCGTTCTTGCCTTTTTACCGAGTCGCTCATTTAAGAATAACAGGGTACACATTTGCTTCACGTATCTATTCAAGCGCGTCTAGGTCTTCCAATTTGCGCCCGTTATGTTCTCGGGTAAACGTCTCGCATGCACACAGCAGGCGCGGTATGTCCCGCTTCCGTAACACAAGCTTCCCTTGATGTTGATAACCGCAGTTTGTACGGCGCACATAGCTTGCTGAGAAGAGCTGGACTTTCTTCCCTCCCAAGACATGCTCGCCTCCAGTCTTCAGTCACCGAGGCCCAAGTCGAGAGCGTAGGCTTGGAGCCAGATCCACCGGGCAGCAAAACTCGCAGTTTCTTCTCCACATTGAAGGAAACGCTTGGAGAGGAGGAAGTGGCCAAGCTGCAGAAGCAGTCAAATGAACTCCAAGCCCTGAAGAATGAGCTGCGGGAGATCTATGCTCGTCAGCGCTCATTGAGAGTATTATTGAAAGGACCATATGTAAGTTCATCAGAGCGAGATGGCAGCTTAGTTAGAGATGCTGTGCACTGCAGCTAACTTCAAGCAGCGAATTGGGACGCGACATGTTCACCAGCCTAATAAGGAGCAAGTCACGATCGAGGACAATATTGTCAAAGTCGGTCAGCAGCAAGTGTTCGTAGTAGATTACATCTTATCTTTTGAATAACATACTTACGGCGCAATAGGCCAAACATATGGCTCAGGTGAGCACACTGCATTTGACCGTATTCATGATTCCTACCTTACTCTTACTAGGGACAATTGCCAGTGCAAGAGCTGCGTCCACGAAGCAACGAAACAGCGACTCCTCGATACATTTGCCGTAGGCTGCAAAGCTGTCTTTTACGAATCACTAATCTGACCAAACGTAGATTCCTCAGGATATCTCTATCAAGTCGAGCTCGGAAGACTCCAGTTCAATCCACGTTGAGTGTCAGGCGTCCTCCTTCAGTAGCACGTGGCTTTTCTTGACGCGAGACAGGGAATGATGGCCACACCAGCCACTACACCAAGGAATTCATCCAAAGCGCAGCAGCCCCTTTTGACAAGAGAGCTATAGTTCGACAAGGTCTCACCAAGTATCCCACCCATCGTCCCCGCCTCAAGCCTCTCCTAACAACATCCCAGCATCAAGCTGTGGGATTCCACAGTCTCCAAGGAAGATACTTCGATCCGCTACGAAGCACCCGGAGCGAAGAACGAAGACTATCTAATCCGCGGCGTCCTAAACAGAATCGTAGGCCTCCCTTCCAACCATGTCCCTATCTCCCCATCTAACTCCCACACTAGCGTAAATACGGCTTTTGTGCCATCCGCGATACTCCAATCAGCCCCGAAGCCACCCTAGACCTCCTCCGCCGCATCTCCTTCATCCGCGAAACGCACTACGGCGGCTTCTACGACTTCACCGCCGACCTCGCCTCCAAGGACACAGCCTACACCAACATCGCCCTCGAAGCCCACACCGACACAACCTACTTCTCCGACCCGGCCGGTCTGCAAGCCTTCCACCTGCTCGAGCACAGCGACGGCACCGGCGGCGAGTCGCTGCTCGTCGACGGGTACAAGTGCGCAGACGACCTACTACAGCAAGATCGCGAGGCGTACGAACTCCTTTCTACAGTGAATGTGCATGCGCATGCGTCGGGCAATGAAGGCATTAGTATCCAGCCCTATAAGGGGTTCCCGGTTTTTGAGCATGATGCTGGGACGGGGGAATTGCTGCGGGTAAGGTGGAATTCGAGTGACCGCGCGGGGGTGGAAATGCCGATCGGGGAGGTGGGGAAGTGGTACGACGCCGCGAGGAAGTTTGATGCGCTGCTCAAGAAGAAAGAGAATGAGTACTGGGAGCAGTTGCAGCCGGGAACAGTGCTGATCTTTGATAATTGGAGGGTGTTGCATGGACGGGCGGCTTTTACTGGGAAGCGGAGGATTTGTGGGGCTTATAGTAAGTTGGCGCCGGATCGTGGTCGTGATGAGATTCAAAGCTAATTATCTGTGTAGTCAACCGCGATGACTGGATCTCCAAGTACAAGATGATGGCCTTCGGGCAAGAGGAGGTGCTCGGGAAGCTGGCATCAGGTTAGCTAGCCAGAAATAAGTAGCATCAAATCAGAATGATCAAAGAAACGCATGTTGATACATCCCGTCTTGGCTCTTTAACTTATATACAGCCGCCAATCGCCTAATGGAATTTGCTGAATTGTTCTTGTGCGCTGACCCCTCATCGGCCCTGCCTCTCCTGCTCCAGCTCCAATTCCGCCTGTCGGTAGTATTTCGCTGTGTCCACACCATGATACGGGTGGTTGACAAAGTTCGGCCACGGGATAACATGCGAGAAGACACCCGCATATCGCGAGTTCCTGTGTGCCACTCCCTGCATGTACTCCGTGAGCTCCGACTTGCCGTAGAGCGGCTCGCCCCTCTTGACCTTGTCCACCATCTCTCGCATGTCCATGTCAACTTCGCGGCGGTTCTCGCGGGCGCCGTAGAAGCGTGCTATTGAACAATTGCATTAGCATTGAGATCTGAGGTGCGGAATACCGGGGGTATCAGGTACGTACCGGACGACCTCGAGTATGCGAATATGAAAGCACCGGTAACGCCGACGGCAGCGCTCAGGCGCATTATGGGCGCAAAGCCTCCCTTGCCGACGAAGGAGGGGGAGACTTTCTCCCAGTACAGCATCAGCGCAGGGCTGACGGCTCCGACTCCGGCGCCATAGAGCCAGTCGGAGGGCCGACTGTATCTTATAACACGGTTGAAGTGTCTTTTCGAAGTATTAGCAGCTGCAATCAGTTGGCGGTGAGCGGTAGGGCATACGGGTCATTGTCGATGAGCTGTGACATGTTAGCCGTTTCCCATCCATTGCAGCATTTCTGAGGGGCCAATTGCGTACAGGATACTCTCCAGTGGGTATCTTGTCCGGCACCACCGGCTGCGAGTACGTCTCTTGGCTCTGGGACGACATGGTGGTGTGGTGAGGGGATGTCTGCTGCTGAGAAGCAGTGATGGAGCAGGTGAGGTTCGGGCGCGGCTACTTCCGCACCGTCCAAGCTCCGCGCAGCCTTCGACAACTTTTCTCTTGGCGCGTCTTGCTGCAGGTTGACATGCGACAACAATGAGTGCGCCCGCTACTCATTGCGCCGTACAACTCTCGCCACCGCGAATATAGCAAGAGGACGCGCCAGAATGTCGGACATCAAGCCAGACGAGTCTTCAGGCACCGTAGATGGCGCTGCAGCGGCGAACGCGAACGATTCCTCGAGCCTAAACGCCCGTCCGACCGTTGCAGATTTGCATGGAGACAACCATTTCGCGCAGGTGGCGAGGAAGAGTTGGCTGAGCGCGACGAAGGCGCCCAAAGTGCGACCAGAAGTGGTCAAGAAAGAGCTATGGGATGAGCTGGAGAAGCTCGGCTTTGCGTACTCGTCGCTGTTGGTATTGGAGAACCTGCAGCTGCTGGAGAGGTATCTGTGGCCTGGGTTTACGGAGGAGGCGTCGAACTACCATCATCTGCTGCTGGCGCTTATGGTCAACGTGAAGAGGAGGGAGAATTTACCGTCATGGGGTGAGAGTACCACCATGAGATGCATGGAAGACTTGCTAACGGAAACCGTGTAGAACACTTCACCAACAAGCCCGCCGAATTCTCCTCCTTCTTCCGACGCATACTGTCCATGAGCGTAGACCCCTCGCAGCCGATACAGATCCGGACACAGCTCATATCGTTCGTCATCGGCGCATTTCAATCCCTGGACAGCGGTCTGGTGCGGAAGGAGTGCGCGCCTTTGGTCAGCATATCGATATGGCAGAATTTGCATTCCGAAGAAGCCCGGGAACTTCAATTCGAGCAACATCAGATGCTACGGAGAGCGTGGCGGGCAGCGCACAAGCGATTCGATGCCGGGGACGAGGCGTTACAAGCTAGGCTACGGTTTGAGCGGTCATGGCTGTACACGCTGCTGCTGGACTTCCTGGACCATCTGTACAACAGCAGGACGAGGGAAGAGATGCGAGACAATCTGGCCTACTGCGAGCGCTTCATGGAGCTCCTGACGGACCTGCAAAGCCAGCTTCCGACGCGGAGATATTTCAACACATTACTGCAGGACCTGAACATCCTACCTGCAATCAGATTGTCGCCGACGTACACAGACGAAGACAACGGGTTGTTCCGAGATCTTTTCAACCTCCTAAGCCACTTCACGTACTTTCCAATCGAGGACCAGACAGGCAGACAATTATCGAAACTGGACTATGACCAAGAGCATTACGCCATTCTAGCGAAGCTACAGCGCGTGGGCTATGCGGCGTTTCAAGAGAAGCTTCAACTTTTGGCTCTAGCGAACTACGGCAGCGTCGGAAATAGGGACGAGCTGGAAGGTCACATCAAAGCGTTAGACGACGATGAACTCACACAGCTATGCTCACTCATGGGATTGAGGACGAAATATCCAAACTCAACATTTCTAGTACGAGACCGGGCCTTCTTCACCGAGGTTTTGATGTCGTTGGTCGAATATAGGTCTACCTTCAAAGACGTCGTACGCGAGATGCCAGTCCTCCCAACAGAGAAGATTCTGTACGAAACGACCTTCCTACGAAACGAGGAGTACAATGGATCTAGGCCACTGGCAATACCGAAGCTGAACCTCCAGTACCTCACCATGGGCGACTTCCTCTGGAGGTCGTTCATCTTGTACAGGGCCGAGTCGTTCTACGGTATTCGAAAGGATATGGAGGACGTCGTAAAGCGCGTGCAGCCTCGTGGCAAAGGTGTGACTACGAGGTTCGGCGGCTTCTCACGGATGTCAATACCCATATCGAAGCCTGGCATCGTGGACGTGGCGCCATCACGAGTAGGCGAGGAGCATCCAGCCTATGTCCGCGCCGAGATAATTCTGGATGTGAGTCGCCTGCAGTATCCAGTGCGGAGGGAGTGGGAGTCGCTCAAACCAGACGACGTGGTGTTCCTACTCGCCGTCGAAGGCCCAGACGACGAGCCTATGCGGAATGGAGTCGATCAGCAGAGCACTGGAGAACAGCTCGGCATCCACAGGCTCAGGTGCGCCGAGGTGGTGCAGATACAGGACGAGAACGGTCGACCTCTCCGCGAGCAACCGCCCATGGACGGAATGGGACCACGAGCGCGCACCAGACGGCTCATCGTCAACATCGATGCGAAGCAGTATCAGCAGGACATGGACCGTGTCGCGCAAGGCCGGCAGAATGTCTACGAGCAGATCAACCTCGTGGTGCGTCGGAGAGGGCGAGAGAACAACTTCCGCCCCATCCTCGACTCCATCAGGCGCCTGACACTCTCGGACATTCCAGCACCCTCCTGGCTCCAAGAGGTCTTCCTAGGATATGGTGATCCTGCGTCTGCATCCTACAGACGTCTCCCCAACCGCCTGCATTCGATAGACTTCCGTGATACCTTTTTGGACTGGCAGCACCTTATCGAATCCTGGCCCGGCAAATCTATCGAGCCACATGAGAGCGCACAGTCTTCCTTTGGGCCTCCATACGTCGTTGAGTTCCCCGCAGCAGCTGAACCAGAGCCGGCATCTGTACGACCATCGAAGAAGCGGCGTCGCGACCAGGCAGAGGTTACACAACCTGTGCATGAGTCTCTGCACGTTGCGACGTACAAACCGCCCAACATGGGGCCCTACCCTGCAGACGCACCCAAGCTCAACAGCGTCAGGTTTACCCCTGCTCAGATTGAGGCGATAACTTCGGGCACCCAGCCTGGCCTAACTGTTGTGGTCGGCCCGCCGGGTACCGGAAAGACGGACGTAGCGACCCAAATTATATCCAATATATACCACAACTTCCCGGACCAACGGACGTTGCTCGTCGCGCACAGCAACCAGGCGCTCAACCAGCTCTTCCAGAAGATTGTGGCGCTCGACATCGACGAGCGCCACCTCCTGCGTCTGGGTCACGGCGAGGAGGAGCTCGAGACAGAGGCCAGCTACAGCAAGCATGGCCGTGTAGAGTCGTTTCTCGAGAGAGGCTCCTACTATCTGTCTGAAGTAGATCGCCTGGCGAAGAACTTTGGCGCGCCCGGTGCTCATGGGAGCTCGTGCGAGACAGCAGATTATTTCAATCTTGTCTATGTGAAGCCAGCTTGGACGCAGTACTGGGATCGTGTCTCGTCCCCGGATATCAGCGTCGACCAAATAATCGCTGAGTTCCCGTTCAAGCAGTACTTTGCGAATGCACCGCAGCCTCTGTTCCCGCCTGCTGCAGACCGCGAGCAGATTGTCGATGTTGTGCAAGGCTGCTATCGCCATGTCGAGAAGATCTTTACTGAACTCGAGGACATTCGTCCGTTCGAGATTCTGCGCAATCCGCGCGATAAGGCGAACTACCTCTTGGTGAAAGAGGCGCGCATCATCGCAATGACATCGACACATGCTGCGATGCGAAGGCAGGAGATTGCGTCGCTGGGCTTTCACTACGACAACGTGATCATGGAAGAAGCAGCCCAGATCACCGAGATCGAGAACTTCATCCCACTAGCTCTGCAGAACCCTCAGAACGGGGAGCTCCCTCTCCAGCGCATCGTCCTGTGCGGAGACCATCTCCAGAACTCACCCATCATCCAGAACCTCGCTTTCAGACAATATGCCAACCTGGAGCAATCGCTCTTCCTACGGCTCGTCCGCCTCGGCGTCCCCACTATAATGCTCGACCAGCAAGGCCGCGCCCGTCCCTCAATAGCTTCCCTCTATAAATGGCGTTACCCGAACCTCGGCAATCTGCCCTCCGTACTCTCCTCCCCGGAATTCCAAACCGCAAACCCTGGCTTCAGATATGACTATCAGTTCATCGACGTGCCGGACTACAAAGGCAAGGGTGAGAGTGAACCCACGCCACACTTCATCCAGAATCTAGGGGAGGCAGAGTACGCGGTTGCGTTGTATATGTATATGCGGCTGCTCGGCTATCCAGCGAGCAAGATTAGTATACTGACAACGTATGCGGGGCAGAGGGCGCTGATTAGGGATGTGCTGAGCCATAGATGTAAAGGGAACAGGCTGTTTGGGTTGCCGCGGATTGTGGCGACGGTGGACAAGTATCAAGGGGAGCAGAATGATTGTAAGTGGAACCCACATCCTCGCGCAAGTGACAAATTACGAAGACACGAAACTAACTGATGCAGATATCATTCTCTCCCTCGTCCGCACGCGCTCAATCGGCTACCTCCGCGACATCCGTCGCCTCACCGTCGCACTCTCGCGCGCCCGTCTGGGTCTCTACATCCTCGGTCGCGCTTCTGTCTTCGAATCCTGCTTCGAACTCAAGCCCGCCTTTGACATCCTTCTAGCCCGCCCCACGAAACTCATGCTCGTCACCGACGAAATGTACGGTCAATCGGCTCGAACTGTGGAGAGCAAAGTGGAAGAAGGACAAGAGGCGGCTATGGACGGTGTAGAGCATCTGGGGCAGTACGTATATGAGATGACGAAGGCGAAGGTGGAAGCGCTCAAGGCCGGGGGCGGTGTGCTTCCGCAGACACAAGACGTGCGGATGGGCGATGCGCAAGAAGTCCAGGCGGACGAAGACGAAGAAGCGGATCGAGAGGATAACGTGATTATCAAGGATGACGAGGCGGATGATGATGATTATGGACCTGAGCAACCCGTCGAAGTTACCGGTTAGATAATGGGCATGGTGATTCGGCCTGCATTTGGGACATTCCAGAGTCGAAGAAGGGGAAACAGCGGTGCGGTGCATAGTTTATATAGGCTTCATTCATGTAGAGATACCAAAATCAACGGATACCGTGCATTCATGCTTGGTTTGCCAGCTATCTTCATATATGAAGACCTACCCATCTGGAATGAACTTGGCAAGCTAGATGCTAATGTTCTTCGTATAATAGTAGTACACAATCTTTCCAGATCCGGGGATATCATTATTCCTTCCCAGCCAAGAACGCCAGCCATGCATTTTCAAGACCCGTCAAGGGCCTTGGGTGCCGTTGCCGCCTGCTCCGTATCATTCCCAACCACGGCAAATACTTACGTTGCTGGACCCCTGTACCCCACCACTACCGCTGAGCCTTCTTCTTCAAATAACTTTGGATCTGTTCAATTTGATCAATAAAGAACATCCTTTTTGCATCATTCCTCCAAACCAGGACGCCCAACGCCTCCGCATACCCTAATAAATCCCTATACTCGGCCTCGCTGCTAAACTCCCTCATCAGATACCCATTGGTGGTCTCCACTCTCTCGCCCTCGTACTCCCACAGCCGGATCTGGTCCATTACCGTGGGAGGCAGGAAAGGCGTATTTTTCTGCATTTGAGGATGCGCGTGAGACGTTAGGTAGGAGATTATTTGGGCAGAGGAGATGCCCGTGCGGACTGCGCGCGTTATGGACTCTTTGGTGAGTTTGCCGGACACGAGGTTGGGGAAGCGGGTTGTGAGGCGGGTGAAGAGGGAGAGGACTGCTATCTGCAGCAAGGAGTTGGTGTAGGCATAGAGACGGTAGTTTGTTTCGATGATGATGAAGCCTTGGTTTGTGGGGGCTTGGCCGACACCGGGGCGACATAGGGCGGAGAGGTTGTCTGAGCTAGTGGTGAGCGCGCCGGAGTCCGAGGTCAGTGTTACGGCGAGCCGGGTGGGGTAGAAGGTGGAGGAGGATTTTGAGCTGCGGTATACGACGCCGAAGGCAGTGAGGTCTTCTAACATTTGGAGTTGTGTGGGGGAGAGGGTGGCTGTGGAGTAGTCCTGGCCGAGTTCGAGGGAGCCGAGCATGAAGAGGAAGGAGAGGACGTCGGTTTCGGACATGCCGAGCTGCAGCTGCTAGATCAGCATTCTCCGTTCCATCGACGGAGAGTTGACGGATGTGTAGACATACCTCGCTCACATGCTTCAAATACTCAATCAGCAAGCTCCACACCTGCGCATTCGTATCCTGTAGCACAAACGTGAACCCCGTCCTCGTGATGCCTAACCGTCCATGCTGCATCCTCACAAAATCACCCGCCTGCAGCAACCTCTTCGTCCCCTCGCCCACATCCTGGCCGACCGCACTCCCCAACCCCACCGTCGTCCCCACCATATAAAATAATATATTCTCCCATTGTCTCTTCGCATACTCATCCAAAAAAGCTATGTTGACTTTATGCGGATCGGGTTTGGAGGCGGGCACGCCGAACGAGCGATGCGTGCCGCTGCCTTCGAGCGCTTGGCGTAGGGATAAAGCGAAGCCTTTGTAGAGTTCGTAGGAGGTCTGGCGCGCGGCGTCTTGCTTGAGGACGATGATGTGCAGTTGTTCGAGGACGTAGAGGGCTTGTTGCTTTTCCTTTTTGGCCGAGGGGCGGAACCAGGTGTCTAGGTCGGCGGAGGCGAAGGCCGTGGGCATGTAGAGTATGGCCATTACTATGGACTTTGCTGTTGCGGGCTGGCGTTAGCTTTGGCGCGTTCCTAGGGGAGGAAGAGCTTGAAGAGTATACCTAGATGTGGAAGCATGCATCGGAATATGGCCAGCACCGTTGAGGGCTGCTCATACAGCTTCCTGTGTGTCTGGACGGGCAGCAGCACGAGGTATTCCAGCGCTTGGGAGGATGAGGCCGACATCTTGGGCGATGTGGGCTGTTGAGTCGTGGACTACCGGAGTATCATGGTATTCGAGCGGGTTTGGAGACGCGACACGCTTGTTGCGCCTTCATGGGTTGCAGGTGAAAGTGGGATCAATGAAGGCAGCAAGTTGAAGTCATTATAGATGTGCCAAGAACGGAGCTTATGTTCCCCAATTCCGCTCCGCCCCTTGCTAGTTCGGAACGTCTATCATGAATTGCCGAGCGGAACGATACCACATCATTCTTCCACGACCAAGAGCTGAAGCCGAGAACGATGCCTGCGCTAAAGTTCGTGCGATCCGTAAGCATTATGGCCTATGGAAAAAAAGAGGACAAGCGCCGTCTAATCAATTGAGCAGGTCTGGGAGTCTTTCCGAGCATCCTCTGGCTTAGAGCCGAGGTATGCATCCTGTCCTACCGGTAGTCAATAGAATAATTAACGTTCATCTGAGAACAGGCTATTAGATGCTGTATGTCTTCCTCGGATAGCAGAAAGTTTAATCGATTGTGATGGGTTTTGACGATGGCTTCCAAGCTCCGCGTAACTCACGCTGCCCCCGGCCGCGTCAAGTTCGAACTCGATATCAAAAAAGAGCACACAGTCCGTCTTCCGATTTCTGCCTGATACCTCTGTCCTCCTTCCCTCACTAACATCCCTACTCAGAACCGCCTCAACATTCTCCATGGCGGAACAATTGCCAGCATGGGTACTTCAGCTTCTGCATTCAATCCCTTCTAGGATCCCTTAAGAAGAGGATTCTGACATGTATCAGTCGACCTTGGCGGCTCCCTAGCCGTAGCATCTCGTGGCCTCTTTGCAACTGGCGTATCCACTGACCTCTCCGTAACCTACCTCTCCTCAGGTGGCAAAATCGGCGACCTCATCAAAGCCGAGGTAACGTGCGACAAATGTAAGCCACTTTCAGTCCCTCAGCATATTTCCTTTTCCCGTCTACGTTTCCTCACCGGTCGTTATATCTATGAGCGTTTATTGACATCCTCTCAGTCGGCAAAACCATGGCCTTCACTTCAATCCGATTTATGACGAGCAAGGACGAAATGTTTGCACGGGGAAGCCATACCAAGTACATCGCGCAAGCATGGAAAGATCCTCACAATATCGTTGATGAGCTCACACCGAAGAGCGAGAAGAAAGAGTAAGCTTTTGGCGGCGCCGAATTGCGGGTTTGGTACAGATACACAAAGGAAGGGCACAGGACGACCATCATCGAAATATCCTTATTAATCTATTACTATCCTGCAGACAGACTGTTCAGACACAGTCTCTCCGTCCATCCGCACGCACGCACGCAATGGTAACCTAGCAATCCACCAAGTTCTGACGGTAAGAGCTAACTTGGCGGACGGGTCGAAACCCGATGCGTATCGCTCGACGAGACAGCCAGGGCGGCAGGACCCAGGGCAGTCCGTAGATGCGGAGGAAAATTACGACGCCCTCCCTAGGTAAGAGATCCCCATATCGTACAAAGCAAATGTTATGCCATCATCTCGTACCGTAGCTCATTCTTGTCGTCATCTCGTGCGTATCGTCGCAAAATGTGTCATCAATCCTTTCGTCCGGCGGTCCTTTTCCGTGAAACCTTTTCAATCGTCTCTTCATGGCATCAATTGCCTGGCCAGGAGCTCGAAGAAGAAGAAGACCAGTGGCTCTCCACCTGCGGCAGGTCAAAGTCCACCGTACCACCAACGGTCTTCACGTCCTGCTCCTTATTCCAACCCTTTCCCTTCAGCAAGTTGACAAAGCTGCTCTTCCTAGGTGTCAGCTTCCTCACAGCTCGACCGATCGGTCCTTGTTTTGGGGTCGCGTCATCCCGTCTGCGCATCAAGAGCGGGGGTACTTTGCACGTCGCGCCGAGCATCTTGTGGTCCTGGCGGTACCTGTACTCGAACTCCTGTTACTCTCGTGTTAGCCATGCCATCATGTCTTTCCTAGTGGTCTGTGTTGACCTACCCAAAGACTGTCTGCTGCTTGGTTGGAGACGCATACATCGCGAAGCTGCAAAAAGATGTAGCAGGCTGCTTCCTTCTCGTCACTCAACTTGAACTGTCCAGCAAATCCTGCCGCTTTGTAATCCTTGTCGAGCTCGGCTTTCATGGCTTCGGTACGCCATTGATCGAATCGGGACTGGAACCGGCCAGCCCAATAAAGCGGTGGCATATAATCTTTGACCTGCTCAAAAGGTACGGTGTCAGTACATTCCTCAGAGTGGAGGTCACTGATTGACCAAGAACGTGGTGTGACGGTTGCAAGGAGTTCAGATTGCAAGAAAGGATTTGGAGAAGAATTAGTCGTGGACCTTGGGGCTTTCGATCCTGTTTCCTCGTCGGAGGATTCTTCAACGGTCGGCAATGCGGCTTCCAGATTGGCAGAATGTCCCAAAGAGGATTGTTTGTCAGCTTTGGTACCAAAATTATACAAAGCGAAGGTGGAAGAAGCGCTAGTTAAGTCGTCTTCTTCGTTGCTTTCTTTACTTCGTGTATAAGTAGGATCCTCAACGTGCATAACGCGCTGTGGCCGAGGCTTTTCGGGACTGCTTGGCGGAGTATAGCTCACTGGTGTGAGCACTGGCATGGATGGGGTCCTGAACCGCTCCGGGATTGGGGGCACAGGTGGGGGAGGGTCGCGAAGCCTTAAGAGGTTATGGAAGGTGGAGGAATGAGATTCTCTCACCTCATTGCTCGCACGACCTTGAGACCGCGAAAGCATTCCCACACCACTTCGCTTCGCAGGCGTTGTGAAAGTCTTTCTGCGCAAGTCCTTGTCCGTGCTCGCTCGAGGTAAAGCGGGCCGCGCAGCTGCATGATCGATTTGCGGGGGGGTTGGCGGGTTAACTGGGCCCATCAGTCTCGACTGGGCAATTGCGTTCCCTTGAGCATTTTGGAACGATGTCATCGATTTGCTCGGACTCTGCTTGTTCGTCGCCAATCGCTTGGCCGTCAAGGGTGTTGGCGGTGCAATCTGTGAGCTCAGGCGTTTGCCGGCCGTTGTTGGGGTAGCACGGTCTAGTTGTTTGCTATGAGCAAGGGCATTACCTGGCCCGATGGAGCGCCTGTTGGAGACCTTGCGTGGAGATGTGAGACTCGCACGCCTTGGTGACCGTGGTGACCTTGGTGACTTTTCCTGGATCTGCGACAGCCTCCGATTATCTCGCTGATTTGAGCGCATATTCTCCTTCAAGGTCGGTCGCTGGGGTCCCGGAATGGTCGACGGGTTTTGCAGCATTGACTTCCTGGGTATCATGAAGTTGGTAAGAGGAGGCGAATCAGCATGCTTTACCAGGTTCGGCGTTGTATGCGACCGTACCGATGCCTTCGACGGAGACGAGCCGCCAGCTCCCGCAAAAGCATTGCCAGCAGCGACATGCTTCGCCTGTTGCGTTGTAAGTTTGGGGTTATACTGGCGTGGGCTCGATTGTCGACGTCCTGGCACTGGCGGACTCGGCGTAGGGATCTTTGACGGCGTGGCGCGGGCTTGGTCAACAGTGAAGACCGGAGGGGGTGCCTTGGTGGCAGAGTCTGAGTCGATGACCGACGACTCAGACCCGCTCCTGCTAGGGCGTGGGATGTAGCTCATGGTGCGGGAGCGGGGCAGTGCCTTTGGGGTCGCTTCTGGGTCAATGCTCTTGTCAGTGCCCTCATTGTTGGACGTCGTACGCTGCTGCGGCGAGCCGTTGAGTGACGTCGAGGCGCTGGTCGACGACAGAAGCCCGTCGGACTCGCAGGGTAATGGGGCGTCTACTGTGATGCTCGTGCCACTTCCTGGTACTGAAGGACGGCCCACTGGGTGACGAGCCGGTGTCGTCTTGCGTTGCGAGAGCGGATTCCAGCTGAAAGACAAGCCCTGGCTGAGCTTCCGGCGGAACTTGCTGCCGCCATTGCTCTGGTCGGCGTTGAGAGGCTGGTGGGCCGCAGGCCTTACCTTGCGGCCTACCATCTTGGAGGGCTCGTCGCTCAGAGGCTGAGCAGCTTCCCACTGTGAGCGGATCTGCTCGAATTTTCGACGGTCTGGATAGCTTAGCATGGCTCCAACGTGGCATCAGCTGGGGATAATGATGGAGTACGTACAGGTGTGTTGTGGTCGAAGGAGCAGAGTAAACTGGTCGGGAGAAGGTAATTGAGGAAGCTGCGATACCGAGCCCGAGCAACCACAACAACACCCCGCATTCACCGCGTCAATTGTGGCAAAATTGGAAGGAGCGCCCACCAAGCTGAGCGAAGATTCCGCAACCCGTTGCAACAGGCCACCCTTAGCAAGTGTTGCCTTCGTCATGCCCACCAGCAACATGTTATCAACTTTGTCGCCAACGCTGTCTTTCCACCCAATCCTAGCAGGACGAGACACAACTGAAGAGGACCAGGTTGCAAGATTCGAAAAGAGAAATCACATCATGAAATTGGGGGTATTCAACAGCCGAGGACGCCGACTGATGTGTCATAACCAAGAATCCTGCCACCATGTCCTCCACCTTACTCAGAGTCGCTGTCAATAACAAAGCCTGCCCTCATGTTCCTCGCAACTGGTCTACGGACGGGCACATCATCCTCATCTTCGTCGTCATCCGCATCCGCCATAACCACGTCCCGGGGTTTCGCTGTCGTTGCCGTTGTTGACTTCGTCGGTGAATCTGGTTGTGCAAGGCCGGCATGCTGGGAAGACAACGGAGTGTCAGTAACCTCGTCTTCGCTGCCGTCCAGAAGGACATCTCTTGCCTCTGACGGAACCCTGCTGCTCGCACCATCATCTGCTTCGCCATCCTCGCTTTCGTCGGAGTCGAATGGACGAGCTTTCCGTTTAGGGGGAGTCTTCCGTCTCTTACCCTCCCCCTTTGATGAACCTTCCGCCTTCCTCTTCTTCGAGGATGCCGTCTCAGCGCTTCCTAATATGATTGACTTCTTGAATTCAGCCGAGGTCAGCGCACGAAGGGCTTCTTCCCGAGCGAAGAACTCCGCATCCTTGTCTACGTCCCAGTCTTCATCATCTGAGTCATGTACGAACATTGTACTCTTGACTTTCTGTTGCTTCTCGATCTCCTTTTGCCGCCGCGCCTGCGCCCTTCGCTCCCTCTCTTCGTCATCAAGTTCCTCTGGTGTCCGGGTACGTCGACGTCTTTTGAGCACCTTCCTACCAGTACCGTCTGCTTTCCTTGCAGTTGGGCCGTCGAGCGCATACTCTCCTCGGTCCTCTTCGGAATTGTCATCTATGCCATCCGAGTCATCGTCCCAGTCCACTCGGCGAACAGATCGTCTTGCTGCAGTTGCTTTGCTACGGAGCATGTCCTCGGGTCCTTTCCCGTCTTCGTAAGTGGGGGGCGCAAACTCAAATTTGCGAATAAGATCGATAGCTTCCTGGAGCTCGGCTGAGGTCAGAGACGACGAGATTACCCACGCCGCGTCGGGGTCGTTGTCTGCACCTAATCTCGTGAAACCCACAAGCGTCAGCAGCAAACGTAGTTTGTTGTCCCTAAACATTGCTACGCGGCGCTCTTCGTTGTCAGGCTTGACCACTACGGGATATTAGCAAGTGGTAGTTAATATCGTCGACTGACATCTGCACTTACAAATTGAAGGCGGTTTGGGGGGTTCAGCGTCCTGGTTCTCAACAGGGGCTTCGCTGTCTGGAATTTCTGTTGCTGTCGCCATTTTCCGCGCCTCTTCCATATCCTCCCAAGCTTTTCGCTCTTCCACCGCCGACGCCAGGACATCACGCACCCAGTGCAAAGCGTCCGACTTCGACTGGTTGACGAGCACCCCAACAGCGACGCCAATCTGCTCAGGCTTCTCCATTCCAGGTTTGACTTCGAGTTCGGCTGGTGCGCGAGGCGTCCGTGTTGGCAGCTCTCTATCGTAGCCGTGCTCAAGGTAGAAGATTGTGGCGGGTATCTTGCTGAACAGCATCTCCACCACAAGCTCTGGTCTATCTTGGACCCTCTTGACCACCGTTCGGAAGAAATGCCTTACAAATTCTTCCCATTCTTTGAATGCTGGAGACTCCTGGTCCAATCCTTCCGGACCCTTGATCATCTTGTTGAACAGCTGCAGTATGTCGACCCGGTAAAGGAGAACCGCGATGTCTAATTTAAAGGCCACCCGATAGAAGAAACGATGTGCGCGTTTGAGCTGCTCCGCGTCTAGCTCGCTGTAGTACCTCGTAAAGGCAACAAAAGTGTTGACGCTGCTCTGGTTGATGAACTTGGCTGCGAAGCGCGTGAAGTCGAATTTCCGTTCGGATACCGTCCGCTGCGCAGCAACGATATCTTCCGTTTCCGACACATGGCCTTCCTCTTCGCCTTCTAGTCCCTGTGCTTCCGCCTGCTTCTTGCGAATCTTCCGAGCTCGTCTCTTGGATCGGACCTGCATATCGACGTTTTGTTTCGAGTAGCGCTCGAGCATCCGCAAGAAGACATGAGAAAGCTCCGTGACGGCATCCAGGTACCCGAAGCCTTGGTCCTTGTAAGACCTGAGAATATGGACGACGCGATCATGCGTTGCCTCTTCGTAGAAGATGCGGTTCTGGGTGTTCTCCGCGATTTCCTGATCGTCTTCGAGTGCTGATTCCGACATCTCCTGTACCGTAAGCAGAATTTGGGTGAAGCACTTCATGCCGGCGTTTAGATCCTGCCATGCCTTTTCGTCCTGGCTCTTCTGCATGAATCGATTCAATAGAATGAACGTTTCCTGATTCATGACTTCTGCGACCAAACCATAACTCTCGTCCTCCGCAGTGAGAGCCTCGTTGCTCTTCGGGTCGGCCGCCTTTTCTTTCATTGTCCTACGACGCGCGCATTCTGCTCGAAGGAACCAAGACACGAGGTAGAAGTACTGTCGTGGATGTCGAGTCTCCACGCGTTCGGTCTCTCGCTCAATAGCCTTTCGGAGATGCAGGAACAGAGGATTAAAGGAAGAATCAAGGAACTCTTCAACAAAGGCTTTGATACGTTTCCGTGCTGATGGTGTTAGAGTCACAGGAAGATCGAACTCCTCTCGCTCCTGCTCTCCATCTTTTCTACGTCCAGTATACTTCGGCTTGTTCCACTTCTTGGACGTATCCATCTTCTGCATGCTCTTTTGCGCCTTGCCTAGAACATCTTGTCCAGATATTGTCGACACCTTATCTTCGTCGCGCTTGACCCAGATCATGGTACCAAACCGGTTGTGGCGCGTGGGAGCATGTCGCGCGTAGCCAGCTAGCATAGCCTTCTCCTTCTGAATAAGACTCTTAAGCTCGTCGGTATTCTTGCTTTTGAGTTTCTTGTCTTCCATGAACAGCTTCTCTGCATCTATGCCCTTTAGCAAATAGAACAGTATCTCCAGCACGACGACATCCTGAGTTACAAAGTCTTCTCCAATGCTCGATGCGACGCTGAGAATGGCCTGGAATATGTCCTGCTCTTGGAAGGTGTCAATGGTGGTCGACCGTGATATTTCGGCCTCGTCTATGTCCATCGGGGCGTTCCTTGGAGGCGATAGCATGGCGATATTGCGAATGAAATAGAGTGCTATGCGAATAATACCCTCGTCTCGCGGTGTGCGCTCGCGCAGGGGAACGGCCATGGAGGGAAGTGCGATTCGGATGGCGGTCTGGAGGATCCTGGCACGGTCATACTGGAGTATAGCGCGCTTGTAGCCGATCTGGGCCAGCTGGATATACGGGCCGTGCCGGTGGTGGTTGACGGTCGCTTCGACAGGATCGATCTCGAACGGCCAGGTCAGAGGGACGAGCAGTTCCACTGAGTCTCGTCAGTATTGCCATACACTCTGCCAAACTATCCCTTACACGTCGCAACAGCAAGCTTGTGCTTCAGCCGGTCCTGCATTATCCTCTCCGATATCTTCGCCAGTATCTCCAGTAGATCGCCTTTCACGAGATTCGCCTCGGCCATGCAGCGTGCGACATCGCGTCGGTTCAATTGCCCGTCGGCAAACTTGAGCCACTTTCGCAGGTCCTTCAAGCATAGTAGGGCGTCGTCTCCGAGCGAATACGTCCCATCGTCGCCAATGCCACCGAGCTGTGCTACTATTAGCGCTGTCTAACTGCAATTTGAATATACCTACAGCAGTAATGAGACTGTAGACATGCGCGCGGATCTCAGGATCCACGGGGTCCTTTGCCCACTCATCCAGCGTTGTCTGGGCCATTGTGGTGGTTGACCTTCGAAGCCCTGCGCTCGTGCGCGATGACTTTCGAGACGCGTCGCGACTACGCGTAGAGCGGCGCGTGCAAACGGGTCAAATGTGCCAAGGCGGGGCTGGAACAACGTCATGGAGTGCCTCGGCTACGGCTTTCGTCGGGTCTATGCCCCATGCGTCCGTGAAAGCGCCTGCTCTGCTTCACATGTTGGAGTGAGTGTTCAGACTTCAATCCGCTCGCAAGCCCACGGAAATGTTCTCATCGGCATCGAGACAGGCGCTTCGCTGTGCAGCCAAGCGGCAATGCCGCGGCTTCAGCTCCACACCCTCTGTAGGAGCTGCTGCAGAGGTCAAGAAGCTGGGTGTTATTGGAGCTGGGCAGATGGTATGTTGTTTGCCGGTGGATGCAAAGATTCAATTGACTCCCATAGGGACTTGGAATAGCTCTAGTAGCCGCACAAAAAGCTTCAGTACCCGTCCGGTTAGTCGACAACTCACAAGCCTCGATCGACAAGGGCTTGAAGTTCGCCGACAAGCTCCTCGAGAAAGACGTCGGCAAAGGCAGGATGTCCAAAGAAGATGCCACAGCAGCCAGAGAGCGCCTCACTTCCAGCACCAGCCTCGACGACCTATCGGATGTCGACTTCGTCATTGAGGCCGTCCCAGTACGTGTACTCCTACTCATCGCCAACTTACATCTAATATTCCAAAGGAAATACCCGACCTAAAGAGCAAGATCTTCTCCCAGTTAGCCAAGATATGCCCTTCTTATGCTATTCTCGCAACAAATACCTCCTCCATCTCCATCACCAAAATCGCGGCGTCCACGACCAGCGACCCGACCGATCTGTCCGCCTCGTCCCGCGTCATCAGCACCCACTTCATGAACCCAGTGCCAATCCAGAAAGGCGTAGAGATCATCACCGGCCTGCAAACTTCGCAAGACACTATCGACACCGCAGTGGAGTTCTGCAAGAAGATGGGCAAGATTCCCTCCATGAGCACGGACTCCCCCGGATTCCTGGCGAATCGGATCCTGATGCCGTACATCAACGAGGCCATCATCTGTCTAGAGACTGGTGTGGGCACAAAAGAGGATATCGATAGCATTATGAAGAACGGGACGAATGTGCCAATGGGACCGCTACAGTTGGCAGATTTCATAGGGATCGATACGTGCTTGGCGATCATGAAGGTGTTGTATGAAGATACGGGAGACTCGAAGTACAGGCCTGCGGTTCTGCTGAAGAAGATGGTGGATGCTGGGTGGCTAGGTAAGAAGAGCGGTAAGGGCTTCTACGACTACTAGATGTGCTACTAGACGAAAGGTCAATTGAGTATGCGCTCCTCCCAAACGAACCAGTATCCACAGCGCCGTACTTCCAGAGGACCAGCGGCAACAGCTAACGTACAAGGAAGGGCGCTCATATTGTCCAATCCGAAGACCTTCAGATTCCCTCGAAGATAGCTCAGCCCCTAGCGCACATCCCCCAGCCAGAAGCCCGTCAACCCCTCAAGCCCATCCCGTAAAGTAAATCTCCCGCCTCTTCACCCCCTTCGGCGGCCTAACACAGTTACACGTCCACTCGGTGCTCGTCACATCGCAGCACCGCTCCCTCGCCCTCTTCTCCCCCCTCATCCTACTCTTCGACAACAAGTCCCTAAACCGCCTTACTCGCATGCTCTCCTCCCTCTTCGCCCACCTCCTCTCCCTGTCCGTCCCTAGCGACTCGTCCAGTTCTTTCGTATCCACGGCGTGGGCCTCGTTCTCCCCACCGTCGGATACGGGCAGCTTGTTTAATGGCGTCTCGTCGACTTTGCCCCTGTAGTGCCGCAGGTGGCGGGCCATGTTGAAGGCTCGCGTGGGCTGGGGGCGGGTGTCAAGCGGCGTGGTGTACGGATTGGTAGGGCTGGAGGGGTTCGGGGTGCTTAACGTGGACGAGCTGGAGGCCCACGCTGCTGGGGATTCGGGCTTTGGATCCTGGGGGCTGGGGGCCTTCGACCCGCTAAGAGAAGGCCAGGAGAGCGGGGGGCTGCTCTCCTCCTCCTCCTCCTCCAGCTTGATGGTGACATTTGCCCGGACCTCGGGGTACACAGGGGGGCTGTCGCTGACTTTCGAGACCCCTGAGTCGTCTTCCTGGCTCTGCGTCCGCTGGGGCGTTAGCGGCAGGCCGTGGGTCTCGACGGTGGATTGGTGGCCCTGGAGGGCCTCGAAGGCTAATCGAGATAAGCCGATGTTGGAGGGACTCATGGTGATGGTGATGGTGAGGGTGAGGGTGAGATGGGTAGCTGCTGTTTGAACGTGTATTCTGAGGGCTGGAGACCTTCAGAGTGTGATGGCAAGAGATGGATGAGGAAAAATCAGATCACAGAGAATGTGCAAGCTATATACCCTGAGGTGGAACTGGAATTGTTGGGCCAGAAAACTACAATTTTCCCATTTAGGTCAAGTGCTCAGCTTTTCATTCAGAACCATAGCTGGTAAGTCTAATTTTCTTCGAAGAGAACCTTGGAAGACGCCGCCATGTAAACCCCATAGTTCGTCGACCCAAGCGCCATTCCGTCCATGCCAACGCCTTCCCTCCGTCTCGTTGACTTATCGCAGCCGCTTCCCTGCGCCACCGACCCTCTGAGCTCGAAACCGGCTGGTCCGATGCTTCTTCCACTCCGGCAGCGCATTCGGGAGCCCCCGGTCCTCCTTGTACAGCTCCTCAGTCTTGAGCCCCGACTCCATCATCGCATGCCGCGTCGGTCTGTCCGGAACCGCGAAGCTCTCCCACGCTAGACGAACCGCGTCCTCGCTCGCCGTGATCTCCTTATTCCTATTTAGGATACTCTGGTTCATATAGCGCTGCTGCGTTGGCGCTGGTACTACCAAGTTGCTCAGATGCTTCGGGAAGGACCGGAGAAGGTTGGTCACTCGGCTCGACTTGCTGATCTGGGGCCTGACAAAGTTGGACTCTGGGACGGTGCCGGGTGAGGCAGGATAGTGCCGCACGAGCTTGAGCTTGTAGGCCATGTTGAGCTCGCGGTTGGTCGGGTAGGGCCTCGTGAGTTTGCCTGAGTTCGCCCAGCGCGTAGCTGCTGCTTTGCGGGCTGCGAGCGTCTGCTTCTCTTTCTTGTCGGGGATGTGCTGGGGGATCTTGACGGTGAGAGAGACAGCTGGGTAGAGACGACCAGGCGCGGGAAGTGCGCTTGGCGGAGGCGTGAGGAGAGGAGTCGCTGGGCCATAGTGACGGAGGAGCGCGTAGCCGGCATTTGGGTCGCCCAGTTTCTGGCGTTTGGCCGCTCTCTCGGGCGTCGATGCCGCAACAGAGATATTATCGTCCGTACCGGTGCCTGGCGTAGAGCGCTTGTACGGGAGTCCCATTGTGGGCAGCATGGCGCCGACCAAGGTGTCCATAGAGAGGGTGTTGGGAGGCTGTCGACTGACTGTAGAGTCGGAAAAGTCTCGTTTATAGCTGCGGGGCGAGAAGAGAGAGTGAGTAGCTGAATATATACAAAAGACTGACTTGCTAGCGCGATAGCTATTGTGGCCTGTTGGGAGAGTCGAGTGAAGTCATTGTCGAGCAGTTGAAACTGGGTCGCTGTTACCTTTCCCGCGATCTGACCGTCAGGCTGTGAGGAGCGAGTGGCGGCGGACGGCAGGTGTGTGAGAGGAGAGTCAAGTGCAAACGGCGGGACGTTTGAACCGAGGCCCACGGATCCGATAGCTTACCGTTGTGTGAATGAACGTGCTGCTGTGCATCGCGGAATGAGCTAAGTGGTCGCGGTTTGTGGGAGGTAAGTGCGAGCGAGGCATGCGGCAATATGTTGGTCTTGTTCTGTTGTCCCTGACAAGCACCAAGGGAAGGGATTTGACAATGGGCGCCACGGTCCGCGTGCGATGTGATTATGGGATACATTTTCAAAAGCTAGGATAGGAGGGAACTATGGTACAGAGAAGAGCTACTGCCTTACCGCCTTCCAAGGTTTCGAAAACACCAGGCAAGGCAGGGCGAGACGAGACATAGCAATCACCACGTGAATATTCTATTTCATGTCTGCTCACTTGGCACCCCACAAAACTCCGCAGCTTAGCGATGTTGAAAACCCCCGACGAAAGGAGCAGTGGTACTAATGATGCTCCAGCAGCAAGTTCCCTTCTACGCAGATATGTTAAACTTTGAAAGAAAATAAAATCACTATGCAAATGCAGGAGTCCTATCTCCAGGTTCCATTATCGCTTGGAGCCAACCCAACCATCACTCCTCCTCACTATCCTCATCATCCCACGGCAACTGGCACCCACACGGGTACTGATTCCCCAAACGCCCAGGGTACTTCTCCGCATACCAAGCCACATCCTTGCCATTCTTCTGCTCTCTCTTCAGCCGCTCCGCATCTCGCGGATCGACCTGATGCCCGACTCCGGTAAGTAGATCCGGGTCACCTTGGAAGCCCCATCGGTGATTTTCGTGGTCCCAGCCATGCTTGCCCGGTTTGAGGTAGGGGGCCGTTGGTGAGTCTGATTTGAGTTTGTTTTTGAAGTAGGGGGCGGCGTTGCGGTCCTTACGGTAAGGAATTGTGGTTTCGTGGACGGCGGTGTCTGACGAAGCGGTTAGGATGATGTGGCACCGCTGAGCGGGCTGGTGGAGAATTTGTGTTGATGGTGGAGAGAGCGGATTGCGATGATTGTGAGAAGGATTCAGCTCAAGGGCTGGAATAAGCGGATGTTCCTTCATGAGATGTTTGTTGTCGATCTTGGGGGGAGCGGTAGCTGATCGAGATGCCGTAGAAGCCATGTCGTCTTGTTCGTTCGTGAGATAGTCGATCATGATAGAGGTGAGGAATTGCAAAGAAGCTTCCTCGTCTTTTGTACCCTGCGGCTTGAAAATTTTCTTCTTCTTTTGGTGGTAGCGAGCATTACCGTGAGAAGCTATTGGTTCCCCTTCTTTCGCATCGCGAACTTCGAATTTTTGTTTCTTGGCCGTTTGTTGAGGCAGTGTTGGCGCCTGTTCGTTGTCGCGCTTCCGCTTGCTATTCTGCTCCGCGGCATCCAAAGCGATCGGCTTGGTGTTTGCCGCTGGATCAGCTTTCTCTCGCTCCTTCTCATTGGCAGGTCCCTTGCCCAAAGCTTGCGTCTCCACGTATTGGACCCAAGCCCCGATTTGGTTTCTTGAAGCATTCGCGTTGCGGAACTCTTCGGCTTTTGCCCCGCCGGCGTACTCTTTTACGATCTTGAGAAGGTCAGCTTTCGATGTCTTCTGCGCGAGCGATCTCCCATCTCTTGCGTTGGTCTTCTTCTTTCCCTTTTGGTCGTAGAGCGGAATTCGGAGCCCGCCTTCTTCGTAGAAGCGTGAGTGCGACTTAGCGGACGGAGCAGCAGCGAGCTTCGGCTTGGAATTCTTTTTGTTTCGGGGAGCTGGCTTCGGCTTCGAGACTCCAGCGTCCTGCGCATCAGAAAGCTTGAAGCCCGACTGCTTCTGCTTTCCCTTCCCTTTGCCTCCGTTCTTCTTTCCCTGCTGCGCCATCGCTATAGCGGTCTCATCATCGATAATGCCCGTCTGGCGCTCTTTCTTCTTGCCGAAATCCATCTCCCCCCGAAGTCCTGGCGCAAATAATTCTCGTATGTGTAGCTGCAGGGAGAATGGGATTGTGGGAAGAGAAAAGCAGATAAAGAGCGACAAAGAGGTAATTAGCGAAGGAACGTATTGTTAGCTATTATCTGAGAAGTGAACAATGCAATACGGAAGTTTCTGAAGGGGAAATAGAGTCATTGTGAAGGTGGGGCTGCTTGAGTGGCGGCGAGTGGGCGGTGTTTCACAGACGGGGTGAAAGAGGTCTCACGTGCAATAGGACGCTGAAGGCCTTCAGGCTGCGCTATACTTGACTGAAAAGAGATACTGCCACATCCAACTACTCTATTGCGTACTCTCGGGTTCCTTCATTGGAAAAGAGGTCCTAGAGGCCTTCAACACATGATTGCTCGCCTGTAGACTTTTCACTGAGGTTCAGTAGGTGCCAAACGCGAGTGATGTGAAGGAGCAGAGACCTACAACGCGTATAGAAGACAGCGTCGAGTTAACCTAGGAAGATGGCGAAAATTGACATACTGGCCACACTCGAACGCTCCCTGAAGCCCTTTAGGCTGAGCAATCGGGATGCCATGGCCTACCGAAGGCCTCCAGGCCACTTTGTCCTTCAGATGACCACCCATGAGGTTTCCTAGTCTCTGCTTCAACGTTCCATGAAACCTCCAAGCCGAGCAATGCCCATGCCTACCATCCTCTGATTCGGGGCCTCCGAAGGCTTTCAGGGCGGCTTTTTCTTTTCCGTGCACGCCTAGTCCGCGATAATCACTACATATCACGGGTTGGTGACAAGTTTCTTATTTTCGAGAAGAGATGGTCGTGGAGTGGAGTGTGAAAGGGTTGAGCCCGTGCGCGGATCGTTGTCGGCACGTGAGGCCCGGCCGCCGCCGATGCCGAGGCATTTCCGGCCTCCACCATTTCGTCGCTGTGGAGCCGCCCAGCTCTCATTCTTCGATCGCATTGCGTGCGCTTTATGATTCAGACTGCGAGAAATCGGTAGTCAAGATGGTCCGCGAGGACCTGATCACATCGGCGGTAAGCATTTCCCTTATCACTGCGGCGACGAGCGCGAGCTGACTGGTCTAGGTCTCCTGTACGTTCGTCATCGTTCGAACTCGTTTGAATCGCCTCAACATGAGTCTGACTGTGTTGTAGTCCTTCAAGATCCCTCCGTTGCGAGCGCGCCCCTTGAGAAGCGCATTGCCTTCCTCCAGTCGAAGAACCTCACGCACGAAGAGATAGACCTCTCGCTCGCGCGGGCGTCCGAAGAGCCCGGCCACCCGTCTACTCCTCCGCAGACTTCGACACCTCCCCACTATGCATACAGACCACCTCCCTCCGCTCCCGCATACGGGAGCTACCCTCCGCCAGGATACTGGCAACAGCCGCCGCCTCCAGAGTAAGAATCCGAGATTAGATTGTTACTGTAAGTGCTGACTAGCGTAAAGGCCCCCAAGACGCGACTGGCGCGATTACTTCATCATGGCGACGGTGATGGGCGGCATCGGATATGGCCTTTACTTCACAGCGAAACGCTACATCGTTCCCATCATTGCCCCACCCACGCCACCTCAGCTGGAGCAGGATAAAGCATCCATTGATGAATCGTTCAAGCGGGCGTTTGATCTCTTAGACCAACTGAACACCGATACTGCAGCACTTAAGACTTCTGAAGAGGCTCGAACAACTAGGCTTGATAATGCGCTTGGGGAAATGGAGAGCGTCTTGGTAAGCCTGAAAGAGTCGTCCAAGCGGCAGGGAGACGACAATCGGAGGATTGAAGATGATGTGAGGGGGCTACGGGAACTCATCCCGAAAGCTTTGGATGCCCAGAAGGAAGCCACGGATACCCGGTTGAAGGAGCTCTCGACCGAGCTCAAGAGCCTGAAGACTTTGGTTGGCAACAGGATGGGTTCCGGCACCGCCCGTCCTCCAGCGACCACCCCCAGCTACTATGGTCTGGGTCAGTCTCAAGCCTCGGTCTCGACACCAAATATCAACGGAGCTGCTATATCTTCAACACCGGCACCTCAATCCACTCCTGCTACACCAAGCGAGCAGCCGAATGGTACCAGTGTCACCGAAGGCCAAGCGAGCAGCAGCGCGACAACATCCGCCCCGGCTCCAGAAAAGCCGGCGGCTGCGTCACCATACGGCAGGCTAGCGAACGGACGAGCTGCCATTCCGGCTTGGCAGATGGCTGCAGCAAAGAAGAACGAGGAGGCGAAGAAGGACACGAGCGAGAGCGGCACAGCTGTTGATGCTAGCTCTGGCTCATGAAAAGTGACCTTATCTTCAGTCTCTTAATGACTCCATTATCTCCATACTGAGTGCTCTTTCTGGCCATGTATTATCTTGGGTATTTGTGCAGGCATTTGTGCAGGCGTAGCTGGGGATATCGGAACTACTTGCACAATCCTTACGCTTGGATAAGAAAAGGAGCACCTCGACAGCTAATATACTACAGTCCTTCATCATTCCCTCAGTGAGCAGTGACTCTGTGTTCATAGGTGCTAGACCTACTACACACTTGCTTGGAATGGACGGGCCAAAGTGAGATCTCGTGACCGCGCGACTACGCGTCGCGCGTCTTCTTACCGAGCGACCTATCATGGCCTTCAATTCGAATCAAAACTAGCGTCTCGACCAGCGCTTCTTGCCTGGTTCTTAACGGGGAGTCGTCGCCCGATCGTAGAAGTGTTGTCCGAGAGCGAAGGGAACGGAAGCGGCGTTGCGGCTGACGCTTCTAGACGTTTGGGGCGGCGCCCGCTTCCCCGCCTCCCTTTATCTCCATTCAGGTTTCATGGCACCACCACCGCTTCCCGTCTTCGTCCTCGTGGTCGCCCTGCTCCTCGTCCTGCTCTTCCTCCTACTGCTCCTCCTTCAGCGGTTACTCCTCGTTTTGCTCCTCCTACTCCTGCTCTTCCTCCTAGAGAGTGCAGGCCCGGAGTAGTAGGATTGACACTTTGTTTCACTCGAAGACGAAAGGTATGTAGGATGACCAGCAACAGAGCTACACAAGGTAACACCGGCTTTGGCATACACGCGAGATCTAACAGAAGGCCGGAAGGTGTCCATATAGGCTCATCGCTTTTCTACCCAACCGCTCTCCATTCGAGGAAGTTTATGCTGTCTCAATTGACTGATTCCGAATCTTCCTTTCCCAATCTTCCGGCCTCAACGCAACATTGCATCCTCCAACATGGCCGACTGCGAGTCTTGCTCCCGCACCTTTGTCAACTGGCATGCTGCCCGACAGCACATGAATGCCGTCGGCCATTGGGCCTGTGAGACCTGCAGTTATGAGTTTTGGACACAAGAGGACGCCGAGGACCACATGGATGACCTCGGCCACAGACGTCCACGCTTCGAATGCGAGGCTTGCGACTATGCGTTCGACACCTCGCAAGAAGCAAGGAGACACATGGATGCACTCAATCACTGGAGGGTGAATTGGTGCGACAGCTGCGAGAGAGGCTTTCAGAACGAGAACAATCTGAGGATTGTACGTTTGATGCTCAGCTGCGAGACCCTGATAGGTTGATAAGGGAACAGCACCTCAATTCGAACATCCACCGCGGCTCTAACATTACCTGTCCTTTCTGCAAGCGCTGCTTCACGACTGCCACAGGTGTAGCGCACCATCTCGAAACGGGCTCCTGCCCCAACGCCCGCGCCGTCGACCGCGATACCATCCTCAATGCCGTCCGCCGCCGCGATCCGCATCATCTGATCACCAAAAAGCTCCTGACCTACCCGTCCTCCACGTCTTCTAGCATCGAGGCCACGGCCGCATTGTACAATGAATATCGCGGATGCTACGAGTGCTATCTCTGCCACAAGGGATTCGGTAGCTTGAGTGGCTTGAACCAACACGTGCGAAGCCCGGTGCATAAGCAGAATGCATATCATTGTCCGGGGAGGGCATGCGGTAGGGAGTTCAAGGCACTGGCCGGATTGTTCAACCATCTGGAGAGCGAGACTTGTGGCGCTGTAAGGTTTGAGGCTATGCAAAGGAACGTTGGGAGTTTCCTGAGCGGGAGAAAGATGATTAGATTTACGTGAGGTGTGTCTGGAAGCTGCTAGGGGCATGAGCAGACGTTGTCTTCGCCAGGCATTTTGGAGAGCTTGGTGTCATTGGGCGTGTTAGAGGAAGTGCTCTGAAGATGGAGTTTGATACTCTTACAACTGCTCCATACAGTAGTCCTTCCGATTTTCATCGCATAATTTGGTTCGTTGTAAGGGATCTGCCGACTGACATAATTCCGCTTGGCTGTGCCACCGTATTCGCCAAGTCAAATATATTGGCTTGCGAACCTCAGATACTCTTTTTTTTGTTATTCTCTCTAGGTTATTGAAGTCCAAGTGTTCAAGTCGATATCCCAACCACCCATCCACCAATATGGCAACCAAACAAGACGACACCATATCGTCCCCACCACCCTGCCAAACCGGCCCCAATCCAAACGCCAACCAACAACCTAAGAAGAGCGCTCATCTCGACCCTAGCGCCCAAGCCACACCCCAGCAAGTCTCAAAGAAAACCCAAAAGTCGAAGGACAAATCCCCCTTCAAGAAAGGCTTGAAGTCGGTCGGACGTTGCCTTGCGGTACCGTATATCTGTTGCTGCTGCATATACCACACTCAGATTACTGAGAGGGATCCGTGGGGAGCGCCGAACCATCCGAAGCGGAGGGAGAAGAAGGAGATGAAGAAGAGGGCTAAGGGGGAGAAGACGTTTACTGCGTCGTAGGGGATAGAAGGGAGGTATGTAGCAGGGAGCTTGCAGGCTTAAGGTCCCTGTTAATGCGGGGCGGTTATGGGAGACGCTCGTGGCTCTGGCATTCATTGACAAAGTGTGTCGTTGGTACTAAGCGTTAGGGAGCCGTTTTCTGGGAGTGTTTCCATCACCATGGAGCACTTCGACTCGTAATCATTCATCCGAGCCTCGATGGACGAGAGAGAAGGGAGATGGTGAATGGAAGAGTGACAGACCTGTGTATTAGAGGGGGCCGGTGAGTTCACGAGTCGGCATCCAATGGAGCGAGTTTGGTGACTGATTTATTGTGAAGCGCGAGGGGCTTCAGCTCCGACTAGACTCTTAAATCCTTAGCCGTCGCTAACACCTCCTAGTGATAGCTATTACCCATCCTGCAGTTCTTCGGGCCCTTATCCGTCTTCAACCACAATTGCTTACTTCCCCTACACTTAGCCCTAGCTCTGACTTGAGAGGAGAAGTTGGCTGGAGCAGCTGAAGTATCTACCTTCAGGTAGTATACGTCCGATCTCACAAGTGTATAGTAAATGGAGTGGAGTTTTCGATTGTATCATGAAACCGGTCGGCTTCAGCTCCTTATCCATGTGGAGCATGTATCTATGGGAGAGCCGTTTGCCATCTCCTCTAGCTCTTGCAACCATAAGCCGTCGTCAACCCTAGCACTCGGCGTCACCCAACCCTAAGTGCCTTGCCCCCCCATACACACCCCCTCACATCTGCCTGCCCTTGCCCTTGTTCGCCTCCACCTTAGTCTTCTCCTCGTCCATGATCGTCTTCCAGTCTACCATCCTCCGGCCGAGATTTTCCACCACCGGGTATAATTCCTTGAAACCTCGCTTTTCGGACGTCGTTTTAGAGAGGTGGTTGTTCGTCACGGTCTCCCCATCGCAGGGCTCATCATGGACCGGACACCGGGTAAGCCGACCCCTGCCGACGATGATCGGTCCTGAATATCCACCCTCATATCCACCGCCAGAAACCTCGCCAATCTCACGGGCATAGCCTTGACCATCGCCTTGAAGCCCACCAGCAAGAAAGCCCAAAGGCGCAATCGCAGCAGTGGCGGCTACTTCGTCCGAAACAAAACCCAGAGATGAATCCGTAGATCCAAATACGTACCTAACTTGATTTGCACCGTGCATCAACGGGCGAGCGCGGTTGTACGCCTCGTTAAGGGCAATACTAGCCCTGGCGAAGCTGTTGCCACGCGGGCGAGCGGCAGCGACCGGCGGGAGTGCGAGTGCGGGAGTGGCGTGGTAGCCACGCGGGGTGTCCTCCAGAGATAGATCCTCGTCCTCCTCCTCAAGGATATCCTGAGTACTCTAGTTAAGACGTGATCGTTCATGTATCGGGTGTACGTACGTAGTTGCTGGTCGACTCGACGGAGGGATCCTTAGTCATAACGACCCCGGCGTGGACGCCCATGTCTCCTGTATTGGTGTTAGGAATGTGAGAAGGAGAAGGGGGTTGCTTACCGATGTTCTGGTAGCTCGAGACGCGCGACAGAGAGCGAGACTGCGGAAGTGACGTCGAGCGAGAGGGACCTGCAGAGTGAGTGGGATTGACCGCGAAGCCTGCATAGGTAACCATGCCAGGGTCGCGCATGTGGTTGACGCTGGGAACGCGGGAAGGGACGCCGGAGCTGAGCGGCGAGTGTGGAAGAGGTACTCGAGCGAACGAGTCCGTGTCGCCCTGGACCATGGGACCGGTGCTAGGAGTGCGCGATGGTGGGCCAGACACGGTATCTACGAAGCTGTTCATAGCCTCTTCATCCATCCACACTGGATGGCATGTCAGCTGCCGGTACTCACGTGAACCAGGCGAAGGGGAGGCTTGACCTGAATCGAAACTCACGACAGGAGTGCCGCGGCGCGTAATACCATACTCCTCAAGCAATTGAGTGAGGCGGGGGTTTGAGCGGATGGGACTAAGAATACCACGCGGCCAAATCGCTGGGGACGCTGAACGGGACCCATAAGGGGATGCCAGCGAGGAGCCATGACGGGAGCCCGGAGCAGAGGCGGCGAGATACAACGCTCCGTCGTTGTAGAATTGCTCATTGCTCGTGCCAGGCATATATTGGAGATTGGTCATTGCAGCCATTGCTGACTCGCGCCAGTCCATCGGGTGTTGCTGAGCCGCACCAGCTACAGAAGGGTCAGCGTGTTCGAATGGCGGTGGGAAAAGGCACTCGCTACTGGCCACAAGCTCCCGCAGCACCTCTCCTCGGGAAGCCCGTCGACCTCTCCTCACCATATTCATACCTTGAGGATAACTAATGCTTGGTGCCAGTGCTTCAGCTGCTCTCCTCTCATCGTCAACTGCTGTAATGCGAGCTTCGAAAGCCATCTGCGCTTTGTACGCTTCGACCTCTTCCTCTGTCGGTGGGTCGCGCCACTCATGACGTTTGCTCTTGTCGAGTGCAGCAACGCTACGTTCGTTGACATGGTTTGAGTCTTTCTCATTGTACGGGGGAGCTGTGTCGGCCGTGGTACCGACGATGAGGATCTCTTTCTTCGTTGGAAAGAGGAGCGGTTGGACTGGATTTCCCGCTTGGCCGAACAGATAATGGCCGCGATACCAGTAGGCGACGCCGGTTTCGATTGGATGTTGACCTACAAAACCGGAGATGTAGACTTTCATGTTCTTAGCTTTCACAGCGTCGTTGGGTGCCATGCTGACCACCAGGGGGTAGCTCGTTCGAGGCAGTGTGTGAGTGCGAGGTTGCCTTCGCTCTGGCGTTAGCTGTAAGAGGGGCGTGTGTGGTGCGCTCTCGCAGAAAGGAGGGAGAGAGGGATAGAGGGATAGAAGGAGGGAAAGGGAGACGTTGGCAGCGCCTTATATGGGTTGATTGAGGATAGTAGATGGGGAAAGGAAAGGGTACTTACGCCGCGTTGAGGTGACCGCGAGTTTGGTGGGTGAGCAAATTTTGTGTTGTGGGTGGACGAAAGTTCTGGTCGGAAGCAGTGCAGGTGAAGACGAGCCAAGCATTCACCGGCTGTCTGGAAACGCGCGGGTGAACGCGCTTTGGATCGCGTCTATTGGACCTAAACCTGACTGGCTAAGTAAATCTCGAAATGGAAATGGTTGGGGCGAGGGGATTGGTCGGGAGTACATGCCGAGAACGGTGGGAGTGAAAACAAGTGCGGCTTTCACCGACTGCTGTGGCCAAATGTGCGATACCGCTATGCTAAAGAGTACATTTGTGAATAGATGAGAGTCATTGTGGATAAGAGGGGAGCAGAGGAGGGGTCTGGACGGAGAGGTTGCGGTAGACGAAGAGTAGAAATGACACTTGTGAAACAAAAAGCAAGATGGTTCGGTTACCCATTTGATTCATTGGTGTCGTGAGGACCGGACGCCAGATGCCACATGGACAGAAAGCGCTGAATCAAGATATGCAGCTAAATCATCATACCATTCAACACTCCATTCCACTGCCGTCGTCCTTTGCTTACTTGCGTATAGCAGACGTGCCATCATCAGCACCTGGTAGACCTTCCTCGTCACCGGGCTCAGCATAAGTGCCGGCTTTCTTGGTTGCTCCTCGAGTGCGACCCTCGACGATGTTGCTCCTGTCGATGGCATCGTTCTCATCCTGAGCTGTCTAGAAGTTAATAACTGTTCCGCCGAGGATGCTATGAGAGACTTACCAAGTTGCTGATCGGAGTCGGCGGTGACAGGATCATAGAGATCCGCTACCGGAACCTCATCCTTCTGAACGGGTACTTGATACTGCCCAGTCCGGCTGACGTAGTCGTTGTCCTTGGAGTCACCGGCCGGGGCGTCGTTGGTGAAGTCGTTCTGCTGCTCGTACTGGTCGTCGGCGGAAGCGGACATATTTATGATTGGTTTGTTGAAGTTAAAGATGCTGACAGGAATAGCCGTGATAACTTGAAATTGTTGATGCGTTTGAAGTTGCTGATGTACGGGAAGGTAGTGCGGAGCAGCCATGTTATATGCTTCTCCTAGCGACTACTAGGCTACGTCATGATGTCAAATTGCTCTCGGTCAAGCCTCTGACGAGATAGGTACCTGGCATACATCGGGAAGGTCCTCCGCATCGTCGTACAGTCCCATGGGCGACATAATCATGACACCATAACGAAGAGGGCCGAGCAGCATGGCGCGCCAGACCGACTGTGGGGTAGTGCTACCAAAGGTGGAAAGGTAGGACGCAACTCACACATGAGAATCATGCCGATTAGCGAAACCTAGTCAATAGAGCGGGGCGTCTTTTCTTTCCGAGGAAGTAGCCCTAGCGCATGGCGTGAGTTGACGTCGAAGAAGGCATCCAAGACGGAATCGCTGACTGAACTCAGATATCAGTGATCGAATCCTCTCACATGCATACTACGTTGATACGAGAAACTGGGGAACAATAAGTATGTCTAGGGGGATAAGATCAACACCAAACATTACTTAGAATGACCTTACAGGTCGTCGTCATCCTTTCGCAAGAAGCGTACAATTGCTTCCTCACTTGCTGAAGACAAAAGCATAAGCGCATGGCCAGACCATGCAAGGCACAAGCGCAATTTCAAACCTCGCATCTCCTTGTCCCAGCCACATTCCTGTTGCGACAAAGGCTAAGGGGCAGCAGACGTCAACGAAACCCTCAGCTTCGCCTAGCGTCAGGTACGCTCTGGGGATCTGTAGCTGGGCTTTCAGATTAGCGATGCTTGAGAGATCGACCTTGTCGCTAATAGATCGGATTCGGGCTGTTTCCGATGGGGCCGGTGACGGGGAGTTGTTGGTTGAGAGCTTTGACGCGAGAGGTCGTTGACGTCAAGCCGGAAAGCGCTAGCCGTTTCTGGGAAAGTCTAGACCAAATGCGTGATAGACGACCAGATGTGTAGAATAAACGCCGGGAGCTTGTCGCAGACATGATTCAAAAATAAACGCCTTTGGGCTCCAAGAGATCCAGGGTGGCGGAGCCGGCGACACACTTGACTAATACGGGGGATTGAAAGCAAGGAGAAACCGGATTGAAAATCAATTTGCATGAGCGAGTGCCTCTGCGACCACAAACCGACAATATCGCTCGTGGGTATCTATATTACACACTCTTTTGAGACAATTGCTGAATAACGACTAGTGTTGTGCTCCTCCCATCAGCTTTCTGAAGGATAACACTTGACGCCGGTTTACAACGTGTTAGAAAGATGGAAGACGTGGAAGTCATGAGAGGCGGAAGTAGACGCGAGAACGATTGAATCCGCAGCGGTGCTGCAGTTTAATCGCCTTCCGAGGTAACTTTCTTCCTTCTGCTCCTGTATACTGTTAGCGTCGCGTGGTGAAATGGCCTAGGGTGGAGTGTACCTCTTCTGCGGGGCAGACTTCTCCTCGGTGTTGGCCGCGGCCGCCTTCTTCCTGCCACGCTTCGGCTTTGGAGCTTCGACTTCGACTTCTGACTCAGCTTCCTCCTCGCTGACTACCTTCTTGACGGCGGCCTTCCTGCCTCGTCCTTTCTTAGCTTTCGGCTCGGGTGCTTCGACTTCGCTCTCTGGAGCCTCCTCTTCCTCGACGATGGCCTTCTTGGCCTTACCCCTGGCCTTCCTTGGAGCGGGCGCTTCATCTTCCTCCTTGACGGTAGCCTTGGCTTTGCTCCTGGCCTTCTTTTGGGCGGGCACCTCACCTTCGTCTTCCTCTTTGACGGCACGTCCACGCTTCTTCTTCGGCTTGGCCTCTTCAATATCGGCATCCTCCTATGACGGTCAGCAAAGGAACACGGGAGAAGCTTGGTGTGCAAGTACGTCGTCAGCCTTCTTGCCTTTCTTCTTTTTGGGCGTCTTGACCTTCACCCGGAAGCCCTTCATGCCCGGTCGGTTGCATTCGACATCCTACAAACAGAGTCAGATAATGCCGCGGAATAGCGCACTGCCACTTTACTTACGCCCTTCCAGTCTTCATCCGGAACGTGGCCATGCTGGAGGGCGAATTCGACCTTCTTCTGGTACTCTAGAGGGAGCTCATCGAACCCATCCACCATGTCAGTGTCGCCTTCAGACTCCTCAATGAGATTTGCTATCTGGGCGGGCGTAACGCATCCCCTAGACACGTTAGATGTCTACTGAATCAATGGACGTGATGTTTAGGAACGTACCAGTGCTTGTAGGCCCAGCTGGTATGTTCGTGGATGGTGACAAGGCTTCCATAGCGGAACTCGCCCTTTTCAATCTTGACGCCGGCGTCCTTGCATTCCTTGTTCTTGCAGCCGGCACGGCCTTGCTTGGCTAGTTCTGCAGGTAGTGTGAGCTTCAAAGTTGCAAAGCGAAGACAGGATATTAACACGAATAGGTGGGGCGAGGAAAACGCCAATACTTACCCACGCGATATGGCATTGCTGCGAGTCTGGATGACCGATGTCGTCTGTTTGCCGGCTGTGTGTGGTGTGATGTAGAGCGAGTGAGTAACTGGACGGTGCGCCACGGCGTCTATATAAGTAGACGCGCGGGCTCTGGTCTACTCGTGAAATCAATTGCTCGGATGCAGAGGTCAAACGTGAAGTTGGCGAAGATGGTTGCTTGATTGCTTGATTGCTGGTGGCTGGGAGCTGGAGCTGCGACAACGTTCCAGGCAGCTCGCGCTTGGACCACGTCCGTCGCGTCGGCGGAGCGCGGTGGACGTCATGCATCTTCCAAAAAAAGTTCCGCCCGCTGCAGCGACGCTCTTTCACTCTCACCGTTGCTCTCCGCCTGCCATCAATGAGCGCTGTGCACACATGCATTAGCAGCGCCCTGAGACAGGCCTTTCGGCTCCCAAAGCATCGAGTCGCCGCTTCCTATTCCGTGCCTGCGTTCCTCGTTCCTGCCGTCGCTCGGCCGCCTGGTCGCCCCTTCTCTTCCACAAAACGCCGCCGGAAAGAAAAAGAACACCACCAAGACACAGTTGCCTTACGCTATCCTCCGAAGCCTACTAACAGATTCCCCCCATCGCATATCCTTTTCCCCGACCGACAGGTTCGAGATGACATTCAGCAATGGGTTGCCGCGATTGATCCTCTTCTTCCACCTCATCTACGACTAGACACATCGAACCGCCCTGATAACTCCTCGTCAGTGACGGCTATCGATATTGCGCGCATTATCAACGCCGCGCAGGACGCCTCTCAAGATATCCTCGGCCACTTGGGATTGGTACAACAGCGATGGGACACTGTAGTCTGGGTTGCAAAGAAGCTGGTCCAAGATGGCCGACCCTCTGCCGAAGCTTCTGTGCACCTAGAGCCCTTCGGCAACGTTGAATGGCCGGAGATTCGGCCTGGATCCGTTGATGACCTAACGAACAACCCTCTCCGCGTACAGCGGGCTCAGCCTTCTACGAGGCTGTCCTATACCCTGGACGTCATAACGTCTCATCCAGACTCCATCGATCCACAGCACCGAATCCTTAAGCGAGCGCTCGGACAGCTCTGGCGGAGTTTGGGGCGTATGATTCTGGTCGTTGCCGATGAAAGCCACAAAGAGCACGATCCGATAATGCCTCGGGTGTTGGAGATCATTGCATATCTACACCATATAGGACTGATCCCGGACTCCGTCTATGCGCCCACCCCAATCAATGACAGCCACGCTCTGCAGCAGCCTCCCACTCTCCACCTTCTGTCTTCTAAAATCCTCACCGCGCTGTCGGACGCGACTTGGAGAGCTCATGAGGCATCCGTGAAAGTCGCGACCGAGCGACTCAATGCGTCATATTTCCTCGGCCATGAGATCCCTGGGTCACGCTACAAAATCCAAGTAACGGAAGTAGCTCCCGAGCTATGGTTAGAGCTGATCCTCTGGTCTTGTCTGCATGGTGGGTGGATAGCGGATGGGACGGCAATCCTAGAACAAGTGGCATCGCATAACAGCGAACAGAGCTGGGGACTTATCAGCTGGCGAGAGCTTCTTCAGGCTAAAGAACAAGAGTCGGCTGATTCGGGTGGATGGAGACTGTTTCAACGACGCCAGGACGTTTTCGCAAAGGCGGAAGATCGTGCGCGCACGCGAAGAACAATCAGCAGCGAAATCGTAACGTCGTTTATAGATGGACTTGTGAACAATATGCGACTGGGTGTCGGTGCTCGAGGCGCCGATCCGGAGCATTTGGTCGAGCGGATCAAGAAGCTGAAGCATTTTCTCGACCTGAACTCCCTCAGCCTGGGGTCAGCGACCTGGGACTCCATCATGGCGCGCCTTCTGGAATCTGGCGGGATAGCCCCCGAAAAGCGTCCAGAGCTTCTTCTTAGCATTTTGGATCTGGCGTCCGGATTCGGCGCTGAGGTTGGCGCAATCAATGTTTCCTCACAGACGGCGAAACCAGAGTCAGAACCCCCTTACTTCTTCGAGCCTACCACGATACCCCTGAGCCTGCTCCACCGGACCATGCGAGCGTTCGTGGAGAACGGGGATATCGCAGGGGCCATGACGACTCTCAAGACGCTCCAGCAGTACACGGATAGCAACAAGCAGAGATCTTTGGAGCACTTTTTTGAGACACTCAAGACTGTGCCGCTCTGGCAGGACGAGCCGTTTACGAGTGCGCTTCCGCCAATTGAGTTTCCGGCTTTTGACAATCAACTTCCTATACCCCTGCTTGCCAAACTTCTAGACCTAGCCACCGACGCGAAGATGTATGAGCTTGGACGCTGGTTTTTGTTCTCGAAAGACTTAGACGGCCCTTTGATACATCCCTACATGTACGCCGACTGGAACGTGGCCGCGTCCATTATACGTTTCGCTACTCTGGCTGGTGAGAATGATCTGGTGCTGAAAATTGTAGAGCAGACAGGAAGTTGGAGCAAGGAACACCAAGCCCAGCGCATGCCTCATGAGCTTTTGACGGCGCTGCTCTGCAGTCAGATCAAATTACATCGCTGGCAATCGGTACGCGGTATGCAGGAGCACGTCTTGGAGACGCCAGGTTATCGACCCCGGCCCGAAATTCTTGCCAAATTTGCCGCAGAACTGCTGCGCTCCGAAGGGGATTCGTCTATGAAAACGCAAGCCCGGAATGCTTTTACAAAATTTCTCTTTACATGGGAAGACCTGATTTTGTCGCATGCGAGGAATGAGTTGTATTGCGTTCTCGGAATACTCTCCACTGTCCATGAGGAGTGGAAAGAGTACTGTTCGCAGTTTCTTTCCTTCTCCACACGCCAAGGCATCAGGCTCTCTACCGACGACTTCAACCAGATTCTCGGCGGGGTCCTCGACGGGTATGGTAGCCTGCAAGGCAGGAAGGTTGTAGATGCATGGTGCTACAAACCTCCAAAACCCTTCGAGCCGTATCGAGCACCGGGAGGTTTGCCTACTATGCCTCGCACCCGCGTAGGCAAGGGTGAGGAGTATGAAAGTCGACCGGGGAACATCGAAATCGTTCAATCGTCAGGAGCGGGGATCATCTTCCAAGGACGGATCTATCCCAATCGACAGACCATCTGGGCGATCCTGCGAAAGGTCCAGCAGGAGGAAGACCACAGGCGGGCGAAAGGTGAAGAATTAACAGCGTCTAAGCGCGCAAAGGTGCGCGAGACGCTGGAGTGGGCCGCGAAGCTGCTGTACTACCTGGGCTTCGACTACGAGGACATTGTCCGTGACCTGGGCGGTCTCGCAGAGCTGGCCGAGCTTGAGGCTCCGTCGGCGCCTAGAGTGGTTAGATTTGCTGGAGGCGAGCCAGGGTTCTGATGGTCCGGTTCGGCGTCGTGCATAGCCTACCGGACTTTGGATACAAAAATTTCGTAAAAGGTTCAGCGTCACATTTTTACCCGCTTTTGCACGTGAGAATCTGGTGTAACATCGCAAAAGTCGCGTGCTCTCGCAGGGTCCAAGGAAATATTTCTCCAGAGATGTCAATTGCCACGAACCGGTGAGCTCTGCTGTGGTTACTGAGTCAAATGTACTAGCGTCACGTTGCAGAAGTTCGAGTGATCCATGGATGGTGGCGGCTCGGGCTGTGACGAAGTGTCTCTCGACCCATCATCTTTCGTCTTTGCAAGCGGGCTTCCGCGTCTCTGCCTGCCGCAACCGCTTCAGCTTCACGAATGGGAAGTGTTGCCTTCGTACTGGTGTTCGAACTGGCACTGGGAGACGTACCCAATCAGGAAGACGAGGAATAGGCCACGTCGAATGATCTCGAGCAGGCCGGACTGCGCACTCCGACCAACCAGCGCAGAGTGGAGCAACGGTGCTCGCATGTGGCATATGCGGCCGAAAAGGCTGCAGCTTGTGCTACCATCTCCGTGGGGCGCGATCAGCATAGGGCTTCGCAACTGTGACTCCAACATCCACGGCAGAACCAGAGATTGAGATAGTAGGACCATGTTTGAGATTCCCACAAGATACACGGCGCCATGTCTCAGGCCAGGCCTCTGCACTGCAAGAGTTGCCGCGACGGCCCGCTGCTGTACTTTTCTGGCACGGCTGCGTTTGCACCGCTTCACCGCTTTTTGGCTGCCGGCGCCAAAGCGTATCGATATGTGTTTTGGAGGGGCAGTCGACGTCAGGGCAGGGTCCAAGGGGTTGATCTATGGCGCCGTTCCCGTCCCCCAGCAGGACGACATTCGGTGCTGGAGTGCGATTGTCGTGCAGAGACATTAGCGATGACGATGGCGCGAGCATCTGTCGACAGAGGTGAAGCGCAGTTCGGCGATGCAATCTAACAGCATGCAGGCTGTTGTCTGCGGCAAGGATTGCGCATCGCTGCGGCAGGCTCGTGTTTGAGGTGGCCCAATTGGATTTTGCCGTTGCATCTTGATGCTCTTTTTAGCCCCGCTGCCTCATCAGTGCGTGTTTGAACGCTCGTTGGGCCTGCGTACAAAGTTTAGTTTGGTGGGGAACCCGGCGCCGCTGTGATATTTTCCAGCGGGCGCAACTCGAGGGGCACACGACCGCTCGAAATCTCTGCGCAGACTCTTCCCCGAGCGCACGCTCTTGGGGTGACTGTGGTGTCACCTTTCTGCCTGCTGGGATTGAGAGTGCAGAAGAGTCATAAGCGGGCGCGGGCGCGGAGTGAGGCCGGGCTGGCCGTTGGACGTCGCGGTCGCCCTCGTATGATGACTCCCCGGTCGCTTCTCACCGCTGATGCTAGTCGCCTTAGCGCGCCCGATACGGCTAGCGGCTTGGCACACCCCAATAGATTTTCCCATATCCACCTGCTTGTGCCCGCCGTCTGCCCTCCACACCCTCACAAGACAACGAAGTCGCACAGAATTTCCCGAAACCCTCGTATTTTCACAGCATCCATCACCCATCTTCGTCGAGACAATGCCGCAGGCGATCGCTGAGCTCTAAATCCCCACTGGGCAGCCCGCAAACGTTTGTGGGCTGTCCCAGCCGGCCAGCTCACGAGAATTTCAACCTCAACGACGATACAAACTCACGATTGCGTGTGGCACCTCTGCTCGCAGCCGTCTCAGCAATTGATCCATCGTCCGCCCTGCCCTGTCCAAATCCTGCATTGTCAGTTCCACCGGCTCAACGCACCGGAACATCGACGACCCTCTCAAGGCTCGACATAGTTAAGAGCCTTCCACCCAGTACACCACACATCCAGTCGACCGCACGCTGTTCCCCCTGCCCCTCCGACCGTCCCGACCGCCCCTCGAGTCCTCCTTTCTCCCCGTCCTCCCTCATCCAGTGCTTCCCGAGTTAGACCAGATCCAACCACGGCACACCGAGAGCAAGGAAAAGTCCAACTACCATGGCGCACACTACGCATGCTCGCGCAATCGCAGCCGAGCTTGGTGGTAAACACTTTCACAACCACAAGCTCATCCATGATAGCCCCGTTGGCGTTCGCAGCAGCGACCAGCGCTCTTCCTCCTCAGACGACGCCGCTCCCACAAGCACCCATCACGCCAGAGGGCGAGGTGGTGGCCAGGCAACCGATGAAGAAGCGTCCAGCGAGGACGATGACGAAGACAGTAGTCCTGATCAAGATGATGACCAAGAAGACGAAGAAGATGACCCAGAAGTGCTGGCCCCGTCTCACGGCCGTGGCAAGGGCAAAGGAAAGCGCCCGGCCATCCGCTTTGGGCCTGCTGGCCGAGATGAGTCTCAGGAAGAAGAGGGCGATGAGGCCTCATCCCGTGAGACGGGGCTCAAACCTAGCCAACACCCGGTGAACCAGCTGCTAACACCGAAAGAGAAGAAGCGCACGTTCAGCAACGTCTCCAACACCTCGGTGTTGTTCGGCGATAATGATTCTGAGGAGCAATTGTTCCCTCGACGCAAAGTTGCTCGAAAGCTCAGCAACAGCAGCAACAAGCCGTTGCTGAAGTATAAGGAGAATGCTAACCGAGACATGAACGGCTTCGAGAACACCATTGAAAGTGACGATGAAGATTACAGCGGCGTCAATCTAGTGCCCGATGACGACGATTCCGATGTGGGGGACATCGAACAGGAAGAGGAGACTTTCATCATTCGGGACGAGGAGCAGCAAGCCACGGTTCTCATCAATCAGTATAACGACGCCCGACGGCTCAGTCTGGATAGCTGCACCAGTGACAATATCTTTGATCTCACCGCACCATTGGATCAGGGCTATCTCGAGGGCATGAACCTCCCCGACATTGGTTTCGGCCAGTTCTTTGAACCGGAGGCTGTCCCTTCTACGCCTGACCAAAGCGCCAAGAGGAAGTACTCAGATGCGTCGACTAAGCGCGTACGCTTCGATGATGAGGTTCAAGTATCAGACAGTTCAAGTACCTCCTCCTCCGAGCTCGACAGCTCTCTCTATCCTGACCTGTTCTTGGAGCAGGACAAGCTTCCGCCTAGTTTGTTCCAGCTTCTTGAGAACGACAATGATGAAGACAACGGAGACTTCGACTCTCCTACGTCCGAAGGATCCTTCTGGGATCTTGGTCAGGACGAGGCCCGGAGTACACCCTTCAAGGGCGGCGGCGACTTGGATAATTCGTCTGACCCGGGTTCTAGTGGCTATGAGAGTATGCTTGTGTCCCATATTGGCTTTGCGTTGATCACTAATATTACATTTCAGCCGATATGGGTGACACAACTGACGAGTATGATTCTGACATGGAGTCGGACGGTCATCCCCAGACTCCGCTCGAAAAGAAGTCTGTTCTCCGACGTCCTTCCTCCGCACTGGGATCCAAAGCTTCGAGCCCGAAGCCCTTTCAGCGATCTTCTAGACCAACTGGTCGCGCTATCCCTCCCACCCGTGGTATCTTCATCCATGAGGATAGCAGTAAAGCCATTGCGGTGACCAATCGGACCACCAAGACGCTCACCTTTTACCGCCCGCGTGCTTCGGTCGTAACTTGGATTTCGGCACCTGGTGCCCCGAGCAGCTCCACAAGCACTGCCAACAATAGCCCGCGTACCTCACTTCAGCAGTTCAATGCTTCGGACAGCGAGATAAGCAATGAGGTCTTCAGCAATCCGTTCACCACCGATATCATGCTGACGGGTATATTTGGTTCTGCCCCTACTAATGACTTCATCTTCGGAGCAGAGAGCGTCGGGCCGCCGGAGGCATTCTATCCCTTCGTTAGTATTGGAGCAAATGGGACTATCATAGAGGAAGACGACGAGTATGAGGAGGACGAAGATTATGAAGACGACCTCAACATCACCGATTTCATGGATTTCGGCTCCGATGTTGATGCGACTGATGTGGAACAAGAGGACGACGAGACGGATGTCCCGGCAACTCCTGCTACCTCGATGGTTGCTTTGAACGGCTCTACTCCTGCTCAACCAACATCCTTAGTCGAAACACCGGCCAGTTACAAGAGGAACGCCTCTGATGCCATGCTCGAGCACTTCGATAGAGGAGTAGTAACTGCCTTCCGGAACAACCAGAACCGCTACCGCGATGTCGCGTGCCTTCCTTCCGATCCTACCATTCGCGCTTCGGTCTCTAAACCAATACGGTCCGGAAAATCAGCCGAAACCCTCATTACGCCGCTTCGGAGGCGTTCAAACTCAAAACGAGCTGCAAAGTCCCCATACCAGGCGAGCTCGCCCTTGGCCAATGCCAGCTCTCCGCTTAGTGGTGTCACAAAGGCCTCGTCAAGGTTGCACAACACTGTCATGAAGTCCCGCCATGCACCGCGCATGGGGACTTTCTCATGAGCACCGACCCGTACCGCATTCACCGCTATTACCACCGACACACTCTAATACCCTCGTCATGTATAATCGACGGTCTTCGTGGATCGCCGATTAATTATTGGAAGAATTATTCGACATCTCCTGGGGAGGTCTCGCAACGACTTTACGATATCCACGGCCTTCTGCCTTTGAGTTGTTCACTGCGGCCCTGTTGTTACTACACACTTGCTATGTGTTTGCATATCCACTAAAAGTTCCTTGGTTCGGCTCATGTTTTATGATGCTCGACAAAAGTTGAACGAGGACCGCGGAGCTGGACGGACGGCAATTGCTCTCTGATCCAACATCGCGGGAAGAATAGCTTCGGCTGATCGCCAGTACCTAATTTCTTTCGGTTTTGACTTCTCGTTCATTTAGCATCTCCTTGTCTCTTTGGTTGGCATCTTTTTCTTTATCATGACCCGCCTTTTCTCCAAGAAAGGATCAAGAAGGATTGGGATGATACCATGTGTTTTCACGGGAACCGGGACTTCGTTGACGATCTGATGGGGTTGACTGCCTTCTTCGGAGTTTAGTTCCACGGTTCAGGGAGGTCCGTGGAATTGGACAGGCGCTAGGATTGCGGAATACATACCACCTAGATCCGTTTGGCGTCGGGTCGTTCGGCTGAGGGTGCTAGCCCCGTCTCTGTCAGGGGGGCAATGGAGCGGATGGATCTAGCTATGAGAAAGCCCGTGTGTAGGAGTACTTGATGATTGTGTTATTTCAGCAATAAAAGTCCAGCTTCAAAATTTGCTTGTTTGGATCGGCATTGCATTGCGACAGTGTGGGGGAGTCGGCCACCAGGAACGGTGCACTGGGCACATGTCCACGTGCTGTGCGACGTACATGTACCTGCGTCGATGCATCTGTACTATTGCTTTCTTATTTTTACCCCGCAGCGTGGCACGGTCTTGTGGATGCTTGGCGTGGTGTTGAGTGGTCCAAGCGCTTAAAGCTAGGACACCGACGTCACTCTTCTTCATGTGAACATCGCCGACGCGAAATATGTCCAACATCTTCCCGCTCGGTCAACCCCCTCGTCAGGCCGGCATGGAGGACGCAGAAGAGGACTATTATGATGGGAAGCCGATCTTTCAATATGTCAAAGTGAGCCTTGTTCTGCCTTTGTGCTGCGACCTCATCTAAACATTGACACCCTCGCGTTCAAACAAAATACAACTTGATTCTAACCCGAGTTCAGGATACCGTTCTCGCACCGATCCGAATAGCAACCTCCCCCACCCTTCTGCGAACCTACCTCCGCACCGCGCTCCTGCTCCTCACCTCGTCGATCCTCTTCGGCATCGCCGTCATCGCCTACACATCCTTCTACTACACCTACATACCCGTCCGCGGCATTACCGTACCCATATACCTACAATATGACCACTCCTCCTTCGCCCCCTCCTCTCCCTCCAGCCTCCAAGCTCTCGTACCGCGACCACCGAAATTCCCCTACGGCATCGCGAACGTGAACGGCCTCATTAGCCGGCAGAAGTACGATGTCGTCGTCGAAATGACGTTGCCCCGAAGCGAGCGGAATCTAGAAGCGGGGAACTGGATGTTGGGGCTGGAGATGAGAGGTCCGACGACGATTGGAGGTGGCGTGAAGGGTATGCTTGGGTGGGAGGAGGAGTGGGATGTCGACGATTACTCGCAGGGCCCCAATGCCGGCAGTATGACTGAGAAAGTCGCAGGAGATGGGATTGTAGGGGCAGGAGCAGTGGAAAAGCCGGTGGTGCTGGCGAGGAGTAGGAGGCCGGCCATTTTGACGTACCGCAGCTGGATGACGGAACTCGCGTACCGCGCGCTACGCCTCCCGCTGTACATGATCGGCTGGGGGCAGGAGAGCGAGAAAGTGGAAGTCCGTATGATGGAGGGTGTCGATTTTGATAAGGGATGGCGGAACGTGCCGTCGTCGCTGCGCTTGGAAATCCGCTCGAGAACGCCGCTTGAAGTATACAGGATCGCAGTTCGGTTTGCGGCGAGACTCGAAGGGCTGAGGTGGATCATGTACAATTACAGGTTGAGCTCGTTTGTGGTAGCTACGAGCGTGTTCTGGGGCGTCGAGATGAGCGTTGTGTTGTTGACGTGGCTTGCTTTCTCGCTCTGCTTCGGCGCTGCAGGCGAGCAAGAAGAAGACGCAGGGGATCGGAAGAAGATCAAACTCGAATCCGGCGCTATAACACCCAAAACCGAGCCTCCAGACTCAGAACCCGCAACGCCCTTAAGCGACACGTCGCGCACTTTCCCCACGCTATCCTCCCACCAACGGCTACACTACACGTCTCCGCCGGACGAGCGCTCGAAGGCGAAGGAGGAACGCGAGACGCCCAGACTGGAATACTTGCCTGTGAAAAGAGATGAAGAGGCGGATGACGAGGATGATGATGAGAGTGCGGATTTCTTGCTTGAGGAGCCGGTACCGAGGAGTGGAGAGGGAGTGCTGACGGATTCCGGGATTGGTACCAGTTTAGAGAGTAGTGTCGAGGCGAGGACGGGGCTGAGTAGGAGGAGGAGTGGTGGTGGTGACGGTGGAAAGAGGGAGAGGTGATGATAATGGCTTTGGGTGCATTGATAGGTTTACTTTAGGTTGCAGCATGATACCATAGATTCAAGTAGCAAGTTTCATTCTGTTCATGCTAGCTTGAGATGCGCTTCTTGTCAGCGGTTGTCTACATCTTCTATGGGTATATTCATCCTGCAACTCCATGCGTACCTCCTCCCAATCAGAGCATAGGCCTCGTCTCCGTCATCCCACCCCCGTGCCTCTTCTCAATCCTCTCCCTGCCCTTGATCATGGCCGCGCGCACGTCGTCCGCCGTCAAGTCCGTCAACTTGCCGAACTCCACCTCCCTCCTCACCAGACTCTTCGCAACGATGAATTGCCCACTGCTACTCTCCACCCCGCCCTCCACAGCATCGCGACAGAACCGCGCCGTCTCCTCGAAATGCACCCTGCTCGCCGCCAGCCCCTCAAGCATCATCCCAAAACAATGCGGCATCGCCTCGAACTCCCTCCACCGGACCTTCACACCCTGCTCATACAACCTCTGCGCCAGCACCGCATCCTCATCCCTCAGCATCTCCTCGCCCAGCGAGAAAAACACGGGCGGCGCACCGCTCCAGTCCTTCGCTGCCACGGGCGACACGAGCGGATGCAGCAGCGCGGAGCCCTCGCAGTAGAGCTCCGCGCGCGGCGGCTTCTCGGGCCACGCGTCGCAGGGCGGGTAGCGCATCGTGTGCGTGTGGCTGGGCGGAGGCAGGTAGTCGTATTTCGCCAGCGCTTCGATCGACGGGAGACTCCGCGTGACGTCCAGCCACGGGCTCGTCAGCGCCAGGCCAGCGGGCAGCGGGATCTCGACGTCGCGGCCGTGCCACCGGACGGTTGCTGGGCTCGAGGGGTCCGGCTTCGTGCGCTGGATCTGCAGCAGCAGCTGGAGTAACGCGGTGCACAGCGTCCCGCCCGCGGAATCGCCACCAAACACGATCTCTTTCGCGGGAACTGGTTGATGTGGCGAACCTTCTGGTGGATACAGTAAGGTCAGGTACGCGGTAAGCGCATCCAGCAGCGCCGCGGGAAACGGATTCTGCGGCGCGAGTCGATACCTTACGCTGAACACCCTGCCGCCCGTCTCCTTGGCCAGTCGCCCTGTGATGTTCCGATACGTCGCCGGATCCAGCAAGTACATGGCGCCGCCGTGGAAATACAGCAGCGTGACTTTACTGCTCGTCTCGCGCATCAACTCCACGTACTTCTCTTTCTCGCTCAGGCCCTCCGGCTCAGGCGTCTGATGGTGCGCAGCAGCGCGATACCCCGTCCACTCCGCCTCCAGCGGCGTCGACGCCGGCTCGTCGTACGCCTCGCCCCCCTCTTTCAAATCCTCGATTGCTTTGAAGAGCAGTTTGCGGACAGCATCCCCGTCCTCGGGGACAGAGCATTTCACCTTGGAGATCCAGACCTTGCCCTTGACGCCGGGGTCCTTGGTGGTGAGGCGCTGTTGCTTGGAGATGGACGTTGTTTTGGAGTGGGGGCCGAGCATGTGGCGCAGGATCTTGATGGTGAGTTCGGTGCGCAGGTCCCATTTTGAGGACGTCTCAGAGAGATACAGGGTGTGTGCTACGGCGGTCTTTAGAATGAAGGGGGTCTTGGGGAGGAGGAAGCGGAGCATGGCGGAGGGAGAGGACTCCATTGTGGCGGTACTGTGTGTTCGAGCCGGGGATGTGGCGTCGGACGTAGTGGTTTTAAAAGCTAGTCGGACCAGGCTGAACGCGGGAAGGAAGGGAATAGAAAGCAGAGGCAAGAAAGGAATGAAGAGACGACTGAAAAGAAAGATGAGAGAGCCTCTAAGTGGCAAAGCGAGCGCTGGTTTATTCAGAAGTCAAGTGGACAGGGATCTGTGACGCTTCGACGATATTGCCTCGGTTTCGCGATTGCAAGCATATGACTGGCCAGGATGAACCTCACGTCGTGAATTTCGCGTCCCCGGCTATTGTCCGCGTGGTCAACTCCAAGCGGCGGTTACCTTGCATGTCATGGGATGCAGGGAGGAAACAGAGGCCACATAATCTGTTACTACAGGTAAAGAGACTCAATAATTCGAAGTATGCAGCCTCGCAAAAGGGGCTGAACAGGGTTCGCCTGTTCGTATATCACAGGAGACGATCAGAATGGATGACCAAGGATTAGAAGCTGACAGAATGCATTGAAAAGGCCGAATGGGAGGGGAAAATGCCGTCCCTAACCTTGCCATCCCAAGGGTATCTATCGTCTTAGACCCATCCTGTCTAAACGCCAGACCCCACGCAATGCAGATACCTAAAAGAACACAAAGACCAATACGCACCGGCCTCAATCAGGTCAGCGTCGCGGAGGAGGCTGGAACTCAGCCCAACCTGGTTCAACCGGAGCGGCTTTAGGACGTGGAGCAGAAATCGGCTCAGCTAGAAGGGCTATAGGAGGGTGATTCACATCCTGACTACTAGCTTGTACGGGCGCCGTAGGGGTATGGGTGGGGGGCGAAGGCGGATGATCTCCACCCTCGCTGGCAACTTGCGCGGACGATGCAGGATGTGGCTCAACTGGAAGGGCTGAAATAGGGGAATTCGCATCCCGACTACCGACAGATAGGTCCGGTGCAGGGCTGTGGATGCAAGACGCAGGCGGAGGCGAGGGCGATGTTGGCGGTTCATAGCTCCCCAGGGTTAAAGCAACCAAAGAAGACATGGGGAAGGCAGATGCTGAATCTTGTGCACCCAGCTCGCCGGATTCGCGGACGACATCTTTTCCTCGGTCCTCGTTTTTAGGCACTTGGTTTGCAGCTTTTAATCCCGGAGGGGTGGGAGAGACAGATGCCGGACTCTATCCATCCAGCTCTCCCTCTTCGCTGACGACTTCCTCGCCTCGGTCTCCGTTCGCAGGCGGTTGACTCGGCTCCTGCGAACCCGGCGTGTCGAAGTCGATCGCGTCCTCGGGAGACCTCAAGCCAACATAGACACTCGACTCCCCATCCTTGTTGGGTGTCTGCTCGTAGATGTCCGCCATGATGTTGCACGCCCTTCGAATATCCCTCAGCTTGACATGCTGGATTTCCCACCAGGGCTTTCCGTCCTCGTCTGGGAGTTCGATGTCGACCATGCGGGCTCCGGCGTATAGCGATGCAGCGGCAATCGTGTGCGACGTGAATAGCAGGCAGAGTTGCGTGAGGCACGAGTCCGACAGGAACGCCCAGGCCGCGTTGCGTAGTCGCTTGTTATGCTCGACGCCGTAGTACTTGAGCATGTCATACATAGTCTTGTACGGCGGCTCGACGCTGAGATCAAAGCACAGCGATTCAAGCAGCACATCCTCGCTGTACAGAATCGTATCTCTCCACTTCCAGAAATCCTTCGTCTGCTCATCAACAAGCTTGTTCGGGTCCTTGAGCGCGACGCGGACGCAGGCGACAACGAGCTCTTTCATCTTGCGGCAGTTTTCTTCGACCTTTGTTGCGAGAAACAGCGCGGTGGCGGCGACTTGCTGCCAGAGCGTAAGCAGCGGGCGATGACCGAGGTCAGAGAAGAACGACAGGAGAGATGAGAGAGCACTCACGTAGTGGTGGAGGGGCTTGTAGCTCGGCCGGCTCTTCAGGCTGTTGCGCATGAGGTAGCGGTTGAAGAAGACGGCGGCAGTGCTTAGCGTTGTTTGCGGCAGCTTCAGCATCATGCCGACTTGCAGGATGAAGTTGACGCCCTTCTTCCGCAGTGTTCGCTCCTCTTCGGGAGACATGCCGTCGACTATTGAGGGTGCCTGCAGCAGCTCTTCTTCGGAGAATATCCATTGCTGCTCCGCTTCTGCGACAGCTGGTGGAGGAGGGCGCGGAGGCTCACGCCGCAGCGGAAGAGGGTTCAGAGCTGTCGATACCATGGCGGATGCGTATAGATGGGCGAGTTCGTAGCGTTGTCGGCGGCTTTCCGGAGACGGACTTGCTTCGACGACACTGCGCTTCGCTGTCGCTCGTAGTTTAGGTTTCGAAGACAATTAGGAATCGAAGGTATTGTCCGGCGTTGGGACAAATAACCCGAATAATGGCCTAGTGAAGGACCACGGTCCTTGTGTGACGAGCAGCACTTCCGCGGGGAAGCTGCCCGTGCACGTGATACGGAGCGGGAGCGAGTTCGATTGGGAGCGGGAACTGCCTAAAGAGGCAAGTACTGAAAAGCCGTTGATCACTGCACAATAGTTGGTGAAGTTTCACCTTCACCGGTGGCCCAAGCGCCGAAGCTGTGCCCTTCACTCGCGCCATGTCTAATCGAAGACTAGTCCGAATTCAGACTAAATACTTTTGAAGCCTCCATCCATGCCACATACATACGCATGTTCATATGGACAGCCTAATATCGTACACCGTCGTTTGAAGGGTATCGCAGAAATCATACAGTCATTGCATAACATTTCTCATCCCAGCCGCGACAAAGGAAAAACAACCAGAAAAGCGAAACCAGCTCCCCTCTCTATTCGTCCCTCAACAACTCCCCAGCGCCCTTAAACTTCGGCTTCGGCATCGGAAGCACCTTTGTGCATTCAGTCAGCTGGTTGATGTTATTGACACCGAGAAGCGACAGCCGGATATACGAGTAGCTGTAATCTTCGTTCCAGTGACTCTGGCCCTCGGGCCCATTGAACGATTGCCACTCATCCGCCGTCCGCGAATCCTTCGCGAGAACGATATCACTCGCAAATCGGAATACCTTCTTAGGCAAGGGGCCAGTGCCGAGAGTTTGATTGTAGAAGAGCGTGTCCCAGACGCCCGGCGTCCCGTCCTGAGGATCGCCCTTGCGGGAAGCGTCGACGAAGAACTGTTGGGATGTCGTGTGCGCACCCAGGAGAGCGACGAGATCGTGCGGCGTGATCGTTTTGTCTTGGAAGAGATTAATGAGTTGGTCGGCCGAGTCGTTGACGCCTGGGAGGAGGCCGTCGGGAGCAGGTTTCTTGCTGTCTTTGCGGCCGACGAAGGTCCGGATACGGGGCCCTAGTGGGCAAGCTATAGCGTTCATATCAGCACAATTCTTGCCGATGATGGAAAGAGGAACGACTTACTAACGACAGCGTGCTGAGCAGCAAACTGAACCAGATCCGCCATCCCCACACCAAACTGCCCCTGCCACTGCCTTATTGACTTGACGACATCCTGCAAGCCATTGTTCTCCGGTCTTTGCATCTCCTCTTTCGCGAGCACAATGCTTCCGTCCGCGCCTCCAAAGTCCTTGCCTTGGCTGGAAAGCTTCTTGGACCAAGTGCCAGCGTCATGGAAGCCTAGTCTGACTGCGGCGCGCGCGAACTTGTTGCATCGTCCGGACGGCCCCGTGAATCTCTGGGTAAGAGCGGCGGATACATGCGCCCAAATGCAGCATGTATCTTTCTTGCACTTGACCGAGCCAGGTGGTCCCGGCGCTTTGTAACCCGCTTCAAGACTTTGACCCGACTCTTGCTCAAGAAGAATCCTAGCGATAGTCTTCCCGATCGGTGTTGTCCCGCCGTCTTTGATATCGCCTATAAGCTCTCCTGGCGCCGACCCATCATCGTTCGGGTCCGTCTCTTCTTCGTTCTCATCTGTCTCGCCGGGGTCCTGGCGAAGTTTCAGGATTTGCCTCGGGAGTTCCCTCTTGTGTGCACGCCGCTCAATCTCGCTGATTGTGTTTGCCATTCCCGGGTAGGCGTAGATACATTCCATAAGGGAGAGGACGCCGAGACCCACCACGATGTTAGAGGTCTTCATATTAGGATGAAAGATATTATATTCAGACGGAAGCTGAGAGAGATAGAACGACGAATTGACTTTAGAAGTGACCCCGGTGGAGGTAGCGCCATCTTATACGCCTACATGGAGCTCTCATAGCCAGCACCCGCAACTTTCAGAAGGTCGCCGTATACTCTCTTGGACCGTGAGTTCTAGATAGACTGGAAATCGCCGCCTAGGACGAGCCCTTGGCAATATATCCACGCTCGTTAAGACGCATGATGCAGTTTAGCAGCTCCGACGAGCACGAGCCTCAAAGGAGAAAAGGCCGTTATACTTTCCTTTGTTGATTGGTGGTGTCTAGAACTGTGGCTTCGCGGATGATGGCCAGGCGCAAGCCACGAACGCTTGAATGAGGCTGAAGGAGTATAAAAAGACTTAGCATCCGAGGCTTGAAAGAAAAGGCTTTTGTGTGGCAGCTCGCTAGGCGTTCCTGAAGGTGTAATCCTGAGAAGAGGTCTAGACCGTCCCATGAAAGAGGCGCGCCATGGAGAAGGATACTTCCGGAGACTAGCCAGAGCCGACAGATCCACGGTCTTCGAGCCTTGCGGTTCCTGCATGCTGCCCTGGCTGTCTACATGGTCGGATCAAAGAGCGACATCCAGATAGGGCGACGTTCTGGGACATAAGTAGCGAGGCAGATGAAGGAGATTTCAGTACAAGGGACGCCGAAGGCACTTGCCGGGAAACTCGATTCTTCGCTTTTTAAGAGCATCTGGAGAGCCTGAAATAATAATATCGGCGAATCATTGTCTTGCTGTAGTCAGCTGGGCACTGGCGCCATAAGCCACCATACTGAACAGCGTGGCATCGCATGATACGAGAGGCTGAATCGAGGCAGAAGAACCGATGTATGGCGGAAACCCGACTTTGGAAATATTGGGCTGAGCATACGAGCTGGCTATGGAAATCCCGTGATGGTGCGAAGTGAGAAGAGATAGGCCGACCAGAGGTTCTTTATCCAAGCGGGCCGAGACACAGCCGAAGCCGCGGGAAGAACGATTCCCGGCTCAGAGGGCGCGGCCCTACCGTTGTTATTCGCGACGGCGTTTCACAGCTTGAGATGCGTTTCATGCATAAGATAGTGGATTCGCGACGAGAGCGCCTTGTGGTAGATATGATGCCTCATCGACTCCCAGGGCAGCCCTCTATATCACAAAATGCTGGGTCCCTCAATACGCCAACCGATTCAGAACGCCTTGCAGTCCGTTTTTAGCCTTATAGTCCGTGTCGCCCATACAATTAATATTACAAAGCGAAAATTCGGACGGTAGCTCTCGCGAGCGGTATTACAATAGATATGTGGCCGATGTCAGCCGCGCAATCAAGGACGCCATGCAATGCTCATGGGGGTGATTTCTACTCGTGGTACATAGCCTCAACGAAATAAATGACGCCGAACGCGAGGAATGCAATGGCTCCTCCGAGAGTGACTGGTCCATGTTAGCTGATGCGTTTGATGCAAAGTGAGCTGCAACTTACCCTTGCGCATACTGACCCGGCCAGCAATTGCACGACCACCAATGACTGCTCCGGCTGTGCAAAGAGCATGTCCGAAGACGGCGCCGCCCGTCACCCACCAGTAATCTGATCCAGCAGCCATGGCTACTGTAGCGATTTGGCTTCGGTCACCCCATTCTCCAAGGAAAGTCATGACGAAGGTTTGCACCCATGCAGGGCTAAGAAGAAGAGAGAAGAGGTTGTTGAGGCCACTGAGCATGCTAGAGATCGATGTGCCGCTTGGAGACGGTGAACGGGCGGGCGACGAGGATGGGCTTCGAGCGGGGGCGGGCAGTCGTGAATTTGACCTCGATCGGCGGGTGGTGGCTCGGCCAGATTCGAGGACATAGGGAGAGATGGAGGACTTTCTGCGGCTTTGGCGTCTGGCGAGGGATTCCTTCTCTTCTAGCTCCTGCTCAACCTCTCGCATTTCCTCGCCAACACCTTCATCTGGGCTCATAGCAAGACCCTCCCGCAACAACTTCACCCCAAAGACGGCAAATAGCACCGCCGCGGCGAGATGTGTGAAACGCTCCGGAATGAGAGTCGGGACGGCATGGCCCAGAACTGCTGAAAGGACCGTCATGACGATCAGCGCGGAGAATGCGGCAGAGAAGACGACGAGACGTGGGTGGCGCATGGCCATCAGCGCAGCAACCAGGAACGTCTTGTCTCCAATTTCGGAGAAGATGATCATCATAAAGGAAAGTATGAAAGAATGGAAGGGCTGGATGACGCCGCCAGCGTCGCCCTCGTCCATGTCGCCGGAGTCAGATATCTTCTGTTGTGGACTTGTATCTAGCGGGTCGCCTTTCGAGGCCGAAGGAGGGAGTGGATGCGGAATATCATGAGGCGTATCGGGCAGGTCGGTGGGTTTCTGCTGTGATGTCAGTCATAAAACTCCACTCCGAGCTAGTGTCGCGACGTACCTCCAGCCCCTGCGCACCGAGCACCCGTGTTTGTGTCTGCGTCTGAGTGTCTTGCTTCTCTTTTAAGTGCTGCTGCTCGCCATGGGGAAGCGGGGGCGCCTCTTTCGGTGGCTCTGGTATCTTCTCCATCTTCTCGCCTGTACGGTCCTCGTGTGCCAGGCGTTCCTTCTCCTTGGCTGACACGCCGCCTTCTGTACCTGTATTGCCCTTCGGCGACGCCCTATCTGGGTCGTTCATGACGCCGTCGTCCTCCTCTGCTAGCGCTGCCCATTCTTCTTTGGTCATCTCCTGCGTCGGGCTGATACGCGTACCTGGCCGCAACTCTTCTATCCCTCCCGGACCCTTCTTTGACGTTACGGTTTTGTCGTCGTAAACGTAAGGACCTTCGTGGGGCTTTCCATCATATCCGTCTACTGGGGCATCTTTGGTGCCTCTCGGCGCTGGCGATGGGGTCGAGGCAGGAAGTGCGCTGGCATCGGAATATTCGGGCGCCGCCGCCCGCGCGACTTGTGTATCATCGACGTCTGTGAGAATCTGTGCGGCGACGGCGTGCAGTGCGGGGAGCAGCAGGAGAAGCGCCGACGTTCGCGGCTGTCGCAGCCTCATGGTGTCGGTGAGGGCGAAAATATGGACAGGGGTATCGCGATGATGTCTTTCGGCGCAGGGACTGGGGCGGGACTAGAATACAAGCAGCCGTGCAGCACGCATCAATCCCAAAGAATGGAGGGCAATCCGAAGGAAGACGAGAATCGAAAATATCGGAGCGCTGTCGATCGGCGTTGAGTGTCAGCAGTCGAGGCGTGAGGGCTGAAATGCTGGGGTGCGGCGTTGCTTTTAGGAGGCCGATTACGAGGATGCGCGCAAGGGGTATGCGGCCCTTCACAGTATATTTAGTGCCCGGGGCGCGCTGAAGAACGGTCGCCGCAAGAAAGGGGCGTTTGGATGGAGTGATGAGAAAACCGATTTCTGAGCGGCTCGCGATGTTTCCGCTCCACTTCAAACAACTCATGCACACTCCAGACTCTGCCCCTTCCCCTTCTCCCTGAACGGCATCATGGATTGTGGAGTTAGAGAAATCGGGCTAACCGCAATGGGCATGGCCGCCCGATCACATGAGTTCGTAATCTTGCCTTAGGTAATGCGCCTCGCCCAGCGGAACCAAAACAAACACTCCGCATCGTCGCATGTCACTACCGCCCTCGATCTCCTACAGCACATGCATTACCAATCTTGCGCGCAATTCCGCTGAACGCCCAGCATGGCCGACCGCAGAAGTGCGCGGCCCTCGAGTCGCCTCAAAACCGCAACTCCACAACCGCCCTCCAGAGCGACCACGCCGCAAGCCGGTCGCATAACGCGCAGGAGGGGAACAAGAAGCGCCAGCAGAGACGTCGAGCCGCGCATCGAGGCAGCGAAACCGCCCCGACGTAGCGCCCGTCAAGCAAGCGTCGCCAGCGTTGCCAGTGACAGCGAGCCGGAGAGAGTTGCTGCGCCAAAGACAACGCGAAAAGGCCAGAAGGAGGCAGTTGGAGGTTAGTGGTCACCGCGGCGATGCAATCCGCAGCATGCGCACATTTTGACAATCTCAAATTTCTTGGTTGCTAATGTGGCCTCGCGTACAGACCTCACAACGGTAGAAGAAATCGAAACACAAATCGTCATCGAAGACGCTCCACACACGCCGCCGCGGCTCGAAGCAGAAGCTCCCGTACCTCATCGCTCGCCCGGGGCCATCTCTGAAATGTCCGGGACAACTGCTATATCTTCATTCTCAATGGTCGAGGCGGAGATGCTGGAACCGCGCTTCATCGTTCGGCACTTGCCCAAACTGTTCGAAGCCTTGAAGGAATTTTTAAATCATCTAGTCCCAGACAATGGCCAGCTGGAAGACGACCATCAAAACATCATCGAGATGCAAATGCCCGATTCAGACTTCAATGCAGACTATCGGGATTTTGATGCGGAAGTAACCCTTCGTCTTAACCACTTTCGCGGGGAACATGAACAATACATCCACCTCCGTGCGATTCATCGAGCGCTCTTTGGACCAAATCGCGACTCGGCTGCGGCACGATGCTGCTTGGATCCCGTTCTTTACATGGCAAATCTTCTCATCTTTGCAAAACAAATGATGCGCTCAGACAGAAGCGAAAAGGAAATTTGGAACGCCCTGCGCGAGCTTGACAATTTTTTCCCAGCCCGGTTTCTCCCCGCGCTCATCCTTGGCACGAATGCATCAGAATCGCCAACTGGTGACAGCGCGCTGCTCCAGGAGACGTTTGAGCTAGCTTTGGACCTACGAACACAGCTTGCTATCCTTGTGCTGGAGCGCGCTTCAAACGACAGTAATTTCAACCCAGATGAGGCGCTAGATGAGGTCTTTTTCCAATCAAAATCTCCGCAAGCAGGTGCAGGTTCCGTGATCCGAGGCTGGAGCGTCTCAGCGTTGGGGGGTGAAGACTCCGTCCTACCACAGGCATTCCAGGGAAAGGTTGTGGAACGGTTTAGCCAGATGCGGGAATTCTTCCCAACAGACGCTGAATCGCTGGAAAGGGGAGATGTGGCCGACCTTGACGGCTTAGGTTCGAACTTCCCATGGAACTCGGTTATCCTACGGCTTCTTGGTTGGGTGCGTCTGCGAAATAGGGAGCTCCAAGCGGCTATTCATAACCACGGAGGGATCTCAGCTATTGTGGAGAGGGTTAAGGCTGAAATGCAGAATGCAAGCGCTAACGAAGCTCGAGCGACTTCCGTCCCCCAACCGTCGCCACGCAAGAAGCGAACATCATTCGGACGAGGCCGAAGGCGCAGCAGCCGCAAGTTTGACCCGAATGCAGATGTAGACGACCGGGTAGTGGACAAGCTAATAGCAAGAGAAAGGCGTTCAGCTGTCGAACCTGCGGCGGAGTCTTCGCAGCAGATGCAACAACAGCCCGAAGAAGAAGGAGGAGAGGAGGCAGTGGTTGGGCTCAACGAACAGGACGACTGGCACATGCTTCCAGAAGATGACCAGCAGCCGACAGTCGAGCCAATAGAGGAACCTCCCGAAGAGGCAGCCGGCCCGTCAGGACCCCCTCAGTCTACAGTCGAGATTCTGAGGTTGTTAAAAGAAGGCAAGAAGCTAGACAAGGAGAATCGCGGTGTGTCATTATTCCAGCGGCAAGCGACTGCGCAACGGGTTGAGTTTGGGGACGGATTCGACGAGACTCAGCCCACGCCAGGGCCTTCGCGAAGCAAAGGAAAACAGCGTCAGCAATCATCTCCACGGAAGCGGCGTAGGGCAGCAGAGGAGAGCTCCGAGGACGAGGAAGCCTTCGAGCACGAGCAGCGCACCGCCAAGGTGCAAGAACGACGAGAGAAGGCGAAACGCGTTCGCATCGACCCAAGTTCCTCCGGTGCTCCAACCAGTCACCAGCCCCGAGCCAGGAACGAGAATGAAGATGAGGAATTCCAGCCTCAAGAGCAGGAAGTGAGTCCATCGGAGACAAAGGCGCCAGAAATGACTGAGCCAGCCCCGTCCTCCACATTCTCGGACCAAAAACAACTAGCGCGGGTCAATATACGGGCGAAAGCTAAACCACGTAAAGCGCGAACTGGTTGGACTGCTGAGGCCGAGGAGGCGCTCGTAGAATACATGGAGAAATTCCCGCAGAGGTATGCCCAGATTCTCGCGCATGACGCGGCTTCTGGTCGTCCTCTTTTGCGGGATCGTACGCAGGTCAATCTGAAGGATAAGGCTCGGAATATGGCTATCACTATGATCAAGTAAGTTACAAGGCGGTTCGGGGCTGAATGGTACGAGCTAATACGCATAGATCAGGGGCGGGTCTCAAAGTTGGGTTCAAGAATATTATCTCGCCGGCTTCTGCGATGGGCCGGAAGCTCATCGACGAGGGTTTCAGGGTGGAATAGCGCGACTTTTCTTGTTGTATGGACGCGATTTTGCGGCGCAATTGGGTGGCTCGGTTTACTATTGCTATCAGATACCCCTAGGGAAGCGCCCGGCGCGGTTTGCTTATATACTTTCATCTTATGATCTTGCAACTTAGCTCTTATCCCTCCACCGTATTCCCCACTCCCCCTTCGCGAAACTAGCTTCCACAACCACACCCTTCATAACAGCCTCGCACTTCCTCTCTGCACCCTCCCCATCTATTTGAAGCCCAAACGCACACCATCTTCTCGCAGCACGTCTCACCCTCTCCTTCTCTTCAGCTCGCCGCTGCCCTTCCTGTCTCTTCGCCTTCATCTCGTCCGTCTCTTCGATGCGCTCGGCCCAGCCTTTCTCACCGCCTATACTACCGTTGATATCGGATTGGGTTTGTGGTGGACGAATCTTGCCGCCGCCGTAACCGTAGTCGACTTCCTCTTCCTTCATCTCTAGCGCCACTCCTCCATCTTCATCATCTGATCGAGCGCTCTTGTCGCTAGTGGTGCTTGTTCCGTCCGTAGAGGGTCGAGGCGTAGGGCCTGGCGCCGGTGCAGGGCCATCCACCATATCGACGCTTCGCCAGTCCTCGGGCTTCTCGACGATGCCACGTGCTGCTCTGTTCTTGCGGCGTCCGTATATCTTTTCGGGATCTTTTCCCCGGGGAAATACAAGCTCCTCAACCGTACCGCACTCCACGATAATCCTCGGGTCACCTTTCACCGCTTTCCTCTTCTTCTGCTTTCCCTGCTTCCCATCAAAATTTCTCCCCCCTTTGCTGCTCCGAACTTCCCCATCATCATCATCTCTTAGCGACTCCGGGCTAGCCCCATCTAGCAGCGCTGCAAATACTGATTCGATCTTCCGATCAATGGGTCCAGGTTTTGTGTTCCGGCAGCGAGCAGAGCAGTACTTTACTTCTTGCGAAGCGTGTGATTTCCGCTGACCTATGACGCGTCCGCAGCTGCGGCAGTAGGGGACTGTGTCGCCCGCCGTGAGGTAGAGAGGCGGTGGTGTGACTTGTGACTTGGAGGGGCGTGACCAGGAGTCCATCCATGACATGTTGGCTGGTCTTGTAGAGAACGGCCTCTGGGTTCGGGAGCTTCTAGAGGAGGGAAAACTGTGGAGATAGCTGAGTGTCGAAAGTTGAGAGGGGCAGGATTGGCCGCGGCGAGCGTGTATGTTGTTACGAGGGAACGACGTCATCGAGTGATGTCGAACGGACCAATATCAAAGTGGTGAAGCTGCGATCCCGCGAGAGGCATAATGTATCTCAAGCCCTATGATTATCTCATATTAGAACACCTAAATCCCCTTCGATAGACCAGCCCAACACTAAGAGGGCATCATGACTACTCGTAGTAGAATAGCGTGGTCATGCACGTGAACTATTTCCCAAAGCGGAAGCATCGATCATCTCCACCTGCTCGAAGTCCCAAGTTGTGATTCCCGTACGAACCCTTGACGAAATGCCGTGATGCTGGCGCGATTTCCAACAGAGTTGCCCCCTCCACCCTGTTATTGGCTGCTTCTCGGCCGACTCCACCAAGGCGCCTCATCCGAGGTGTGGCATTCACCTTCCACCACGACGTTACCGAGCTTAACACCCTCATCGTTCGGATACTCCGGACAATCGAGGAGGGCATAGAACCCATCTCGCCGAAGCCATGGCATTCATAAACACGCTTTCCCCGCCTCCTCCCCGCATACAAACCTCCCTTGGTCGACCCGCTCTCCAGCCCTCATTCTGCGCAGAAATCTTCATCACGTTTCCCCCGGCCGCGAGGACCAGTCACAAAGCGGACAAATGGAAGGACTATCATCATCAGCGACATCCACATCGCTAGCCGCGTCGCCGCTCAACCATCCCTTTCATCACGAATCCATCTTCGCCGCGAAAGCGCATCGCGTGCGGCGGCGCCTGAGTAGCTTGCACCGCACAAAGAGGGCCAGGCTGCAGCCAAGGCCCAGAAACGCATCCATGTCGCCGTCCAGCACGCAACTGGACCCCACGACGGGAGAATCCGGAAGAACTGGACCTACACCCGCCGCCGAAATATCGTCGGTCCCAGATGCTGCCCGCCCGCGACGTCCCACAGTGCAGTCGGATATCCAGGAGACGATCCTGCACCCGGGGACTGTGAGAATCAATGTGCAGGGCGCCTTTATCGTCGACGATGAGCCCTCCACGCCCGAAAGCGACGACTACACCCACGACCCGAGAGACATTAGGCTTCCGAATCATACGGCGGTGGTAAGCCATATTGCTGTCGATGTAAGTCTGCGCGCGACGTCATGGCGCTACTGCTGCAAGGGACCGCTCGCACCGCGCCTCCGGCCGTTTCTACCCCTCCGCATGCCTCAAGGAACATATGCTAACGGTGCAATTGATGTCTAGATCGGAGGGTCCCTCGCCAAACTCGTTTACTTCTCGCGCGAACCCGATGAATCTAAAATCGGCGGCCGGCTCAACTTCATAAAATTCGAGACGGAAAAGATAGACGCATGCATCGAGTTTATGCGCAAGCTGCAGGCCGACCACCAGCAGCTCAATGGCGCGGCACCGGAGGAACTGTGTGTCATGGCAACTGGCGGCGGGGCGTTCAAATACTATGACAGGATAAAGAAGGCGCTAGGAGTGGAAGTCATACGGGAGGACGAGATGGAGTGTTTGATCATAGGTACGGTGCTATTGTCGAGTAGGCGAGCTATGAGACGCTAATGATGTTGTCACCAGGGCTCGACTTCTTCATCACCGAAATACCCAACGAGGTCTTCACGTACAGCGAGGACTGCCCCATGGACTTCATTCCCTTCCCTCCTACGCCACCCTCGATATACCCCTACCTCCTCGTAAACATCGGCTCCGGCGTGTCCATGATCAAGGTCTCGGGACCGCGGCAATACGAACGTATCGGTGGTACATCGCTCGGGGGCGGAACACTTTGGGGATTACTCTCCTTGCTAACGGGAGCCCGGAGTTTCGACGACATGCTGAGACTTGCGGAGAACGGCGACAACTCGACAGTCGACCTGTTAGTAGGCGATATATATGGAACAGGGTATAACAAGATCGGGTTGAAGAGCTCGCACATTGCCAGCTCCTTCGGCAAGGTCTACAAGCTGAAGCGAGCCGCTGAGAGCGAGGCTGAAGATGGCTGTAACGGCGATTTCAAACACCACTCAGAGGAAGAGCACGTTGCAGGCTCGTCGGAGCTCCCGCATGCACCAGCCAAATTCAAGCCAGAAGATATCTCGAGGTCATTACTATTCGCAGTATCCAACAACATCGGCCAGCTTGCATACCTACACGCTGAAAAACACAACCTACAATACATTTACTTTGGAGGGTCCTTCATTGGTGGTCACTCACAGACCATGCATACGCTATCCTACGCGATCCGGTTCTGGAGTAAGGACACGAAGCAGGCTTACTTCCTAAGGCACGAGGGGTATCTAGGAGCCGTCGGTGCGTTTTTGAAGAGACAGCCGAGGAATTGGGGAAGAAGGAATAGTTTTGAGGGGCCGAAGAGGACAACGTCTGTATAAGCATCGTGTCCGGAAATTAGAGCAAGAGGTGAGGGCTTAGCATATTTTCTTATCTAGCCAGGTTTGGGATACAGTCTGATTGGGTGATACCAGACAATTGTAATATGCATGCGCACATAGATTCGTCTAGCGCCAGGTATAGCTCCTTTGATGTCCTCTTGTCTTTCTTTGGCTCTCGTTCCTCTCGTCTTAGACTCGTTGAGTCATTCGTTTCTAGCTTTTCACCGCTGTTCACGTTATCCACCTTCACCATCTAACAGACCCCGCTTCCTTCACCGGGTGGAAGTGTTCGCTGTGACTACTCTTTACGCAGTGCCTTGGAAGAGGGGTCGCGCCTTCCCACCCGATGAACGACTGTTTACTCGGCTCACCGCCACCTGTCACCACACGACTTCACTAACGCTGACCATTCCTTTCCTTCCCTTGCCACAACACCGCTCCGCCCTCTCGCGGACTGCTTTCTGCTGTCATTCCTCCATCGAAGGCGAAAATCCGGCTCCGTGAGTGCACGAGCTCCGCACGATACCGGAGACACCTGTACGTATGTCACTTTCGCCTTGCTCTCGCTTTTGGTGAAAGATTAAGGTCGCTGGAGAGCTGGGCGGGGCTGATAGCTGTGTGCAGAAGCTACGTGTGCTATTGGACGGACGGTCGCCGATCGATCATCAGCCGATACAGCCGCAACAATGACTCGAACTAAGCAGATGGCACGCAAGGGCCAAAGCAATAATGTCAAGCCGAAAGTGACCAAACCCAACACTCCTGAAGATCGCCTCCGCGCTATGCAACGCAAGATCCGGATAATGCAAAGGAAAAATCACCGAGCCGAAGGACGCATCCAAAAAGCCACAGAGCTGATTGACGGGAACAAGAGCAGGATTAAATCTCTAGAGAAGCAAGTCGCGACGCTGAGGGAGGAAAGTGACGTCAAGGTCAAGAAAGAGCTCGAAGCGGAAGAGACAAGCGAGAATGATATTTTAGTGAAGCATGAGGCATCCGAGAGCAGAGAGAAAGACACCGACGATGGGAGTGATACCAAGGTCAAGGTGGAGCAGGAGGATTCCAGGAGCGGTGAAACCGGGCTGGAACAGGAGACTCATGTTCGAATCAAAGCCGAGCAGGACTGGTATCACCATCAGAATGATGGAGGCACCCAGGCTACACATGATGACATAATGAGGACATAGATCAAATGCTGGAGGGATCCCTAAGGGGAATTCGAGAAATTTTCGTGGTTCCAACTATTAAGCCGCAATGCGAGGACGGGATATGTATAATATCACCAAGAGTCTCTAGTCATACATCATGTCTTTCATAATTCGGTATGGAAAGCCGAAGTTCTCACGCTCTTTATTGGCAATGGGGTCCTGCAGGGCTCACCGCCAATTTTCTTTCACCATTAGTTCCTTCCCCACCGTTAGTTCATTCCTCACCATTCCCTCGGCCTCTTCCTCTTCGCTTCCGATCCTAGTGGGAGGGATCTCCTACCACTTCCCCTCAGCACGCAACGAAACCAAAACCAACTAGCAAAGGTCACTCCTCCCTCTATGGTACTGCAAATTAGGTGGCTAACTAATTTAATCACAGGCTGCGGTCCCACACTTGCTTCGAGAATCTCCATCGCCCGCCCTGACCGTCGAAAGCCAATCACTAAACCACGCTACAATGGCCAAAAGGAAGGCAGTCGCGGACGACGAAGAGACCGAGACCCTAGACAAACTCCAAGAATGCGAGGACCGAATGGAGGCCAATAGAGACGCCGAGATCCTAGCCCGAATCCAAAAATGCGACGACCGTATCGCGAGCTGGACGAAGACGCAGAATTCGACCGAGCAGAGCGAGGCAACCGCGGCCCGGCGCAAGATCAAAAACCTGAGGCGGAGTAAGAGGCAGCTCGAGGTTGCGCTTGCGAAGCGTGGTAAGGCGAGGAAGGCTCCTACGGGCGCGCGGGGCGGTGCTCTGATGACAAAGGTAAGATGAGAAACGGACAGACGGATGGGGGAGAGCGGAAGTTTGGAGAGAGCGGCAAGTATGCCGGTATGGGAGAGGTGAGGGTTGGGCAGAACGGCAAATATGCGGATCGCGGGGGCAATGGGCTTGAGGAAGGTGTGGAGGAGCTATTTGGAGTCGGGTTCGCTGCCGTGAATGGCGTTCGGTTTCCTGCGCGAGAGGAGGGCGGCACTGGTGGCACCCTGGTCGAGACGGAGAAGCCGAAGAGCCTGGGTGCACTGGGGAGGTTTTGATGGGGAATGCAGCCGTCGCAGCGAGGATGAGGCCTTGACTGCAGCCTGCGGTCGCGTAAACCCTCCAACGCACATCTGATAAGCGGAGCGGGCTGCATGGTGGGGAAATCACTGCGGGAATGGTTCAGGGCAGGATGTGAAGACTGGTCGGTCTCTTTCTGGCATTTGGTGTGCCATACGGATGCCTGGGCGAGCGAATTTGGCTGCTGAAGTCATTCAGATACCACGAAAGCTTTCGGATCCCTATTCATGTTCAGATCCGCGATTTATGTTCCTCGATCGACCGCTAACCCCAGCCCGGCCTAGACAATTCACCGAGCTACAGGCCCGACGAAAAAGTATGACTCTGCACCGATGACATCGAGGTTTGCGACCGAACGGGTGCATTCATCTCCTTTCGAACCTTAGAAACGTGCATTGGGTTTACCAATCCTGTGGTTCTTGCTATCCCGGTGGAAGGCTCGTACTGCCCAAATTCCCGCTCACAAATACCACAAGCACGGCTGCATATCTACCCGGTAACAGTCAGCCCGGGGCTCCTATGTGGCCCATACTTGAGTAAACAAGTACTCACGCTGCAGTAGCACCAAACAGCTCCGCCCGTCTCGCATTCGTGAGCAGCCCGACGCTGCCAGCAAACAGGCACGTAAAAGCTGCTATCAGACCCAACCTCCAGTTCGACGACTGAACGTTGTATAGCACAACGATGGCGCCTATCAATAGCAATGCGGCCAGGATGGTGCTGAACCACGCTATGAAGGAGCTAATGGCGCGATCTGACGCGTAGGCGATTCCTTCCCGAGAGCGGGAACGACGATCCTTTTGCTCTCCACATCAGCATCGTCAACAGCTACCTTTGCCTTCGTGTTTCTGGATCAACTTACGGGAAATAGAAATCCTAGGTGCTCCTGCGCAAAGGTGGTGAGCCGGTCCTGGTTTTCCTGCGCTTTCAACGCGACGAGATCATCGACGTCATCGTAAAGTCCGGCGCTGCGACCCCCCAATGAAGGAAAGCTTTTTGACTTATCGGGCCATTCGTTGTAGAACTCGGTCCGGAACCCACGTAAGACCCTTTTTGAAGGCCGCGGTTGAGATGCTAATGTGGTCCCTAGAAATAAGGCTTCGCGATATTCTTTCATCGTCTGTCGAATCTGTAACATCAGCTCCATGCGCTCTTTCTGTTTCGTATTGCCATCGTGAGCTGCCGCTCTTTCGAAATCCGCGTAGTTGCGCGCGCATTGCTTCGTCTCCATGGCTGCGCTCAGATCCTCTTCATCGAATGTCTGCTGTTTGCCTTGTAGCTCGGCGAGTTCACTCTGCAGATATAACAAATTTCGCGCTGCGAGCTCATCGAAGCGCTTGTAAATGAAGGTTGTCTTGTCATGATCGGTCGCGATAAAATGCGCAAGCGATGAATAACCGGAAAGAAGATGTCTTTTGGACTCAGCGTCATAGGCCCTTCCCGCCATGATCCAAAGCAATCGTGTATGTTGTCTGAGGTTCTCGACGTTGAGGCGCAGCCTGGCTGCAGAGAAAGCGGTGAGAACGCGGGGCTTGGAGTTTTCTCCAGGGCTTAATATAACCCCCGCTTGCTCACCCGCTGGAACAGTCTACTCCTCAGCACCTGGCGAACTTTCCTGAAGAAAAAAAGCAGCACTGTCCGAAATGGACCCCGGCGACTATTATGACCCGGATGATGCCATTCCGCGATCTCCTGGACTTCCTCCTATCTCCTACTCGGATCTTGATATCAAGACTTCTCCATCTCTGGATTCCCCACACTGGCTGCCTAGCGACCTCGATCAAGTTCCTCTAGTATGTGGTACTAGTCACATCCCTGCTGTGATTTTAATTGACTTCAAATCAGGATTTCGACGAGAACCATTGGCGAAACACCCGGTTGTCCTTCAAAATAGGCCTGGATTGGAATGTCTCTGCTTCGCTTCTTCTAAACGGCCTTACGCCCGATCGACCGGATATTGTGCAATCGATTCTAGAATCTGACCAATCTCGGAGAGCTGGCAATTATCAGCAGTGGTGCAATTGGAACGGAAAGAGGATATACCTCAATGCCCCGGACGATTTCATCAGGCCTCCTCCACCTGCGAAGAAATTGCACACGATCGGATCGAAAATTTCCGGGAGTCAACGTAGGCATGCCACTCGTCTAGGCCTCCCGCTAAGGCTGAACGCTCGCGATGGCCCTGCAACCGTGCTGGCATGCCCCGATAGTGGCTCTGAGGAGAATATTATCGCTGAGGACCTCGCTCGCTTACTTGGCTATACCGATTACGAAGCTGTTCCCCTTAACAAACAGTTTCTCTTGGCCAATGGCAAGATTGTCGAGTCTAAGGGACAGATAATTACCTACTGTTGGTTCGGGAAAGAAACCGATCAGATGTCAACACCGATGGCGTGCTCGTTCTATGTCCTTTCGAACCTAGTATCTCCGCTCATCTTGGGCATGGAATTTCTGGAAAAGACGAAAACCTTAACGGAACATAGAGACAGACTTGTCAGGGTTCCGGCACGCCCTACCCAGGTCTTACAAGTATGTTCTGTGGGTCGACCAAGGAACCATCTTCTTTGCCACTTAGACGAGGAGTTGACTCTGGCGGTGCCCGACTCAGGGTCTGAAGTCAACTTGATGTCTCCACGCTTTGCTTCAGAACGCAGTCTGCAAGTCCAAGCCAAGGAGGAGCTAATCCAGATGGCGGATGGGAGCCTAGCTGTAACCTCAGGGTCACTCCAGGTGAACTTAGCGGTCCGGGATCCAATATGTTGCGAGAGCACTCTCCCAAAGCAGACCATTGTCTTAGTGGAGTTTCTGTTGCTCGAAGACTTGACTCACGATATCCTTATCGGAGAGCACTCGCTGGATAAATTGAAGGTATTCACGGAAAGCCAACACTCACTGCTCGCTGTCTCAGATGCCACGGGTCCTGCAAGGCTCAACCGCATAAGACACTTCGGGGCAATAGATCGCGCGTTAGCTTGGGTAGTGAGGAAACTTGGCAGCAGGACCGCACAGCAGAGAGCAAACAGTCAGTATACTGCCGGCAAATATTTCTGCCCCGATGTGAACAGCCCTAACCTACGAAGGTTCCTTAAGCAGTACCAACCTCACAGATAGCCTCGAAGATCAGCGGGAGAACGACCGGAGAGAGCGTGAGGCGGCGCGGATAGCGACCCTTCCAGAAGCCTTCCAAGGAAATGCTATAGCCATTGAGGCACAAAGACAGGCGGAGTACGAGCTCAGGGTATGTTGGTACCATTCGAGTGCTATGACGGGTCTGCGTAGCATAGTGTCCTAGGTTCACTTTGAGTTTCTTCTATTTCTATTGCTAATGTGCTCGTCAGACTTCTGTAGCTGTGCCTGACGCCAATGCGGATGCGAGTGTCGTACCAACTCTCGAGACCAATTCCCTTCAGACTAGGGCCGAGGCGAGCCAGATCTTCAGATGTGGTCATCCCGGATGTAATGCACCGCCATTTCAGACGCAATATTTGCTCAAGTAAGTGGTTCAGATGCTACCTACATATTTCATACGCAAGGCTTAGGAGGCTAGTTGCCACGCTGATATCCATACCCAACTCCGCCCTTACTTCTGCTCGGTGTCTGGCTGCCCTCGTGCAGCGGGAGGGAAAGGTTTTAAGCGCAAAACGGAAATGATTCGCCACAGCTTAGGTCATAAATCGTCTGGCTATGTTTGTCCATTCTGCCTTGATTCCGATCATAGATACTCCAGGCCAGACAACCTGAAGACGTAAGTGCTGAGAAGGCATCTACCAGCAGGGACCATCGAGAGACTGACTACTCTTGTTTTAGACACGTCCGACTCCATCATGCGGACAAAGATCAGAACGACCCTCAGCTGAGGAGGGCCCTCGCTCGAAAGCTGCCACCATTGACGCCTTCCCGTGGACGTCCAGGACAAGCTAGTCCATAGCTTGGGCCCGAACGTTGCGGTACTGCATTGATAAATGACTTGAGTAAAAGGCGGAAGAGGTGGTGCCTGCCTATTAGAGGCCTTCAGGAGTGACTTTCTATAGCCAAAACGGTAAGAGATGCTGGCGTGTTTACTGCGACATAGGGTGTCCAACTCGACGATCTCTTAGATACCAAAACGTTTGCCTTAGACTTCAATACGGAAAATCTGATTAGTTTTCTTACGCATCTGTAAAGTTTATGTGCGGGTTATCGCAAGACGTTGAAGCTAACCCGAGGATCCGTCGTTACACCTAAAGCACCAACAACGCGACGATGTCGCCTGCAAGGATTTCCTCTTTTCGTATGTCGGGCAGGGATGATCTGCACAGGGCTGAGTGAGCGCGAAAAGCGATAAATACGAAGGGAGCGATAGAAAGTGCGATGCTTTGGATACTTTGGCGAGGGAAGATATGCTGTATAAAAGACGAGAACAATAGAAAGTTGAGAAGCTATACGCGCCTTTTACAATTTTCTATGCTCCCCGCTATCACGCCCCAAGGCTACCTTTTCCTTATTTGCTTTCTCTTCTCTACGTGGAGGCTGAAAGGACGAATGGTAAGAAGGTTTGCAAACGTGTTAGTCCCGCACGTTCCAACCTAAGGCTCCCCTTAGTCTAATACCGGAATAGGTACCCGGGCGTTGTTGTACAACAAACCTCTCACCTCGTGCAATTCTCTTCCCCATTACTCCCCAGCAATGCAACCAGAACCCAAGAAAATCTCAGTTCTGGGGCCTCCCGGCTCCGGCAAAGGCACGCAGTGCTCGCTACTCCAGAAACGCTTCTTTTGCGCGCACCTAAGCGTCGGCGATCTGCTACGAGCAGAGGTGGTCAAGCCGGGAAGTCCATATGCGGAACTCATTCGAGAGAACATCAAGGAGGGACGCATTGGGCCGAAGGAATTGACAGTCAGGTTTATGAAGCAGGCGATGGATGGAGTAGCTAAGGAAGGCGTCCAGTCGTTCTTCCTGGATGGTAGGCCGAACAACTGCATTCTAAAGACAAGGCTGACCCTTGCGCAGGATTCCCACGGAGACTCGACCAAGCAGAGTATTTCGAAGAGAAGGTCGGCCCGGTATCTCTCGTCCTGGTGCTCGAATGCCCTTCCGCTGTTTTGCTGGAACGACTGTTGTCGCGCCGCCGCGCTGATGACGATACCGGCACAATTCAGAAGCGGATCGATACGTTTAACAAGACGACGGCGCAAGTGCTGGAGAAGTACGAGGCTATGGGAAAGGTAGTGCGAGTGGACGGCAACCATGACGTGGAAAAGGTTGCTGCAGATATTCAATACGTGCTCCGGCAAGCAGGTGTGGAACTGCAAACCAGGGCTGGACTTGGGCTCAAAGCAGAAGCTTGATATCTCCATATGCCTACACTATTTCTTAACAAGGCCACCTGAAGCGGTGTCTACGAACGAGAAATTCAGGAAGGCCCTCATTGGAGTTTATATGAGGAAATGTCATCGGTGCTCGCTATAATATGATCGTGCGCTGGCTCCTTGTCCATCGGTCGGAGAATCGTATAAGCAGCGAATAGCGGCGCTCACTAATCCCACTTGCCCGGAAAACTGCGTGGAAAGATATTCAAGACAGCATGAAGAGTTCGTGATCTGATGAACGCTGCCAAGATCGCCGAGGTGAACATCTGTCATGAGATTCCCCTGCAGATTTCCCTTCGAGTAGGTTGAGGTCAGGAATTCAGTCTGGGTCGCTGGAACGAAACTTGTGCATAGAACTTAACTGGTTAAGGTTCTTACCGAACGGCCTATCCGATACGGAGTCCGGTCGTAGCTCAAAGCAGAATGATTCTTAGGTGCTGTGTGAACCGAATAAAGATATAAGGGAGCCACTGAATACAAAATGAAATTATCAAAGCCATAGCGATGCTCCGTGGCCTCCCGAACGCGCTTGACTGGTCGCCTTAGGTGAACGAAGAAATCTTGGAGGGCACCAAAGACATCTGCTGCGGCAGGAAGCTAGCTGACCGGCACGAAGGATCAACTGCTCGGCCCTTCCTCGACACGTACTGGGATGTAAAAGCTGGGAAAAGGTTGAATTGGGGATGAGACGAGACGCTTTGATCGCGGCGACGACCGAGAAAACACTTTGCAATAGCCTTATCGATAAACCATGTGAACGCTAAATTAGCGCAAGATCCCAATTCATCTCACTTCGAACGAACGCGTCCGTCCTCTCTCAATAAGATGTTATTTGGATGACCTCTATTCGCACTCTTTCCCTTCTGCATGAATTCCGTATGATCTGTCCTTCCACCGAGAAGTGGTTGGTGTCTCCAGAAGCGCCGACCGCAGCAAGTCCAGGAGTGGCTGCACCCGTCAATACATTCATACATCGCCCTACGTTGTTTGTGACCGATATTATCATAAGACTGGCGATTTCTACTGTAGGTTCCACATTACTATTATTTAAATCTGCTTTCAGACAAAGCTGCGGGCTGAGCAGAAGGCACTCAATCATTCCTGGTACTGACTCACGCCCAACCCCTGATAGAGTGAGCGAAATAATGGAGTATATGGAATACCATATGCCAAACCACCTTTGCTTACTGAAGATACATATCATAGAGCTAGTCTAGTTAGATGCTTCAACACGGCAGTCTCTGTAACTTTTCCTCTCGTAGCGATACAATCGGAGCCGCGCTCAAAGCCTGCTAACATCTCCCGCACTCCTTACTAAAGGATGATGCGGCGAAAGCGATTACTGCAATCCAGTTCCATACTATGCGGGTTTAACAAGCCTCCCGTATCCCAGATTCGTTGGTTAGACGAGTCCGTGACTTCTTTGTTCCACGCCGTGACTCATTCCTTCCTCCCACTCCCTGCATCCAAGAAGGGCGTCCTCCGCCCTTTGCCATCAAACAAACAACCACAAAGCGAATACACAAAACACTATCAAGAAAAGAAGCCCGCGAGCAGCTTTCAGTCTTCCATTGCTACCTAAATGCCCATGTATATATATCTTTTAAAGTCAAAGATTCGTCAACAAATCTAAAAGGCGTAGTGGCGGAGTGGTCAACGCGTAGCACTGCTAATGCTATTCCCTCGGGAGCCTCAGTTCGAATCTGAGCTACGTCGCAGATTTCTTTTTGCTTATCAGTCTGTGTTGGGAGTGTATGTAGAATAGGCTATAATACTTGCCCATAGATCTTCTCGCGCCACCCGACCCACCCACCCAACGTTCTTCACTAACAGAGCACTGGCGGATAGAATCAAAGCAAGTAGGAACTTCATGGCGACAGGTAATCGTGCAAACCGAGGGTATATGCTATTTTACGTTATAACATTGGTCAAGAAATTTAGAAGACAATGGGTTCGATCCATCTATGCGTGGATGCTCGATACCGGAAAGCAAATGCTGACAGGTTGCGCCGTTCGTTCTGGTAGGCGTCTACCTGGGCGTGCAGCTCATGGTCGTGACCGAAGAAAGGAGAGGAAGTTGGAGGCACAGTCTCCGGAGGCGCATGGAAGGGAATGTTTGTAACACCCACATCGGTTTTTAGAGTAGGAAAAGAAGGATCGGCGTAGGCGGATAGAGGGGGAAGAAAGGACGACAGCTACGACACTGTAAAGACATTGCATGTGTATCTAGCACTTCCAAATCGTGCCCTTTGGGTCCGCCTATTCATGCAAGCTCACCCAACCCTCCTAAACCGCTGAGCCTTTTGATGATACCCCTTCTGCCTGCGAATTTGGAAATATAGCGTCTTTTTTGCTGGTACTGTATATGTAGTATGCTCGCATCTTCTTTATGACGAGGTCGAGCGAATCGATGACTGCGCGCACTGCGCACCCAACCCTCGATGTACATCAACTTGCTCACTTCAATCTGAGCAGAGGAAACAACGTTCGGTGAAGTGAACCTTATCTATATAATGACTGCCTATCGTCCTACGTATTGCGTCTATGCCTTCTGGAATTGTTATTGATTCAAGAATCAACAGCTGCGCACCACGCTCTTTCCATCGTTTTCCTAGTCTTGCAACACCAAAAAAAGGAACAAAAAAAAGGACAAAAAAATTGGCAAAAAACCAATATCGCGCTCCTAATTTAGTGGCTTGGGAAAACCTTAGAAAGGTTTTATTTGGGGTCGGACCTCAGACCACATCTCGAGTGCCCGAATCGAACCGACGTCCTCTAAGAGAGTGATTGTTCGTCTGTGGAATCTTAGGCGCTATCCACTCTCCCATCGATCGGTTGATTATTGTGAAAAACATTCTAATTAAGAAATATATATACGCATTAGCCCTCGAATCTGCGGGCTGCGCACCTTCTCATGTTTGAGCGGCTTGGAACGGTGGCTCCTTCCATGGCCTCCATGGGCCCGTCACCTCACCATGGAACTGCGCGAACTGCATCCATTGCCACCACGAGTCACAGCCGCTGCGACCCACTGGCGGACGTGTAAAGGCCGGCCCGTCTGGGCTGCTCAGGAAGAACTCTTCCGTGAGTCGCATTGGCACCCGACAAAACTACCTGCACACTTCTCTTGTAGTACTGCTAATGCTATTCCTTCGGGAGCCTTAGTTTAAATCTGAGCTACATCGCGGATTTCTTTCTGCTCATCAGCCCGTTTTGGGGCGGAAGTGAAGTCGGCATTTCCCTTTTGCTCCCTCTCGCAGCTTGTACTGGCGATCTTGACTGCAGAGACCGGACTTCATTCCCTTCATGCGTTTTGGAAAAGCGAATATGACCCTCAGACGCGCCCATCCCTCCTAAGCAGTCAATCACAGCATTGTGAGAAGGTGTCAAAGAACTATGTTTCACAATGGTACGAATAGTGAACGAACAGCGCTTGCTGCCTACCACACAATACCTTGTTTACTCGAAGACATATTCACTCGAGTTTGGCGCCTTGAAAACGCTCTTGAAAACCAGCCTCTGCATAACAAACCCAGCTAGATAATATCCCTGTGGAAGAAAGAACAACTTCAACACGATATGCCGCATCTATTCTCCATCAACCACCACCACCACCACACAGCGAGCGCCCCTGAGCCTCCCCTTTCCAACTTCCCAGCAACACCATCCTCGCCCAACGCATATGCTCCCGCAACAACAGCGAACACTCCAAATAGCGAGCCCACCACATTGCTAGATCTCTTTCCGTCATGCAAGGAAGAAAAGCCTCCCAACCCAGCCCTCACCGTGCGCCTGCACAAGCTCCGCGAAACGCTCACCACGATCGAAATCTCTGTGCGCAACCGCGAACTGCTCATCTCCCTCGCGCGCAAAGACCCGCAATACCGACTCCACCTCTTAGAAAACAAGCAGTGGAAAGCGTGGGCCGAAGGCCAGAACCGCCTCTACTACGCAGTGCTCAAGCAAATGACGCTGCTCGGGGACCGCGCGAAGCAGAAGCATGTTGAGGACTGGGAGGCGAAGGTGGAAGAGCTGCGGCAGGGCACGCTGCATCTGAGCGATGTTATTGTGGGGGAGAACATGGCGTGGAATGCGAGTTGGCTAGCGGAGCGGCCAGCGGGGTTGAAGAAGGGGTGGAATTTTGGGGAGGCGGAGCGGAGGGGTGGGCCGGGGCTGGAGGAGGATCAGGTCGCTGCACCGACGGATACTGGGATGATGAATCCGAATGGGGATGTTGGGCGGAAGTATGCGAAGAACTATGCGGGGATTGCGAAGAACAGGCAGTTTTGAACACGAATTTAGAGGCGGGGGAAGCAGATAATCCGTCAGTCTGCGAGATTGTTGGACGAATTTGAATAGAATGCGATGCTATCTATAGACTTAGTGTATGCAAGTGCCAACCCTAATTGACGCGACGAGCCCATCGAATACCACCATTAACACCAAAGACATTACCTAATGTCGGAGAACCATAGGTATCGTAGGTATCATAAAGATGCAGCCAACAACTCCATGCCACGATGCGTAAGCGGCAATATGAAACCAGTATTCAAAAGAAAAATGTCTAATAATGCTCCCAAGTGCCGATCTGGTGTCCCAGCATGCGGGTCTTCGTCCAGTCAACTCCGTACTGATACGGTGCGAGAATAGGTTCTTCATCAATACCACAGTGATCATCTCCATCTCTTCCAGAGAACCAACCGAGCGCATATGTTTTCCGTAAACCCTCTACATGCTTCGTCATCTGCGTGCTGCTGAACTTCTCCGTGTCGACGAAATTGACAAGCATCTTGCTTTGGTGAATGAAGGCGAGAACCGAGGCCATCGTGCCGATTTGCCTGGGCATGAACTTGTGGGAACGTCGAGCGTAGACTAAGCAAGCAACCGCAACGAGGAAGAAGAGGATGACGATTGAAAGCGCAAATGAAGACCAGAAGGAACGGAATGTCTGATCCGTGTTATAGCGATCCCATTCATCGCTCGCGTCATGGTCGTTCTCACCGCCGTGTCCTGGAATGAACTTTTTGCCATCGACGGAGAACGATGAGACACACACGGTGAGGACCTCGGCTAGAATGGAACCGAAGCCAACTAACGCAACGATCCAATGTCGGTTCAAGAGAGCTTTGACGGGGAGGAAGATTGGGTTCGTGCCGGTGTAGTCGAGCGTGAGCGTCTTCGCAGGGGCGCGGCGTTGAGCGAGGATATAGTAGGGCTCGAGAGTACGGATGTCGCAGTTCATCGTGTTCCAAAGTAGTTTGACAATGGTAGCCAGTGCTGTTAGGAGGAAAGGAAGCTTTTCGGTTACGACGCCAGTGCCGTCGACGAATAAGAAGATCGGTAGTACGATGGCGAAGACGATTAGGTAGCATACATAGGGCACACCGGCCCGGAGACGAAGCATAAGCGGTCGGGGGTCAGATCCGATGTCGGGAATCTTCTCTGTGCTGTTGCGGATATATTCTCCCTGCCAGAGCGAGCTTTTATGCAGAATGTAGCGGCGATGTCGGAGTTGCTTGTGAATCTTTTCCAGAGGCGCTGTGTCTAAACCATGAAAGTCGGCCAAAATATGACTTCTTGTAGCCATGGCTGCGACGCCAGCGATTCCATTCGGGTCCGAAAGCAAACCACTCTTGCGGCGCATTTCGTAGATTAACACGCTACCGCAAGCGGCAACAAAAACTAGACAGGAGGTGACGGCTCTTGACCAGGGAGGATCGATGCGGACTGATTTCGGTTGGTTGGCCTCGCGCTGGCTCTGCGGCGGATACATTTCGACCGATGCGGACTGGAGGACAGGGACTAAGCTGCTTGCTATCAAGGTGGCCAGCGAGACGTAAATGACGGCAAACTGTCTGTGCCGCAGGGCTCGCAAAGGCACCAGCCAGCTCATAAATGTCAAGTAATCCATGTTCAGAGACTCGCCTGCCGTCGCCCCACTCTTCTTAGAGAGCTGATAATATGGTTCCAAGCGCTTGACCTCGAAGTCGGTAATCTGCCAAAGGATGCCGTAGATGACGAAAAAGAGTATCGGAGCGTATTTCCAAGTAAAGTACTTTAGTACGGACAGCTCTCCAGCCTTTTCGAACTGGATGAGACCGCCCTTCTCTGGATCTTCTCTAGCTCGTTTCATGGACAACTGGCAGAGGAATTCTTGGAGGCCCGCGAGGGCAAGCGCCACGATGATTAGGAAGGTGAGCCACGGCCAGCCCATGGAAAATGGCCGCCACGACGGCATATCGGGATCGGGAGGGAAATAGTAGCTCGTATGCGCGTCGCTACTGTCGCCGCGGCCGGTGGTTAGAACGCTCCGGGTCTCGAAATCGTTGCCCCCATCCAGATCGCTGATATCAACAGGAACTTCGGCAACTGCCACTATACCACCCATCTTCTCGGCCTCTTTTTGGGCATCCTTGGCTGCAGAATCTGCGACCTGCGTATTGGACAAGCCCCGTTTGTGACCATGAGCTGCTACCTGTTCGGGTGGTGCGCCTTGATGCGTGAAGGGCACCTCCATGATTGATGCCATTCCAGCACCTAATTGCGCTTCCAAGCGTTCGTACTCCGCTGCAAATCCAGCCTCATTGAGGTCGCGCTCTCGCTCCATGGCGTCTGCCGTACTGCCCATCTTCTTGGGAACCGCAAGTTTCTTCATTGGCAGGCCCCCATCGAAGCCGCTCAGATCATACCCCAGAGGCTCCTCCACCTCTTCGACATCTTTTAACCGTCGCCTACCGGAACCCGATTCCTCATCCTCTAACTTATTGTACTGTCCTCCTCGTGACCGCGCACTCTTTAAAGAGGTAAGCCGGCTCAAAAGCCGTTTTGTCCCACTGCCACTCTGTAACGCTGGTGGTGTGCCAGTCGGGCTGAAGGGGTCGGTGGAGGATTTGTACGAGGTATCTTCGGAGAATGAGGGAGGGGCGGGAGCGCTGGGAATTCGATATGAGGGTTCGGCTGGGAGGAGAGGAGAAGGATAGGACGTGCGCCTTGAAGAGGACGGTGTTTCGGCAGGGCTGACTGAAGCGACCGAAGCGGGACGGGATGGAAAGAGCTGTGAAAGCCTGTCGGATCCGGACGTGTTCTGTCGCATCAGAGGTGGTCGCGAATGTGAAGTCGGCGTCCCGCGTTCAACGGCCGGTGAGCCGGCGCGCAGAGCAGTAGGAACCGTGTCGATGGAGGGCTTCCTAGTCGTAGCGGGAGAGCCCACCCGGAGCGGTGAAGGGACCCCCTCCATGGTTCCCTTTTACGCGCCGGGATCCTCCTGTGTCTCTCTGCTGTTGAGGGTATGCTTGACACTCGATCGCGGCGGTTGGACAGCGGTTAAGAGCTCTTGAAAGGGTGGATCCGTACAGGATGCTCACGTGGGATAGCTCAGGAAGGGGAGAAAAGGCAGCAGGTTCGATGCAGGAGATCTCCGTCTCGTTCGCGGCTGAAGGATGCCTTGGGGCCTGGACCTAGATGTTAGCGGCGTTCAGCCTCGTGCAAATCGAGTTGAGCCTACCACCAAAACAGAAACAAAAAGCGAGCGAAATGCCCGGCCAGGCTACTCAACGCCTGTCCGCGACCACCATGAACGAAAGACAGCGAAAAGCGATTTGCGAGTTGTTGCAAGAGCAATTGCGTCTTGGACGACTTGTGCCTCTGCTCAGCCCTGGCGGCGGGTCAGATCGGGCCGAGCTGACAGCTAATTAACGGGACCCACGGCCCTGGTAGACGGCGCCAGGGGCTCTGCGGGGTATCAGATGGCTCTCCAGACGGCAGACGGCGATGCCATCAAGAATAGTGCACGAAGTACAGAGACGTAGAAAAGGCCGGATGGAAGCGGCACCCTCGCGGACGAGTCCTCTGCCATGGTTTCGTGCGCAGAGTGCAGCTTGTGATGGTTGGTGCTAAAAATACGACACAGCCGCATTGGAGCCCTGTCGGTAAAGATTGCCCCTCTGGTGCGGCGAGACGAATACGATCGGGCATTTGGGGGCTGAGAAAGCTTGAGAACATGGGAGAGAGCGCCAGACCGGAATTCAATACTTTGAAGGCGCTTGAGGAAGTAAAAGAGCATGCGGCTGGAGTGCGAAGTCTGAAGAAGCTTTCCAGCAGCTCCACGGGATTGGAAGGCGATGCGCGCAAGGCTGCCCAATGAGGACGGCGCAGGCGGTCGCGACTTCCTTTGCCTCGTCCAGACACGGACAGCTACACCACCAGCTTGGATAGAACTTTCAGCTCGGTTTCCTATCCCTTGATACATTAGAGTTGAGAGGACCACACTTGAAATTCACCAATGACCCGTGCACCAGGGCTGGAAAGAAGGGCGCAGCACCGCCCTACGGCAGTGACTCAACACCACATCACACGGGATATAAGTCGCCCAGGAGGGGCAACTTCAAGGGATATCAATTTCCAGCCATTCCTTCTAAAGTCCAATACTCTCTGATTACACGAGGCCCATGATGGACGAATCCAGAGCAAGCCAGACTCCCTACCGTCAAATCCGAGCGAAACACGACGAGAATACAGTCACCGTCTACCAAGCATATAGCGCCGAAATAGCCATTCCGGCAGTCAAGTCTCAGAAACTCAGCGCATCCCCAAGCTTCAGCACAACACGCATGACATGGATCAAGCCATCCTGGGCTTGGATGCTCTACCGCAGCGGCTACTCGTACAAGGACTCCAGACAGACACATATCCTGGCTCTGACCTTGAGTCGCCAGACCTTTGTCTCTCTTCTGAGGACAGCGATGGTGCACGGGAATGAAGCCCATGATGGAAACGCGAATCTCGGAGCTGAACGGAGGATAAAGAAGGAAAGAGTGAGAGTGCAGTGGGATCCTGAGCGCACCGTGAGGTTAGGGAAGCTGCCGTATAGGAGCATACAGATAGGCGTGCCCGGAGGATTGGTGGATGAGTTCATGGAGGGCATCGTCCGCATTGAAGATGTCACGGAGAAGGCACGGAAATTGAAGAGTGTACTTGACGAGGATGTGAAGACCAAGCTGGGAATGGAGGATTTAAAGAGGATGGAGTTGTCTCCGGAAGAGACGGAGGTTGAGATTGATGACGAGTTGCGAAAGATTCTACGTATGGATGTAAATGAAGAGGTATCATGATCCGATGAGATGTGTAGCTATGCTGCAAGAATATCTACAGCGCCTGAAGCACAACGATTAACGCTTCCAACACCTACTGAATGTATTGTGGAAAGGTCGCAAAGGAGAGTTCCTGGGAGTGTATAATCCAAAGTGGGTATCTTCCCGACACCCGATGCGCAACGCATCCCGTACTAGCCGATCGGTTCAAGCCCCAGAGAACAAGTCCAGCCCAATCTCAACCTCGACAGAGCGCGGAGATTCGCTTCGAAACATCCGCGAATTCCTGAAGAGATCGATGACGCGCTGGAAAGCAACTTCCGAAGCCCGAGTACCTCGATGTACACGAACTTTAGCCTCGCGAGACATATCCTCTGGTAGTTGGAAGACCATCCAACTGCAATCCGAATCGGAATGCTCGCTGATTCGAGAGAAACATTCGTCAGCCGTGCAGTCGCCGCTCAGAAGCACGTTTCCAAGGGGTAACACCGGAGCAGGCCCTGAAGAGACGCGATATAACCGTAGCTCGATCTGGAAGGATTCATTCCGTGAATCTACAGCGCTCCTCTTCGTAGCCTGGCGTCGGGTTTGGGTACCCATGACTGAATCATCAGACCCGGAGGCGGTGTCGTCATCGTCATCATCGTTGTCTGGGGTGAGGGCTTTTCGAGGCGGAGTTGATTTCGATTTCTGGGATTTTCGCACGCGTCGTCTGCGCGCTGGTGTGGCTGCGGTCTTCTGCCGCTGCTTCTCAGTCCTACCAAGGTTGAAGCACTTGCGACATACTATCTTCCGGAGGTACTGCTTCAATCTAAATGGTGTGAGTAACTGAACGTTCCTGAGATTGCGGAGCAGCTTACATCGAGCTGTCCCGGGGGTACACAAGATCAGACATGTACCTTGTGTTCTTCTTCGGTGACCGCAGATGCTCTCTGCTACCCAGCTCGGGTCGAGGCCATATCTTAGGGCCATATTCGGCGAGGAGAGTGTCGAGTTCCTTGTCGAACAGCTTAGGATCATCTTCGTAGTATGCCTGCTCGCCTTGCTCGCGTTGAAGCCGTTCCGCTAGGGTTGCAAGTTCTTCTTTGTACAGCTGGATCACAGGTTCGTACTTGAGAATGACACGTCTGGGGATATGATTTGGGTCTTCGCGTTCTTTGCCGTAAGTTCGGAGTCCAAGCGCCTCAATTTGTTCGTGTACACTCATGGTTGGGGAGGTGAGCCTCGACAGGTTGTCGATGGATTTGGGAAGCAATATCCGTCGCTACTGAAGATAGAGAGACTTCGCTAGCCTAGTCCTGCTGACGTTTGAAAAGAATGAGGAGATGTCGTACCGACAAGCGCCCGGGTGTGAACTCGCGCCCCTGAATGAGGCTGGAGTAGCGCACGGACCATAGTGTAATCCAGGCGACTGCGTCGAGGCGGCGCACCCACTTCACTCCACCGTAACGTCGCCGCAGGTCGGCAACAACAGCTTCGCTGCGATTGATGTTTGACCTTCTGTTAGCGTTGGCGCACAATAGGAACAACAAGAGCCCGGCCGAGGCTGCGGCACCAGACCGCACACCCTCGCAGCTCGTCCAAATTCCACATCAAAGAATCCAAAGCTTCCTACTCCCAGACACACCCTCTCGCCCATCAAGTCAACAGTCTTCCAACTCTCGCGGTCCGTTAATCACGACTTCTTGTTAGTCGCTACCCCACCAGGCAACCACTAGCCTCGCTCGGTAATGGCGCCGGAACGCGACATATTCTCCTGCTTCAACAAAAAGGGGCGTCCGAGAGGCCACTTCTTCAGCTGTCACGACCTCTACGCTGCTGGTGTCTGGATTGGTTACTTGTCGCCAGAGAAGCATGGCCAATCGTTCAAAGGGTTGCCCTCGTTTAACCAGCTCAAGAAGAACTGCCAGAAATTCAACCCTCCCTTCCCTCCTGGCATCCCTGGTGTTGCTTGCGAAGAGCGATATGCAGTTTGCCGCGGCTGCTTTAGCGGCCAGTCTCAGCTCATCACTCTACGGGAAGTCAATTTCATGAGCAAGATGGTGAGCCGATCGTCTCTCCGCCCACTTTGACCACACCAAGCTCACATCTTCTAGAAATTGGTCGTCATGCCACTTGATGGCACGGACGACGAGGGCATGTTCTGCATTCTTCTTCCTCAGCCGACCGACAGGTCTCTTCAGGGGATCCAAGCCTACAGGCCATATGAGTACACAAAAGGCGGTCAAGGCCAAACCTTTGCCAGCAACATTATGCTCCTTGGACTTCGAAACAACAGTCAATCCAGCGGCACATTGGAAGCTGTCCGTGTGGCATTGGAACCCCCTGAGACTGCGAGTAAGCAAGCCAATAATGAGTCTCTCGTTTCACCAGCGGAGGCTACTGCATCGCGAAGTGGTCGGTCCGCGTCGACTACCGACAGGAATTACGAGCATAATGCCGGACAATGCACAGGACGCGCATCAGAGAAGCGGAATCTATCAGATGGCAGCAGCGAGAACGAGCGGCCATTCAAGCGGCAAGAAACTGAGACGCTGATTTCCCGAGCACAAAAACCGACTCCGGGCTCACGCGAGACAACTGGGCCTCCATCAAGCATGGAGCACAACATTCCCACTTCCACACCTCGCAATACCGGCTCTGCTCCCGCTATACCCGAGGTAATCCCGCTAGATCTCACCGACGAGCAGTCGAAACGAATCCGGCTCATCTGGATGGTGGAGGCCGAAGCAGTTGAATATGAGTTCGGTCATCCCCTCTCCAATTGCGCTACTTTTTCAAAGTATCTGGAACTGCTTCAGGAGGATGCGGCCGACGATCGAGAAGTCATTGAAATCCTGCAGAGTACAAGGGTGTGGCGCATGACCTATCAACTCTCCGGCGCTCCCAAGAAGGCTTTCACTGTACGATTGGGCGACGACACCGGATTCGAAAGGCTTCAGCAGTCTCTTCTGCAATCATCATTTTGGGAAGGAAACCCCAAGTCCAAGATCGATGTCATGGTTCGAGCCTTGAAGTGAACGATACCCAAAACTTTCTCACTTTTAGTTCTGGCTTTACTCGCACATGGGCATACCATCTCACGAGCATGCCCATGTCATTTCGGGGGACAGCAGTTTCCCTTGGCGCATGATGGAACACGTTTCAGCCGTGGTTGAGCTTAGCTATCTGGCCTGCTATATTTGAGAATCTCACCGTAACGGGCTATACACGTACAGCATCATTTACCTGCTATTTAGCTAGCTCATATTTACTACACCCCTCTTCAAAAATTGCCTCTTACACAATAGATCACTCTCCCCAAGGCCGAAGAACGCCGTGAAACCGATGAGCGTGATACGGCAGCGGTAACGAACTTCTTCCCGTGGGATCTGCTTCCGCGATGTAAAGATTCCAAAGGAGGCCCTTTCTCCTGTCCTCCTGGGCTCTGTGCTAAGAATGCTTGCTGCCCACGGCTGTACCTCATGAAACCACTCACTTACGCCTGTCTTTCTGACTTCTTAATATCCGCGCACGTAAGTACGGCCTAACATGCTCCTCTCCGGGGTTAACTGTCGGGTCGTTGAGGCGGTGAGAGCTCGCGTCTTCACTCTTGTCACGTGAGACAGCTGTTTGGCTGCCTGCATGTGGCGTCCGACGGCAGCCGCACTGTCTTTTGATTGCAGCAGAGCAAACGCACCCTCTCGGCAAGCTGCGTCGGCCCTAAATTCCAATTTTCACAGTGGTGGAGCTCCTTCCGGTAATCGCACCGCTGGATGAGTCGTCCGTTGCTCCTTGCCTTTCGCGGTCGCTTCACCAACGCTCGTTCGATTTCGACATCTACTCCCATAGCACGCCGCGACACACTCCTACGAGACTGACTTACGTTCGGATTCACCTACCACTCTTGTGAAGCTGTGCCTTGAAGGCATTGCTTCTCTTCTTCAACCCTTAACTATGCGGACGAAAGAGACTTTCAGAAAAACCGTTGGGGTTGAAACGGCCACTCGCGACCTCATCCTCTCCGACAACCTGGGCACGTCGAACGCGTTTAATAAGCCCATACGCGAAGCACTGGGCTTCCGTGAGATCGGGATCGGGACCCATCCCAAGTTTGTCTCAAGTCACATAAGCCATCTCTACAAGGAGCTCGATAATCTGGCGAAAGAGCGACTTCCTCTGGATGACCTGGACGGAATACTGCGTGCATGGCGGGAACGCGCCCTCGAGTCACTAATCGTGAACCTCCTAGAGAAATACGGCTCTAAGATCTGGGGGGACGCGATGGACAAACGGTGTCCTTTGTCTAACCCTCGATCGCAGTTGCTCATTGAAGGCGACAGCGAATTCTATACCACAGACCTTTTCTACGAATGCAGCAATCACCGTGCATTGTGAGTATGCTCACTCGGTTCTTAAAGTCGATGCTAACTTACTATCGCATAGCATCGCGCTCCAGCTAGAGCACCTGGCTTTCGTGAAAGCAATCGCCTTCCACAGGAACCATCATGCGCACAAGACATCAGGGAAAGACCAGACTCTACCAAACCACCCCCAGACTGTAGCCTCCCGCAAAGCATCAGCCAGACCGCGTTGGTCGCTAGTGGTGGTGCTCCGATTGTCATCAGACAACCTCTTTGCCATCAGGGACAAATATTCTCCTATCGCCTTTCGCGGACGAAAGCGGAAGCGGCGCACACACGTAGACAATGATAAGCGGTATCAGCTACGCACCGATGCTATGAGGATCGTGGAAGATATCGAAGATGAAGACAGCGAAGATGAAGATATCGAATATGAAGACAGCGAAGATGAAGACAGCGATGGTGAAGACAGCGAAGACGGAGATTATTATGAGCCCACATCAACTGGACGAAATCGAAACCCTGGTAGGGTCCCCAGCATTCTAGAGTCGCTTTCGGCCGACCGGCACCCAAATTCTGCTGAACGCAAACGCCCCAAGACGCTGATGGGCACGATCCGAGTCAGCCGTGCGGGCTTAAGCCTTAGAAGTACTGCATCCGATCGTCCTCGCACTCTCGGGCCAGATCCGCAGCAGCTGAGCGACGAGTCGGTGGTCGAGACATCTCCAGTTCCGTCGACATCGGAAATTATCGCCAACAGCATCGAGCGTACAGCGCTGCCCGGGTCTGGTGAGACGGTAGAATCGAGGGGCCAACAAGCCCTCCCCAAGCATGAGCTGGTCAAAATGCGGGACAATCTTCGCCTTCTAATCCTTGGAGAGCTTTGCGATATCCGTTCCGCCCACTCGAAGTCTCAAGGTCCGGCCCAAATGTGGAGCAAATCTCAAGAGCTGGACGACCTTCTATTGGCTATTTGGAAAGCAGACAAAGAAGAAATCCTCCTTGAGATGGGACCAGAGAAGTACAAGAATGTAAGCGACGTAGTCGATGCCTGGCTACTCTTTCGGGACATCGCCAGAAAACTCGGCCGACACGCAGGCGTGCACCCTTCCGAAGGGAAGCCATTTCCGCAAATTGGTTACGAAGCGTGGGTGGAGAAGCTTGGAGGTGACGATAAGTATCTCGAATTGGATTACCAGTTGACGGAGGCCCGTGTCGAGCTGCGAAAGTCTGGAGCATGCCGGAACACGGCCGAGGTTGCGGGGAAGTTGACTGAGGCGTTCGCCTCCGCAACCAAGTATGCCAACGCGACCAAGGCCTACAAGAAGGGAGTTACCAGGTTCAACGAGAATTTATTCTCTTGGCAGTTGGACTTCTAAGACTGAGCTATATGGCGGACACCACGGCTGATAGCCTCCCTGGCCAACGCTTTTACCGCTTCGATTCTTCTCTCTCGGAAGGCATTACGTCTCTCTAGATGTTGGCTGACAGAGGAAGCGGTGCATGTACACCAGCTTCTTCATGACTCATGTATGAGTAGGGAGTGGGGGCGAATGACGAGGATGGATTGGGTTGTTGAGATCGACAGAGCGTTGACTTTTCACACTGTGGCTGCATGGCTGTGCAACTGTGGCTTGACTAGTGCGAAAATGTAACTTCGTACGCGAAACCTTTAACGTGCCATGATTCGACTCTCCTTCTTTTCACTTTCCTCAACAACATGTCCTGACCCGACCAATGCACATTCGTCGGCAAACGGATATGGCTGAGTTCGCTAATCGCACCTCCCACTCTTATCTCTCTTTGACGCCAAAACATCGCGATTGCTGTTTCCTAAGCCCATCTGCATGTCATCTTTTACCGAGAGGGAATCTGCGCCCTGCGCATCATCGCCGACCATCACTTTTGCGAAAGATTCCATCAATACACTAGAGTCTATCGTGGCCTAATACTCCTACCTATCCTAATCTATCGTTACTGGTGCCTACGGCGACCAATTCGTTGTCGCGATGGACGGCACTTCAATCGATTTCGCCACCTCCAAGGACTGGCTCGATATCATGAAAAACCGGTCAAAACTACGAATGCATGAGTTGATCGAGCGTCTGGGACTTCGCGCAAAATGGAGCCAAAATAAGCGGGGTAAAACTAATTTCGAGAGTGCGCTGGTGAGAGACCTAGTCACAGACATGAGCGACGTTGTTGCGACGCTTCCGAAAGAGCAGGACGATCTTGTAAAGTTTCTATCGAAGGCGGGCAGTCTCAAAGAGGAGGTTGAGGGCCTACTGCAGAAGCACGGCTCTGCTATCTGGGGGAGAGTAGGTGATAGGGAACACCTAATTAGCGTGGGCGAACCCGGAGTTGAGGAGGGGATTTATCCTAGGGATCTCTACTTTGAGAACGAGGAGGATAGAGCGCAGTGAGTCCCAAGTGTGTGTGAAAGAAGAAGAAATTCATAGTTTGCTTATGAGAGATTCAGGATCGAGATTTTGCTCCATTGGTGGCTTGGGATGAAAGCAATCAATGTCATCCTCGCTCGCGAACGTTTGGACCGTGAGAGGAAAAAGAAAGAGGAGAACAGGAGGGCAAGAATAGAGCTCGATAATCCTCAGGACGCCTCTTCCTCCACATTTGTCGCGCTCGCACCCAATGCTAGCGGGCCGGCGATGCCAACGCTCAACACGAACGTACCTTCGATATCATCTATAGAGGCTGTCCGCCATATGCAGGCCCTCCAGAGCGAGAACGTGTCTCGAGGTAGTCCCATCTCGACATCAATGGTCACGCCGCCGGAGTCAAGTGAGAGTCCTATCGTTACTGCGAGAGGCAGTATTGGCAACGGTGATGCCGTCCACTTTACTACCGTAAACGCACACCCACCTCAGGCTGCTCCAATGCAAACTGTCATGGAAGGAGTGTGGAATCGGCTGGCTACAGGCGGGATGAATGGGTCTCGACACGGAAGTATATCGTCACAAGGGCCCATAAGCACGTCGTCATGGTCAGCGGTAAATACAGCCCCGCAACCAGCAGGGCCCAGACGAACGTCGTTGGCGATGGAAACAACACAACAGCCAGCGCCGCAAGCAGCAATGAATACATCGCCGGACGCAATCCGGCAATTAGGAGCTGAGCTCTCAAAGCTGGTTTCGGACCTTACGCCTGAGAGCAAAGCAACGACAAATGGCAACAGTATCTCATCTGCTACTCCGCAAACCATACACGACGAAACCCTACGAAACGGCGGTCCATACCGCGGTCTTGACGTGGATACCCTGCTCGCGCTCCGCGCCTACATCTATCAAGAAGAGACTAGCGTGCCTTGGGACGAAGACACACTTCTGCTCAAACTGGAGATTGCGTGGCGAGAAGGCGTCAGATCTGACTACAACCGCATGCAGGACAACATACTCGTCTTCGTTGCACGGGAACGCGCGTTTCTCACTTGGATAGAACTAAAGCGTCATCTAGCGGACCTAGACCGCGCTGACAAACGTAAGTCTAGCTACCACCCTGCCCTCACTTTGATTTGGTATACTAATGTCTCCCCTAGGCTGGCGCGAAGAAGGCACCACAGCACCCGAGATCGAGCGTCGCATCCAGCAACACAGAACGCTTATGGGTGCGACACGCGAACTCATCCGGAACTGGGAGGACATAGGGCAGGTCGCCGGCGCCGGCGCCGCCGACAAAGACGAGCTTCTTCGCCAGGCCTTCGTGGTGCTGGCGGGCGAGAAGTACGCGGTCGAGCTGCAGTGGAAGAGCGTAGAGTTTACGGGGGTAATGCGGTGGCTGGCAGAGCACCTGGAGGGGTTTAGGAGGGAAGAGGAAGAGGAGGGCGAGGGTGTGTATTATTTCGGCTAATTGACTCCGCCATTGACGCAAGCGGAGAGGAGTTAGCGGCGCATACTCGCATGTTCTTGGTACCTTAGCGCGATAGTGTTTGCTTTGTGGCTGGCTTCTGGATTCCTAGCATGTAATAATTCGCGATGGCTTTCAAGGTTCTGGATAAAGCTTGTAATCAAAACCTCAGGGTGGCCGGATGACGTTCCCATCTCGTAAAAAGGGCTCCAGGGCTGCTGGCGGCCTGAGCCGATGAGTAATGGGATGCCGGACGAGGGCATGTACTCGCGCTAGACGCAGACAGGGTCTTCAATTGCTGCGTACTCGGCGACGGGAGATGAGCTGACGGCTCTGGTGATGTATCACCCCGTTGTGCCTCGAAACGGCTAGCATGAGTCGCATTTTTATTCTTGTTGGGTGATGCGGGAAAAGGAAAAATGGACGCAAATGTAGGGCGGAACGCCAAGGCGTTAGCCGAGAGATGCCGATAGATCTGTCCTCGTATTATCTTGTGACAAGTATTCCACCGATCGTAAGGACGAGTGCTCATTTTAGCCCTGACTCGGGGTTTCGCGGGTCAATGAGGGCGTGGAGTACGGTCCAGGGTTCGGTGCGCAGCTCACTTGTATGCGACATGCAAAGCGGCGAGTGCATTGGTGTGCACGTGTGCGCGAGTAGGGTCGGAGGCCACCAAGCTGCCAAGTGGGAAGAGCATTGACCGTGTAACGGTAGCACCAAGTCCATACCAGAGCGCGAGAGCGACGCAGTGCGGATGGCAACACGCTTCCTAGCACATGTTACAGAATTTCATATATCGCGTGAACTGCCATCGCATCCCTCTCCCGCCGCCTTTGCCTTCGCGCTCGCGCTCTCTCCGACTGACCAGAAAGCGACGCCGCTATCGCGTGCCCAGCACCAGTAAGCCATGGATCGTATCCAGTCCAATACCGGTACAGTAACGAGGCGTCATAGACGGCATGTTCCCGGATGAGGTTGCACTTACGAAATGGCATTATCAACGCGCTTACTCGGTGCTAGGGGTGGCGACAGGGCTCAATTCTCAGTAGGCGTCGGATATTTTGACTGCGAACGGATAGACTACGTGCATAGATGGATAGCATAACGAGGATATAATCACAAGCGTCGTACAAGGAATAAGCAAGGGCGGCTCGCAGCCAATCGCATCTGTTCCTTAGTATTAGCGGCGACTCATCGCAGTCTCATCCTCGCCGCCGTCGCGCCCGCCCTCGTCGGATACTTTCTGCTGCGGCCTACCGTTCCGTCTTCTTACACGTTACCGCCCTCACCTGACGCCGGCCCCCCCCGTCCTAGAGCGCGACCGCTCCTCTCCCAAGGAAGACCCACTGGTGTCTTGGGGCGACGTAACTCTGCGGCGCTGGCCGACGACGCTTGGAAAGGTTTTCAGAGGCCCGGTAAGGTTACGCTAGTGGGACGTAGGCTCCCCCTTTACCTAGTCGTCCCTTAACCGAGATACCCTCACCCCCCCAACAAACCACGTTTTGGCCGGCACCGCGACATTCCTCTCCCATCGCCCTCCCTCATGCGGCGCCATGAGCTCCAAGGACAATCTCGCCATGGACGAGGCGGGCGTGACGCGCTGGGACCGCGCGCGATGGATCTCCGTCTTCAGCAGCCACAACCCAACCATCCGCGAGGTAACCGAGTGTCTGGGCCTGGGCCTGTCCGCGTCCAGCTCGACAACAAACCGCGGCATCCCGAAATTCGACAATCCCGACTACCGCAAGCTGTCCAGCGAGGTCACCCGCCTGTCCAAGGAGCTTCCGAAAGAGCGCGACGCACTGCTGGACTTTGCCGCCAACCCGCGCAGCCTGGAGGAGGAGCTCGAGGAACTGCTCGCGACGTTTGGGCCGGCGATTTGGGGTAGGGACACCGATCGCACCTGCCTGCTGACGCCTGACCCCGCCAAGAAAACATACCGAAAGCACCTGTTCTACGAGGAGGCCGAGGACAAGGAGACGTGAGACACGTGCCCGTTTACTCTTTTCGTGCACATCTGACGGCGAGGCAGGCTCAAGATACACCTGCACCGATGGATCATCATCAAGGCGTGCTACTACATCCGCAACATGAAGCTCAAGCGGCCGTCGTCTGCCGCCGACTACGACACGCTGGCCGACATGGAGGCGGACGGCGACCCGATGAGCCCAAGCAAGCCCCAATTGGTAGTAAAGCTCCCGATCTCTCCGTCAAGACTACAAAGCGTTCTAAGTCCGCCACAGTCTCCCACTGGCACGCCGCAGTCGACCACCCCGCCTGGCGATGCCGCGTCGACCACAGGCGGGGCCGAGTCTTCGGCAAGACCCGTCAACGGAAAGAAGCGTAAGAGCTCCGTTTACATGTCGCTGTCTGATGGAGAAGAGATGGGATCGACGCCTGCCAAGAGACCCTATCAGAGCCATACGATGCCGTCCCATCGGAAGAGCCCCAGAAAGTCTATCAGGTCCATCGCCCCCAATAGTCCCGTCTCTGAGAACACCCCGCCGGTGCCGAGCATTAGCCAAAGCCAAAATAATAATTCGCAGCCATTGGCACCTTCTCCATCGGTGCACGAAAACGGGAGGCCGTTGCTGACCCCTCTCTCAAGCAATGAGCTGAACGGTGCTGCAAGGCCAGCTAGCGCTGCCCCGCCCGCTGGTGGATTCACCGCCGTCAACACCGGTAGCTTTACTGCCGTCAACGTCGCAGGCCCCGTTCGAGAATCACCGTCGCAGCAGCCACCGTCGCAGAATCCATCCGGCCCCAACGCTCGTAACTATTCTAGTCCCTACGACTCGAGTCCTTATGGAGGACCAACTGCCCAGAATGCATCCACCCCGAAGGCGCCGATGCTCAACACGGCGCCCGTCATCGCCCATGGATTCCAGGCCATTAACTCACCAACGGTTACAAATGGTGTCAGCGCTCGGAATTCACCCGTCGTACAGCATAATTCCCATGCAAATATACCTTCCCAAGCACCCCCTCAGATTCAACCCCTGTCCCAACCACCGGTCCAGCCTAAACCCGCCAGTCGATCTAATACTCCTGTCGCTCACCATTCTTCTCGCGGCTCGTTCTCTCACAATCCTCATAGCAGGTCGAATACTCCTATCGCTCCAGCTACAAATGCACAAACGACTCAACAGGCTCCAGCGGCTCAGACTGCGCCTCCTGCGCACACTCAAAATATCCAACATGCTCTCGCTCCCGCACCAGCAATGCAGCCGACACACCAGCCTCATATCCAGCCCGCTCCTGCACCACATCTCCATCACGCTCATGCCCACTCCCTCCCGAATGCGGTCCATTACGTTCCTCAGACACATCCGGTCCTCAAAAGCCATCCTGTCGAGGTACCTGCCATGCCGCCCACAACCTCTCTTGCGCCCGACACAAGCCTCATGCAGTGCGAGATTCTTGGCTCTCTGATGCAGTACCTCTTTCCTAAGCACACATCACCACCGGATGAAGCTGCTGTCCTCCATAAGCTAGAAACGCTCTGGCACATCAACGCCTCGATCTTCCACAAGCAGATTGGCCCATTATATGACCTGCAATCGAAGGTCCTGTTGTCATGGATCGCCGAGCGCCGGAAGATCACCCAGCTACGCCATGCTCTCACGTTTGCGCCTGGTGTAGCAGCCTCTGAGATGGTCGAACGTCTACTAGCAATGAATGACCTGAGAGTTATGCGCCTGAAATGGAAGAACATGAGTAGCGCGGACGGCCTGAGTGCTGAAGACCTACTCTGCAGAACGTTCGCCGTCATGACGAACACGGAAGGGACGGAATACCTGTTCAAAGATGGATTGGACAGGTTGAATGAGGGTATCTTCGAGTTCCTCAAGAGCGAAGACATGAGGATATTGATGCACAGGAGGTGATTGCATCGCATTACCCCTCCGCAGCCGCGGGTCGGAGCAGTACCTTTGTTCAATTTCTTCAGTTTTAGTCGGCGCTCTTATTTCTTTCTCAAAATTGGGATTCGAAGCCTCGTTTCCAGACCTGTATTGGCTACTCTCTCGGATTTCGGGTTGGATTTTGGGGTTGGATGTCTCATTCTTTTTGGGGTTCACTGGTCCGGCCAAAATGGCTTCATTTGTTTGCTTTCCTCTTGGATTGCCTCCTTGAGCGTATAGTTCTCCCTGGTTTAGCGATGGCGTCTGGTGGCCTTCTGGTCTTGAATTTGGCGAATCGCCTTCTCGGTTCTCTGGGCTTAGGAGCAGGCTTTGGGCTATGGATTGGGATCCAGATTGGCATTGCGACATATCGAATTGTAATAAGACTGTCGGCTTCTATTTAGCTGGATCAACCAAGAGTAATTCTTAGCTCGGCTTGATATCCAAACCATTCAGCGGTAACGGCAGAACTAACCGAATACGTCCGTCACGTGAGTGCTCTTGGCAAAGCGTTAGGATCGTCAGACTTCGCAGAGGAATACCACATTGTCGAGCTGAAGCCTATCAAGCACTCATATGCTGACATCTTACTCTTACCTGAAATGATCGACATCCTTTTTCCATAGCTAACTGAAGCCTCTCTTGATGCGGCTTTCCGACAAGCATATCTTGGGGGCCAGCCTGTGTGTCACCTGCAGGCCTGACCGGTATCTTCACCTTCAGCCTTGCCCTGCCCACACGGCATGGTTTATGAGCGGCCTCCTCCCTCCTTCCGCTCTGAGACGGTATAAGTCACTCATGCGGTGAACCGCACATCTTTTTTGAGCGTTCTCGTAATCTTTTACGCGTTATGGTTGTCCGACTATTCATCCCACCTGGTAGGATTCCAGAACAGATTAGCATATGCCCAGAGGGGTATCTCACTGCTTGAGTAGGAGAAGGCCAACATCACATCGTTCCGAAACGACCCGATCCCCTCGGCGCAAACGCTACGCTCCAATATGCCATCGTTTCCTCTACTGCCCTCGCCGCGGGGTACACGTCCTTCGCTGCGAAGTTCACGCGCCGCGTCACGCCTCACACGAAGATATCGAAAACAGCGCTATTCATAAGGTCTTCAGCGAGATTGGGGATATGGGCCTTGGTAGCCGGCGCCGCTGTAAACACCTACTACCATACGCGCTTTACTTCGATTGTGGTCGCACAGACGGTCAAGGAACCTACACCCGCGAAGCTCTGGGACAAGACGGAGAAATATACGGTTGATGATGGATGTTTGGCTGGTGCAGCGCTGGGGTTCGTTGCGTTCCTGCCAACGCTGTTCATGCGCCGGCCGAGCGTGTCGTGGTGGGCGCGTTGTGTTGGGATGACCAACATTGGCGCCTGCACTGGAGTTGTAGCATCGCATGCGTACTTCCAGTATACTGGAGAGAGGCAAAAGGCTATGGAGGTGCTGGAACAACAGCGGCAGCGAAGGACGTTGGAGTTCCATCATCTCTTTTGGGACAAGTTGCTCATGGCGAAATTCGACCTTCCTATTCAACAATACGTTCGACACAACGGCATCTTTCGCGCTTACCACTTACCCGCAGAAGTCTACGACGCACCCGAGAAGTTCGGGTTATCTCCACCCGCGACTACAGAAAGCAACGCGACAACCGAGTCTCCAGGTGCCGCTGAGAAGACACCCGACGATCGTTACTACACTGCAGCCCCCGATCACGCACAACATCTGAGAAACCTCAGCATTGAGAGCATACAGAATGAAGTGAAGGGGTGCGAGCGAGAAAAGCAGGCTGCGTTAAAAGAGGCGGCGTACATGGCTTATGAGATTTCCCGGAAACAGTACGAGTTCTGCCACGCGGACTTTCCCACCGAAGAAGACAGGCAGACACGGATGAGAGAGCTGCAGCTCATGAACGTCGCTTTCAACCGGCTACGAGCCAGTGCCGATGAACTGGACCGGCGGGTGCTAATCGGGAAGAACTGGCTCCGCCAAATAACAGCCTGGAACTCAGACGATGCACGCTCGGGCTGGCTCGCTACCTCCACCCTCTGCGACCCCGAAACCCACGATCCGAGCCTCTCGATTGCGGAAATGAGAAAATTTCAAGACCAGTTGACGGACGAGATCAGGAGATTTGAGGCGCTGGTTAAGAGTCCGGCGAAGCAGGATGTCGAGAAGAGGGAGAAGTGGAAGACGGATTTGGATGATGCGAGGATTATGCTGAGGGCGGCGGATCAGGTGGTCTTTGAGCTGGAGAAGAAGGCCAAGGGGCCGCATAAGGTGACCGTCAAGGTGGTTAAGGAGGATACGCCGCCGGATAATTTGGAACCGGAGAAGCCATAGATTGCACGAGGGGTTTTTGGGAGAGATGTTAAAGCTATGCAATCGTACAAAGGTGAGTGCTGGAATGGCGCTGACTGCAGCCGACTCGGAGTATCGTTTGCTGATATTCGTACAGGATGATCTAGGTAGAAGAGTCACAACTTAAGATGATAGAGGGTAGCGAAGTATCTGGTGTCTTACTGAGGGTGGCATCCCATGCCGTCTTGTCACGTGTCCGTTTCCGCCATGCTTCTCTATCGGCTCGACTTGTCACCCGGTATATGCGTTCTCATCCACAGCACGCAGCCGGGTTATCTTCTTGAGCGAGCCGACACCAGTCGGCCTTTTCACTGCTCCTTTAAATTCTCCAGGCTTATCAAGTGCCCAGTGCCGCCATCTCGGACGGGATCAGTGAGCCTCGCAGCCCCCGGCATAAGGTTATGCCTGGGTGCGCGATGCCTTCCGTGCAAAATCCGGCCTGGCTATCCTCCGATCAGTAGGCGCGCGAATACTTACTGAGTCTGTGTCCTATGAGGGTCCTCAGGTTTAGTATTCCGCTGCGGCCGACCGCAGCTATCTCCGAATAACGGAAGAGACATGGTCAAGTGCGTGTGGATGCTACAGAGGCCGTCACGGGGAGGAGAAGTGAAAGGGCGAGCTCGTCCCACTGCCATAACGGGTCAGCCAGGGTATATACGCAATTTTTTTCACTGCGCACGCGTTCGCGCTCCGCATGTCAAGATTTTGACCTCGTTCCCACCCCCGCTTCCACACCACACTACTCACCGACGAACATTCGAGTAAGCCGACCATAGTACAGCGCGCCCTTGTATCCGTTGCTAAAGGCTTCTAGGCTCCATAATGGTATCCGTATACTATCCCTCTCGCTGGGAGTCCGAGCGGAAGGCGAAACGCACGCAAATCTCGACCGTCATCGACGAGTTGGGCTTGCAACCGAATGCGCAAACGCCAGCGCGTGGCGTTCAGAAATTCGACAACAGGTATGTAACCGCGTTAGCTGCCGCTGTCACTGCCATTGCCAAGGGTTTGAAAGGTTTGGACGAGAAAGAGCTTGTGGACGCGGCGAGGAGCGGGAAATACGTCGCGGAGGAGATCGAGGGGTTGTTAGAGCAGTATGGGGAGGATATTTGGGGAAGGAATGCGGAGAGGGCCCATTTGAAGAAGGATTTGGTGTTTGAGCGGGAGAGCGATCGCAAACTGTAAGTTTTGTTCATGTTTGAAGGACTGGGTGGCTGATGCGAGAGATTACAGGCTGAAGGAGCGCCTTCATGATTGGATCTTCCTGAAGGCGTTCAATAAATGGAGGAACAGTAAGCAATACGCGAATAGGAAGGCACAGCTGGCGGAGGAGAGCATGAACCAAGAGCAAGAAGCAGAGAGCAGCGACGAAGAGGAGCTTGATGCCGGAGCAGAAGCCCCGATCCCATCGACAAACAACCCTAACGACAACAAGCACACCTCAAGCACGCCTACTCGCCTGTATCACCCATATTTTCCCATCACAGAACCCTGGTCAGAGCAGCAATGGTCTTCCTTCCGCGCCCGACCGAAAGTAAACCTGCACACCATCCTCACGTCACTCGGCCTCATCCCGCGCAGCGTAAATATTGCCAAGGCCTACATCCCACGTTGCTTCGAGAACGACCCTACGCTCGTCGCCTTCTCCGACGAGCTCACCACAATCGCGAAGCGCGTACAGATGAGCCTGGATGCGAAGGATGTCGCCAAAGCGGCTGCGAATCCGAACTACCTCGACGCTGAAATCGATGAACTGCTGTACAATTTCGGACCAGATCTTTGGGGCCAGCATCTCGAGGTCAAAGAGGACCGGAACCGCTTGGAGTATGAGAATGATGAGCAGAGGCAGATGTAAGTCTAATTACTACTAGACATGCGTTTTGCGCTAACGAGGGTTGTGCAGCATTTGGCTTCATATTCATCAGTGGATCTTCATGAAGGTGTACAATAGTGTCCGGTATGTGGACTGGGTATCGAACGGGAAGAAGCGGAAGCCGCGCTCGCGGAGCCGCGATAGCTCAGAGAGGTCCAAGAAGGCGAAGACGGACACGGGAGCGAAGAGCAAAAAGAACATTACCGATGCTCAGGACGAAGCGGACAACAGCGACTGGGAGACCATCACAGATGCGGATGAGAACGAAGGTCTGGAAGTCGACGAGGACACCGCGATACACGGACGAAACAAGCTCGCCGACCTGCTGCGCAAGTACTTCCTCGATTCCAACCGTAACGACGACGCTTTCGGCGAAACCGCCCTGCTCAACGAGCTCGAGCACGAATGCGCCGCCAACTCCGACGTCTTTACCTCCGCACTCCCGCCCAGCGACAAACCGCTCCTCGCCACCTTCTCGTCCATCCTCGCCGCCTGGATCGACTGGCGTCGCACCGTCGTCCGCATTAAGGCCTATCTACCCTCTCTGCCGCCGAACCCAGCCATCGCCAATAAGCAGCGCGCTATCCTCGCCAGCACGATTCGAGAGAAGAGAGAGGCTTTCCAGCGTATGAAGGTGGATATTGCGGGATTGAAGATGGGGCCGGAGGATGCGCTGTGTGTGGGGTGTATCAAGATCATGGGGCTGAAGGGGACCACGAAGGAAGGTAAGGAGATTCTGAGAGTGTTCAGGGACAGGCTAGCGGGGTTCGCTGCGGAGGTTGGGGATTTGGAGGGCGATGAGCTGACGGTGGGGGAGTAGTAGGGGGTCGAAGCGTTCCGGCGCAAGGCGTGGACACCGATGCGGGAGAGTGGTATAATGATCTAGGGCTCTTGATGGCCGGAGATCGGATATAGACATTGCCGTAATGATAAGCTCAGCGCTGAATTGCAGGCTAATGATGTCATGTCCCGACGTTTCCTTCCTGTGCACGGATGTATGAACGCCCAACTCCGTCATGCTGGTATAATAGACAGGTTAGGCGACTGCCTCCCTCTCTGCCCTTTGCACACCTGTATCCCTCCTCTATGCTCCAAGCGCCATCCCAGATGCCGTATCACGCGGGCTATGAATCCGAGTTCACCGTTCCCTGCCTTCATTAGCATCTCCCGCGTAACACGCTTAGGGTAGGTATACTCACAACGAGCCAATCCATCCCCTCGTCCACGCCCCTCCCATCCACCGCCGAGCACGCCACGATACTCCAATTTCGATCCTTCAAATCCCCCAGCCGCAGCGCCTCGCTAATCTCTCCTGCGCCCTTCGCCCCGGGTTGATCCTGCTTGTTCGCGAAAACCAACAGCGCCGCGTCGCGCAGCTCTTCCTCGTTTAGCATCGCGGTGAGCTCCTCGGCGGCCGTGGATAACCGCTCGATGTCGGTGGAGTCGATGACGAAGATTACGGCGGCGGTGTTGGCGTAGTAGCAGCGCCAGTAGGGTCGAATCGAGGTCTGGCCGCCGAGATCCTGTGCGGGGAAAAGTTAGACGTGAGACGTTGACGGGGGCAGTGGAGAGAGAGAGAGCAGAGCGCTTGCTTACCCAGACGTTGAAGTTGAGATTCTTGTACGTTACGGACTCGACGTTGAAGCCTATTGTAGGTATTGTCGTGACGACCTCTCCAATCTGGCGGCATGCGGTCAGCTTCGCGCATTCTCACAGTAGCCTTCTTTATATCGCTCCCTCCGCCGTACCTTTAATCTGTATAGCAGTGTCGTCTTGCCCGCATTATCCTACGCGCATTTGTCATCAGCAAAGAGTGGACACCTCTCGCCGTAGCAGGCAGAACTCATGGCTGCCATACAAGCCCCAGGATCAGTATCCGGATCTCCTTCTTCGCCCAGATCAACGACGCAAACTTTGACAGGTAGCCTCCCATTGTTGTGTCGCCCTTCTATAACTCTCTCGCGCCTGTGTCGGCTATTGTGGCTGCGGCGCTTCACCGCCGAACGGTTTCGCGGAAGATTGGAGGAGCGTGGGGATACGGTCGGTGCAGCTTGAAAGGTTGGGCTGTATAGTTTTCGGAAGACAGTAGTATGCGCTCGGAAATATGGGAAGGAGGGCAGGGTGTCGTTGTCGCGTGCGTTCGTCGAAGTGGCTCCTCCGTGTTCTGGATTTATGGAGTGGTGATCAAACAGGACAAACATCGAAGGTTTCCGGGCTAGGTTTCTCCGCTCCGGATATTCAACGTCGCTTTTGGAACGCTCTGCTTGGTCTTTCCTACTTTTCTTATACTATCAGAGTCGATACTCGATATTTTGTTATTTTGGTTTTTAGCTCGCTGTTGTCTGAACATTAATTTTTTTTTCTAGTCGAATCCTGAAAATTTCTCTGCCACATGCTATTACATTTTCGCATCTCCTACTCTACATTTTGGCTCAGTTGAGCAATGAATTTTTGCAGTCATTTCCATGGTTTCTCATTTCCAAAGTTTATGAGTCACGATATTCCCGTGTCCCCCGGGTCTGTTCTACTTTCCTGCCCACATCTCTTATCTATTTTTCGCACGTCGCCCAATTTCAGCAACTCCAGCCGAGAGGACGAAGTTCCACTAGTCTACCACGTCTTCTCCACTCTAACAGTCTGGTAATCTTTTTGCCGAACAGCCGTTGACAAGTGTAAGCCCAACTTCTTGTTGCAACGTATTGTTGTCCTGTGGATTAAGCAATAGGCTTCTGTCCTCGAACCCAAGGCTCGAGGGGTGTTGTATCATGCCCTTTGGATTTCTATGCATTACTTCTGATGCAGGATTCTCAATGTCGGTCTTCTTCCTAGTCGTGTATGCTTCGTCGAAGATCTTTGCCCGCGGTGCAAGGGCTTGCTCATATGCACATGTCTGCTTTTGGCTTTGTTCACGTACTCGAGGCCTACTCGTGCTGCACGTTGTGTGTGCATAATGCGCATAGGATCGAGTTATGGGTGCAGTAATTATTGTGCACCCAGAGATGAAAACTTCCGAGCTGCCTTCCCTCCGGTTGTGGCCTGGCTTGGCTGTAGGAAGACTGGTGGACTAAGGCGACTATCTTCCTGCGGTTTGTCGTCCTGTTACGGGTGGCGGCATCTCGCTCGCACTGATACGGTATGCCAACGGTGGCGATGTCGTTGGTGATTCGACTGCTTTGCCTGAGGTCGATTGGCGGTGGCGTCTGCCGTACCCTTTGTGCACGAGAGCCTTCGGACGAGGGAAACCATGTCCCGAAGGCCTCCAGCACCTTTTCCACGGTTCGGCCCTGAGCATGTCTACGCCAGAGAAATTCGCAGCACAGCAGCGTCCCTCAGGGGCGCGATGCTCGTCTGTCCTTCCGGTGCGGTTCAACCGAACCTCCAACATTGCCCTATATAGGTATAGGGGCGGTTGGAGCACCTCCTGAATAGCCTGACAGGACGACTTCGGTGAGTTCCGGGTAGGCATTCCCTTTTTTGAGCGTTGGCTTCCTTGGTTCATAAATCGAATATTCGAAGATGCTTTCTCCTTTTGGGTGTTAGTTTCCCTGGTTCAAAAAGTGATTTTTTGAAGACGCTAGACCTCAGAACCTTTCTCTACTTAAAGGGCCCATTTCCTCCCTCTCTATGATTTCTCTCCATCCCACACTCACTCACTCCAACTCTGTCTCCGAAGACAGGTTTACACTTCCACACCTCTCAGTTTCACAGCAACCAGCCTCTTCTGCTCTCAGAGCCCATTACACAACCACTAAGATGCCTGTCTCTTTCTCCTCTCCCTCTGGCACTCAGTGCCCGCGCCTCGACGCCTACAAGGCCCTCAAGTACTCGCAGCTCGAGGTATTTGCCGAGAACCGATACCAGACCCCCAAAGAGCGCGAGCTCTACAAGTCCTCGCTGCTCGCCATCTCCGCCGACAACGACCTAGAGCCCACCGAGGCCAAGCTGGGCGAGCTCCTCTACTTCCGCGAGGGCTCCCTCCTTGCTGCCAAGCAGCGCGTCAACGAGATGACCCGGCTCCAGCTGGAGCACGAATCCCTGGTCCGCGGGCTGCTCACCCGCAACGAGCTGCCGCCCCTGTCCGACTTCCGTCTCCGCGCGCTCCTCCTGGGCGACCAGTTGCAGCTCGAGGCCGAGAATCGTGCCGCCCGCCTTGCTTCGCCCGACAGCGGGTACGTTTCCGCGGTTGGCTCCGACGAGGAGCTTTCGGGACCGGACGCCAACGACGATAAGCCCGGCCACATCGTCCGGCACTGGCATCCGGAGTTGGGTCAGTCGGTATCGTACAGGTACTAGCCGACGGCGCGGCTGCTTTCGATAGGGTTCTTCTTTTGGTAGTTTGCGGATTGCGCAAGGGCGGTAGAGGGTTCGTTGGGATGTATTTTTCGATCATGCGGTGTTGAGGGACTCCGCGGTTTTCGTAGTTTCTGGCGTTGGATATACCCCCGGGAGGATATTTGTTCACTGTTTGATTTTCTGTAGTTGTTGATGCTTGATCTCAATCCTTGCTTGTGATCTGATGCCCATCGTGATGTTCCTCACTGCTGATGTTGACATTCACTCCATGTGCCTGCTCCCGAGCCCAGTCGCACTTTCACTTCCAAACACAGAAAAATTCTCTCTATTGAGCACCTCCGAGCCAAGGTGCACCCCGCACAGGCCAACCATGCTCTCACATTTTCTGAAATCAGGAAGTCCCCCGCCTTCCTTGCTCACTCCATCCATACATTTTCGACATACACGCTCCACCACTCACACTCTCCGACAATTTGCATCCACGCAACGTGGCATAGCACCCTATCGACATCCCTTCTCATAGCCATAACCATGTCAACCACAAAGATTTCTCTCGGCCAGTACATGCAGCGCAAGCAGTCGGCATTGGTGAGTATTTCGAAGTCTTCCATGCCAGCAGACGCTAAGTTGATACAGGGGAACGCCGCCTCCGCTGCTCCCCCTATAGTCACCACCACCACGGCGTACGCTTACGGCGCACCCAGCCTTGCTGCCGCCATCGAAAACCCGGCGAAGTACTACCCGAAACCCGATCCTTTCGCTGGGATTTCCAACTCGTCCAATCCCTATCCTACTTACATCCCGAACCGAAAGCCGCACTGGTCGCGGCCACCTTTGGTCCACCCTTCCCAGTATGCACGGCCTTCCCTCTATGTGCCGAAACTCGGCTCAGCTCCGTGGTTGGACCAAGACACGATAGACATGAACAACCGCCTCAAGGACATCTTTTCCCGTCCCCTTGATCAGGAGCGAGGCGACCATTGGCGCCCTCCGAAGCGATATTCCCGCGATAGTGATTGCAGCCACGACCGCCACTTTCGGGACTTCGTGCCCAAGTCCCCTCGGCGCGGACGCATACAGAAGCGCCGCGAGTCCACCCACTCAGCCGACCGAGCTGGCCTTGATCACATCACACTAGGTGCAGTGACTAGATTTGATGACCCTAACACATACAAGGCTCTGGTGCTCGACGAACTCCTCGACGAAGCTCGAGCCCGCGGTCTCCCCCTTCGGTCAGTACCTGATAAAGCCTACGTTGCTCAAGCCTTGGAACTTAGCGACAGGGTATATTGCGAGCAGCTCCAGATGCATTGGGGCAAAGGGGCAGATGTCCTTCGTGACACTGTCATCACCGCTGGCGTACCCGGCCTGGATTCGCAGAAGCACTATTCCGCTGAGACCCTCGCTATGAAGATTGCTGAGCATGGGGCTCGTCAAGCTGTGGAGCGCCTCCACGTTAAAGAGAAGGACCATGCTACGAAGGAAGCTGAAGCAAAGGGGAGCATCAGAAAGACTTCTCGCAAGTCCAAGCCGACCCAGGTCACTGCATCTGCTACGAAGGTGAACACGACAAAGCCTGCTGAAGACACTCAGGCTGAGGCATCCCAGCACAAGCAACAGCGAGCCGTAGAGGCTGAGAAGTCGACGAAAGCGACCAAGTCGAGCAAGTCGGTGGATATCGAGATGACAGCCGCTCTGGAGAGCGAGACACCACGTAAGATACTGAAGCCTAAGAGCCAGAAGCCCGATACTGCGACGTCTAGCTATCCATCTCCTGAGGCCACTGACTCGCCGGACTCCACATCAACTACACCGCCATCGCCTCGTGCACACCCTGCCACGAAACAGGTCATGCCTACGTCGAAGGCAGGATGCACTAGCAGTGAGCAGGAGCAGCCTCGGGGTATTGCGCAAGTTGCTAGGAGACGCAGTACTTCGTCTTCCCTGAATGGTCTCAACTGTGCGTCGCCGAAGCGAAAGCGCTCTGTAAGGGATACCAAAGGTCGCCTGGAGGACTATCGCAGTGGCGAGGATCATGCGGTCAAGGGTGAGGAGGACGGGGAGATGCAGGAGGTTCGGCCAAAGAAGAAGAGGAAGCCCGGCGTTTCGCTTACCGCGATGAAGAAGAGCCGCTTGATTTCTGGGTTGTGAGGATTTATTCCCCAGCAGATGCATGGATATTGGGCATTTTGGGAGGAAGTGGCTGGAGCCATAAAGGGGGCGTTTTTATGTTGAGTAACATTATCATAGCTATGCAGGTGCATGGCTTCGGATGGTCATCTGGGTATCATCGGGCGGATTCCTGATTCTCGCTGCACCAATATTAGTGACCTTTCGTAGAAGCGACAGACACCCGGTCTTATTGTTACAATAATATGTAAGGTCTCTTAAGAGAGTGATTGGTGTACTGTACCTTTCTAGTATGACCATGACCCCCAGCTGCTCACCCTCCTCCCGTCCCATCCATATTGTCTGAATACCGAGTTGCAGCGCATTGAAAGCACGCGGGCTCCGTATTGAGCCGCTATCATTCGAAGGTTGCCGGAGCGGTGTGCAATAGAGAACAACAATAGCTAGCGAAACGATCGGCCGATTGCGGGTGAAGTGAAAAGCCCGAAAAGCGCTCCTTCCTCCTCTGCGTCCGCTCGACGTCAGGTGGTCTGAGCGCCGCTTCACCGTCGCGCCCGCCTCCATAAATTCGCCTCGCCCCGCCCTCTGACTCTTTCTTTCTTTCTTTCTCCTCTCATACCCACCTGCAAATGCATACGCTGCGACTCTTCTTGCTCTTTGCAACAACGCTATTTGCAATCCAAACTACCTTCAACTATCACTTCTACTTCAATACCATGGCCCGTGGTCTTGGCCCCAAGGCGACTGACGCCAACCTCACGCCGCTCGGTCCCCGCAGGCGCTTCGGCACCAAGCCAGACGCTCCTAAGGCTATCGAGCCTGCTCTGGCAGCTCATGCTGAGCCAGGAGAGCCAATCGAGAAGCCAGTCGAGAAGCCAGACGTAGCCATCCAAGCTCAAGTCAACGGCCGCGAGCTTCCACCTAAGATCGCTGCACCCAGTCTCGGCTATCCTGAGTGTATTGGCGAAGGCAGTCTAACTGTCGAGGCGCCTCACTGCAAGCCGGTCGACAAGCCGGTCAACAAGCCAGTTCCGTCTAGCAATGGTCAAGCCAAAGGCCCCGGCGTTCCGCCTAAGACAGCTACGACCAAGCTCAACCACCTAGAGCGTGCTGGTGAAGGCACTTCCACGCCCAAGGTTAAGTCAGTTAATCAGCCTGCTCCGAAACGTTCTGCAGATGAAGCCTGCCTAGAGAACTACACCACTCCGGCCAAGAAAGCCAAGACTGACTCCAACGTCTCCGAGCATGATGATGAGGGTGCTCCGTCAGTTCAACTTCATCATGACAAGTTAGTCGGACAACCTGCTCCAACTCACGCGGATTCCTCGACCGTTGAAGCCATGCCCAAGGGCTCCAGGAGCAAATTCACACCCACTGATCACGGCCGTGATTCGACTCCAACTGACAAGGTTCCTCACGACAAGCAGGCCAATCGCACCGCCCCAGTCACCACTACACCTTCGACCAGTGCAGACACCACCAAGGCTCCTATCAGTCCGCCTAAGACGGCAGCTGTCACCCCTAATCCCACTGAGCGTCGCAGTCGTTCCGCTCTAAAGGTCAAGGCGTCTCATGATGACGTAGTCGACCAACTTGCTCCAGCCTCTCCAGCAACTGCAAGCAGCGAAACCACCGTCAAGGCCCCTGACAGTCAGCCTAAGCGCGCCGCCACCGGATCTGAAACCGCAGAGAGTGTAGCATCGCCTGTACAGGCAGCTACAGAAGCTCGTGATGAAGCCATTGCTCGGCGTTCACCTCCTGCTATCGCTAGAGCCTCCCAGCGCAACCAACCTTCATTGAGTAACCTCGGGCTGCACCCAGATCGACTCAAGATGATAGAGGGTAGCTCACTGATGGCCCCGCCACCGACGGAAGCTCGCCGCAAGCGCAAGTCCCCGTACGACTTTCCGCCAGATGAAGCATCCCCACGAACTCGTGATAGCGCCTCCCGGCGCCCGAACCCGTCGCCAAGCAACCTCGGATTGCACCCAGACCGACTTAAGATGCTAGAGGAGTGCTCACTAGGACCGAAACCAGTAATCACACCCGGCAATGGTCGGACCAAGCGAGCCACGTCCCCTCCACCAGCACAAGTCCACCGCAAGCGCGACTTGCCATCTGATTTTCCATCAGATGGACCCTCCCCACCAAAGCGCCATAAGAGTGGCCCAACAGGATCCGACGCCAATCTGGTGCCGCTAGGTCCGTCAAAGCTCAAGAGGTAAGTTTGGCTTCGGAAAGGCAGGCCAGAACCCCCTCTTCGGGTAATGAGCTAACAGATTTCGCAGCACATCAACCCATCATGGTAATCCCGGCAGGCGGGGCCTCTCACCCTATGAACCCCGACACGGTAAGCACTATCGTGGCTACGACCCAGTCGTGGATGATCGTCGTCGAGGCAGGTTCGAAGAACCGTCACGCCGACAGAGCGATCAACACCATGAACCCTTCGGATCTCGACACGCGAACCACCTTCGTGAGTATGCCAACCCAGCCAAGGGAAATGGTCGTCGAGACAGGTTGGACGAGCCATTTCGACGCCACGACGATCGAAACCTTTCACCTTACGGAGACCGATACTGCAAGCACCGTCGCGACTATAAGTCAACTATCGACGACCGGATTCGATATATCCGCGAAGAGGCGCCGCGCCGGCACCGAGAGAGGAACCGGTACTAACTCTCGTAGGGGAGTTGGATACCGGACCGGACCGCCTATTATTCAGGCGACTCCTGTTGCCTCCAGTATCCATCATAACCACATACGAGAGCCACATTGCTTAAACCTGTTGCTCTGATTTCATTTGAACCCACTATTCGAATGAGCACTGCAACATTTGGGGGGAAGAGGCGAACTAAATTTGGAGATATGACTGAGAGGAGAAGCAAATTGTTTGTTTACAGGAGGAGATCTTTCTGACGGCTCAGCAGAGATTCGGACTTTGGAATGTTTACTTCAGCACCGCCAGGATCACGCTCTGCATCTTGGGGTCATATTTGTGTATTTCGGTCATTCTGAGGCCAGCAGCATTGAGCAAATTTTCGTACTCGGTCTTTGTGCGCTCGACTCCACCCAAGGACGCCATCATGGTGAGGTCCACTGCGAGCATTAGTAGACGGACAGGCGCACCGTAGGAGCGAGAATGGAGTTGGACTTACTGTAGGCTGCTTGCCATGGCAGCTGTTGATCTGGTAGCACTACTTCGTCGATCACAACGCGTGAGCTAGGGTCCATTGCTGGAAGGATTGATTTCAGGAGGCGAATGCTATCTTCGTCGGTCCAGTCATGTAGAATATGCCGCAGATAATAGAACTTTGCTCCCTTGATCGGTTGTTCTTTGAAGAAGTCGTGTGCCTGGAACTCTACTCCCTCAATCCTGGGTGCGCGATCCAGCGTCTCTGGGATATCTTGCACCACAATCCGGCCTTTCAGCTCGGGGAACTTATCCTTGAAAGCTACGGCTTGCTGTCCAAAACCACCTCCTATGTCGACGAGGAGGGCAGAGTCAGGCGCCGGCACGAAGTCGCCAACCTCCTTAAGAACAGGGTACGAGCTGATCCAGTGCTCTTGTCGCTGGATAGCCATGGCATGGCCGAGCGACTTCATCTGCTCCGGGTGCTGCTTCATCCACTCAAACGGCTCCAGCTCCGTCTTCATCGCCATGTGGAAAGGCAGGTCCCTGTTGCTAGTGATGTCCTGGTACCTCCTCTCCGCGAGATAAGCAGGCAATGCAAGGCTAGTTGGGGCGTGTATGTCGTAGGCGTGCAGAATCGCACCGGCGACATGTTCGTCGGCCAGCACGCGTGTCATGCGGTTTGCGGTGAATGAGTCCACGCAGGCTCCTTCCTCGATCAGGCCGAAGGCCACCATGGCGCGCAGGAGATGGGCGAGCATTTTTGGCGCGCCGCCGGTAGTGGAGACGATGGTGGAGAGGGGGACTGGGGAGGAGTGCGTTGAGAGGAGTGGGAAGAGGGCGAGGTCGGCGCCGATTTTTACGAGGGCCATTTGCAGGTACTGAGAAGGGTTAGGGCGTGTGATGGTAGGGAGAGATGGAGGAGGAGTAGAACGTACGCCGGAGCCTAGGCGGACGACCATGTCCCACTCTGTATCTAGCGATGTTTGGAGCGAGCGGAGGTCGCGGTGGATCTTGTTGCGGCCGGATTCGTCGGCTTGGGAGTAGAGGGTGCGGATTTGGGAGATGTGCGTTTGCATGGCTGGGATTCTGTATGGGGAGGGTGGGGATGGGATGGGAGGGGGTGGCTTATAGCTTATGGCTCAGCTTCAGGATAAATGGGTCGAACAGCGAAAGTTTGGAGACCCGTTTGGATGTATATGGTCGATTAAGGTTGTTCGGGATAAAAGCTTGGGACCGGGTGTCGTCGTTGGGAGAACTTCGCGGGCTGAGAGGCGATGGTGAAGGAACTTTGATACTGGAAATGTCGCTCCTGTGGCGCCATCCTCCCTTTTATACTCATAATGGCCAGTTGATACATCTTCCGTGCTCTTCATAGTCGGTCTCCAGTCCAGGCCGATATGTGCGGTTTTCCAGGGGCATTTTACTGTTGCCTAGCGGCTAGGGGCCAAAAAAAAGCCATTTCTAGCATTGGATGGGGTACGGAATGGGGGATAGTTCTACGCAGCATCGTTGTCATTGGATAATGTATGTGATGGCGTAAAGTTGGTCGTTGGCGACGGCTCGGTCTTGCGAATCCTTCCTGGCCGAAAAGACCGAGAAGGCCGAATTCGGCGAGGGAGCCGCGAACTGCACGTGAAACAAAGCCGGCCCTAGAGCTTGTTGCTACAAAACCTGAAGGGGCAAGCTTTTGGCGAAAGATGAAATACTCCATCTAAAAATGAAGAACCGTAAATCGTTATATCAGATCATGTCGGCACTTGGCCGAGAGCTCACGTGGTAGCGTGCTTAATCAGTGCTTAATATTGCCGCTAATGATGCCCCACAAAGGCGCACACGCCCCGCGTGAACGAAGGCTTCTTTCCGCATCACCTCTCCCACATTCGAACATCAAGTGGTTCGAGCCATCTGAAACGCGACCGTGTCCGACCGTATATGCGGCTCTCGCATCGTCAAATAACTTACCGTAGTCCAGATCTGCAGTCAGCAACCGCCCACCTGTAAATCGATTCCTCGGCTCCCGTCCTGTCGCTTGATACGAGCTCGGCTTAATATAACGCCCGGCGACATGGGTATTGGTATGGACTTCTCCAGTCAGCCCTACAGCATGAGGCTACCACGCCTTTCCGCTGTGCCGGTTGCGCGACCGGATAGACCTGCATACACTACCTCGTATATGCATCGTATATTGCGCAAACAAGAAGGTGTCAATGCATCTCGTTTGGATAAAGATATCTCGACCGCATCTCTGGAATGCGTCCTGTTTCCTGGATAACCAACCATCTCGTATGTCTAACCTGAAGAGGTGGTGTTGCCGCGCTTTCGGACTTCCGTAATCGGACGAGGCCTTGCTTCGGGGTGTTCTTGGTGGTATGCGGCATTGGCCTTACAAATGCATGCAAATGTCTCTTTACGGTGTGCGGAGGCCGGAGGGACGGACGATGTGGAGGTCAACGAGTGCCTACAAAACGGGGTGCCCATTGCCCCAGAGCACTTCGTTCAAGCTCTATTGGATTTTATTTGATTCTGTGCATGTGCATCGCGGCTTTTCATCATGCCCTCTGTCTTGCGGTCTTTCTCCGTCCTTTTGCTTGGCATTCAGTTGGCCTTCGCATACAATTTCCCATATGAGAGCGTACAGCTGAAAGAGTCCGAGGTTGCTAACAATTCCGACATGTCTTTCGGCAAGCTCCCCGGCGGCATCAAAGCAAAATGCAAGACGTTCCCTGGAGACGCGAGTTGGCCTTCAGACGAGCGATGGGGCGCCTTCAATGTGAGCTTGGGCGGAGCACTAATCAAAGGCATTCCGCCTGCAGCGGCCTGCTACGACGGGCCTTATAAGGATGCAGCTAGATGTTCAGACATCCAGCGCGGTGCGAGCAATGCGGTTTATGTGTAAGCAACATTTCTTCACTCACTCTTCTAGTCATGCTGACGGTCGGCCTAGTGGGAACGATCCACTGATTCCGTTCGGGCAGTGGGCGCTTGGAAATCCTTGCCCAGTGCCCATGCCCTCCTTCCCTGGCTCACCCAACAATACAACCCCACAGTTCACTTGCAATATCACGAGTTTTCCGGCCTATGTGGTGAACGCGACTACGGTCAAGCATGTCCAGCTGGCCGTCAACTTTGCCAGAAACAACAACATACGAGTGACAATAAAGTAGGATCGCCTTGTCAATCATGCACTAGAAGCTGACAATGTAAAGGAACACCGGCCATGACTTCCTTGGCAGAGGCACAGGCGGAGGCGCTCTTCAAGTATGGGTTCACCCCTTCAAAGACTTCGAATACCTTCCCTCCGTGCAAATTGCAGACTATGAAGGTCAAGCTGCAAGAGTCGGAGCCGCACTGCAACAATACGAGCTCTTTCCGTATATGGAGGAGTCCAACATCACCTTGTTGGCCCCAGGCTCCCCGACCGTTGGCGCATACGGCGGCTTCATGCAGGGAGGAGGCTTCTCGTACATAACGTCGAAGTTCGGACTCATGGCCGATCAGATACTCTCCTTGGAAGTCGTCACAGCGGACGGGAGATTCGTGCACGCAGACCCGACGGAGAACGAAGACCTGTTCTGGGCAATTCGCGGAGGAGGACCTAGTATGACTACTTTCCCTCAATCGCCTCTATTTGCTAACCATGGGTGCAAAGGCAACTACGGCATCGTCACCTCTGCCGTCGTAAAAGCGTACCCGCCTATCAGCGTTGCCACATCATCCCTCGGCTTCCAGACCGGCCCCGTTCTCGGCAACGGCACTACCAGTCCCCAAGTCTCCAACGCCACGTTCTGGAAAGGCGTTAGCGTCTACTTCTCGCACCTCGTCCGGGTCAACGACGCCAAAGGCATCGGCTGGAACAATGTCAACACGCAAGCCCCCATGCCCCTCTTCAACAGAACCGAGCGCACCTTCTCCTTCACCGGCGACTTCCGCATCCCCGGCATCTCCGCCGCAGAAATGAAGACCTTCACCGCCCCCATCATCCAGGACTTCAACGCAGCCGGCATCAACCTCACCAACCCAGACCCCGCCTTCTACGAGACCTACGCGAAATACGGCTCCCGCAACAGTCCCAGCGGCGGCGTCGGCAACCGCCGCTTCGCCTCGCGCCTCTTCCCACGCGCCGCCTTCGTCGACCCGCTCTCCGCAGCCTTCAACGCCACCATGGCCGCCGTCCGCGCCTTCGTCGAAGAAGGCGGCTACTCGCTGCACAGCGTCGACTACCACGCCTCGCTCGCCACAGCGGGGTACCCGGGCGCCAACTCCGCGGTGAACCCGCACCTGCGCGCCGCCATCATGCACGCGACAGGCTTCGACACGAGCTCGTACGGGCCCGAGACGACGCCCGAGCAGCAGATCAGCAGCCATGCGCGGTTGAACGCGTATGCGAATAAGCTAAGGGAAGCGAGCCCCGGGAGTGGCGCGTATATGAATGAGGCTGATACCGAGGAGCCGGATTTTCAGGAGAGCTTTTATGGCGCGAATTATGGGAGGTTGTTGCGGATTAAGAAGGGCGTGGATCCGTGGGGCGTGTTTTATGCGGTTACGGCGGTGGGGAGTGAGGAGTGGGTGGTTGAGGGGACGCAGGGGCTGCCGACGCAGCAGGGGAGGTTGTGTAGGGTGGATGGGTAGGTGGTAGATTTGGGGAGAGAGTGGTAAGGAGGGGTGAGGTGGAGGGGGGCAGGTGGTTTCTGCTAGGGATGTCGGAATTAAATCTGTGTACGTCGCGAGGTTGAGCTGCGTGTCTCTCTTCGGCAGTCGCATTTCCAACATAGAAATCTATCCGATTGCTGATCTACAATACGGATATGTAGTATTACCGCGGTACTAAGGGAGCGGTCAAGCTCATACGATATCCGTCTTCACTAAATGGCCTATTACTGCGACATGTTGCTCGCGTGGTTGCAGTTCAAAGCTTCTATTTTTACCTATCTAGCTCAGTGATATATCAGAAGAAGGCCAGACTATTCAGAAATACCGGAGGATTCAGCGCAGTCGATCGATAGTATTAGAACAGGGGAGGAAAGAAAGACGGGAGGAAAGAAGGTAAGGAGAAAAGAAGGTAAGGAGAAAAGAAGGTAAGGAGAAAAGAA